AGAGTCCCTCGGCTCCCGCCGCCGCTGCTGCCCGCTGTCCCTGGCCGTCCTGAAGGTGCTGGAGGTCGCGAAGGAGCAGGTGTTGCGGGCGAGTAGGGAGTCGCGATCGCATTCCCGACGACCTTGGCTGCCTTCCCGGCGGATGAGAGGGCAGAGAGGGCGGCGGAGGACGACGAAGACGGTAGTGAGGGCGAGGCAGGCGGGCCGATCGACGGCGCGACCGATGCGGCCGAGGAGGATGGCGGTGGGGAAGCGGCGGACGGTTGCGAGCCGTAGGGGCGGTACGACTCGACGAGCGTGCGGAACGGTTTGGAGAAGTAGAGCGACTGAAGGATCGAGTTGGCGTAGCTGTTGCACGAGAACAGACGAGATAGGTCAGCTCGGAGGAACCGTCGGCATACAAAGGAGAACGCGAGGACGGACCAGGTGTTGGCAATCTGCGCGCGGACGTAATCCAGGACCAGTCAGCAGAGTGTTCTCGTCACGAGCGACCCTGTCAACAGCCGTCCAGGCGAGCCGAGCGAGTGTCGGCGGCGCGTCGAGGTGTTGGGATCGCTCGAGGAGAGGAGAGGGCGGCACGCACGTTCTCAAAGCCAAAGTAGCGTTCGCCGGGCAGTTCCGTGAACCACTCTGTCGCTACCGGCGGCGCACCAGCCTGCACCGTCCCTCCCTGTGCTCCCGCCGACCCCGTCGCCTGCACACCTCCGGGCCCTCCTTGCTGCCCGCCCCACTTCCGCAGAAAGGCCATTCAGCGGGCTCGCTCGATATGGATAGCTGCCGTAGACTCGTGTGCGCAGTCTACAGGCGCGGCATGCGGTGGTTGCTGTGTTGCGGAGGTCGTGCGGTCGAAGCGGACCGAGAACGGGCGGAACTGGGCCGGCGGTGGTCGCAGGCGTTGTACGGATGAGATGGCGCGCTCGAGTGGATCACTGGCGAGCTAGCAACAAGCCGGGCGAGCTGCCCTGGAGCTGTGAGTGAGTGTAAGCGAGTCCAACTCGGCATATGTATGAGGTCGCTCGTATCGAAGTCGACTGGCGACGACGAGTGAGGCTGGAAAGCGGGCCGCGCTGCATTCAACGTCGTGTATCGTCTACAGGAGTAGTCGTTGAACAACAAGTCGTCCGGCGACCCAGAAAACGCTTCTCCTCGAAGAACTCCATCCGTTAGTGCGCAACTTTGAAGCTTGAGCCTGCACGCCTGATCGTGCTCAAGCCGCACCCACGCACGAGAGATGGAGCGATTTAGCCGACGCTGGAGCGGAGCGAGCGAAGGGAAGAGCCGGACTTCCTCCTCGAACGCGACCTTCTCAACCTCGACACTACGCCGAGCGAGATGCTGAATAGACTGCAATGCTGGTGATAGACAGACCGACTCTACTGTGTACATTCCTTCCGAATCCGAGTCGGCATCAACGAACGCCCCGAGTCCGCCCTCACTCCGACTGCTCGCCGACCCGCCGAATCTCTACCATGTCCGGCCCATCCCTCGCCTGCCCATACTCATGCTCCCGTCGATCCTGGTGCGCGCGGGGCGGTCTCACTCGCTCATCGTCGGCGTCGGCGTCGACGTCGGCATCCGCGAAGGGGTCCATGTACCGCCCAACAACTGTCGACAACGGTCGAGCAGACGGGAAAGGCAGAGGCGGAGCATTCGAGCTTTGCTTCTGCATCATGGGCTGTGACTGCGAGTGGCGCAGGGTCGTGAGGGAGCGTCGAGTACGTTGTTTGCGTGGACTCGAGGTGGGCGAGGGGACGGTCGGCAGGTTGGCGGTCGCGTAAGAGTATTGGAAGCTGGTAGTACGAGCTGTCAACGAGGCGAATCGCTTGAGGAGGAAGTATCAGTACGCACGGATCCATGCTGCTCTCCGTCGAGAACTCCCTCCTCCTCGGCATCCCCCTCCTCCTCGCTCCCCCCGCACCCGCTCCCTCTCCCTCAATCCCCAACCCAGCTGCGACCCCTCCCTTCAACGCTCCAAAACCCGCCGCAATCCGTCCCAGCACACTCGCTCCACTATCTTCCCTCTGATGCCTGCCTTTCACGATAGTCGTGACCCGCGGCATCGGCGCGGAGGGGTACAAACCCGGTGACTCGGCGGGCGTAGGAGCGAAAATGGGCGAGTCGGCGTCGTGGTAGCGCGAGTCTGTTTCGGTTGCGAAGGACGACCAGTGGCGTGGTTGGCGGTAGGGCGGGTTGAGAGAGGTGAAGGAGGGTTGGTGGTGAAGGATGATGGGTGGGTCGTAGGAGACGGCTGTGGATCCGAGCGGCTCGAAGGAGGAGAAGGGAGGGGGGGAAGAGCGTCGGCGGCGTGTGCCGACCCAGCGAGGACCTGCGCGGGCGGCGGGGAGAACGGTCAACGGTGCGAACTTGGTCAAAGCGGCTGAGAAAGGACGCACTGTTCAAGAAGAGGTCCCCGCCCGTCAGACCCCGAAAGTCATCCGATTGTCCACTCGCATTCGTATCACCACTCCCTCTCCTCGCCACGCCCAGCGGAACCCTCAGCCTGTCCCTCTCTTCGTCCGCTCCATCGTCCTCTTCGTCCGCCTCGTACAGCGTGTCTCGACTCGGTCGAGTACTGGGGAACAACCCGCTCAATCGCCCGCTCAGCCAGCCTCCCTCAGACACGAGCGCCTGTCTCCCCTGAACCGGTCTCGAGCCCTCGCTCGACCCGCTATAAGACCGCTCGTCGTCCTCCCTCTCGTGGATAACCCTGAGAGCAGGCAAATCCGGTGTCTGAGGCGGCGTATACTCCTCCTGCTGCGGCCCTCCTCCTGCCCCGCCCTCGCGAGTGGACAAACTCAAGCACCCGAGCCTGCTCGACTCGCGCTTCCTCGCCTCGTCGTCGTCCCCTCCCAATCCTCCAAGACCGGCATCGGTACGCGGACTGTTCGTCTCGTAGCCCTGCCAGAGCTGGCTCAGCGTACTCGTCGCTTGACGCACCGGGCCCAGCGGGAGTGATCCCCTTCCCTCCGCGTACGCGAGGGGTACAGGAGGCGCATACGAAGCGTTCGAATACGGAACCTCCGAGGAGGGGACGAATCGCGAGGGAGTGCTGTAAGACGACGGAGAGGGAGGGAAGTAAGCGTTCGCTAAGGAGCCTGTCGGGTCGTAGAACCGCGAGAGTCGGATCGGGCTCGATGGTTGGATTGGAAGGAGCGTTGGGGGAGAGAGTGGGCGAGAAGGGAAGGTTGGGGAGTCGAGGTCGAGCCGGGGAGAGGTCAGGTCGATGTCGTCGAATGGCTCGACGGGGTCGTAGCGACGGAGGTCGTCGTTCCGAGCATACGGGTGCGCTTGTCGAGCTACTCCAGCCGCTGCTAGTCCCGCAACACCCGCCGCGACTGCAGTATCTCTCCCACTTTCTCCCTCTCGTCCGCTCAACAACCCCTTCTCTTCCTCCGTTCTCGGAGATCTCCCCTCCCCTCCATCGGTCGTCCTCGGACTAAACCCCTTCTCCGTCCCTTCCTGCGGCGAACTACCCGCCATACTCCTCCCTCCTCCCACTCCTCCTCCTCCGCGTCCAAGTAACCCCCCCGTCAAGCGACTCAGCACGCTCCTCCCGCTCCCACTCCGCCCGCTCACCCTCGAGGGAGTCCTCGTCGGAACCCATTCCCACAGGACCCCTCCACTCTTGATCCTCTTCTTCGGCTCCGAAGCAGAAGCAGGGCTGTCGAGGAGTTCTTCTTCTTCCGCCACTGCACTTTGTCGTCGTCTCCTCCGCCGAAGGCAGCAGCAGCAGAGTGAGAGGAGAAGAAGGAGGAGGAAGAAGAAGCAGAGCGGGGCGGCGATGGCCGCGGCGAGTTGGGAGGGGGTTAGGTGGTCAGCGGCGTTGAGGGCGGGGGAGGAGTATGATGAGGTAGAGGAGGCGGATGTGCTGGAAGAGAGGGAGGGAGGTACTGTAGGGCTGAGGGAGGAGGAAGGGGCGGAGGTGAGGGATGCAGCGGAGGAGGAGGATGAGGAGGTTGCGGAGAGGGCTACTAACGGTACTTCAGTCAGGTCAGTATCGACGAACACAGAGCGGAAACAGATAGTGACGCTCACCGGACGTAGCAGAAGCGTAACCGCTCGACAAGCTGGCGACAGAAGCCGGATCGACCGTCGACGCGGCAGTTGCGCTGGCGAGAGCGGCCGAAAGAGAGGTCGCTACGCTCGCTAACGACGCGGCGGGTGCGGAGGAAGCCTGTGTGGAGGGCGATGTGGGCGAAGGAGACGGGGTGACCGGAGGCGAAGAGGCGGAAGCTGAGCGCAATCCAACGGTCAGTACTTCATGTCCGTGCGACTTGTCGACCGACGCACCTGAAGGAGCTCCAACAGACGCCGCAGAAGACGGCTCTGCAGGCGACATGGCAGTTACCGCTGCTGGAGCAGACTGGACGCCCGCCGTTGTAGCGCCCGCCAAAGCCTGTGTCCCGCTGCCCCCGCCGAGGGTAAACATCCTCGTTCCTCCCAGCTCTCTCACAACCGTCTGCGTCGCATCCCCTCCCGGCGTCGTGTACAAGTCGCCCAAAATCTGCCCGCTTACGTCCGCTGCTGGGTCGATGGTGAGAGGGAGCTGGAGGATGTCGGTGCCGTATTGCGTGACTCGTTGGGCTGTGACAATGAGGGTTGGTACGCCGTTTGGCAGGAGGGTCGCGAAGGTGTAGGGCAGGTCGACGGTCGCGGTTGGAGAGGAAGTGCGCGAGAGCCAGGCTGGGAGCGGTTGGAGGGGTGCGCCGTTGCCTCTGCCGGGCGACACATCGCCCATGCCTCCTTCCTCTACTCTTTGCGCTTGTAAGCTGGCTGTGCGAAGGCGTGTGTCGAGTGCGAGGACGAGAGCGGAGGAGCCAAAAGTTGGGAAGGTTGCGCGAGGCGGGTGCGAGCGAGGGTGGTTGATTCGCTCGTGGGTGTGCTCGAGTGTGTGTTGTGGTCGTGCTGGTCGCTGCTGGGTGTGCTAGCAGTCGAGTTGGGCTGTAATGGCAGAGTTGGCTTCCATCATTCAACATGCGATCGTCCAGTCCTCGGCGCCGGGCAGCGGGCAGCCCTCGATCACAAATGCCTGCGCCTCTTCGCTCTCCTCGCTCGCTTGCTCACTCTGAACAGCTTACGAGTGACTGGCTGACTGCCCTCAGCACCCACTCAGCCCACCATGCGACCCCGCCTCCGACTCCCCTTGCTCTCACTCGCCGCACTCGCCCACCTCGCTCCCGCACTGCCGCAACTCCGCCACGACCAAACCGTCCTCTCCCTTCCCACAGAACCCCTATCCGCTCCCATCGCAGACCACTCCATACACTCACTCACCTCCCTGCCCTCTCACCGCATCCGCCTCCGCTCACCACGCGACTTGTGCGACCCCGCCGTCGACCAAGTCTCCGGCTACCTCGACACAGCGCGAGGACACCACTTCTTCTTCTGGCAGTTCGACAGCCGGAATGATCCCGAGAACGACCCGCTCGTCCTGTGGTGCGTTCGACGAGTTCCCCTTCCCGTTAATGGACAAGGACTGACGGGCTTATCGTGCGACAGGTTGAATGGAGGACCTGGGTGTAGCTCGTTCACGGGACTGTTGCAGGAGCTGGGACCGTGTCGGATTCAGCCGGACGGGAAGGACCCAGTCTTCAACCCATACTCGTGCGTTTCGTCGCTTTATGTCTTTGTCTTCCCGCGTGAGCCGTGCTGACTCGGGTGCATACACAGCTGGACGAACAACGCCTCCGTCATCTTCCTCGACCAGCCAGTCGGCGTCGGCTTCTCGTATGGCGACAAAGGCGACCGCGGGATCTACTCGACGGAGGCGGCGGCAGTTGATGTGCGTTCCGCGTCGTTCTTCCGACTCTTGCGCATCTGGCTGATGTTAGACTTCCGCGCAGGTCTACGCCTTCCTACAGATCTTCTTCGAGACCTTCGCCGACAAGTTCGGAAACTCGTGCGCCCGACTCTCCTCTCATCCATCCGTGACAGCCTTACCGAAGCAAACATGAGCGCAGGGAGTTCTTCATCGCGGGCGAGTCGTTCGGCGGACGGTACATCCCCGTCTTTGCCGACTACATCCTCAAGCAAAACCAGGTTGCCGAGTCGTGCGTCCCTCTCGCTTCTCTTTCCAACGACTGGACGCTGACTCGCTCGCTGGGACTCGTAGGAAGGGCCTGCGGCACATCAACCTCGTCTCGGTCATGATCGGCAACGGCTTGTGCGTCCCCCTCCTCTCCCCCCTCTCAGCCTCCCGCTAACCCCTCCCGCGGCGCAGCACCAACCCTCTAACGCAATACGCCTCCTACTACCCGACCGTCTGCACGAACCAAACCGGCTACGGACCCTACGTCAGCCCGAGGGAGTGTAGGAAGATGCAGGAGGCGTTGCCGAGGTGTCAGAGTCTCGTCAAGGCTTGCTGGGGTGCGTCCTCAGTTACTCCCTCGCCCAATCTCGCAATCCCCCGAACATTGGCTGATGAGATAAGGAGGAACAGACGACCTCCGCAACTCTGCACTCTGCGTCTCCGCGTCTGTCTACTGCGAGACGCGCCTCACGAGTCCGTACTTTGCGACGGGGAGGAGCTCGTACGATATGACCAAGTTTGGCGAGTATGAGGAGGAGAAGTGGATTGCCGAGTGGTTGAATCGGTGCGTTCGCCTTCACGGGCTTTCCGCCGCGGAGTGACCGGGAGCTGACGGTTTGCGCGTGTGAAGGGAGGACGTAAGGCACGAATTGGGTGTTGACTTGGACCCGCATGGACATGGGGTGAAGAAGTTCAAGGGCTGCTCGGGCAAGGTGTTCAACCACTTTGACGCAACAGGCGACGGGTTCGTCCCTTCCACTCCCTCCTTCCCTTTCCTCAGACTGACTCTCCTTGTGAGCAGCGTCAAACCCTCCCATCCGCACGTCGCGTCCCTCCTCAACTCGCAAATCTCCGTCCTCCTCTACGTCGGCACAAAGGACTTTATCTGCAACTGGTACGGGAACAACGAGTGGGCTCTCCAGTTGGAGTGGGACGGGGCGGGGGAGTTTAGAGAGAAAGAGTTGAGGAGTTGGTACGCTTCTGCGGACGAGGAGAAGGGGGAGGAGGGGAAGAGGGCGGGCGTGTTCAGGCAGGCTGGGGGGTTCGCGTTTGCGACTGTCGAGGGCGCGGGTCACTTTGTGGGTCCCTTTTCACCGTTGCTTTCCTCGAATCCAGTTTGCGGATTCAGCGAAGCGAGTCGACCTTCGCAACCTGCGACTGCGCGTTCGACTCTTCCTCCGCATCCTCCCGCCAACACTCGCCTCTTGCTCCATTCACTCGACGCATGACTGACCCTCTCTCGTCTCCCCTTTGCGCAGGTCCCGTACGACAAGCCGCGCGAAGCTCTGGCGCTGTTCAACCGCTGGGTGTTTGAGCGCAAGGTCGGCTTCTCCCGGGACTCGCTGCAGTAGAAACCCCTCCATGCCAGCTACTGTATTCGCATTGTATCGCCTGCACTTTAGCACTGCGCTGGTTGTTCATGAGCTATTCGCTGCACGTGTGAGTCGTGTTTGCCTTGGAACGCGCCGCGACTCGAAGTTGGGTCCTCGCTGGCGTCGCTCGCGCTTCTTCCTCTTTCACTCACTCGTACACACGTTGAACAGCACAAACACACCACACGCAACGTCGTGAGTCCCGCCTTCGACCCAGGCGAACCACCCGCACGCTCGCTGACCCCGTCCTCGTCCCGCTCAGCTCCTCAACCGGCAAACGCTCCTCCCCCTCACTCGCCACGCCTCCCTCGGCCAAACGCACCCGCACGACCCTCACCCTCTCAGACGCGACCAACCTTTCGCGCGACGAGGCGCTCAACCTCTCGCACGCCGAGCTGGTCGATGCGTTCGTCCTCGTCCGGGACGCTCTCGACAAGGAGCGCAAGAAGCCTGTCGCGATTGGAAGTGCGGGGAACGCGCCGAAGGAGTGGACCGAGGAGGAGATCAAGGTTAAGGTTGCGCAGGTCGCAAAGGTCGCTCGCAGCGGCATCAAGGTGCGTTCCGTCCAGTTGACGGGTTGTCCAGCTCGCCATGCTGATACAATCGTGTGGTGTCTCGTGACTGCCTCTCGCTGGTCCGAACAGTCCTTGATGAAATGGTACGTCGACTTTGCCCTTGTCTGCACTCGTCCTCCTCTCTCGCTGCGTTCCGCCATTCAATCTCGCATGCTCACCTGCACTCGTCTACCCGCAGGCAACCCTCGTGCAAGCGCGGCGGCAAGCGCTTCAGCTACCAAGGCGTCGTCCCTCACCCGCACGTCCTCTACTCGCTCTCCAACTTCGAGGTCCCGAAGACAAAGTCGAAGCAGTGGAAGCAGAAGAAGCTCACGGTCGACGAGCTCGAGAACGCTCTCGGCGACCTCACTGCCCCCGTCAGTGCTCGCTTTCGCTCAACTTTCATCCCCAGACAGCGAGCGTAACTGAACCGTTGGACGATTGCGCAGATCCGCTACGGCGAGCTCAGGATCAACTCGCGCGAGGTCACGCTCCACTTCGACTCGGATACCAACGCGTTCAAAATCAGCGGCACCTACGGCCTTTGAGCGACCCACTACCGCTCGCTCGGCGCTTCCTTCCTTTCCTCTCCTCTTCCTTTCGTCAGCGCTTGATGCGCAGCCTTCGTTCATAGCGAAAGACCTTCGATGTACCACTCCCTTCTCACCTGTACATGTTCTGCTTTGACGCGTCGGTGGCGCCGCTTGAAACGAAGAAGTCTCTCTCGCTTTCGCACCGGCTCTCGCACCCCGCTCCTGCATCACCCGAGAAGCTCGAGATGGACACGATGCGAATGCAGCCAGACAGCTTGAGTGGGAACACGGGTGGATACAGCTTGGGGAATAGTGGGAGATAGGACGGACGGGAGACGGACGACGGAACAGACTAGAATTCGAACCACGTCTTGCGGACCTGCGCACGACGAAGACAGCGTCAGCGGACATTAAGCGAGGAAGGCGAGCTAGTTAGAGCGCACCTTGTACTTGTACGGAACGTTCCTCCTCAACCTGTCCGCCGCATCCTTCGGCCTCGCAAACGACCCCTTGTTGTCCGCGCCCTGCCCACTCCCCCACTCACCACGCTTCATCGCCTCCCTGACATCCTTCGAAAACTTGGCCGCCTGCTGCCTCGCAAACTGCGCGCGCTCGCGCCTCGCGCGCTCCTGCGGCGTCGGCGCAGTCTCGGGCGACCCGTCGTCCAGCGGAGGAGTCTCGAACATCTTTTGCGCGGCCCCGCCGGCGGGGTTGTATGTCGGAGGAGGCATCTCCTTCTGCCCGAGCGGCTTGACCACCTCGGCATGCGGCTTGCCCTTGTCCTCGTCCGCCGTCGCCTTCTCTACGAACGCCTTCTCATCAGCCGTCGTAGCCTCGTCAGCGAGCCCGTTCAGCTCGTTGAAGATGTGCTGCTGGACTTCTTCGGGCGACGCGGCGGCAGCTTGTTGAGGCGTGAAATCGGGCTCTTCGCCCGTGAAGTGGCGGACGCGCTCGTCTTCCTGCTCCTCGATCTCTTCGTGCGAGAGGAAGTGCTCGATGTCTGCGTGGAAAGGGATTAGCGGACAAAAGGGGCGAAGCGATGTGAACGGCGCGCACCTTCAGGGTGAACGTAGTCCTCCTCGCGCTGCGTCTCGGGCGTGTTGTGGTACTTCTCCTCGTGGCTGCGGGTGTGAGAGATTCAGCAACGAGTACATCGAGATGAAAGAGGGCGCGGACGTACTGCAAGAAATATTCTCCTTCGGCGTCTGCGGGTAGGAATCGTCAGCGTAGACTTCGCACCATGCTGGAAGCGCGGGACGCACCGTAGTGATGCCCGAGGTGTTCGACACCCTTGAAGTTCGGCAGTCCACCGACTCCTCCCGCGACGAACTCCCTCATCGTCAGGACGCCATCTTGATTCGTGTCGAGCTTGGCAAGGACAGCTTCGACAATGTCCTTCGCCTGCTGCGTGTGCACCTCGAGGTTCTTGGCGCCTTTGCGGCGCTTCTCGTGGTGGACGCCGTAGATCGACTCGAGTTCGTTGCGGTCGAGGACGCCGTCGCTGTGAGGGGAGATCACTAGGCGGCATCAGCGGCCGCTCGACGGGCGAGGCGTGACGCCAAACTGCTGTCGTCCACTCACCGGTTCAGGTCATGCAGGTGGAAGAACGCCTGGATGTCGAACGAGTCCATGTGGTGCTGGTTCGAGGGGTACAACGCGGGTGTCAGCTCGTCGTCCCCGTCCGACAACGCGTCTCGACACGAGCGACGCACCTCCTGAGCCATGTGCAGCTCTGCGTAGGTCGCATCCGGGTTCTCATCGACTTCTGCATGGTCCCCGTGCGCCAAGGCGAGGGAAGCGGCCGCCGCGAATGCCGTCGCTGCGACGAGGGGAGTCGTGGTGCGCATGGGAGGTTTGTCGAGAGTCTAGCGTTGCGTGTAGAAGTCTACGGCGCCGTGCGAGTACTTGGAAGGGGTCCGTTCGGTGTGGGCGGGGAAGAGCTGATGAGAATGAGGAGACGGTGAATGGGCGAGCCTGAGTAGGTGTCGCCGGTACAGACGGCACTTCAGCAATCGCACAGCAGCACTGGCAAACCCAACTCGAGCAACGGAGCGGTGAGGACGGGCACAAGGAGGAGTTGGCCTGAGGAGGAATGGCTTGTCGAGGTCCCCCGCGCCATCTCACCCGCGCAAGTCAGGAAAGGGACTGCTTGCTGGACTGGACGGCTCTTGAGACTCTCCACACCATGCCCCTCCTTCTCCCCGCCCCGCTCCTCACACTCCTCGACCACCTCGTCGCCCCCACCGGAGACGGTTCCCCTCACACCGCTCTCGTCGCGTCGCTTCAAGCAGGACACAGCGTCCTGGTTTCGCATTCCGTACCGACAAAGGAGCCATGGCCACCTGTCCGGCCGAGCGAGGACGAGGAGGACGAGGACCAGCGAGCGAGTCGGTATGCAGCGTTAGCTGGCGGGGCGTGGCAGGCGCAGCAGAGTGAGCGCGGCGAGAACGGCGAGAAGGCGCAAGAGAAGGAGCCGCTCATGCTCGAGTCGGAAGTGCGTCGCCCACTCGCCTCTTTTCTCCTCGCACCGGTTGCTCACCCCCCTGGTCTCCTTGCAGTACGGCCGCATCGCCTCCATCGCTCTTGGCGGCTTCCTCCTCGTACTCGCAGGGACAGAGGCTGCACCGTGGAAAGTCCTGGACAAGAAGGTGCGTCTCGAAGGACTTCCTTGACCTCTGACGGCCAACTCTCCTACCGCATGTCTGACGCTTTCTGACGTACGCACAGATCCGAGCAGCGGCAGAACAGCTTCGACAGCCTCTCTCAGCAGTCGAGGCGTAGCGCGCACCCTCCCCTCAAACAATACCCAGCATCTCGATACCCTCTTCTTCTCCTCTCGTCTCGCATTGGCGGCATCCGTTTCCTGCAATGCCAGCGCGACGTCTCAGCGATCGTCACCCCGTGCTCCCCAGCTCTTGTATCCGGCGGATAGACCACAGCTTGGGAGGTGGAAAGCGAGAGGGCTGGAATGCTCACGAACGATGCGTAAGGAGCGAATGACGGACGGCACGAACTGAAGCTACGGATGATGGACGACACAGCAGGGGAGAAGCGGATAACGCAACATAAGCGAGAGGGAGGAGAGAGTACGGCGAGGTCGAAGCAGAAGCGGGCGGTCTGGCTCAGAAAGGACGTGGCATAGCCTGCGGCATCGGCATGGCCATCGTCGGGAAGACGATCGCGCCCATCGGGGCGAACGTCGGCGCGACGTTGACCGGTACCCAAGGCGCCATCATCATCACCTGGTTCTGCGCGAGTAGTCCGGCTCGTCGCCGCTCAATCGCGCTCTGTGCGAGCAACGGAGGCTGCATCACCTGCGGAGGCGCTCCAAATGCGGGAGCTGGCGCAGGCGGAGGCGTGGGCTGCGACATGCGGATGGGGATGTGCGTTGCGAGCGGGTTTGGCGAGGGAAGCGGACCGGGCGGACGAAGGGGAAGACCCGCAAGGACCGTGAGCGTCCAGTGTGACGACGGCTGTGAGGCGGGCGGGAGAGAGGGAAGAGGCGGCAAAGCGCTGAGGGGAATCTTGGGACGGGTCCATTCGTCAGGCGGGACTTGGGAGGGCTGGATGAAAGTCGGCTGACGACGAGCAGCCGGACGAGCTGACGAGCCTGGAGTCTGCGTGCCGGTCGGGACGGCTGAGGGAAAGATTTGCGCGTCCTTCTGCTGAACGTAGGCCTGCCATCCTGCTATGCCGGCGGGCTTCTTCGACTCGGGCGGGACGACGTAAGCAGCCTTGCTCGCCGAGGCACCAACGTTGGAGAGAGCGGGAGCGGCGGAGCTCGAAGCCGACTCCTGGTAGGCGAAGCGCAGGCCGCTAGAAGCGGGCTGAGGACGAGGCTTCGGCGCTGGATTGAGGTGGTCGGGCCCGACGAAGCGGGCGGTAGCGGCTGCGATGCGTTGAGGAGCATCAGCATGCGGCTCGGGATGAATGATAGGCGGAGTCGAACGCACCGTATCGCAAGCCTTCAGGCTCGACCTTGTGCTCGAAGAGACGCTGCATCTCCTCGCCCTGCAAGTACGCCGATCTCAGCTCGGAGTGCCGCCGGAAGAGAGTTGACCACAAGCGTACCTCCATGACCATGACATCTCCGTGGCGGAGGCGCATCTTGCAGACGGTCCTCTTGCTCCTGTCAGCCTTCTTCCCGTCCCCATCCTCCGTCTCCTCATTAGCATCGTCCGCTGATGCAGCAGCCTTCGCCTTCTTGCCCGTTCGGCCAGCGCCTCCGCCGAACGCACGCGTCTTCTTCTTCCCCTTGGCGCGGAAGGTCATCAGCGCGTCGCTGCCGAGCGAGACGGAGGCAACATAGGGACCGAGTCCGCGTTCACCGTCGTCGTGGTACTGCGTAAGCGCACAAGTGTCAGCCTCGCAGCAACGGAAGACACAGTCTGAAAGCGACTCACGTTCATCTTGCCCCCGCTCATGTACGCGACCGAGAGGATCTCGTTGAAGTCGGCAAGCTCGTTCGGGCCGACAAGAAGCTGGACGACCGTTTTGAGGTGGTTGCGGGCTTCTCGAGTGCACTTGGGAGCGTAGGTCGTGTTGTCGTCCGCAATGGACGATGCGTCCAGAGCGGCAGGAGGGAACGGGTACGTCTTTGCGGTGATAGCGTTGCGGTAGTGCTCGCCGGCATTGAACGTAACTACAGACATCCGAGGTCAGAAGCGGGACGTGCGCCGGGAGATGCTGTACTCACATTGCTGGCAAAGTAGGCCGCCGACAGCTTGTAGATCGAGACGGTCAGTTTCGCTCGTCTGGGTGAAGAGCGGAAAGAGACTCGCCGTGGTGCCTCGAGAGCTTGTTGCGACGGAAGAGTTCGCCCGCTTCGGCGCCTTGGTACCCTTCGAAGAGGGCGTCGGCCATTTCCGCCTCCTCCTCGTCCACGGGCCAGAGGTGGTGAGCCAGGGCTCGACCAACGCTGCTGCCACTCGCAGTGTTTTCTTCATCGTCCTCGGACGTGACTGGCGGGAGCATCTCGACGGTGTAGCCCTCCCAGCCTGGGATGTGGAGGATCGGACGGACGCGCATCGACGGCTCGACGAAGACAGGCTGCACCGGCTTGTAGTCCGACGGCGGGATCTTGCCAGCCTTGATCGCAGCGAGGCGTTCCTCCATGCGCAAATCCTGAATCGTGAAAGCCTTGCCCATTGTGTTTCCCTCGGCGCCGCACCCCGCGCACTTCAGCTTGATCCAGTCCGCTCGACTCGAGAGGCGTCCGCACGCTGTGCAGCCAAAGCCGCGCCACGCCTCGGCGGAGTAGTCGGCCGCAGCGCTTTCGCCAGAAAGCGATTGGAGGGTCCGAGGAAAGAGCGACTGTGGAACGAGGGTATCCTGCGGTAGATCTGATGGCGCGAGAATGGAAGGCTGGTAGGTAAGTGACGATGGATGGTGCATCTCGCCGTCGACCTGTGTAGGTAGACATTCAGTATCGCTCGACTCGCTAAGCCGTGCAACTTACGAGGAAGAAGTTCGAGCAAGCTTCGTTGTAACAGGAGACGTGCTCCTGGTAGACTCGGCGATGCGTCTGATGGCATGCTTCGCAGGTCACGAAGCCTTCGTCCGTCGACTCTTGATCTGCGTTCGGCTCCATGATGTCGACGAAGCCAGAGTCGAGCGATGCTGCGTCGCTGGCGGGGCTCGAGGGTTCGGGCGTCGCTTCCTTCGAAGTGCTGCATACCGCGCAAACGTGAGCATGGAGCGAAGCGAAGAGTAGAAGAGCGACGGAGACGCACGCCTCGTCACCGATGTGATCCTCGAACCACGGCTTGCCTTGCGTGGGAACCCATTCGAAGCGGACCTGGTAGAGGGCAGGAGCGTCGGTACGATGACTGAGCGAGCGATTGAGGAAGCGCACCTTGAACCTGACGAAGTGGCCGGGCTTTTCCTTTCCCTCCGACGTGGCGTCGTCTTCAATCGGTTCTCCTTCGGGCTGTGAAAGCTGCTCAGCGTCTGCGTCGGTCTAGGATGCACTTCCCTCACTCACCCAGATGTCCGTCACGAGATAGTGTCCCAGCACCGCATACCGGACTTTGTCGACCTCCTCCCCGTCCTCGTTGATCCTCGATCCCAGCGAGCTCAACTTCGGAAAGAACGTCCAGCCGGCTCCGGCGAGCAAGACGACGGGTGTCTGCGTCTCGAGGCAGTTGAAGAGTGCGCGCAGTCGGAGGTTGTCGCGAGTCTGGGACGACTTGAGGCGGTAGATGTACGAGGCGTTCGAAGTCTTGATCGTGCTTGACGAGGTGGCTTTCGAGGTCGACGTTGCTGATGTGACGGGAACGACCTCGCCGCATCCGCCGCCGCTGCAATTCGAAAACGACCGTCAGCCGAAGCAGCGATGAAGGGCAGAAATCACGGGGACGCACTGCGAGATGACAACCTTGCCCTTGTCGGTACAGACGTCGTTGGCAGAGCCGAAGCCGTCGAGTAAGTAGCCGAGACAGCGTTCTTGCGAGTCGTCTGAACGAGCGCAGAAAGTGAGTGAGGGAAGCGGTGTTCACGAGCATGGAAGACGCACAATGTCCGCCCTGATACGCCTTGAAGTAGTTGAGCGTCTCGCACAGCTCCTGCCGTCCTTCGCACCAGATCGGGGGACGACCGCCCTTCGTCAAGGTCAGGTTCCTCTCCGGCTCGACCCACGAGGCGCGAGAGTCGAGAGCAGGATGTCGAACGCGAGCTTTGGTCGCCTGCGGGTGCTTGGGAGCCTTCTTTGGCACAGTGTTCGCGGGAGTCGTGGTCGAGCCGGAGACGCAGGCGCCATCAACGGGTGGAACGCTGGTGACGGGCTGACAGAGGAAGGTTGACGGGTCTGTCGGGACAATTGGAACGGCTTTGCGCGCCTTCTTCGTCTTCTTGACGGGCGCGGTCGAGGCAGAGACGGAGGCGGCTGGTAGAGCGGGAGCCGTCGCGGGTGCTGGAGGAAAAGGTGTAGGCGTAGTCGGCGAATTTTGGTGAACGCTGAGCGGATCCGGGAGTGGCAGCTCGAGCAGTCCGATTTCCGCAAGTGACGGAAGAGTAGGCGGCGTCGGCTTCTTCGCCAACTGCCTCGTAGTCTCGCCCGGCTGAGAAGGTCCGGCGGTAGCCGTTGTGGAAGACGTCGCCTTCGTCGCGGAATCCTTTCTCATCCTCGCCCTCATCTCTTGCTCCTCGAGGATCTCCGCATTGCGCACAATGGTGAACCTGTCGGGATCGTCGTCGAATCTTGCGGGTGGGCGTCGCTGCCTCGTGCTGCGCTTGAGGAGCCCATTCGACGGATCCGTACTCGGGGCGTCAAAAGTCTGGTTCGCCTGGTCGGCCTCGATGACCATGTCCATCAAGGCAGGCGCTGCTGAAGTCGGTGCCGGTTCGGGTGGAGAGACGATCATGCACGACTCGCGTGGACGTTTCGACGTCCTCGTCGACCGTCCAGGCCCTTCCGCCAGCGCATCGCCAGCTGAGATCGAAAAGAAATCGCGCTGCAGGTGGGCGACCTCGCGACCTGCGCCGCCTGAACCCTTCTTCGCCTTCTTGCGCTCCTCCTTCGGCTTGCGCTCCTTCCGCCCCGCCTTCTTGCGCTTCGTCCCCTCCGCGCTTGTTGTGTCGGCCGTCATAGGTTCGGAGAGCGACTCGACGGCGAAGAGAGGCGCGGTAGGCGGTTCGCCGGCGGGCAACCCTCCATCTTCGGCGGTTGAGTCGACAGCGGGACATTCGGCTAGGCGGAGACGCTTTGACGCCCTCGTCGTCGGCTTCTCGTCTGCGGCGATCGACTCGGACGGGACGGCCCAAATGTCGCGCGACAGTTCCGCAACCTCGCGCCTTGGCCTGCCCGATGCCGCGCCGTCCTTGCGCTCCTCCTGTATCGAATCCTCCTTCATGCCTGCTTGTGTCACCACGAGTGCGCGACTCTCGATTATCTCCAGTCCGTCGAAGTGTGGCTGAGCGGCGAACGTCGAGGCGATTGGCGAGAGTGGTGAGGTGTTGCTCGGAGCGATCGAGGACCGCAGACGCTTCGAGCTCCTCGTCGACGGCTTCTCGTCGTCGTCCGACAGTAGGGTCGGCGCGCAGGCGAAGAAGTCGCGCGAGAGTTCAGCCTGTTCGCGACTCTGCTTCGTGAGCTTCTTCTGCACCTCGCGCTCCTTCCGCCTCGCCTTCTTGCTCGACGGTCCCGCATTGATGGCCGATCCGAGTGTGTCGTCCTCGGAAGGCGCGACGGGTGGTTGAGCGGACGAAGCAGCAAAGATGACGGCGCGGCGAGTCAGTCCGGCGAGGTCGAGAGTCGCTTCTGGCACATTCGAGCGCAGCATGTCGGCTTCAGAGGGGCGAGGTCGCTTGACGCGGGGGCGGTTCATGTCAATGCGAGCGAGAGATCTGTCGAGAGGAGGGGCAGATGAAGTCGACGCAATTGCCAGGCCCGGTTCCGCCTGCCTTCCATCGCGGCTCTCGCGATTCCTTTTACTCGACCTCCTCGCAAGCGCCGGGTCATGCTTGCCCTCGTACTCGTCGTCGCCACGCGGAGTGTGCCATTTCTTCGACCTCGAGCGCTTCTTGTCCTCCCTTGCTGACTTCGCCGGCCCGCGCGCCTGCTTCTTCGCAATCCCTGAACCGACTTCGACGACTCCCGAGGGGGTGCAAGACGGTTCTGAGCCAGCGTCGACTTGGCCAATTTTCGCGTCGGGCGAGACGGGTACGCGAGTCGAACGACGCGTCGAGGGGTCTGCTTGCGCCTGCTGGTCGTGCCCAGAATACTCCTCCTCCTGCTCAACATCCATGACCGCCGATAGACGCGTTGTAAAGGCGACAATTTCGCTCTGAACGAGAGGAGGTGGGGTAGGTTCTTCGAGGGAAGACCAGCGGGCGGCAAGGGCAGAGAGCGACGAGAGAGCCGAGCAGTCCGACTCTGCATCGCTGTCGCCGCCTTGAGCAGCCATCCTAGCCAGCGAAAGACGAGGAGCCAGAAAAGAGTTGGTCGAGGAGGAAGAGTGACGGTGAGAGTTCTTTGGGCGACGACGAACAGCTCGGCTGGCTCGCTGGACTTCGTCTTTCAGCTCCTTGCACTCTAACACGACTCTGCCACACCCGCAACTGCCAAACGAACCGCCTTGCGCGACCACTTCTTCCCCCCGCATCGCTCGGTCGGGTCGACTTCGTCACCAGCGCTCGCTCGGCTTCGTGTGGCCCGCCTGACGAGCCCAGATGGCCTACGCTGCCAGATTACCGCCACAACCGCAGCGCTTTGCCCCTCAGCCTGCTGTCTACCCAGCGGCGCCTGCGCCAGCACCAGCGGTCGGCCCTCCCGGCACACTGCCGCCTGGGACGGTGGTGGATGTTGGGGAGTACAGGGTGACCGTGGATAAGTTCTTGAGCGAAGGTGCGTCCGAAACCAGCTGTTCTTGCGGTCGGCGGAGGACCCGAACTCGTTGAGGGATGACGATGTGGGCGATGTAGGGCCGTGGACTGCTTTTTGGCGGGACGAGGCGTGCGGACAGAGTACTTGTCACTTCTCAGATCGCTGATCGTGGTCTTCCCGCGCGCTCACAGGAGGATTCGCCCACGTCTACCTTGCTACGTCCTCCGTTCCTCTCCCGAAAGGCTCGCCTGCCGCAACGACCAAGCATGTCCTCAAGCGCATGGTTGTGCCGGACAAGCGTGGGGTAACGGAAGTTGGAAAGGAGGTCGAAGTCATGGTGAGTTTCGCCTCACTGCGGCCCCGTGAAGTTCGCCCATCAGACGGCGAGAGGCTGACCGGCGACGCCTTTTACGCAGCGTCAATTAAAGAACCATCCCAAGATCGTCAACATGATTGAGGCCTCCGTCGCGGACTTGCCAGGCGGTGTCGACGGAAGCAAGGGGTACGAAATCTACATCCTCATGGAATGGTGTCCAGGCGCGTCTGTTTCCCCTTCCCTCTTCACACGGCGTGGGGTCGCTGATGCTCACTCAATGCCGTTGTAGGCGGTGGAATCATCGACATGATGAACACGCGGCTGCAGAACCGACTGACGGAGGGCGAGATTCTCAAGATTTTCAGCGACGTCGTCGAGGTGCGTTGCCTTGCTCGTACGAAGGCTCGCTTCCCTCACTGACCCTTTTATCGTTACAGGCCGTCGCCCACATGCACTACCAGTCCCCGCCTCTCATCCATCGCGACCTCAAAGTCGAAAACATCCTCCTCACGCCTCCGCAAACCTACAAACTCTGCGACTTTGGCTCGACGTGCAAGCCTCTTCCGCGCGACAAGGTCCCGACGAGCGTCGAGGGGATACAGAAGATTGAGCTCGAGATCAACAAGACGACGACGCTGCAATACCGCGCCCCGGAGCTGGTCGACGTGTGGGGCAGGAAGGGTTTTGACGAGAAGATCGGTGCGCTTGATTCGCTAGCTCCTGAGAGACCTGAGGGTGCTGAGCTGACGAGATGATCGCGCAGACATCTGGGCTCTTGGCGTCTTGCTGTACAAGCTCTGCTTCTACACTACTCCGTTCGAAGAGCATGGCCCTCTCGCTATCCTCAACGCGCAGTACAAGGTTTGTCAAGCTCGCATGCGTCCAATTATCGTCCCTGACAGCGCTCCCTTCCGCAGTTCCCGCCGTACCCCGCCTATTCCTCCCAGATCCGCGCCTTGATCGCCTCGATGTTGCAAGAACGGGCGTCGCAGCGTCCGAACATCTACCAGGTCCACGAGATGGTCTGCCGGCTACGAGGCGTGTCTGTCAGGCTCGAGAACGTAAGTCGCAGTCTCGCTTCCGTCTCTTTGCCCGCTGACTGATAGCTTTCGCCTGTAGAAATACGCATCATCGGCCTCCACCAGCTCTCCTGCTTCGTCTCACCCTGTCGCATCCCGCTCCTCTGTACTGTCACCGTCAGGCTCCCTTGCCGGCCCGCCTTCGCTCCCTTCTTCCCCCGCACCACCCACGTCCTCCATCCTCACCGACGCTCCTGGCGCCGCTCCTTCAGCTTCGGTTCCAGGCCTCGGCGGTATGGCAAACCAAATCGCGCCGATGCGGCGAGGCCGCCCGACGAAGGGTACGGCACCTGTCGGAGGCGGCGCCGCCCTCACGCCCGAGCGGCAGGTCCGGACAGGGATGGCGACTGTCGGAGGAGTCGAAGGCGAGCGATTTGAGTCGTTTGCGGCGTCGAGGAAGAAGGAGTGGGAGGCCTTCGCGTCAAGCAGCGGTGGACCTCCGAGCGCGCCGAAGGAGGCGAACGGCGTCAAGTCGCCGCCTGGACCCGGTAAGGGCTTCGACGACGCCTTCGCTCCATCTTCGGCACTTCAGCCGTTCGCCACGGCCGATGCAACGCTCGAGACCACCGTCGAGCTGCCGAGCAACGCCTCGATGTTCGCCGAGCTCTCGCCGCCGGCCGACCTCGGCAGGACTGCCGTCATCTCGCCTAAGCCCATGGACATTGACACTCCGGCAGCTGATGATGACGAGCGAAGACGGTTTGAGGCGACGTTCCCCGACATCAACGCCGACTTCGCATCTCTGGTCTCGCCTCCTCCGCCAGCGTCGCAGCCCGCCAAGCCTTCCCCCAATAGCATGGAGGAAACCGCGCCTCCGACTTCGAAGATGCCCTCACAGCTCACCGGCGACGCGAGTGCTGCACCTGGACCTCCGCTCCCTCGCCGGCCGCCCGCAGCTTCTGCTTCACCATCGTCTCTCCCGCCTCCGCTGCCCTCGCCAGGAGCGAAGTCTCCGCCCGCACCGGCGCCGAAACCAGCGCTCGTCTCGCGCGGTAGTCAGACCAGCCCAAGCTTGATGGCGGACTGGAAGCCACCTACCGAACGTCCGGCTCAACCGAACGGCCAGTCGTCCCTGCGGCAATCCTCGATTCCCGACCTCGACCTCACTTCGCCACCAGCGTCCGCCACCGCGAATAAGCCGACTCTTGACTTGCTCGGCGACGATGATGATTCGAACATGGACGCTTTGGCACCTCGCTCGCTCAGCAAGTCGCCCCTGCCCAGCGCGACTTCGCCTATCCCTCCACCGGCTTCTTCTGCTGCAGGCAGTGTTGCCAGCAAGCGGATGTCGTTCCTCGGCGGTCAGCCAGGGTCGCCGACGTTCCCGTCGACGGGCTCCGTCGGCGAGCGCGAGAAATTCCGCCCGACGAAGCGCATGAGCCTAGCATCCGGCGGCGCATCGCCGCTCGCCGCTCCGGTACCTTCGCCGAAGTCAACTTCAGCCGAAGCTGTTCAGGCTGAGCCTTCCGCACCAGTCGATGAGGGCGTCAAGGCAGTCGAGGAGCGCTTTCCGGCGTTAACTCTTGACGAGCCGCAGGAGGTGACCAAGCCAGCGAAGGCGGAGGAAACGTGGGAGAGGGTGGTCGAGAAGGAGGAGGCGGACGATTCCAGCGATGAGGAGACGGCCGCACCGACGCCTCGTCAGGACAGCAAGCCCAAGGCGCCGGCTTTCGACGATGACGACTTTGCGCCGCGAACTGTGCCCACAGCGTCAGGACGTCCGAAGTTCGGCTCGGTAAAGCCAGCAACGTTGGCAGCCGCCTCAAGTTCCTCGACCTTCGCCGCTTCTCCTCCTTCTCTCTCTGTCTCCGACCCTACAGCCGATGCGCCGGCCGCACGGCAAGATTCTCAGGCGTCGTTCGCATCGAGCACGAGCGAGGGCGGAGGAGGCATCGACCTTGGTCCCGCCCTTGCGTCCATCCATAAGTTTGCGCCTAAGAGCAACGGTGCGCCCTCCCTGATGGACGAAAAGGACGATGAGTCGGCCAAGTCTCCCTCTCTCCCTCCCCTCCCGTCGTCGACTTCCACTTCTTCGCTCCCGCGCTTCGATGCGCCTTCGTCGCCTTCTCTGCCAACGTCGCCTTCCCTCTCGTCCATCTCGAAGCCGATCTCGCCGCCTATCGTCGCGCCAAAACCAGTGTCAAGCAATCGCAAGGCGGCTATCAACTCGCTCGTTTCGCGCTACGAAGGTCTCGGTGGCCCTTTGACCGGCGGACCTCCGCCAGTTGGGGTCAAGCCCGTCGGTCTACGCAAGGACTCGACCGGCTCGAGCACCGGCAGCGGGGCGTCGCACGTCACGCACTACCGCGACCAGGTCAAGCCTCAGCGTCTCCCTCAGTGGGGCGCGCCGGCATCGTCGGCGAGCGCCTCGATGAAGTCGCCTGTCTCGGTCGCCGAGGAGAAGGAGGACGACGAAGCGCCGGCGCCGCCACCCAAGCCTGCGACGCCTACTTTCGCCCCAACAATGAGCGGTACTCGCGTGCCGTTCAAGCCTGTTCTGCCGCCTGGCTCGCCAAGCAGTCAGCGTTCCGCTTTCTCGCCTGGCCACGCCTCCCGCCCGTCGTTCGGTGGTGGCGCACCTCGCTCGCTTCCATCGTCGGTGCAGAACTCGCCCAGCACAGCGCAGCGAGCGAGCGAAGAGCAGGAGGAGCGGTTTGCGGGCGTGTCGAACATGAAGAGTCGGTGGGAGAGTATGGCCAAGGCGAAGGATGCGGATGGGCCAAAGCCGGGTGTAGGCAGGAGGAAGGAGCACGCAGCGATCTGATCGTAGAACTCGGCGTGGTGTACACACTATATTACGAATGGATAGACACTGCTGCCTCTCGGCTACGAGCGATGTGGCAATCTGGAAGTGATGGGCATGTCATCGTAAAGGTTGTAGAGGTTGCGGATGTCAAGGTTGGCGGGAGGAGGTCCGGCGGCGCGGATATTGAGGTTGGCGGGAGGAGGTCCGGCGGCTGCGCATTGCGAGTCTTCGGTGGGCATGTCGCTGTCGACCGCTGCCGCCCTACACAGGTCGATGAGCGGGTCTCCAGGGGAGAACATCGCGTCGAACCTGTCTTTTGGTCGCGGGTCCGGCGGCGGCGAGTTGCGAGAGGGTGGCGGAGGGTTAAGAGGACCGCCAGCTTCCAGGCTCAAGGCCTCGAGCTCGTCCTCAGTGAGGCGGAGCACGCGAGCGAGGATGTCGACCTGCTTCTTGAGCCGCGCGATTTCCTCCTGGTTCTGCTGGAAAGGCCTCGAGCCGCTGGAGACACCGTACGGACGGTCAACTTGAGTCCGTCGCTCTCGTTAGCGAAAGGAACGCACATTTGCGCGTTACTGGGTCCCGCTGCAGAGTAGGTGCAGACTCGTCCGCGCATGCGCTGTTTGGAAGCGCAGAGGTCAGCTTTGGAAGGACTTGCCGGGATCAAGCTCGGGGACGCCACGGACACCTGGAAAGACGCGCGTCAGCGTTCGAACGTGAGAGAGAAGCAGGAGGACGCACATTCGCTGCAACGCTCTAGTCGATCACACTGGAGACGGGCATAATGTCAAGCCTGCTCGATCCGTTGAGATCTCGTCGCACGTACCCTGTTCCTCCCTTCGCGACAGCCGTCGCAGTTCTGAACGATGCGACCCGAGGTTGGCACGACACGCCCCTTGACGACCGTCTTGCGCGTGCCAGAAACGACGACGCGGCGAGCCTTGCGCTCTGTCGAGGCAGACGCTGGAGAGGCTCCTTGCTCGTCCGTGGATTGTCCGCCAGTCCTGCGAGTCGAGAGGGGCCGGGAGAACTTCTGAGCAGCGGTGCGAGCCATCCTGAGAGCGCAGTCGAAGCGACGGAGGGAGAGGGTGCGGCCGAGAGGGAGAGGACGAAGAGACGAGAGACTCGACAGCATGCCCCACGGAATGGCGCGGCCGCAGCGCAAAGGCGGACTATCCGCGGAGGAGCAAGGGAAAAACAGAGGGCAGGGGACGAACAGGCGGGCGCCAGACGATGCGGGAGAGCCAGGGACGCTCCTCCTGTCTTACAGAACCATGTTCAGCACGCCAGAGTGGCCCTCCAATGCGTTGCCGTGGAGAGATGTCCCAAAACTGATGAGGACGAGGAGGTGAGTGGAGGCGGTGTCGCGAAAGCTCCGAGCGAGCAGCGGGCAAGACGTAGACGTCTTGAGTAGCTGTGGCTAGCTGTCCAGCAGTCAGGCAAGCCAGTCAGCGCTGGACGTCGAACCGGTCCTCTCCCAAGTCGCGTCGTCGCCGCGAGACGTGGACTGGTCCTCGCCCACCTCGCCCTCCTCCCGCTTGACGCTTATAATGGTGCGTACAGCAGTCGAAAAGCTACACTCGATACGCCCTGCCAATCTGCGGCGACCCCATGCGCTGCCGCCGTTACTTCGCCTCGACCACTCGCTCACACCTCTCGACTCTCGCAGGCCGGCTCGCACATCGACCTGAGGAAGCGCAACCAGGCGTTCCAGTCCAAAGTGGGCAAGGTCAACAAGCTGAAGCAGCCGGACCCCCTCGAGCGCAAGGCCCTCCCGCGCTGGATCATCTGGCTCTTCTTGTTCCTCATCGTCGGTGGATGTGCGTTCCTTCCCACAGACTGTCCTTGCGACGAGAGGCTGACTATCCTCCTTGCCACCCGTCCCTCTTCGCTCCCCGCCGTTCCCACTTCGCCATTTCCCTCCAACAGTCGGCCTCGAACTCCTGCAACAGATCTACAACTTCTTCAGCCGCCTTCGATAGGAGGAGCTCAAGGGGCGAGGGTGGCGTCGAGGGCGCTTGAGGAGGATCAGTGCCGTACTTGCGGTTCGAAGATCAGTGACCTTGTTGTACAGCAACGCATTTCCCACGACCTTCCCTCCTTCTCGTTGTCTGGTCGGGCTTTTCGGTTCTGCAGACGACGGAGTAATCGCCGCCGGCCTTACAGCTCACGCTTTCCGCTCCCTCTCGACTGCTCGACGTTACGCCGTGTCTCCATTCATCCTTGCCTGCGCCATTGCTTTCACCGCCCACGCAGCCTACCACATCCCTGCTTGCTCTACTCGCGCAATGTGCCAGCCCGCGACTAACGTCGTCTTCCGCCCGTCCTCACGCTTGTCCCCCTCACACCACGCCTCAATCGCCTCCTTCCCCTCCTTCCACGCCTCCGCGTCCTTGCCCGCCGCCATGTTCTCCATCGCGAACGCTACTCGGATTTCTACAAGACGCGACAAGGCAGGAACTGTCTTGAGCGCCTCGACGAGCGGCAAAGCGGTGGGCGAGTCAAAATCTTCGATAGTCAAGGAGCGGAGGCCGGATGACTTTGGCGAGGCGTCATTGGCAGGAGAAGGGACCATGAGGCGCTGGGTGAAGAAGGACGGAGAGGGGCAGGAGAGGCCGGTCAGATGGATGAAGCGAAGACGAGGAAACGAGGTTGCGCGCGAAGGGAACCAGTCGAGCGGGCTCTCGCCTGTCGCAGGGGGGCAAGGGGTCAAGACTCTCGCTGGAAGACGACTCTCGAACTCGCACTCACCTGGCGCACGTCTACCGCCTCTCGGGATATCCTTGACAACCAAGTCCTCCAGCCTGTCCGCAAAACGCTCGATTAGACCCCTCGCGACCGGCAGGAACGCTTCGAGCGTCGGCTTTGTCGCGCCTTTGTTGCGTAGGGTGAGGGACTTGAGCGACTCGTGCGAGTTCGAGAGAAGGGAGAGGACGAAGGAGAGGGAGGTCGTGCCGAAAGCTGTTGTGGAGAGCTCGAACCGGCGGAGGCTGGGAAGGGTGTCGCATGGAACGTCGAGGCCGGCGGTAGGGAAGCAGTCTCTGCGCGACAAATCTGGTTGGTCACATTCTCCCTCGCGAGAAAAGGAAGGACCGACAGTGCAAGCCGCAAAGTCAAGTCTTCGAGGTAAGGCAGTCGCTGAAGAAGCGAGACAATGTGGGGTGCGTCCGCGTTGCGCAGGGTTAAGGAACGCAGAGAAGGCGGGACGAGCGAGGGTGAGTTGCGCAAGTCGACGAAGAAGCCGAGGTCAACGTCGAGGTTCCTCAAATTCCGGCAGAGGGCGAGGAGCTGCACGAGTCGCTGTCGACTCCTGATTGATATTAGTGCAGGTATCAGTCACGAGTCTTATGGTGGGAGAAGCCAGGACGTCCTCACCGCGAGACGCATTCCTTGTGCCACACCTCGAGGCGGGCTTGTCGCGCCGAAAGACCCGCGACGTCCTCCGGCTCGAACTCCAAACCTAAGGACTGGCCAGATGACGAGGGCGAGAACCCGAAGCCGGTACCAATCGTTGGCCCTGCGAAAGTAGCGCTTCGAAGACTAGCGTCGGCAGTCCTGACCGCCGCTGCTCGATCTGCGTCTGCCTCGAGGCACTTGGCAGCCTGTGCGTCTCGGTCGGAGCCTCCGCAACCGCTTCCCAGGACCACCTCGCGACCGGCGACTTCCCTGGCGATAGCGCGCCAAGTCTTGCACACGCCGGCGACATTGCGGAACGCGCAGGTCCGACAAAAGATGTGGAGAGTCGTGAACTGTCCGTTGACCAGGAGTGTAGGCGAAAGGAGCGCGGCGGTGAGCGAGTAGGTGAGTATCTTAAGGAGGAGTTCGGACGGAAGCGACGAGAGGGTTGCTGTTGGACGTTCAAGCTGAAGCATGATGGCGAGTCTCGTTGAGAGAATCGAGCGACGAAGGACGAACCAATGCTTCGCCGCGCAAAGAGAGCAAGCGAGGACCCTCCTGGTCGGAAGGCTATCCGGTCGTCAATCTGTACTCTTCCGGCCGGAGGGTTGACGAGAGCCTGTATCCCTCGTGAACAAAACTTCTGAGCCCCTAACCGTCGAAGGAAGCCAGCGCGAGCGTATCAGAGCGACTTGCGAAGGCCAAGCTCGTCGCGCGCTGGGCGACCGCCGTGCCGCTTTGACGGGCTCATGTGTCCGCCGCCCATTCAAAAAACATCTTACTTCACGGTCCGGGAGCCTGCATCGGCGTAGCAGCGGGCGAGACGGCGGGAAGAAAGCCGCAACCGCGGTCTTCGTCAGAACGCCCGTCCGCGACTCCCAGACGTCTCCACCCGACGCTTCGTATTGCTGGGTGGACGCACGAAGTCCAGCGCGGCCCCGTCATCGAGACCCGACAAGCGATAAATTCCGAGACCAGCGGGAGAAGGCGGAACGAGAGGAGGAGGCGAGCGGGCGTCTCTACGACCTCGTTGAGCAGTACAAGCGAGCAGAGTGAGCAGCAGTGCGTCGGATGAATCAACTCACGTCCTCATATCGCCCCCTGAGCGATATCGATGAGGAAGGACGGCGACGAGCGAACTGATCTGGCGCTCTCCCTCTTCCCCTTCACTCTTTCCACTCAGAAACAGCACGTGCGCCTCTACTGAACGCAATCAGACAATCCAGGACCATCGCTGACCTTGCGCTCGCTCGCCGCTCGACTTCATCGCCCAACGAACCCGCTCGTCACCAACTGGATCTCTCGCTCCGCTCACACCGCCTGTTGCGCCGCGGTGCCCATCTCACAGCATGCCTATCCAGAAGATTCACGCTCGCCAGGTGAGCTAGGCGCTACAAGCTGGGGGAGAGTGAGGAGATGGGTTGCCGGGACGGGATGGGGTCGCTCGGACACACGCTGATCTCGCGTTGTTCTTGCGCCGAACAGATCTGGGACTCGCGCGGTAACCCCACCGTCGAGGGTGAGTAGAGCTGGCATTCGTGCGCGGAGCCAGGACGACGTGTTGACCCTCTTTCCCACCTCACAGTCGATGTTACCACCGAGAAGGGTGCGTCCGACGTTCGAAAGTGCGATACAAGGATGCCATACTGACTCCAATCGTGTACAGGCCTCTTCCGCGCTGCCGTTCCCTCGGGCGCGTCGACCGGTGTTCATGAGGCTGTCGAGCTCCGCGACGGCGACAAGTCCAAGTATCTCGGCAAGGGTGCGTGCTGTTCAGCTTGCGCTGATCTGTAACGGTTGTTGACTCTTGACCCTGCGCAGGCGTCCACAAGGCCGTTGCCAACGTCAACGACGTGATCGCCCCTAAGCTCATCGAGGCCAACCTTGACATCACCAACCAGGAGGCCGTCGACAACTTCCTCATCCAGCTTGACGGCACCCCCAACAAGGGCAAGCTCGGCGCCAACGCTATCCTCGGTGTCTCGATGGCCGTTGCCAAGGCTGCCGCCGCCCAGAAGGTGTGTTTCGCTTCAAGGCTCGCTTCTTCGTGTCCAGCCGCTTACACTTGCTTGTCTCGCAGGGCGTCCCCCTCTACGTCCACTTCGCCGAGCTCGCTGGCGTCAAGGCTCCCTACATCCTCCCCGTCCCGGCCATGAACGTCATCAACGGCGGCTCGCACGCCGGCAACGCCCTTGCCTTCCAGGAGTTCATGCTCCTCCCCACCGGCGCCGCCGACTTTGACGAGGCGATGCAGATGGGCACCGAGACCTACCACACCCTCAAGAACGTCATCAAGAAGAAGTACGGCATCGACGCGACCAACGTCGGTGACGAGGGAGGCTTTGCGCCCAACGTCCAGGGCGCCGAGGAGTCGCTCGACCTCCTCACCGAGGCCATCGAGAAGGCGGGCTACACCGGCAAGGTCCAGATCGGTCTTGACGTTGCCTCGTCCGAGTTCTACAAGGACGGCAAGTACGACCTCGAGTGCGTCCCAGTCAGCCTTCTCCTGTCTCTCCTCACGGCCCTGACATTCCCGCTCGGCTGCACAGCTTCAAGAACCCCAACTCGGACTCGTCCAAGTGGCTCACTGGCCAGCAGCTCGCCGAGGTCTACAACAACCTCGTCGAGAAGTACGACATTGTCTCGGTGCGTACACACCGCTCGCTCGAGCGTTTCGCGGCAGGCACTGACAGTCCCGCCCGCAGATTGAGGACCCCTTCGACCAGGTTCGTTCCGTTGATCCTCCCCGAGTCCGCACAGGTGCTGACAGTCACGATTGTCGAATAGGACGACTGGGAGGCGTGGACTCACTTGACGCAGAACACCAAGATCCAGGTGCGCCAACCTCGTCACCGTCCTTTCCACAGCCCCGCTGACGACTGCTTTCCGAAAACAGATCGTCGGGTACATCCGATCTGCTTTGCTGTCTCTCCTGACCTCGCACGCTCATTCGTCTGTCCCGGCAGTGACGACCTGACTGTCACGAACCCCAAGCGTATCCAGACGTGAGTCGACTCCTGGCGCTCGTGATCGTTCTTTACTCACCACTCTCAATTCTCGCAGCGCCATCGAGAAGAAGGCTTGCAACGGCTTGCTCCTCAAGGTCAACCAGATCGGCTCGATCACCGAGTCTATCAAGGCGTGCGTTGACAGCTACCGCTTCCGCTCCTGCTCGAATGTACATTCGCTGACTTTGCTAACACGGCGCAGTACGCAGCTCGCTTCCTCCGACGGTTGGGGGTGAGTTCTCGCTCTCCAGGCCTCCTCGAGCGAGACGCTCCAACGCGAAATGCGGCCTTGTTGACGTATCCCTCCCTACCTCCTTCCTTCTCTCCCCTGCACGACTGCCTACGCCGACCTCGCGATGTTCAGCACGATGTGCTCCCACCGCTCGGGCGAGACTGAGGAGTGAGTTGCCGAGATCTGTCGCCCTTTGCCCTCGCTAACTTTTCTTCTCCCCCTCCTTCGCTTGCGCCTCATCGTCGCTTCCGCCACTTCTCACCCGCAGCACCACTATCGCCGACCTCGTCGTCGGTCTCGGCACCGGCCAGATCAAGACTGGCGCGCCCTGCCGTTCGGAGCGTGTTGCCAAGGTGCGCTTCCCGGCCATTACTCCCGCTCAACTTAAGCTGACTCAATGTTCCCTATGCCTCACGACAACAGTACAACCAGGTGCGCCGACGCCTGCGTGAGTCCTACGCAATCGGCCGACTCGCTGACCCTGAGTTGATCGCAGCTCATCCGCATCGCCGACGAGATCAAGCAGGCTGGTGGCCAGGTCCGCTACGCCGGCGCCGACGGCCTCTCGCGCGGCCCCAACGCTGCTCCCCTCTCGCGCAAGTAAGCGCATCGACCGGTCCGAGATTTCGCTTGAAAAGGCGAGGAATGGAATCGAGCAGTTTTCGTCTGTGATTCGCGGCGGGTCGTCTCGCGCCTGCTGGAGGTACGTGTGTGTCGTGCTGCGAGCGATGCAGACCTGCCCAGTCGGATGCCGCATCGCTAGCTGGACGTTTGGAGCTCTTCGCAAGAAGGCGGCCATTTGTCTTCGTCCCGCTTCTCCCGCCGCTTCTTCGCCCGTTGCTTTCGCGCGCTTGTGCTCAGCTGTTTCTGCAGATCCTCAGCCCCGTCGAGCCTTCGCATCGGACCTCCTGCTCGCCCGCCTCGACCCTTCATTTCGCATTCCGCTAAGACATCCTCCGTTGTCCCCCTTGAAAGCCTCGTTCGCGGAGTTGCACCGTGCGGATCTCCTTGGAGCGTCAGTCTCGCGGCACAGCAAGTCCGAAGCAAGAGACTGCGGGCCCCGGCCTGAAGTTGCACATCGCCTCATCGAAGGGAAGCGGTCTTCCTCACGCTCTCACTCGTGCTTGGTGCTGTTCAACTGCTGGAGGAGGTTAGAGTACCGCCGAAGATTGCAGCAGGCGACCTACGGCGCCATGGCGAGCGATCTGGCCTCCCCTCGTCCCTTCATCACCCAGACGCCGGTTGTGCTGTCACCGCTTACACAGGGCAGCAGCGGGCGAGCGCCTTCGCCAGCACGTTCAACAGGGTCGACAGCATCCCTCAGCCGCCCGCCACGCTCTCCTCTGCGGCCGATACCCTCACCCGTATTAGCTTCCTCGCCCCGAAGTGTCCTCTCGTCACCGTCGACCGCACACGCCGAAGTGCCTGCTCGACCTGCGCCACCCGTCCGCACAGGCTCGGGCAACTCCATAGCATCCCGACTATCCCAAACGCACATCTCGCCAGCCATGCTCCCTTCGCATCCTTCCCTTCTTCCCAAGATGTACGACTCGACGGCCTCGACGACCGAGGACGACGAGGCGGACAGTGAGCGCGACTATGATGAGGAGACGATGGCGTCGGAGGCGGGGATCGCGCTCATGCTGGAACGGCGGAAGAGGGAGGAAGCGCGCGCTGCTGGTCGACGGAGAAGTAGAGGCACGGCGGTCCGCGGGAAGGGCGCAAAGGGCAGTCCTGAAGGACGAGCAGTGTACGGTGGGGGCGCCGTTGGCTTGGGTTTCGCGTTGGCTGGCTTGGAAGAACCGATGCCAGGTGTGTGCACTCCGGCTCTCCCTGTTTCCGCTCCATGCGGCGCTCACACAATTCCTGCGCAGCCCATGGGTCTGCAAGGCGCCGCTCTTCGACAGCTCCTCTCCCACCTTCCCTCTCAAATTCCCCTCGCTTGCCGACCAGACAATTTGCTGTTACGCACGATGCAGCCATCGTCTTCTCGGAAGAGACGGAGCCAGCACATCGCAGATCGCCGCGACAACGCCCTCGCGTCCACTTTGACCAGCCCTACCGGCCGCCGGGCCGCGACCGGTCTGGCAGCAACAGCAGTCACGTCGCTCTGCAGCCCGAGCATATCGTCTTCCCCGACGCTCTCCCTCAAGCTCCGCCAGCCTCTCATACCCGTCCTCCGTCCATCTCGTCGCGCCGCTCGTCTGCCGCCTCTGTTCCGACACTGGCGCAGAAGAAAGGTGCGAGTCCAGAGATCCCGTACAAGGCGCCTGAAGCGCCTCGTTCGCCTCGAGCGCGCAGCCCTCGCCGGTCGACCGGGCCGAGCACGCTCATGGGCGACGTGATTGCCCAGCGACCCGCCTCGCGGCTGTACTTTCCAGCTGCTCCGCCCAAAGCCGTCTCCGTCCACTCGCAAGAGACGAGGTCGGCAACCCCTTCCGACGCATCTCCCGTCTCGATCGTCTTTCCCTCTCGCTCCCAGCTAAAACCTCCGCATGCGACCCTTTCGCCTCGACTGCCATCGTCGAAACTGTTCTTTCCTTCGCCTACGCCTTCGCATGCGTCGAGCCCGGTCTTTCCGTCGCGCGCCTCCCATCCTCCAGAGCGGGGTTCTCAGCCTTTCCCAGCGCGAAAGGCGGAGTCATCCGACGCATCCTCTCCATTCTTATCCTTATCGCCAGCATCGTCGCACTCTCGCGCCTTCTCTCCTCTTCCGACAAGCTCGCCTTTCCCTCCGCCTCCCGCCGACTCGCCTCATGCTCGCTACATCACGCACAGCCCTTCTTCTCCCGCCATCTCAGTCCCCGTTGTCTCGGCCTTTCCAACGCCCGTCACCAACCTCACTCTTGCTGAGCCCGCGTTCGCATCTCTCGAGGACCGCCTCGGCTCGAACGACGTCAAGCACGCTCGGCCGGCGAGCAAGCGCATGTCGTCCGCGACGTGGGACCTCCCGCCAGCGCTCTCGCACTCTCGCAACCCTGCAGACGAGGACGAGCTGGACCGCATGATGCGCGCGCTGGCTCGAGGCAGCGAGACGGACGACGCGAAGAAGCGGGAGGCGAGGAGGAAGACTATCCACGCTCAGCTGCTCAAGCAGTCGGCATCCTCTCCGAGCGCGTCTTCACCCTCGCTGTCCGTGCCCGACTCGCCTAGGACGCCGCGCTCACCACAGGAAGAGGCGTTCGATCGGGCTCTGTTCGACGGGAACACCCTGCGCAAGTCACTTGGCGCGACCTTGCTGTCAGAAGACGCGTCAAGTCGCAGGTCGTCCGCCACGCCGACACTCCGTCCAGGCCAGGTTGATACGCTCATCGGCGACGATGGCCTTCGGCCCGTCGGCTTTTCCGAGTCTCACGATCCGCCGGTCATCGCGAACGGCCTCGCTGGGTCCGTGAGCGAAACGAGCAGCGAGGTGTCGAGCTTGCCGTCCTTCCCTGACGTCCCGACAACCTCGTACTCGCCAGACTATCCCTTCGCCGGCCGAAGCGCGGTCATCAACGCTCCGCCTATCGCCCTCCAACCAGCAGACGACGCAGTCGAAGAGCTCGCCTTCGCCCTGCAGCGAAGAGCCCCTCACGTATCCGCTTTCACCGACAACCGCCTCAGCCTCGCCTCCGAGTCAGGGCAGTCGCAGTACCACGACGCGGAGGACGACTCGGTTCATGTCAGCTTCCACGAAGTGCCAGTCGCGCCGGTCGCGCTCGCCTCGGTCGATGGGTCGGACGATGCGGATGGTCGCGAGAAGACTCGCGAGTGGGTCATGGAGACGCTGGCAACTGGGATCGTGCAAGGTGCTGCGGGCCGGACGCTAGGCGACATTGCCGAGGCAGACGAGGAGGAAGTGCGTACATTCCCTCATCTCCAGCTTGCGCAGAACTGACGTCCTCCCTCGCAGATTCGCCGCCGCTCGCGCGAACCCTCGAGCCAATCAGCCTACCGCACTCCGCCAACATCATCGACATCAGTCTTCCCCTCGCCTCTACGCTCGATGGGCAGCAACGGCAGGTCGCGCGAAGTTTCAGCCGGCTCGTCGATGAGCGTCCCCGTCTCGCCTCGAGCGAGGCGCGACATCTCGCCAGTCCCCTCCGTCCGCTCCGCCGCCTCATCCGCCGCCGTCTCGTACACCGCTCCGACACGAAGCAGCAACGGGCAAAGCAAGTCCAAGTTTGCGCTCGGCAAGAAGCTCGGGTCGTTCTTCTCGGCCAACTCGTCGTCCTCGTCGCTGCCGCTTCGTACGTCCGGCGGCATCAGCTCGCAGGATGTCGTACTCGGCGAGTCGTTGTACGAGCGCGACCTTACGGCCCAACGCGTCCCGAACGACTCGGCGGTCGAGGTGCTGGTCACCTCGCCCGAAGGCACGAATGCCCATCCGTCAGATCCCGCGCTGGAGGGCGACGCCGGGACCCTTAAGGACCTGCTCAACCGATTCAAGGAGGAGGAGAAGGAGCGGTTGAGGACGATTGCAGCGGCGAGAAGTCGAGTGGTGTCCGCCGAGTCGTCTGTAGACGCGGGCGTTCCCATCGCGGCGTAGTCGGCGTGCAAGACACTGATCTGTGGCTGTGTTGAGGCATCGCATCGTATTGTCTGCTCGACACTTCGTAGCTCCTCCTCGCGTCTCGCTCCTTGAGAGGAGGACAGCCAGACCTCGCTCAAGTCCTGTCCCGCTGCTTCGGGGCTTTTTCTGACTGCTTCATGAGTGCACAATGGCAGCCCACAGGTCCCAAGAGGCGTGAAAGCGATGCCGAACTTGTGATTTTCTCCGTCGACGAACCTTCATCTCTTTCGCTCCACCGCTCACCGCTCGCACCGCTTTGCGAGTTTGCTGCACCTGCTGCAGCATTGAGCGAGCCTGACACGCTGCTGCGATGGCTACGCAAGTCCCCAGCGCAGGCGTGAACGTCCCGACAGCCCAACAACTCCGTTTCCGTTCGAAGCCTCAACCCGCACCTGGGACGAAGCTGCAGCCTGGTCCGAATGCGCGTGCGTTGCGACCAGAGGAGCCAGGCTTGCTCAAGGACCCGAACCTGCGCTTCGCCTTCGCACGGTTCAACCCGACCTTGACGACGGCGTTCCGGTTCCTCCTCCTCGTGCGATGGGCCTCGGCGATGTACACGGCAATTGGAGACTGCGATGAAGGTGCGTGAATGCCACTTACTATGGCGGGTACGCCGGCTGACCTCGTGGATCAGTCTTCAACTATTGGGAACCGCTGCACTACCTCGTCAACGGCAAGGGCTTCCAGACGTGGGAGTACTCGCCAGCATACGCCATCCGGTCATGGTTCTACCTCTTGATTCACTCGGGTCCGGCTGTTGCGCTGCGAGCCTTTGGCTTCCCCGACAAGGTGCATTGCTCCTCTCCGTCTCCTCCCAGGCAATGCTCATCCTGTTCTCTCCCTCAGCGCGTCGCCTTCTTCGCCACTCGCCTCATGCTCGCGACGTTCTCCTCCTTCGTCGAGGCTGTCTTCTATCGCGCCTGCGCCGTCCACCTCAGCTCGCATGTCGGCCGATACGTCCTCTGGATTCAGATGTTCTCCGCCGCGTTCTACTCGGCTGCGACTACCTTCCTCCCATCCACCTTCGCTCTCTACTTTGTCATGCTCGGCACGGCAGCGAGCCTCTCGCCGGTTCAGGCGGGATGGAAGCGCATCTCGTTCGCTGTCGCGGCGTACGGAATGGCAGGAATCGTCGGATGGCCATTCGCTGTACTGCTCGGCGTGCCGCTCATTCTCGAGCAGCTGTTCGTGCAAGGAACGGTCGAGAAGGTCCCGAGCGGGCAAACGGCACTCTGGGCGTCGAAGCGCGCGAGGAACCTGGGCATTGCGCTCACACTCGGCGCAACGATCGCTGTGAGTCGTCTCTTCGCTGCCAGTGGTCGTGCCGACGCTGACAGCCTTCCACGCAGGTCCCGGTCGTCCTCGTTGACTCGGCGGCGTACCAGAAGCTCACGATCGTCCCGCTCAACATCATCAAGTACAACCTCTTCCCTACTGCCGGCGCCGGTCCCGAGTTGTACGGCACCGAGCCGTGGTACTACTACATCCTCAACGGGCTCCTCAACTTCAATATTCTCTTTCCCCTCGCTGTTCTGTCTCTGCCCTTCATCCTCGTCACCCTCTCAATCGACGCGAAGCGCTTTGGCGACTTGCGCGACCGCACTTCCGGCCAGACGCACCCGGCTGCAAGTTTAGCCATCCGCCTCGTCCCTCTCCATCTCTACTTGGCAGTCCTCATGTTGCAGAAGCACAAGGAGGAGCGCTTCCTCTTCCCGGCCTACGGGCACGTCGTCCTCAACGCGGCCGTCGCGATCTACCTCGCACGAGGCTGGGTCGAGGCGGCGTTCCTCAAGGTCACCGCCTCACCGTACAGGGTGTGTCTGAGGGGTCCACTAACTCTCCTCAGGCGATGCTGACCTATCGATGTCACACAGGCGACCCGCACCGGCCTCTTCTCGCACTTCACCCGCGCCGTCATCGTCTTCTCCTGCCTCCTCTCGTTCGCCCGCATCTCGGCTCTCCATCACTACTACCACGCACCTTTCAACGTCTTCCACCACCTCCAGACCTACGACCTCTCGCGTCTCGCCCTCGTCAGCCACCCCGAGCTCGCACCCTTTATCGACCCGACAATCCCGCACATCGAGTTTGCCAAGGCGCTCGACGCCTCAAAGGCTCTGCCTCTTGACGTCCTCGCACCGCTCAACCTCCGACTCTGCATCGGCAAGGAATGGCATCGCTTCCCGAGTAGCTGGCTCGTGCCAGACGAGGTTGAGACGCGCTTCATCAAGAGCGAGTTCGACGGCATCTTGCCGAAGGTGTGGGAGGAGCCAGGCGAGGGCAAGGGGTTGTTCGGTCGCGCGACGGCGGTCGAGCCGCAGGGCATGAACATGTTCAACCGCGAAGAAAAGGATCGCTACGTGAGTTGGCGTCGCCTTCGCATCTTACCGAGCAGAGCTGACTTGCGCTACTCTCGCAGGTCCCGGTCGCGTCCTGCGACTATCTCGTCGATCTCGACTTCCCCGCTCGCCCCGCCTCGTCCTTCTCGTCTATTGAGCCTCGCTACGCCGCCGATGAGGCGCATTGGGACAAGGTTTACTGCCACCCCTTCCTCGACGCCACCAACTCGCCTCGCCTCAACAGGGCGATCAAGCTGCCGCTGCCTGGCTGGGACGCGAACAACAGCTGGGGCGAGTACTGCCTGTTGCGGCGTAAGGGGCTCTTCGAGGACAGCAAGAGCAAGGCGTGAGGCAGGAGGTTCTGGTCCGTAAAAATGGTATCTCGTTTGCTGCATTTCGCATTTTCCGCCCGCGCTACATCCATGCCCGTTGCAGCTCGTCCTGCGAGAGACCGTAGACGCGTTCTTGACGGTGCCCGAAGCGACAGTAGGCAGAGGGGACGCCGAGCGAATGCGTGCCTTCGAGTTGCTGCGAGGTGTCCGCCGTGAGTCTAGCTGGTACCCGTGGCGAATGAGCGGGCTCACCTGCTTGAGCTGATTGAACCGGGTCTGCAGCTCGCGCAGCTTCTCAAGGTTGGCAGAGTGTCCTTCGACGTAAGAGGATGGCTTGAACTGGCAACGTCTCGCTGATAGTCAGTGTTTCGGGCAGCTGGACGAGTTGCAGCTGATCCTTACGAGCAGTCCCACGATTCCGCTCATTTCAGCGACCTGACTTTGCGAGTTAGCGCAGCCTGACGAAGGAAAGGGAGGAAGCGCACCAAGCGAGAGCTGGATACTCCCGCTGCCGATGAGTAGATTGTTGCCACAGTCGAGAAGAGGCGGTCCCGCGCGGCTGGCATGAGAATCCGCATGTGCCATTCGCTTGGTACCGCCTGCGCCACAAAGTTGGCGAAGGCCGTAAGACGAGTGTCCGTCCAGCCGTAGCTCCTGATTTTGTCGAGCGAGTCCTGGAGGCGCTGGTAGTCGGTCTGCGGTAGTGCGCTCATTGTTCGTTGAAGCGGTTGCTCGTCGACGAACGCGAAAGGAGAAGAAGGAAGAGAGCTAGAGCGAGAGTGGGCGAGGTGAACACGCGGGGTGCAAGCGGAAGTTCCGCGGAATGAGGCGAGCTGCACGGCACGCAGTAGCGCGATGCACCGGCGAGGAGAGAAACGACAGCAAGGTCTGTGAGGCAGGAGCGGCGGAAGAGAAGGGGGAGAGGCGCCGGCCAGGTCGTGACGCTGCGTCTCTGGCCGCCAGCTGTGATTGCCAGCGAGGCGCCTGGACAGGGGCAGGCGGACCGCTGGACTGAGCGAGAGCGAAACGGACCGGCGGAGGATGGGGCGACACCTCGCAAGTCGTCGCTTGTCGCGCCTCGACACCGTCATTACAGCCAAGCCCGGCGCAAGTCTGCTTCTGAAAGACCGTAGATCCGTTGCTGGCGGTACCCGAGGCGGCACAAGGTGGACGAGGAGCCGAGAGAGTGCTCGCGATGGTCCCCTCCCTGCAATTGCTGTCACCTCCGAAACGTTAGCCAGCGTATGCGCGGTACAAGAAAGGAAAGCAAGCTGAACTGATTTGACCATGCTCATATGACGCATCAAGTCGGAACATCTGAAAGCGGGCAGAGGCTGCTGGTCGGTTTGCGAGTATTGTGAAGTCTGCGGTTGACAAGCATAGCTGAGCATGCACAGGCGTAGTGGAATCGCAACATGGACAAACAACAAGGTTGTAGATGTTGCTCATGGCGGTTACCTGCGCTGCGAGTGAGAACAGATGGAGGGTGAAGGCTTTAAAGCGAGGGAGCGCACCAGTTCCTGCGTCGGCGGATCGCCTTCGCCTGCGAGGTTGACAACCCCCACAACATAACCATACACCGATGCTCGTACGGCAGGCGTGAGGTAGCCCAGACTTGTGGCGTTTGGGATGGCACGGGACACGAAACCGGCGAAGAGCTGCGTCCTGTCCGTGGCTATGGGAGAGTGGCTGAGTTCGTGCAGCTGCGTTTGCAGCAAGCTGTAATAAGAAGACATGTGTAGACGGCGGAGAGTGAAGACGAGTCGGGAGTAAGAGCAGGAGACAGAAGGTCGCCCGACCCAGCGCCAAACTTTCCGCTCACTGGTCCGCGGATACTCCGAGACCGCATGTTCCAGCAAATGTGCATGCCTCCTGAGCAGAGCCGCGCCCAGAACGAGCGAGTGTCGAAGCCGTGGGGCGAAAGTCGGACGAGGTTGCGAGAGGGAGAGAGACGAGGAGGAAATGAGCGCGCGTGCGACAAAGCTCAGCATGACCAGCGGCAGCTGTGCAGCATCTGAGCGTGTTGGCGGGTCCAGCTGAAGCGTTTGCGAGAGTGGCTCGAGGACGTCGACGTCGAACCTCGCCGCCTCGAGGTCGAGGTGAGCCAACGCACCGCTTTTCGACGTCTCTGGCACCAGCTGCCACCTGCACACGCTCAGACAGCTCGCACAGTCTCGCTCGACGTCCCTGTCCAAGTCCCGCGCCCCGCCGTTCGCCCGCTCGCCCGCTTCGTCAAACACCCACCGTCACTCCACTCGACCCCGTCCACCCGCCCTCGCCGTCCAGCTAGCAGGAGATCACGATGGCCGACATCTCAGAGACCGATGCATGTGCGTCGTCCACCCCTTGACCACGCTGCACGAGCGGGTCGATGGCATCAGCTTGGGACGGACAGGAGGGGCGCGACGGCGAAAGGCGTCATGGCAGGTCGTGTGGGCTAGAGAGGACGGCTCAGGTGGCTTTCAGGCGCTCAGACAGGGCTTCGGGACTACTTGGGGACATTGCAGGACGCCGCAGGCTCGTTGTGGTGGTTGCGCTTGCGGGGAGGGGGACCTCGCAACCGGTGAAGCAGCGAGGCGACGGTGGCGGTTGGGCATGCTGGCAGGCGCTCAGGGTAGCATACCATGCTGCAGCGGCAGCAAGCCGCTTTCAATAGGCGACCTTGCGAAACGAGACCGGCGCTGACCTCGTCTCGCACCCTCCCCACTTGCGCACCTTGGTCAACTCGCAGGGATCTCGCATCTGACCGACTGCAAGCAGCTGACGGAGATGGACGTCAAGCGGTTGTGCGATAAGGTGCGCTCGCTCGCCAGTGTTGGAACTTGTCTCGCGTGCTAACTCTGCTCGTGCATCCACCAGGCGCGGGAAATCCTGATCGAGGAGTCGAATGTTCAGCCTGTGCGATGCCCAGTGACTGTGTGCGGAGACATCCACGGTCAATTCGTGAGTTCGGCCGGTGCTCGCTCGAGGCGAAGGTCCAGGCTGATCATCGCTCCTCCAGCACGACCTGTCTGAGCTGTTCCGGATCGGCGGCAACTCTCCCGACACTAACTACCTCTTCATGGGCGACTATGTCGACCGAGGGTACTACTCGGTCGAGACCGTCACCCTCCTCGTCGCGCTCAAGGTGCGGTACCGGGACCGGGTTACCATCCTTCGCGGCAACCACGAATCGCGACAGATCACCCAGGTCTACGGCTTCTACGACGAGTGCCTGCGCAAGTACGGCAACGCCAACGTCTGGAAGTACTTCACCGACCTCTTCGACTACCTCCCCCTCACCGCCCTTATCGACGACCAGGTGCGTTGGCGCCAGCTACACCGTTTTTTCTCTTTCATCGCGCTCACACACCATGTCTCGCAGATCTTCTGCCTGCACGGCGGTCTCTCCCCTTCCATCGACACCCTCGACCACATCCGCTCGATCGACCGCATCCAAGAAGTCCCGCACGAGGGTCCGATGTGCGACCTGCTCTGGTCCGACCCGGACGACCGCTGCGGATGGGGGATCTCGCCGCGTGGTGCGGGATACACGTTCGGACAGGACATCTCGGAGGCGTTCAACCACAACAACGGCTTGACGCTCGTCGCGCGCGCGCATCAGCTCGTCATGGAGGGCTAGTGCGTCTACTCTCGCTCTCGCCGCTGTCGTTCGAGCGTGCTGACAGGCTTGTTCGCCTCGCAGCAACTGGTCACACGACAGGAACGTCGTGACCATCTTCTCGGCGCCCAACTACTGCTACCGCTGCGGCAACCAGGCAGCGATCATGGAGATTGACGAAAACATGAAGTACACCTTGTGCGTCGAGCTCCGTCTTGTCTCGCGCCCCGCATGACCTGACTCGCTGCTTCGTCTCGCAGCTTGCAATTCGACCCGGCACCTCGGGCAGGAGAGCCGCTCGTCTCGCGGAGGGTTCCCGACGTGCGTTCGCGTCTCTCGGCTTATACGGCGCTGGACAAACTGACGCTTCTTTCCGTCCCACAGTACTTCCTCTAAGCTCAGCTAGATCTGGTTCTGCCGTTCCGCCTCGCCTTGCATCCTCCCGCCTCATTCCCTATTTCGCCTGTGATTCAGTAAAAGTCGTTTGCACTCGTTCCCTCTCCACCCTCCGCCCTTGTCCATCACTGTACACAAGCCATTCCTTTTCCCCCCTCCTCACCTCTTTCCTCCCTCCTGCCGACTCTCCTCGCTCGACTCGCCAGCGTACGCCTGCTGCCCGCGTAGTCTGCGCATTCTCGTCCCCCGCCGAAGACCACCAAGACGTTGAAGTCCCTGACAATCCTAAAAACTGAGGAGTTGAGCCGATGCGACCGGAAGGCCCCGCTGTCCTGTACCTCGTATCGCCTGGATCTGTTGTGCTGGCTGACTGCATTTTTCCGCGACGGCGGACCAAAGCGACGAGTCGCTCCTCCCTCGTTTCTTCTCCTGCTGCACTTCACTCGCTGTCGTCGCTCGCGCTCTGCTGCTTTCCCGCTGTCGGACTCGCTCATAACGCCATGTCAGAACCCTACGACGACATCCGTACGTCCGCTCCGCTGCTCAATCGCGCTCCCCCCTCATTCACCTGCTTCCCGCCGACAGAAGACATGCTCGGCTCTGGCGAGCAGGACTTCCTCGAGGACCAGTACGGCTGCTACGAAAACTTCATGGCGTCGTACGGCCTCAAGCCGTGGGAAGACGACGACATGGACGTCGGATTCGAACTTATCCACCAATTCGCGGAAGAAAGGCAGGACGCGAATCAGCCGCCCCCGCTCGAGGAGATCCCTAGGGACATCAAGCAGGAAGGAAACGTCTCGGAGGTCAAGGCCGAGTCGCAGGCGTCGCAAATGGATGTCGAGGAGGACGTGAAGCCGTCCGTCAAGAACGAGGAGGAGGAAACGTCGCTCTGAGCTAGATGCAACGCGGTCCTGCGCTTCCCTGACAGCCTCGTCGGTCTTTCTGCTACTGAACAAAAACGTCGACCTGCCTGAACGGCCCTGCCAGGCCTCTCGCCCAACTCGCTCATCCTCATCACCCTTTGTCCTCCGTCCTCTCACCCCGTCGTCGAACCTCAACAAGGTGCGTACTAGAATTTTGAGAGTGCTCTTGAGCGACTGAAGCAGCGACTGACGCTCGCCGCCTCGCCGCAGCAGTCCAACATGCCCGCGACGAACGCCCTTCGCACGTCCTCTTCGCTCAGACTGCGATGCTGCTCTCGCTGTCGCTCGCGGCTTGACCGACGGGCGCAGTCAACATTGGCGAGTTCAAGCTGACTTCGATGGCATCCTCGCAGAACCGCCTCTCACCAACAAGGAGCGCAAGATCCTGAAGAGTGGATTCGGCGACTGGACCAACTTCTGCGCCTCGTACGGGCTCAAGCCGTGGGACCGAGACGACGCTGCCGAGGCGAAGGCTATTCTCGAGGCGATGGCGCGGCAAGGCGAAGAGTAGCACAGTCTGCAAGGAAGCATTCTACTCAGGTCCATTTCGGCTGGGCTTCCTCCTCGTCTCCGTGCACCCGCTGCTCTTCGCCCTGGACGATCTGGCGGTACGGCGTTGCGCTATGACGAGCGTATTGAGGCGCATGCCGATTTAGCGGAGGAAGCAGCGGAGTGCGTCGATCAGGATTGCCGGATCGCTCGCCCTCGCGATTGCCATCCTCGTCGTCGCTGTTGTAGTATGCCTCGTGACCCTCGTGCCCATCGTGTACCTTGTGCTCCTCGTTAAATCGTCGAGCAGCGTCGGGGTCGATAGGCCAGTCGCTCCAGCTCAGATCCCGGCTCTTTGGACGGCTGTGACTCTCAGGGCCCTGGCCTTCCTTACGGCGTGGCTTGAGCACATTGGCCAGTGCACCGAACTGCCGCCGCCCAGGAAAGTGAGCTGCGTGGTATGCAGGATCAGGGCGCGCATGGGTGGAAAAGGCGAGAGCGAGCAGACCTTTCCGCCTCTCCTTTGACCGCGGGCTGGTTGGTTCTTCCTGACTGTGCGACGTAGCTGGAGATGTAGACCGTCAGCGGACAGCATCGACGGATGGAGTGAGACGCTCGACGCACCAGAACGCGGTAGCCCCCCAGCCAAACGGCGGTGACGAGGATCGTTGAAGACGTGCTTCGGGTTGGTGACCTCTCCCTCATCCTTGCGCGGATGATCCGACATGGCTATATCAGACGAGACAGTCAGCGAGGCGAAGAGGCGGATCGAGCGAAGAGAAGGGACGTACCCCGTTGTGTGTTGGGGACGGCGGCACGAGCGAGCTAGACAGCGCGATGAAAGCGAAGCAAGAGACGGGAAAACGAAAGCGAGGGAGACGACGTCGACCATGAACACGATGCGGAACTCGGGAGCGGCATAGCCACGGAGCTCGAGCCTGTTGTTGGTCGCTCCGTCAGACTCCGCGGCGTACTGCGGAGCACGCGAAAAAGGAGAGATGCGTTGATCGCGGTGTGACAAGCGAGATGCGAGAGCGAAAGGGAGGAGCAAGGTGAATTCCAGGAGCAACAGACGCTTTGGACCGAGGACGACGTGGATTGCATCTTGCCGGGTATTCGAAAGCTGGACGAACGAGAGTGAGGGTATGCATGCGTGAGGACGATTACGGGCGGGTATATGGTCGGACGGGAATAAGGAGAGAGTCTGAAGGAGCGCGAGGAAAGCTGCCGCGACGGCGTCAGCATCTGAGGCGCGATTGGGAAACCATGACGTACGAGTGACAGGCTTTCGTCATACAGCGGGACGGAACAAGCGACTGACGCGCGGTGAGCGAGCGAGGGCTGCGCAATCGTTGCGAGGAAGTGGTCAGCGCACGAGCTCAAGTAGGGGAGTCGAGGCTGCTGGGAGTACGCACGAAGGCAAGCGTCCCTCTACCGCAGACCCTTGCGCGTCGGCGTCTCCGAGCCGATCGACGCGCTGGCGATGGTTCGCCTCCTCCTCAACCGTCTGTCGTTCTCGCTCGACGGAAGCTCGTCCGCTTCGCGCTCCCTGCTTGTGCGACTATGAGTCATCGGCGTCGCAGGCGGAAGAGCGAGAGCGGGCGGCGGAGAAGGAGGGCCGTCTTCCCTGACCGGTGGAAGGGTTGCCAGACCGCCAAAGGTGCAGCGGCGTGAGCCGACGATGGCGCCAGACGAGCCAGCCGTAGACGAGCCACTTGCATTGCTGCCACCGGTCAGACTCCTCGTCAGCCTGCGAAGGCCAGAGGCTGTGGCGCCGGCAGGACGAGGCAGACTGGAAGAGCCCCCGTCGTCGCGCACAACTGTGCTGTCGCGGAGGACGGTCGGCTCTCGACGAGTCGATGCGCTCGGCAAGACGTCCACATCGCTAGGAGAAGACGAGCCGGCGAATCCTGGTGCGGCTGAGCGAGTGCGCCTCAGCATGGCGCTCGGACGAGGTATGCGTGACGGCGTCGCGGGCGATGAGCTAGTGTCGACATCATCTGAGCGGGACGGCGACAGTGAAGGCAAAGGGTCATGGTCGAGAGTTGGGACGCGCTGCGCGAGGAGGGAGAGTGAGTACATTCGTGACTGCTGGACGCGCCGCCTTGCTCGCAACGTCTTTGAAACGTCAAATCAAATACGAGACGGTACATGCGCTTGCGATTGCGAGAGCCAGCGAAGCGCAATGTTCGAAAGTCGCTGCGCGTCTTGGCCGAGGAGGACAAGTTGCGCCCGCACGTTGCGAACGCGTTCCAGTCGCTTTGGCAGGGGTTCGCTCAGCTTGCACAACGTCGAGAGGCAGCCTCTGGCGCTGCGGCATTCCCAGCTCGACAGCTGCTTCGCCCGCAATTCATCCCAGACGATCGCGACTTCCTCCTGCGCGTCGCGACCGGTCGCGGCAGCCGAAAAGAGCGAGGCTCACCTGCAATCTGCCCGTCCAGTTCTCCCGCCTGCCCAGTACGAGGTTGGTCACGTCGGCAAGAGGCTCGCGGCGCCAGCGGAGAGGCGACTCGGGGTTGGCGACAGTCTTCGAACGACGGAGGAGGGGCGGCCGGCGCGACGAGCTGGATGGAGACGAGCCGCAGGTCGAGGCGAATGGGTTGAAGCGGTTAGGGTCTGGAGGAGGCGGAGGAGACGCTGCAGACATCCAGGAGGCGCCAGGCGAGCTGGATCTCGCCGCGAGACGAGGTCGTGCCGGATGAGGAGATGAGAGGATGTGACGGGCGTGCGCGGTATGTTGGGCAGTTCCGGGCGTATAGACGTGCCGAGTAGACTCCTGTGCAGGGCGGCAGAGTATGTATAGGCGAGTACGAGCGAAGTTGACGAGTGGAGAACGAGAGAAGAGCGAGAGAGCCAGAGTCGCGTCGCAGAGAAGCGAAGTCGCGACGACAGCTCACGGTGTATGCGGCATGAGGGTTGTTTGGACGTCTCTGCAATACCGGGAACACGCGCAAACAAGCGCCAATGCGCAGGAATGGGTGCAGGCGGTTGACGCGAAGTCGACGCGACAGCCAAGGAGGAGAAGCGAGGCAAAGCGAGTAGTATGGCAACAACGAAAGGTGGTACTGACAGCGACTGACGCAGAGAAATCAGGGCGAGGCCTGTCCCAGTGTCCATCAGATCAGAAAACAAGCGAACCTCCCTCCCCTCTCCAGCTCCGCCCCTCACGCCTTCCCCGCCCCGGTGATCGCCGTCTGCGCCCTCCCAGCGCCCTCGTGGTGTACGACGCTCTCCCACCCGACCTCATCGTTCAACACGCCGTCCCTCTTGCGGATCCGCTCCGCCTCAGCCTCGCTGACCGGCCTCTCCGGGCCCCTCGCCCTCTCCTCCGCCTCGCGGCGCGCCTGCCTGGCAGCTGCCTCGACTGAAGGGTAGGAAGTAGCGGGAGGAGGCGTGCCGGGCGTTGACGACGTCTTGCCGGCGTCCCAGGCGCGAGACGAGGCCCGAGAGAGTTTGGCGGCGGCGGTCTGGGCGCGTTCCTCGTTGATCTTGCGTTGTATCTGGGAGAAGAACCAGTTGAATCAGCTTTAGCTTCACAGCTCCCTCTCCGCTCAGTTGGCTGGACGTCGGCGACCAGCGCTGGCGGGGTGGCAGCGAAACCGGACTCACCGCTTCGTCTCTCTCACGCTTCTGGCGCTGCTCATCATCCTCCGCCGACATCTCGGTTCGAATGCGCTCCATCAGCTGCCGCAGGTGAGCAGGCCGTTGTGCCCGCACCTCCCCAATCGCCTTTTCGGCAGTCGCGGCGGCGGAAGACTCGAACATCTCGCGGTCTTTCTTGGCGGCCTGCAGAGCGGCAACAAGGGTCGGCTCAGTCGCTTGGGAGAATACGTCTCGTTAAAGCGAGGGCGAAGCAAGCGAGCAGCCAACTCACCTCGGCCTTCTTCTCCGCCTCCTTGTTCTTGAGCCTCATCGCCGCCATCAACCGGTCGACCTCCTCGACGGACTTCTTCTCCTGCGCACGATGACCACGTCAGCGAACTGTCGGAACCCGATAGCGGCGAGCGATTCCTGCTCCTGCAGAAGAGCATGAACAAGCAGGATGCGCAGACGTACCCGCTTGACACCGCCCGATGCGAGACGAGCCTGGTCGGCTGCCGAAAGGAAGGGCGAGCCTGGGCGAGGCGAGCGAGGAGTACGCGGCGTGCGAACCTGTTGGCGAAGAACGCGCAAGTTAGCTTGGGTCGTCCTCCGATGTTCAGCGGACGCTCTGCGAGAGCGCCGAGTAAAAGAGGACCGGGGCAAGCACGACCGACTCACCCGCTCCTGCTCCTTGATTGTAAGCGACAGGCTCTCCATCATCTTGCCAACCTCGTCGGTCGCCGCTTCCGCGCGAGGCTGCCGACAGCTCACAAAGGTCAGTCCACTTTACGGAACGCCTTATGCTGCGGCTGGATACGCAGCGAGTACCAGCAAAAGCGAGCAGGGACAAAGCGGACTGACCTTCTCAACCTCCTTTCCTCCTCCCTCCTTCGCTTCAGCCTCGGCAGTAGCCCTCCCCGTCGACGGTGCGGACGGCTGCATGGTTGCGGCGGCGAGAGCGACGGAAGATGCTGGAGGTGGGGCCGGGCGCGAAGAGGCGGGAGAGGATGTTGGCTGTGCGCGGGCGGCGGTTGCGCTCTTGGAAGGAACAGATGGTGCAAGCTGAGGCGGCGGGCGAGGCACGACGCCGTTGGGCTGCGAGGCTCGGATGGTCGCATCGCTCGCGTTCGAGCTGGACGGCGTTGGCGTTGGCGCCTCTTCGCAACCTGCCGCTGTCGGTCCGTTCGTCGCCGTTGTTGCCCACTTTGAGAGATGCGTTTCGTTCTTCGGCGGCGCCGCCTCAGCCTCCTTGTGAACACCCCACTGCGCCCTCGCCCGTCCCGCAACCGCGCCCGTCCTGCTCCTCTCCCTCTCCCACCTTCCCTCAAGCGGATTGAACACACTCTTGTCGAGCTTGAGGACGTCGGGAGTCTGGTCGGGGAAGTGGGCGAGGTTGGGCGAGGCGCCGGCGTAGCCCGGAAGTTTGGCGGGAGGTGCGGAGTACTTGTGCTTGGCGGCGAACTCGGATCTGCCTTGCGCCCAGTTGCCGATGCGCTGCGAGAGGAGGGCGCGACATGAAAGATGTTAGCGTGAGGCGAGTAAGGAGCAAGGGAAGCGAAACGAACGTGGACGGTATCGGCCGGTTCGTCGGGCTTGTAGTCTGCCCAAGCCGAGCCGCTCGACGCTGGAGGCTGACGCGGAACGGGCTGGGAGGCCTTGGAAAGGTCCAGGCGCACGGTCTGCGGGACGGCAGACTTGGTCGGAAGCGCGGTGACGGGCATGCGAGGGCTTGTCGAGGCAGAAGGGGAGGGCGCCTTCGCCTTGACCTTGTCGGCGAAGGAAGAGCCGGCGTTCGGCGAGGTCGAAGGCGACGTAGCAGCGGGAGGCGCGGGAGGAGGAGGAGCGGAAGAGACGAAGCCGTTCGCCTTGGACGGCGGGATTGGCGTTCCCCAGCCCGAATTGACCGTGTGCGCGCCCGTCGTCCCGCCCATCGCCATCTGCTTGTGAACGTCCTTGAGCATACGCCGCGGGTCGAGCTGGAACTTGGCCTTGTGCGACCCGTCAACGGTGTCGTCCGCGACGATGACTTCGGACGGGTCATGGGCAGGCTTCGTCGTCGGGAGCACGCCGCCTCCCCAGCCAGCCCCAACCGTGGGCTTGTCCGCGTATCCGCCGCCTGCACCCGGTTCTGTTGCGGAGAGCGGACGAGGAGGACGAGGGTCAGCTCGCGGCGCCAACGCCCTCGGACTGACTCGGGACGAGGACGATTGGACTCACTGAACGAAGCACGTCCTCCTGCCTTCCTCAACACGGCCGCCTCGGAGCGGTTCGACTTGGTAGGCGCGGGTGAGGACCACTGGGACGCCATTTCTCGGTGTCGCACGCCCCTTCGAGCGCGGGAAGCGTGTGAGTGCGCGTGTGAGCAGTGTGTGTGAGCGTGTGAGCCGTCTCAGCCAGCCAGAGCGTGTGAGCGGGCGATGTCAAGGTGAGGACACCGCCTCTCCACTCTCTGGCTCGTCCCGCTCACCGTCGACACTCAGCAACCAGTGCGTGCGCGTGCAGACACCGCCAATGCACTCAAACTGATTACTTGGACACCCTCTCGCCGCCGCACACCCGCCCGTGCCGTTGTCGCCGCCCCTCACCTCGTCGCACCTACCCCTCTCCACCCCGTCTCGCGCCCTCGCACGCCCACAGTGTCGGACAAGCAGGTCACCCTCCAGACGTCGGACGACGAGCAGTTCAAGGTCGACCGCGACGTCGCGAACCGCTCGGTCCTCATCCGCAACATGCTCGAGGGTCAGTCGACGCCTCATCAGCTTCGATGCCAGTCACACACATCCTGACACGCCTTGGACACGCTCTGCAGATGTTGGCGAGTCTGAGCAGGCGATTCCCCTTCCCAACGTTTCGGCCAACGTCCTCAAGAAGGTGGGTCCCGTCGCCTCTCCTCTCTCCCCGCTGAAACCGCGACGGTCGGACCTCTCGTGAAAAATCGCCCGTCCAAGCGCCGTGCCAGCACACGAAGCGTACTACGACGAGGGCGGCGCTGCAAAAGTTGACGCTGACTTTGTTCTGCGTGACTCCCCCAGGTTCTTGAGTGGTGCGAGCACCACAAGAAGGACCCGGAGCCTCTCGCCGAGGACCTTGACGACAACCGCCGCAAGACGACCGAGATCAGCGACTGGGATGCCAAGTGTGCGTCGCCGCCTCCCTCACTTTGCTGCACGTCGAGTTTGACGAGCTGACTCGGTTCTTTGCCCTTCTGCCCCTTGTCTTCGCGCTGTCCCGCCCTCTCTCGCCCACGCGTGCACACTTGACGATTCTTCGCTCGACACCCGTAGTCATCCAGGTTGACCAGGAGATGCTCTTCGAGATCATCCTCGCGGCCAACTACCTTGACATCAAGCCCCTCCTGTGCGTCGCGACGCTTCCTTTCCTAGCGATGGATTCGCTTGACTGACGTTCGCAACGTTCCTTGCGCTCAGTGACGTCGGATGCAAGACGGTCGCCAACATGATCAAGGGCAAGCAGCCGGAGGAGATCCGCAAGCTGTGCGTTCAATTTCCGTCCTCTCGTGTTTCACGTCCTTTCCTCCGCGCAACATTGTCGCGATTGCTCGCCTGCTATGCTGCCCTATCGCGACCCCGGCCTGACAACGCTTGCTGACTCGCGCTTGTTGCCACGTCCACAGCTTCAACATCGTCAACGACTTCACGCCCGAGGAGGAGGCCCAGATCAAGAAGGAGAACGAGTGGGCCGAGGACCGCTAAGCGGTGTGCTCGCTCCCTCCTTCGGGCTCGACGGTTGTTAGGGCGGTTGGTCAGAAGTTCGCTTGTTCGCATCCCTCTTCGTCTTCGTCTCCTCTTTTCTCTCGCTTGTGCCAATTCTACACTCCACTTCTGTACCGTCTCCCTAGTGCGCTCGTTCCCGAGAGACTGCCCAGCGAGAGTCGTTGTTCGCCCTTCTCCTCCTCGCTCTTCCTCATCTGCGACTCTCGCTCTGCTCCCGCGCCATGGCCGAGTCGCCCAAGCTGCCCGCTTCGTACGCTTACGAAGGCGACGTTGAGCCCGAGTCGCACTTCACGCTTCCCACGACGAGCGACCCTCCAGAACACCCTCGACCTGATGAAGCGGATCCAGCGGGCGACACGAACGGGAGCGACCTCGTTTCTCCTCGTGTGCAGCCAGCCGACGAGCCGCACCTTCAACCCGACTCGCTCGCCCTCCCAGCGGCCGCTCCTCCCCCTCCCTCATATACCCCACACCCTCGCCCTCCCTCCTCCTCCTCTTCATCCTCGCACCTCCTTCCAGGTCTCTCGTACAACCCTGCGCTGCATCCGCCGAAACGGGAAGGTCTGCCGGTGCCGGATCACTTGCCTGGAGATCTGGTTATTCAGGTGGATCCGGAGAAGCATTGGACGTTGAGGAGGCATCTGGGAGAGCTGTGTGGGATTGGTGGGACGGCGAGGTACGTGCTAGCTCCCTCCGGTACTGCAGTAGGTTTTGCGGGCGGGAAGAGGCGCCGCGGTTGCGCCGGTCACTAAAGGCCGTTCCCTTCCCTGACTTGCTTTCTTGTCCGCCGTCTTCTCCTCCTCTCATGATGCGCAGGTTCCCTGGGAGTCAACCAGTCAGCTTCGACTATGACAGCCTTGCGCTGCTGGAGAAGGAAGAGTGAGTTCAGCCCGCTCCGTCAGTCAGCTCATGCGGAGACGCTCTTCTTCCGAGGACGAGCGCTTTCAGCTGTCGAAGGGCTGAAAGGAGAACTGACGCTTACTTTTGTGGACGCACAGCTTCTGGGTATGCGAGAAGTCGGACGGCGTGAGGGTATTGGTCTTGATTGTCGCAACCGGATTCGGGCAGGAAGTTTACTTGGCACGTTGAGCTCCCTCTCGCACCGCGTACTCGCCGCTGCATGGCTGTTAGATACAGCAGGCACTGACAAGCAGCGCTCGGCTGACTCCCACTGCCCCTCAGATCGACCGCAAGGACCAGATCTACCAGGTCTACTGGCTCACCTTCCCGCACCAAGACGGGCCGGAATACAACCACTCGAACACGGTGCTTGACGGCGAGTTTGTCATCGACGTCGACCCGCACACTGGCGCGGTGAGTCGCGGGACCCAGGTTCTGCCTTCTCGAGGCATCTTTTCCGGAGAAAATGGCTGATCAACGTCTCCGCGCGTTACACAGCACATCCCCCGACTCCTCCTCTTCGACTTGCTCGTCCTCGACTCGGAGAACCTCATGTCGCGACCGCTCCTCAAGCGGTACGGGGTGAGTCGGCCTCGCTGTTCCCTCCTCATGCACCGCGACTGACGCTCTCCTCGTCGTTCGACAGCGCCTGCAACAATACGTCGTCAAGCCGTACAAAAAGCATCAGGAGACGCTGCCGCCCGATGTGATCGCTCAGCAGCCTTTCGAGTGAGTTTGCCACGTCAGCCTGACCTTCCGCGTCGCTCACAGTCTATCGCTCGCAGGGTCATCTGCAAGAAACAGGAGTTGTCGTACGGCATCGAAGCAGTCTTCCGAGATCACGTCCCGAATCTCATGCACGGCAGCGACGGCTTGATCTTCACCTCCGCCGAGGCGCCTTATACGCCTGGCACAGATCCCAAGATGTGCGTGGGACATACTTCGTTCCTCCTCTTATCGCGGAACTGACGCCCCGCTGTCGCCCACAGTCTCAAGTGGAAGCCCCCGTCGGAGAACTCCATTGACTTCATACTCCAGCTCAAGTTCCCCGCCATCCCCGACGTGCCCACCGAGCCAGACTTCTGCGCCAAACCCGTCTTCATGCTGCTCATGAACCACGGCCACGAAGGAAACCACTTCTTCGATACCATGGAGGTCGACGATGCGACGTGGGAGGAGTGCGCTCACCTTTCCTTGCACCGCTCAAGCTGCATCGCTAATTCTGTCCCGCGAAACAGATGGAAGGCGTCAGGCGAGCAGTACGACGACCGAGTCGTCGAAGTCGTGTGGGACAAGACGCGCGAGACGTGGAAGTTCCTGCGGTTCCGGGACGACAAGTTCGAGGGCAATTACAAGAGCGTCGTCTACAGCATCATCAAGTCGATTCAGCACGGCGTCGAGGCGGAGCAGCTCGTCGCGCATGCGGGCCGGATACGCAAGGCTTGGAAGGCGAGGGCTGCTGCGAGGGCGCCTCCTCCTCCGCCTCCGCGCGCCCAGCAGGACCCGTCGCACCAGCACCATGCGCCTCATCCGCACGGGCACTCGAACGGGCAGCACCTCGCGCCTCCGCCTGTTCAAGGCGCCGGAGGGTACGGCCTGAAGCGATGAAGGCGAGGAGAGGGAAGGACCGCTTGCACGCTCGTTCGCAGGATCCGATCACGCAAAACTGTTGTCACAACTAGTCCCCTTGCAATGCCGTCCATACGCAGTCTTGAGAGTCTACATGCGAGAACGCCTTGTCTAGACGGATCCGACGCCGCCGATCTGCCTGCCGCGCACGAAAACCGCTCGCAAGTTGCGGTCGTCGCCCTGCAGGAAGGAAATGGTCAGCGTGACGGCGAACGATAGATTGCGAGGCTACGCACCGTGAAGAGGAACTTCTCGAACACCCGCTCGATCGACTCGTCCGGCTCGACCAGCAACGCCGGGTTGGGGCCCACAGGCACGACGCCCTCGTCCTGCGCACCACTCAGCGCCTTCTCGAGCTCGTCCTCGACGCTCTTCCCGCTGACGTTCTCGCCCAGCCGGTCTTTCGACACGCCCGCCCAGCCCATCGCGTCCTCCTCGCTCGCCTGCCCAGTCTGCACAAGCAACGCGTCGAACTCCTTTCCGACCACAAAGTTGCCGATGCGATCCTCCAGGTCGCACAGCTGCGCTCCGCCGAGCGTGGCGAGGTAGAAGAGCGTCTCGACGGGGAGGTGGGAGGAAGCGAAGAAGCCCGAGGGGCGGGTGATGCCGTCTGCTGAGCGGATCTCGGTGGCGGCGCCGTTCGAGGTGGGCTTGCGCGGCGCGTCGCGTTCGGAGAAGACGATGGTCTTCGAGGCGGTCGAGGCGGATCGGCTGCGAGAGGCGGGTCAGTGGTGGGCCGCTGGAAGGGTTCATCGGGTTGGCGTACATGGCTGAGAGGATACCCAACGCGAGACCGCCGCTGTTGTCCGTTCCCAGGCCCACCTTGATGCCCATATCTAGCATATCCGCAACCCTCGCAACACCCGATCGCAAGTTGAAGTTCGAGTTGGGGCAGTGCGAGATGCCCGAGTCGCGCTGCTTGATGAGGACCATCTCGTCGTGTGAAAGGAGGACGCAGTGGGCGAGGATAGTGTTGTGGCGGAGGAGGCGGAAGTGATCGTAGGCGGCGGCGTAAGAAGGGAGAGAGGGATAGAGGGCTGCGTGGCGGGGAACGTCAGCGAGCGCACAACACGACGGCTATATACGCACGCACATCGGGCGAACTCGACTTCTGCGGGGTTCTCCGCAAGATGCGTCTGCAATCGCAAGTGCTCGTCCTTGTCGAGCATCTCGCCTAGTCCTTGCATCAGCTCGTCGGAGCAGGAGATGGCGAAGCGAGGCGTGAGAATGGGCTGAACGAGCGAAGTCGGGCCAGTCCGCGAGACAGCCGATGAAGGGAGGGAAGGCGAGTCGCACTGCTGCCGGACAAAGTTGACGTAGTCCTCCGTGTCGACCAGGCTCTTCTGCGCCGACTCTTCCTGGTAATACGGCGCGCTGTTGCGGTCCATGTTGCACTTGCCGACGAATGCTCGCTGGCCTTTCCGGTGGCAAATTGCGGCGAGGAGCTTAGTCGTTTGATGGATCGTGCCGTACCAGCAGCAGGTCGTAGTGCCGGCGCTGATGACGCGCTCGACAACGCCTTCGTATGTTCTCCGTGCGTACTGCGGGTCGGCGAACTGCAAGGCGAGCTGTGAGCGGTTTAGTCGCGTCGCAGGAGTGAAGGAAAGCACCTTGCTCTCCGCCGGGAAGGTCAAGTTGTCCAGCCAGTCCAACAACTCGTATTGTTGACCGTAGCCGAGATTCCGGAATTGCGGAGCGTGCGTGTGTGTGTCGATCAGGCTGGCCAGGAGGAGCAGGCGGGATCAGTGAGGTCCCTAGGCATTTGAGCGGACGTGCAGCACTCACCCCGGCATCAGAAACTCGCCCTTTCGCATCCGCACAACCTGCACATCCGCTCCCGTCCATCCGAGCGCCTGTAACAGGTCCTCGACCTGGCCCGACGGCACCTCCTTCTCGACAAACGCGATCACGCCCGCTTCGTCGACTCCCAGCAAGGCATGCTCGAGGTACTCGGTCTCTGTGAGCGAGACCGCGTGCACTAGAGTGCCGTAGAAGACGCGGCGAGGAGAGGATGTGGGGGTCTGGAGGAAGATAAGCAGTCAGCTCGAGAGGCGGGCCGCGCAGCCCGCTCCGACTGGTGTACGCACAGATGGCATCGTAAGTGAGGCAGTCAGAAACAGCAGGAAGTTGAGCAGAGCGAGAGAGAGGAGCGAGCGGTGTTCGCGGAGGAGCGGGCGAGGGAAAGCCGGGCGGGACGAGGCGGGTTGGCTCAGGTCACTCACTTGGCCAGCGAGCAGCGTCGCAGAGCACTCCAGCACAGAACAGCTCAACAAGCCGACACAGAAGCACGCCGTCCGGGTCAGTCTCACTCTCCCGCTCCTCTCGCCAATTTTCATCAGGTCAAGGTCGCCCGTCCACCCACACCGCTTCGCAGGCCTTGCTGAGCATCGACGTGTGTGTCTTGGGTTACACAGGGACGATGCCGGCTGCTCTCACCTGCTGGCGTCCTCTTCGAAGGCGGACGGAAGGCGGACAGCGTTCAGCTTCGCCTTGCCTCACCGTGCCTGCTCGCTTGGATTCCTTCGACTCGTAGCACGTACATTGCTGTTCGACAGATGCGCTAAGGTACTGCTAAGCGATGCGCACCTTCCAGCTTGTTCCTTCTCCTCCTCCTCAAGCGCCTCCTCACTTCGACGCCGGCTTGGTCGCGACGCCCAACCTCTGCCCGACCTCGACGTCAACCATGATCTGCTTGTAGCTCTCGTCGAGGAGGTCGTCGTCGAACTGGATCCTGTGTTTCTCGAACGCAACGATGATGCTCGATCCGCCAAACTCGAAGATGCCGATCTCTTCGCCCTTCTCGAACGTCGAGCCGGGCGTCATAGCTTTCGAGTTGAGCTTGACGGTGCCGACGTCGACAGCGCCAATCGCGACGAAGAGGACTTGGCCGAACTCGGGAGAGTCGAGGCAGACGGCCGAACGGGCGTTGGCGGAGAGGATGGGGACCTGCGACGGTTTTCAAGCGGGTAAGTGGCGTGCGGTCGGACCGCAGAACGCGCTACGAACCCTGGATTGAAGGGCGAGAGCGTCGACTTCATAATAGTCTCCGTCGAGCTCCTTCCACCACGACACCGTGCCGGCAACGGGGCAATGGTAGCGGTGGTAGTCCTGCGGCGAGAGACGGTACGAGGCGATGGCGCCGTCCTCCCAAGTCTTGGCCTTAACGGGGTCATCGATGAGCTGGGCGATCGAGAAGTCGTTTCCCTTGATCCACAGACTCTTCGTGAGCGTGACCGTGGGGTACGTGACGACGCGCGAGTCGGCAGAGATGACGGCGATGGTCGGGTCGTCGGGCGCGGTGATGGGGCGAGTGCCAGGCTTGTGCTTGCGGATGAAAAAGTCCTGGAACGTCGGGTACGCGTTGATGTCGCTCGGCTCGAAGTCCTTCATGTCGATGTTGTAGAAGGACACGAAACTGGCGATCTGCTGCTTCGACTTCTGGCTCTCCTCCTTCGGCTCTGCGTGGAGTTGAAGCGGAAGTCAGTTTTCGTTCTCGGCACTCGTCTGAGTAGTGCTCCCTCGTCCGCCACGTGCTCCTACATGCGCAGTGACTCACTCTGTTGCACGGTTTTCTTGTGCAGCCAGAGCTTGGCGACATGGGTGAAGTCAATCTGCGACGAAAGAAGGCGGAAAGCCAAGGTCAGCGTTAAGCAATGGGCGTTCATGGCCCATTGGAGGGCTTCTTGGGACTCCCGACGGCGTTGTCTGAAGGGAAGGACCACTTACCCACTCCGTGACCGGGTTGAAGAGGAGCAGAAGCTGGATCTTCTTCATGAGCGGCTGCTGTTCGCGCATCATCTCCCCCGTCTTGCGATTCTTCGTCATCCAGCCCACTTGCCGCTTCTCGACCTGCAGAGCGTCGTCAGTTCACGCCGAGCGAGAGAGGCGAGTGAGCCGGCGACGGACGAGGTGGTAGGTTTCGAGAAGCGAGTCGACGGGGCGGCGCAGGTAATCCATGGCGGCAATAGCAGTTCAGGCAGTGCAGAAGCAAGCAGGAGATGGTGTTGAAGAAGCAGAGCAGCAGCTGCGCAGGTCGAGGTCGTTGTGCGTCATGGAGAGAGAAGTCCTCCCTCGGACACCGACACCGACGAGTTCGTTCTGCATTCGAGCCAGCTGGACTAAGTTTGGCATGTCCTGCTGTCACCCAGCGCAGCGGTAACTTACACGCACCCGAGCAGTCGCTGCGTCCTTCGCGGAATTCGGGCTCTTCGGTCGTCGTTTGAGAAGGACAGCGAGGGCGTGTTCAGCAGGCGCACGCCGAGGGAAGGACCAGGAGAAGGCTCCAGGGGGAGTGCCGGGAATAGGCCAGAGAGTGAAGCTGCCCACCGGCGCCGGTTTCGAGGAGGACAGCAGATTGGCGACGCGGCGGGTCGAGGCGAGCGACTTTCGCTGCTGGCGGCTGCTCGGGATCTACGGGTGTCTCTGAGCGCTGTGCTCTTGAGACGGGTCTCTCCGAAGTCTATCCGCCCCCTTGCGAAGAAATGGCGCGCAGGGCCTCGGGCGATCCGCCTGCTTCCTTCCTCTCCCGGTTGTCGCAACCTCGACTCGCCTCTGCTGTTCCACCCGGCTGCGTTCTGTGGCTGGACTCGCGATCAGGGACTGACTCGCTGATGTCGCTCTTTCGGCGCACAACGCTCACCGCTTCGCTGGCCTGGTGCGGACAACACCTTGTTCTCCTGCTCTCCCTCGCTGCCCGGGCGCAAGGATGACTCCGTCTGCTGCTGCTGTACGCTACACGGGCTTCTCGCAGGGCGGCACCGTGTCCCGTCGGAGCTCCCTTTCCTCACCATCCCCCGTCATTGCGCCAACCTACTTCGAATCCTCTCCCCGGCGTCCTCAACCTGAAGCGCGACCACACGAGCCCGCGTATCGACATGTCGTCCCGACTATCCACGGACGACGTCTGATCTTGTACCTCGCAAGCGCCCTCGCCCTCCTTCTCCTCCTATCCGAAATGCGACCTCGACGGACCGCTTCGTACGCGGATGACGAGGAAGTCGCTCGATTCGACGAAGCGGACTGGCACTCACGGCGGAGCGCAATTTCGAGCCGGCCTCAACGGACGTTCGCATGGCGGCGGCCGTCGTCGAAGCTTCCTCGCGCGATCTACGGCACCAACATCACCTTCACCGACTTCCTCAACACGCACTTCCCTCTCTCCGACCCACAACCGCCGCACATCTGGATCACCCTCGCCGACGAGCTGTTTGCCGAGACGGGCGCGGCGAATCTGCAGACGTTCGTCGACCAGCTGAACGAGGAGCGGACACACAAGTACAAGGGCAAGAAGCGGGAGACGAGGCTCGTGACGTTGTGCTTGGATGACGGGTGTGTCGAGGAGTGCGCGCGGAGAGGGATGTACGCCTACGGAGGGTACGAGAAGACACGGCCGAAGCAGATCCTGTGCGTTGCGTCCTCCGCTTCAAGTTGGCCTGCGCTGATCGGCTCATTCCCACAGCAAAGCGACGTGGCCGAAGCTGGCGAGCTTGATTGACACGCTCCAACATCGCGACGTCTTCTTCATCGATGCCGACATTTCGTTCGCGCAGTGAGTCTTCCGTCCCGTGACGCGATTGCCGTCGCATGCTCACCCTCCGCGCTCCAGGGACCCCTACCCGCACATGGAGCCTCTCATGGAGAAGTACGACATTATTGCGCAGGAGAACGACGCTTTCGAGCACTTCAACAGCGGTAAGCCAGTCCTGCCCTGTGCTCCCCAACTTATACTTATGCTCGCTCGTGCATCAGGCTGGATGTGGCTGCGGCAAGGGAAGCGCGTCGTCGAGGCGTGGAAGGAGGTCTTTGCGATGGACATGAAGAAGACGAGCCGGGACCAGTACAACTTCAACGAGGTCCTCGGCACTCACGACCAACGAAAACACACCGACGACCCCGACGACCCCTACCATCGACCACTCCGCTCCTCCTTCACCGCCAAGAACGGCCTCAAAGTGCACGTCCTCGACTCTCGCCTCTTCCGGACGTATCACCAGCGCAAGGACGCCTGGGTCGCGCACCACGACAGCCTCTACCTCCACATGACCTGCGCGGACGACAGCTGGCTCAAGCTGTTCGTCCCGAAGAGCGAAGGGTTCTGGACCGACGTCGACGAGTATTATTCGCAGCCGCCGGCGCTTCTCTCGATTCACACGCTCTCTGGCCCGCGGGAGGACCTCGTCCAGCAGTGGCGCATCCTCATGGGCGCAGCGTACTACTCCGAACGTGCCCTCTCCCTCCCTTCCTACTCCGTCGTGACCGACTTGCGAAACGGGACCGCCATTCGCGACACCTACTCGACCTTCCCGCTCTCGCACGTCGCTGGCGCAGGAAAAGACTCGAACCTCGGCGTCGAGATCGTCGAGTCGGACTACGCTGCGCATGCGACGGCGCACTTGCTCGGCGTCAGCGCCCTCAACTCGACGGAGAGGAGGAACGATGGCTGGTGGGAGAAGCTCGGAGCGAAGGAGCGGAAGAGGAGGGAAGATGCGGTTGTCGCGCTTACGAAGGTCGCGGAGCTGGGTGAGCATGACTCTCTCTCGCAAGACTCTCTGGAGAAGTTTGCTGACGTCTCGCTCTGCGCAGACATGCGCCAAGTCGAGTCCTTCCCAGCCCTCATTCAGCGCCTACGCGACGACCCGACCTTCTCGTCCGCGAGCCACATCCAGCTCATGAACTTCGAGCATCCCGCCGCCGACTCCTGGCGCTCGTGGGACTTCCCGACGCCCATCAACCGCGCAACGACCTGTGGCGACTTGCACGAGCCGCCAACCTGCACACGGATATGCCCGCCGAACGGAGAGAATTGGGGCTTCGAACTGAAGGCGAAGTGGCCAAGCGTGAAAGGTCTGCTGGCGGACCTCCCTCCTCTTGCCACGATGAGCGAAGTCGAGGTGTAGCAGTAGACGATGACCTATCCACTGGTTCTTTGTTGTGCCATAAAGTCCACATGCCGCATTGCATTCGATTCCCTGCACCTGCTCCTCCTCTGACCGAGAGCCTGCCCGGCCGGAAGGCTCGCCGCTCTCGGCCTGAGACTCGCTTGGAACCCCCTCGGCAACTGGAAGTAACGTAGCTTGTTTCTGAAAGAGACGAGACAACAGAGACTGAAGACCGGTGGGGAATAACGCTGGGAGACCACAAAAGCGATGCGAAAGCGTGGATGCAAGCGGGGAAGGAAGCTGCGAGATGGGAACTTGCGGGCGCTACACGAGTAGGACGCCGCCTACTTGGGAACGTACTCCTTCGCCTGCTGCTTGACCCTCTTTTCGTACGCCGGAAGGTCCTTCCTGTCGAGGCGCGCCGGAGTCAAGGTCAGCGTGCGTTGCTTGGCTGGCTCAGTTCGCGCTCAACGCACTTGAAAGTCGTGTATGCCTCGAGCTGCGCGGGGTCGTCCGGGTTGGGCGCGTCGAGGAGGTCTTGGATGCCGAGGAGGATCTGCGGTGGAGAGGCGGAACCGTCAACAGCTTGGCGAGACGGATACAGAGCTGTCGACGTACCTGCTTGAGAGTGATAGCTGGCCGCCATGACTGCGTGCCGGGATGGGTGAGCGTTTCCACCCCGCAACAGAGCGAAACCGGGACAAACCTTCTCCTCGTTCAGGATGGACAAGCAGACGGTGCCGGAGGGGTAGCTGTCATTAGAAGCGAGTCAGCAGCGGTCTGACGAGCAAGTATTGGGAGCTGAAACGCACATGTTGGGGTGGTAAAAGCTGCGCCGAGGGAGGCGAGCGGGTCAGCACAGCTCGGAGGGTTTGGGAAGCAGCCAACTCGACCTTACCCAGCCGGAAGCTTGCCTGCGGTGAAGGAGAGAGTCAGCCTGCGTGTGCAAGAAGAGAGCTCTCGCAGAAACGCACATTTAGGAGGCTTCGAAGGGTAGTCTGCGCGCCGACAGTGTCACGGATCAGCTCTGCACCTCCCTGACGAACACGAGCGCCAGACACACCATCAGGGAAGATGAGCGTAACGGGGTAGACCGCGTTCTCCCAGATCGTCTGCGACAGAAACAAAGCGAATGTCAGCCGCAGCCTGTCAACGATCGCGCAGGAAGCGGAACGCACGCCCTCCTTGCCCGGAATACCAGTCTCCCAGACCTTCAAGTCCATCGAGCCATCCGGGTTCTTCTTCGGCTTCGCAAAGAAACCATAGGGGTGGTCCTGGTGCACAAGGGAACGAGCACGGTCAGCCTGGAGCTAGCAACGGCGAGGCAGCGCAGGCAGCTTACCTTGCGCCACTGCTTGCGCTCCTCCTGCAGCCTACGCTCGCAGATGCCCGACATGGATGATTGAGGGAGTCGAGGAGATGAGGAGGTTCGAGGAGATGAGAGGTGAGGACGGGAGCGAAAGCTGCTGGACGGGCGCGAAGGTGTGTCAGTGGACTGTACAGGTTCAGGTCAGCATGTCCGCCTGCGCGCAAGCCTCCCTCGGCGCCGTCTCCGACGCTTCGCCTCCCGCTAGCGATGCTTGAACAGGTCGTCCGAGAGTAGCGCCGGCGAACAGAGCAGGGCGAGTAGTGCACAGGGTCCGTAGAGCGACACGTACAGAAAGCAGCCGAGCGCGTCCGTGCGAGTCTTTGAACGAGGAGGTGGACGAGGTGTGAGGAGGTGCGGCAACAAGGTCTCCCTGCTCTCGCTCGAGGTCATCGAAACAGGGCTGATTCTGCATAGGATTACACGACACGAATTATGCGACGGACAGCGAGAGAATTGCGAGTGATTGGCTGGATTTGGATCGCACGAACAGCTTGAAGCGACCTCAGAACGTCCCGTGCTAGCCTCAGTCCGACTCGCTGCCACTGCCAGGCTCGCCGTCATCATCGTCGGCGAGGTCGGCGTTGTTCGCGACGCCGCCCATCGTCTTCTCCGCCATGGCGACCCGAAGCATTTGCGCAATCTCCTTGTCGACGTCGGAAGATGTTGGTCGCAGGTAGTCCTGTACGCGCAGGCCGTGGCGGTCTCGCAAGCTGCGTAGCAACGGCAGTCAAGGATCAATAATCGCGGATCTGGCATTGTGAAGGAGGACTTGCGCTCTGCGACGCGCGTAAACGCACCTAGGATCCGCCCCAGCGTCCAGCAGCATCTCGATGACGCCTTGCCGCGCGTCCTCGTTCTCAAGCTTGACGGCAAGGTGCAAGGGAGTTGCTCGGTCGAGCCGGTTTTGCAGGTCGACGTCGGTTCCCTCGGTTTCGAGGAGGATGGAAAGGGCGTCGGGAGATGGCGCCGAGGCGCTGTCGGGCACGAGACGTCAGCTGAGGATAGTTGCTTTCAGAAAGCTGGTAGACGCACGCATAGTGCAGCGCTGTGCGAGAAAGCAGGATGAAACGAAGGGAAGGTCAATACGCGACGGAACACTCCGTCGACGTCCCCTTTGTCGACCGCCAGATCAGGTGCTTTGTTCTGTATCTTATTCCTCGCTTATCCGCCCCTTTCCCGCGCACCCTTGCTGCCTGAGCGAGCGATAACGCACCTGTGTTGCCGAGTCCGTCCTGGAAGTTCACGTCAAACTCCTCGCTCCCGCTTAGCACAGCCTGCAGCATCTCTGCCGAGTCCGTCTTGGCCGCATAGATCAGTCGCTCGTCTACGAGCGAGGGAGGCGAGGGGACGGAGCGTCACCGTGTTCAGCGAGCTAACAGACAGATTGGCGAATCGCTGGGATTTGAACGCACTTGGTGAGGCCATCCTACAGAGATCTCGGTCCAAGGCGGACTAGCACAAACAATCAAGAGCTGTTGCGAGCGAGAGTCGAAGCTTGAAAGCGGTCCGAGAGAGCGAGGAGGTGGGGGTTGGGTCCCTGGCCTCCTCACGCTCGGACGATGGCCAGTACAAGGCTGACCAAACTCTATAACGAACCTGAAGTACACAGCGATCCAGCGCAACTCGACTCCCTCGCTGGTTGGCGCACTACAGACGTTCCTCGATCGCGACGAACGCCGCCCGCCCTCAGCACAGCTCGCGCAAGCTTCGCTGGACTCGCTCAAGGTGGATAGGGATGCACAGCCTTTGGCAGGGCTGTCCGCTGATGGCCAGGCGATGAGGCTGTCGCTGTCCACCTCCTCCAGCTGGTCTCCCTTCGCTTTCGCCTCAGCTCGCTCATTCGGACGCGATCTCAGCTGGAGAGGCCTCGCAGTGTCTCCTCGTACGCTAAGTGAGCCTCATTCGCCGAAAGCTCGAAGGTGACGAGGCCAACTTCGCTCGCTCGCCGCTCTTCGCCTCTCTTTCGCTCGTCCCACTCACTTCCCCTCGCGCACTCCGCTCTCCGTGCTGGACGCGTCATACGATGTCACGAGCACACCGTTCCAGCTCGAGTGAGCGCAGCGACACGGCATCGACGCGCGCCAGCTCGCTCGCCAAGTCGACTTCGCCTCTCGCGTCCAGGTCGACGGCAACCGGAGCAGGTCTCGCGGAAGACGGGCTCGCAGAGAGGAGCTGTAAGATGTGCAGGAGGCGACGTGGTGCGTACTGTTCCCTCAATCGCGCGCGAGAGCGAGGAGGTCTCTTGGGCAGCGTAAATGCGATTCTGTTGCTCGTTCGCGCTGACCCGGACTTGCCCATGCTCGCAGTCAGGTGCTCTCGCGAGATTCTGACGTGCTCGAACTGCGCGAAGCGAGGCGAAGAGTGCAGTCTGGGCGAACCTCAGCAGGAGAGCGAGGTCGTGCTCGCCCCGCCTGCGAAGAAGGCGAAGAGGAAGGCGGGCGACGGCGCGAAGGAGACGCCTGCGATGATCTCAGGTGCGTGGGCTCGCACTTGAGCGCCGCAGGCGGCCTCGCCGACCTTGTCTCGCTGGACGCAGTCAAGGAGAAGGAGAACCTCCCGCCCCGCCGCATCTCCCCTCCTTCGCCCGTCTCAAGGTCGCAATCCATCCAGATGCCGCCTCCGACGCAGCGCGAAGCGACGCCTGAACAGCAAGAAGTGCCACCGGTCGTCGCAGAGGCCGCTCCTCGCCCTCCTCGCCAGCTTTTCCCCTCGTTCCCCGTCGGCGCCGCGTCGTACAGGACTAACAAGGTTGCGAGCGGTACGAGGGAAGCACTGACGCGTACCGTCACTCACGGCAGTGACGCTCCCTTCGAGAAGATCGCTTTGCAAGGCGTCAACATCGCGGCGTTGGCAGCAGAAGTGCGTCTCCCCTCGCCGACTCCTCGCGTCCTGTCTTGACGCTCGCTACAGCTTCGCACCTGCGACCACACTTACCAAGCGCCCGGCGGACCGAACCCTCCGATGCTCTTCCCCTCGCCCTCCTCGAACCAGGACGTCCCACAGCCGTCAGCGCAGCAAGCCCACACCTGCATCTCGACGTACATGACCCGTGTCGAACCGTCTCTCCAGCTCTTCGCACCCGCCCACGCGCGCCAGGCTTTCCTCGCCGGCGGGATGAGCATGTGGAAGACGGGCGAGGTGCCCGGCCCCAGCGGCTGGCTCGCTTGCTACCTCGCTGCACTCGCGCATGGCGCTATGAGCATGACGAAGGAGGAGTGGCACTTGAGCGGCAGGTTCGACGCGAGGGAGGCGACGGCGAGGGAGTGGCTGCTTGAGGCGGGCAGGTCGCTGGCAACCGAGTGTACGTATGACCGCTTCGCCTCCTTGCTCGGCTTGACGCTGATCCTTCGATTGCTACAGACTTCACTCGCAAACCGACGATGGCAGGTGAGCTGTCTATCAGCAGCGAAAATCCGGTTCGCTTGGCTGACCTTCCCAATCGCGATGTACAGGTCTGCGCGCCTGCCTCCTCATCCTCCACTACCACCTGCTCGGCTTCGGAGGTCCTCCCGACGTCCCGACTATCATCGCCTTCCTCCCCGTCATTGTCAGGGCGGCATGCGAACTTGGCCTCCACCAGGAGCCGCAGGAGACGGGTCCGCTCGCCGACGAGAAGAGGGCGTTGTGGGCCAAGATCTACGAGCTTGACGTGTGCGTACCTTCGTCTTAAGGGCGAGCGGTCGAGGGACTGACGGCTCGCCGCGATACGCAGGACGTGGGCACCGCTTCTCGGGACGAGGCTCTCCTTCTGCCCGTCCGAAGTCTCAACGAGGCTGCCCGACGGTCCTTCTGCTCAGCACAGGAACGTCGCCTCGGGCACCTTCTACGCGACCCTCGCCTTCTCCGTCAAGCTCACCCACCTCCTCAACCTCCCTCACCTGCCCGCCTCGTTCGACCTCCTCGTCCTCTCGAATGAGCTCAAGGGGATCAGGAAGGTGTTTGAGCCGGAAGACGCGCCGAGCGAGCCCCTCACCGAACTGCTCGTCGACCTCCAGACGTTCCGCCTCCAGGCTGCGCTCGACGAGGCAGGCACGACGAGTTCTGAAGCGACGGAGGAAGCTTGGCGTAATGCAGCCTGTGCGTCTCCCTCACGGGCTGCATTAACACTGACAGCTGACCCTTTCTGCCGGCGCAGACGAGCTCCTCAACACCAACCCGACCGACTGCCCGCAGCCGCTGCACCTCCTCATGGTCATCGCATTTTTCCACTCGCTCATCCTGGTCGTCCTTCGCTGGCGCAGTGAGTTTTCCTCGCCCAGCTCGATGGGCCAACTCGCTTACCTTCCCTCTCGCAGCCGACAAGGTGTTCCACCCCTCGTTCGCCGACTCGCTCGTCTCGGACGTGCTCGCCAAGCTCGCCAAGCTCGAGTCGTCGTCGTGGCCCATCCCGCTCCACCAGACGATCCAGCGCGGCATCCTCACCGTCCGCGCGCTCGTCCAGCTCCCGCCAACTGCCAACCTTCACGACGTCGAGGGGTGAAGGCGTCGAGACTGAAGGGGCGGGGCTGGTTCCTCCCCTCGCTTGTTTGCTCGTAGTATCGCACACGCTTGTTGCCTTAGTATGCCATTGTACTTTGTCCCCTCACGTGAGGCTAGCTTGCATCGCCTCCTCGCGCGCCACCTCGGCGAGGTTGTCCTTGCACGCTTACACTCTGCTTGCTGCACTCGAGTAACAGCTACTCAGGCTTATACAGGCTATGTCGCTCTTCCAGAAGCTCGGTGCGTCCGTGTCTCCGCTTGTCCCGACTCGTTCCTCCTCCTCGCTCACCATGACCCGCTTCGCCCGTTCTCAGCGCACAACCCGCGAGTATCGCTGGGCCCGCGCGACATCAAGCAGCTGCAGGACTACATCTCGAACGAGCGACGACTTGTCGACCAGTGCGTCAACTCTCGCCCGACTGGACTCGACTGCGACAACTGATGAAGCGCTCTCTCGCCATTTGCAGGACGCAGCGGTTGGCGGCGGAACGGGATAAGGCTTCTGCATCTCTGCGGGAATGGGGCAGCCTTGAAGGGCCGGATCTCGAGGTGCGTTGCGGACACTCCGCGACCCATTTGCCAACTCCGCTCACTCTCCCCTTCATTGCGGCAGGACGTACTGGGCAGGGTCTGCTCGCTGTACGAGTACCTCTCGAAGGCGGAGCTCGCATTTGCCGAGCACAATGGGAACTACCGGTTCGTTTTGCTTGGCTGATACAGCCGCTTTCGACTTGAAGCCTGACATTCCGTCCGCAGAATGCGCTTCAAGGATATCCGCACAAAGGAGGAGAACTTGTCGTCGCTGAGGAAGTCGAGGGACTCGCTTGCTGGGCGGATCGAGGCGCAGGAGCGAAAGGTGCGTCCCGGTTTACTACCCGTCTCTTTCCATTGAGCTAATCACTGCGTCTACCGCAGGTCTCGAAGATGAAGGAAGAGAACAAGGACTTGCCGACGCAGCGGCAGCGATTACGGGACATGCAGCAGGAGATGATCGGACTCGAGCATAGCGTCTTGACCGAGGAGACGAGGTGCGTTCTTTCTTCGAGGCTTCGTGAATTCGGCTGACGCCGATACCGCAGGTTGAGTGACTTCAAGCGGACGGCGACTCGAGAAGCGCTGAGCCTCAAGTTTGGCGCCATGCTCGAGCTTGCAGAGAAGACGGTCATCATCGCCGAGCTGGGCAAGCTCATCGTCGACATGCTCCCGACGGACCAGACCGAGCCAGGCCAGACGCGAGCGTACTACGACGGCTACACGCGGACGGAGGAGTTGTTGCAGGAGGCGCAGCGGTGCTTGCAGGACGTCGTCTTCAACCCGGCGCCCGTCACGGAGGGATACGCGCAGACTCAGCACCACGCGCGCGAGTACAGCAACGAGGGCGCGCAGCAGCAGACGCCGGCTCAGTTTGAAGACTCGGGCATTCGGCCTGTCCACGGCGACGACTTTGCGCGCGAGCACGAGCGGTCGTCGTCTCAGCAAGGCGGGCAGTACGGTACCTATGCCTCGTCCTACGCCCAGCAGCAGCAGCAGTACCCGCCCTATGACGACGGCCAGCATCGCGCAGCGCACACTTCCGTCGACTCCTCCCACGGTCCGCAACTCCAGCCTCTCCCCGACTTCCGCCCTCTCAGCGTCATGAACCCCTCCTCTCAGTACCCTAGCGCACCCACTCCCGCCGTCGACGGCTACGCCTCTCGCAGCCCGAATCTCGCTCCGCCGGCGCAGGACGACCGCTATGATCCGAATCGGTCGAGCTTGGCGTATATGGGCGAGGCGCCGCAGAGCGAGTACTTGCACGACGGACGGCAAGGCGGCACGCAGGATGATGTCGAGGCTCGTGAGGCGGAACAGGCGTTTGCGGCTGAGGCGCGCGAGCGGGCGCAGCACGAGCAGAACATCGCCCAGTCCGGCTACGGGCAGAGCCCGTACGAGTCGGGCTCTGCACCGGTTCAGCATGTCGAGACTGCTGGAGAAGGCGAGGAGGATGTCGTCCGCCGCGACATGCACGCTGGAGCCGACATGGGTATCCCTTCCGGCCCGCTCTCGCCCATCACGGAGGTCCCGACGCCAGCTATGCCACAAGGGACGACGCCAAACCCGCAGGACGTGTCTGCACCTCGAGCATCGTCTTCACAGGGACACGGACAGATCGACTACGCCCGTCCGCCATCCGCCGCCGAGCAGCGCCACCAATACGAAGGCGGCCCTCCCGAGCGGTCGTACTCTCCTGCCCCTTCGACCGCCCTCCCGACTTATGCGACGCACGCCCCGCAGGTCGAGGTTAGCAGCCCGACCTCGTACGGTGCGGCGACGGCAGTCCCGACTTCGCCCCTCGCGCAGCCGCAACCTTCGACGTTGTCAAGCGGCACGACGGGAGCTTTCGAGCCTCGCGCGCTGACGCCAAAGACGACCGGCTCAGGTGATGCGGGCTCGCGCAACGACCGCCGCCCGATTCAGATCCGTCCGGCAGGCGACGCGCTCGGCAGCAAGCACGGCGACGTTTACGTCCCTTCTCGCTTCGAGGCGGCTCCTTATTCGCCTGCCAGTCCGCGAGCACCCTCAGACGCCGGCATGTCGGGCTACTTCAACGGTCCTCCCGGCGCCAACAACGCCAGCGGCGAACCGAAGCGCACCCTCCCCGCCAGCGCCTTCCGTCGCCCGCAACCTCCTCCCGGTCCCGGATCGTACAACTCGGCAGCAGCTAGCGGTCGACTATTCGCTGCGTCGGGATACCAGTACGACCCGGCTGCTCAGCCTGGACCGGCTGGACCGTCCGAGAGCGAGTTGATCGCGCAGCAATGGCGCGAGACGTCGATTCCGCAGGGAGCGCCGGGGATACCGGCGCCGATGGACCCGCAGGCGGAGATGGGCACGCCGACGTTCGATACGAGGCCGTTGCAGGTCAACAAGAACCGAAACGGGAGTGTGGGAGTCGGTCGGAGCGGGACGCTGCCGTGAGTCGTGCTGCGCTCGTCTACTTGCACATCTGGGCTTGCTGACACGACTGCACATCCGTAGCCCTGGAGCGACAGGCGGTTCTCGCTTGTCGTCCTACGGCGTACCCGAAGGCGCCGCTCCTCCTCAACCCGACTCGTCCATCGGCGCTCCTCCGCCCATCACGACTTACAACCCGCCCTCGACCGCCCCCGTCGCGCCCCTCAGCCCGAGCGCGCAGGAAGGGTTCGGCTCGAACCGATTCGTGACTCGCCTTGACTGAGACGCTTCCTCGCCGTACATACCCGCGTAGTTCCTCGCTTTTTGCTCTTACCCATCGACACTGTTCAGAATGTAAAAACATGTCTTGAATGCACATCGCTCGAGTGGATAGCGCACAGCGAAACGGAAAGCGAGCAACTACCGATCCTCCTCACTTGGCCGCTGCCGCCGCCATCTTCGCCTTACGCTTCATCTCCTTCTCGACCTCCTCCACTTTCTTCACCAACGTCCACGTCTCCTCCTCCTCCTCACCTCCATACTCACCACCAACTTCCTCCCAAACCTCGTCCTCCTGTCCCTTCTTCTTGTCGAAACCCTCCATCAACATCCCCTCGATTTCGAGGCAGATCTTGCGGCGCTTGCGGGCGAGGGTGAGGAGGGAGGTGTATTGCGCTGAGAGGGCGGAGAGGGCTGAGGCGGAGAGGGTGGGCGAGGGGTTCGAGGAGGCGGAGGAGGCGGCGGCGCGGCGGGCATCGATGGACTGCGTGAGGCTGGCGCACTGCGAGGCGGGTAGAGGAGGAGTTAGCGAGGCGAGGGAAGGAAGCGAGGAAGCGAAGAAGGACAGCCTTCTCAAACGTACCTTGGCCTCGAGACTCGCGACTAATCCGCTCAAGTCGCTGTTCCTCGGCGTCTTGAGTGCTTCAGCTTTGCCTGCGTACGGGAAGCGAGGGTCAGCGAGACGTGCCTTGGGCGGGAAAGGGAAGGACGAGGACGCACGCACGGCGAGGACCTTGACGTCCTCCTTGAGCTTTTCCTCCTCCTCGCGGAGAGCCTTGATCTGAGCATCGAGTTTATCTCCGCCTTCGCCTTCCTCGGTGAGCTCCTCGTCCTTCTGTGAACGCGCGAGCGAGGTCAGCTCGTCCTCCCTGCCCTCCCTCACCCAGCCTCGACCCGCGTTCCGCCCCTCGCGGATGCCCCGACAGCCTCGCGCCACAGCTGAAAGAGCTACGCGAACGCACCTGAAGCGGGCAATAAACCGTCGTCTTGCCAAACGTCTTCCCGCCAATCTCGCCCTTCTCGAACAAGCTCGCGAGCGCCTTTTGCGCCTGGGGCTTCGAGACGCGGTTCTTGAGGTTCGCGGAGATGTCGGCTGTGCAGCGCGCGAGGGCGGGAGGGAGTCAGTTGGGGGAGAGCGAGAGTGCGGACGGGTGGAGGAAGGGGAGGGACGCACTGGCGCCGTAGGGACGGTTCTGCTCGATGAGGTAGTTGAGGACCTGTTTGCGAGTGGGTGCGAGACGTGAGCGACCCGCGCGAGACTTCGAGTGACCGAATCCAGCGAGTTCGAGGGAGTCTGCGAGGAGGTCGACTGAGCGCAGCGGACGACTGACGAGTTCCTCTGCCTCGTCTCCCTTGACCGAGACGACTTTCTCCTTGGGTGGCATCGTTTAGCGAGGGCGTTTGAGGTGAGCCTTGTCAGCGAGTGAAGCGGAAGAAGCAGAGAAGGGAGGGCGAGCAAGGAGGGCGAGTTGGTCGTGGCGGCGACACAAGCGACCGTAAGGGTGGTCGTACAAGCACGAGCACGTCGGGAAGAGCAGCCAAGAGCCCCTCGTAGCCCGGTCAAGCGAGAGGAATACACCCGCCTCCCAGCTGAGCCTTCTCCTCGTCGTCCTTTCCCCTCTCATCCTGCCACCGCTCCCCTCAGACTCGTTGATCCGTTGGAGGGCAGCATCTCTAGGCCTCCCTCGGCTGATGCTGTCCGTCTGGATCCCCTGCTGCTCGGTCGCCGCTGGTCGCCCTCGCACCGGACAAGCCGCGGATCTTTTCGAGGAGGACGAGGGTGGTATGCAACTCTTTCGCTCGTTCTGCGCCACTCGCAACACCGTCTGCTGCCAGCCAGTGAACAGACGGAGGCCAACCCGGCATCGCCGCTTGCCGACGGACGGACGCTCCTCATCGTGTTCCGGATCCAATTTCGAGGAGTCCGCTTCGACTTCTTCTCGCTCGCTCGCTGCTCTGGCTGGACTGGATGATGGCGACTGACTCCGAACCGACTCGCTGGCTGTTGTTGTACGGCGCGCATCTGTACCGTACGTCCCGCTCTCACCTCGCCGACCTTTCTCTTCGCCGAACCCAACTCCGGGCATCCTGACGCTCCCTCTCGCACAGCTGCAAAGTTGAAGACAGTCCTAGGGGACGCACAACCTCTCTCCTCCTCCACCGTCTACACGCCCGACGCATTCCTCGCCTTCTCACTCCCCGGTATCCCCTTCCTCGAGCCCTGCTACGCGACCGCCCTCGTGCGTTCTTACAACGACTTTGGGTCGTGGGAAGGGAGGGAGAAGGATGGGCGGGGAGGCGGGGAGTATAGGAGGTGGGTGTGGGAGAGGTGTTGTCCTGGGATGGAGTATACGGGGGAGATGCCGCCTGCTCTCGAGGTGCGCGTCCCTTTCTCACTCTCCTTTCGAGAGCGCTTGCTGATGAGTGAGGAGCAGGGCATCGTCTACGAGCTCCGACCATCAGACTTCTCCGCCGTCGTCTCCCGCGCATGCGAGATCATCCCTACGCTCCCGACCGACCTCGTTACGGTTTCTTGCACGCGGTATAAGGATGGAGACCCCGCCAAGACGGTGGGAGACGTAGAGGCTAGTATGCTTGTCGTGAAGGGACAGGCGCACGAGGCGGGACTGCATCCGTCCCTTTCGTGAGTTGCCCTCCCCGTCGCTTCGTGAGCGTTCGAGCTGACGCTTGCACGCAGGTATCTCGCATTGATAGTCCGCGGCGCACACCTCAACACCCTTTCGCGGACCTACCTCGCGCACCTGACCCTCCTGCGCCCATTCGACCCCTCTCCCTCGCCCAAACCTTTCCTCGCCTCCCTGATTCGTCTCCTGCTCCTTCCCTCCTTCCTGTTCTTCCATCTCCCGGCGCGGATATTGGGCCTGCATGGATGGGGGAGGGTGGGCAGTTGGTTGACGGGACGGAGCGTGCGGGTCTTGAGGGCGCTCGAAGGGCGGGTGAGAGGATGGACGGGGAGTGGGTATGCGAATGAGGGGAGGGTCAAGCGGACGGCGGGGATGTAGACCTGGATATTGTTATCACGAGGGCGTGTCAAGTCGAGCTTTTCCAGGAGGAGAGAGGCCAGGAATCGCTCTCATTGGCTCCAACTCGCCGCTCGCTGAGTTTGACAAGACGCAGCTGGACAAGATTTGCACAAGGCTTGCGGCAGCGTGCTCGGTGTCGTTCTGCGCACCGTTGACATTCCATGCCGACTCGCGCCAGTTGGCGTCTTGACGCGTGCTGGACGAGGTGAACGCGCGAGATGTGGGTGCTGCAGGGCGTCGTGGGCGAGATGGGCTGGCTGGATAGCCTGCAGCAGTACCGCAGAGCAGTGATACGCTGTCAGAATACCCTCTTGCCGTGGTTGACCGCCGTGCTTGACGAGGCTCGAGAGCGAGACGCGTTGTGTGCTCGCTTCCTCTCTCGCTCTCGCCACTCACTCTGCTCACGGAGGGAGCAGCACACTGCCATGGACACTCTGCAGCAGCCTCTCGTGCACCTCCATCCACAGAGCCAGCGCACTCAGCAACCTGCACCCGCTCACTCGCCCTCGTCGTCGACCAACAAGTCCCCGCTCGCATCGACCCCCTTCTTCCCAGGATTCGACGCACTCTTGCGCACCACACACTCCCCAGAGACACACTCCACGCGCGCACACTCGCCTCCGAGCACCCAGCACACTCGCGCGACCCGTCCCCTCCCCGCATCTCACGTCGCGCCCGCTCACGGCCTCACCTCGCTCGACGCGCAGCTCTACCCGCTCTACTCGCTCGCGCCCAGTGCACCCGAAGTCAGGGTCCTCACCGCAGCCGAGTTTGCAGGCATCCACGACGACTACTCGCGCACTCAAGTCCCCGAGAACGAGCTGTTCCCCTGGTGCCATGGAGGCGCAGACATCCCGCACTCGCCTGCCGCGCACTACTTTGGATTCCCGAGGGGCAAGGCGGCCGAGACGCCCAGGTGAGCGCACACTCCGGCAATGTTGAGCGATGCGGACGGGCCTCTTCGCGCCTCGTCCCGCTCTTACTGTTGCGGATCGCGCAGCTGACCCAGCCCGCTCCCTCGCACAGCTACCGCGGCTTGACTGTCGTTCACGCGCCGCCTCTCCCCGCCCCGGCTCCGACGACCTCGCGCAGCCTCCTCCGCCGCGGCTTCACCTCGTCCTTCTCGTCCTGGTCGTCCTCCTCGAGCTCGTCCGCCACGCCTTCCTCCTCGAGCAGCTCGGGCTCTCCCTCCCCACCCCCTCCGGCAACCGCCACCTCACGCCTCGTCTCGTCCCTCGACGTTTCGGCCATCCTCACGACCCACCCCTCCGGCCGCACGACTTTCGCCCTCCCCAGCCCCGCAAACTTCGAGACCGTCAACCTCCGCCACTTCCGCCTCCAAGCTGCCAAGTACGCCACGATCAGCGATGTCGTCGTCTATGGCGAGAACGGGATCGACGAGAGCGTCGTCGACACGGCGCGCAAGGTGCGCGAGGCGATGGACCACGAGTTTGAGAGGCGCGGCGGGGTGGGCGTCAAGTACAACGTCTTTGTCATCTCTGGTGCGCACCGCCGGTCCCCTCTTGCCTGAGCGAAAATTGACGGAATTACCACCGCCAACTCGCAGACCCGTTCACTGTCTTCGAGCGCAACCACCCCGCCCTCGTCGCGATCGACTCGCACGGCTTCTCGCGCAACCGCCTCAACTTCTTCGAGCGCGAGCGCGAGGAGATGCGCGTGTTGACCGTTGCGAGCGAGATTGGCCCGAACGTCTGGGTGCGTTTGCCGCTCCCTCTCGCCCTTCTCGCGCTCGGACTGACGGGCAGTGGCGATGACTTCGCAGCTCGGAAACACGCAAGACGTCCCGCAGGCCAAGACGCGCGCGCGCCCGCTCTCGTCCGACTCGAACTCGACCATCCTCGACGACGGCAACCCTCTCTCGTTCGCGATCTGCGTCGAGGCGCACGACAGCGCTCCGATGATCACCTCCGACGTGCTTGGCGAGGCTGAGCACTCGCTCAATGTCCTCGAGGAACAGGGACAGGCTTTCGACGAGGTTGACCGCCTACTCGGGCCTGAGAACGAGGTCGTCGAGCAGAAAGTCACCGTCCTCCGCCCGCACGTCGACGACATTGTCCACCTCGAGTCGCTCTCGACCCCCGCGGCGTTGGGCAACTCGTCGCGCGCCCAAACGGCCTTTGTCGCGCAACTGGTCGACCTCGCCCTGTGGATTCGCTCGCAGTCCTCGCCAACCTCGACGTCGGAGGCAAGCCGCATCCCGCGCCGCGTCCTCCTCCACTGCGGAGACGGCTACACCGAGACGTCTCTCCTCGCTCTCGCGTACGTCATGCTCTCGCGCCGCTGCTCGGCGGCAGAAGCGTACCTCTGGCTCCAGCACGAGTGCGAGAGGAGCTTCTTCGTCTATACTGTCGACCGCGAGACGATCTTCAAGGTTGAGAGGCGCGTCAAGGAGGTGCTCGAGAAGGAGGACGAGGAGCAGAGGCTCGCGAGGAGGTGGGTTGCCGAGCAGCGTGCGGTCGCGGCCTTGGGGTTGCAGGGCGTGCTTGGTCACGGTGGCGGCGAGCAGGGCGACGACGAGCACACCGTGACGATTCCAGGCGAGTTTGGACAGTTGTCCAGCGCCGGGATGGGCCGCTCCGACTCGGGTTTCGTCGACTCGACGCCTGAGAACCCTCAGCAGCACCCGGGCGCCGGCCCCGTCCTCGACGACAAGACGTACGCCGCGCTCGAAGAGGAGGCGGAGCGCATCGAGCTTGAGCTCGAGGAGCAGAGTGGCGCGCTCGTCAGGCGCGAGATGAGGCGCGCGAGTCCCGAGACGGACGCGTGGTTCTTTGGACCGACATTCGAGGGACACTTCCCGAGTCGTATCTTGCCGTACCTTGTGCGTTTCCGCTCTCCTTCGCTGCGAAGGACGATGTCGCTGACCTTGGCCTTGTCGTGATACAGTACCTCGGCAACGTCAACCACGCTTCGAACGCGCTCATGCTCAAGGCTCTCGGCATCACGCACGTCGTCTCGCTCGGCGAGTCGGCGCTCCACCCGCCGCCCAAGTCGCTCACCGACCTCACCTCGCTCTTCCGCGGCAACTCGTCGAATTCGCCTGCGACCAACTCGCTCTGGGTCGAAGAGCGCCTCGGCAACATCGCCGTTCTCGACATGAAGAACGTCGCGGACGACGGCATCGACTCGATCCGCCCTTGCATCGACGAGGCGCTCGCGTTCATCACGCAGGCGCGCGACCAGGGTGGCAAGATCCTCGTCCACTGCAAGGTGGGCGTCAGTCGCTCGGCGTCGATCGTCATCGCCCACTTGATGCACGACGTTGGCCTCGACCTCGCGAGCGCCTACCTCGTCACCCGCTCGCGCAGGCTCAACCTCCTCGTCCAGCCCAACTTGCCGTTCATGGCCGCCCTCCACGCCTTCGAGGGCGAGCTCCTCGAGCAGCGCGAGCAGCAGCTCGCTGCCCGTCGCAACTCGGCTGCGTCGGCGTCGTCGGTCGGCAGCAAAAGCCTGTACGACGAGGACGACCTCGTCGATTCGGTCCAGAACCTCGGTCGCGCCGGCCTCAAGCGCAGCAACCGCCTTCATTTCAGCTTCCTCTGCGCCGAGATCGCCCGCCTCAATGAGCGCTTCCTCTGCTGAGGAACGCCCCTCCCCGAAAACGCCTCGACTCCGAGGCGACTCCTTTATTCCGACCATGCGCATCTCCCTCTCTACACTCCTCGATACAGTCTACACACGACCTGATACAAGCATCCGGCGTCGACGTCCGTTCCGCCGCCGTTCAAGCATCGTCACGACCTTTCCCTACACTCACCACCTAGCATCGCTTCACGACCCTCCCATCCCTCGAGATACCCCCTACACGCATACACTCCCTCTCGCATCGCCTTTCATCCTCTCTCTCTCTCCCTTGTGCCCTACGCATTGACGTCCGTGTATCCCTCTCCGCGCCACGATTGCCTTCGACTGTTTCTGTGCCACTTCCGCTTGACCTTGTCGCGCTTCACGAGCTTCGTTCTTTCTGTGCATTGTACCCCTCCGTTCATGGCCCGCGAGCTTTCCAGCGAGAATAGAGGATCGGGAAAGCGTGTTGCGAAGGTCGTGCCGAGTGCGTACACCCTCACCACCTCACTCTGTGCACCTCGGAGACTCGGAAAGGCAGAACTGGATGCACGAATGCCGAAGGAGTGAGCTGAGTGCGATCCACATAGTTCATTCCCGCTAGAGAGCCCTCCCCCCGTGGTCATGCATTCCTCACCAATCCGCTCCGCACGCTTCATCACGCTTCATCCTCGTCAAGAAACCTCAGAATGTTCTCGCCTGCAGTGAGGGGCTGCGAGGCGGGCGAGCGCAAGGCGTCAGAAGAACACAGGCGGGAACAGCAGAGTTGGTCGGACGTACGTTGCCGGTCTTCCTCAGCTCATCCATGAACAACTTGTAGTAATATTTGAGCTTCGATGCAACGGGTCAGTAAACGCCTGCGAAGGCCGAGAGAGGGAGCGCGACGCACTACTCGCGCTCTATCGCGATAACGTCTCGCGCGCCGTGCAAGCACGTTCAGGTAGTCAGCCTTGTAGTACACGTACCTCGGACTTGACGGATCCAGCTGTCCTCGACGAGAGTAAGCCAAAAGTACATCGTCGCACGAGCGGAAAGAAGTTGACGTGCAGGAGCGGTTGTGAGGTTGGTAGAGCGGATCTCACCGTCATGCCCCAGCAAGTAACTCTTGCTAAGTTGATGAGCAAGCGCCTCTCCAGGGCGTTCGCTCCCAACGATTCGCCACGCAACAGTGTGAGCCTGGACGATACGCCATGCGATCTGCAGCGATAAGGCGTCAGTCTTTGGGCCTGCAACTCATGAGTGGGAGGCATCTCACCGCTTCGGCAGAATGCGAATCCCCGTGCGACGCACTTGGCTCGACACGCGCCAGCTCGCGTCTGAACTCGCCAGGCTCGAGCAAGCATCGCTGCACAATGAGCAGCTGTCCATTTTGTCAGTACAGAATTCCCTCGCAGCCTTGCTCAACGCGCACCCGAACCCATTTGTGTGCGTCAAGTTTCCCCTCAACGAGGGTGTCGACAAGGTCCGCAAGACGTTCGGCTTCCTCGTCTGTCGGTTCGACCGGCGGGAAAGCGGCGAGAGCTTTGGCTCTAGCATCTTGGATGTCGCGCTCGAGGCAGCTCTGCAGCACAGATGCCGCCTGCTCAGCAAGAGGCGTCAGCTAAAGACCAAGCCGAAGCGAGCGAGCAGAGAACCTACCGCGGATGGGAGGTCCCGCGTCTCGTCCCGACTCTGCGTGAAGACCTGCGTAGTGAGTAAGAGCGGGCAAGGGATGGCGTTGGTTGCGGGCCCACCTCGCTCCCCTCCTCGCAGTCTCGAGTGCCGAGTCGGCGACCGCCGGGAAAGAACCGCCGCAAAGACATGCCACCAAACGCACAATCTCCGCGCTGGGTAGGAGCAAGCGATACAATGAAGCGGAAGAAGCGCAAGACGATGCGAGGGCGAAGAGGCGAAGGAGGAGGCGAGGAAGAGGTCCGTCGGAGGCCGCGGATGAAGAGAACGTGCGTCTCGTCTTCTGACTCTGCTGCCCGAGCAAGAATAGCGCACATTCGGCGCAGATGGAGAGACGGCAACGATGCAGTGCAGCGCTAGCCGAGTACGCCTCGCGGGCGGTCCATCACGGGACGCCTGTGCACCTGTGCCGGAAGATACAGCTTCAGCGGGACATCCTGAGCTGGGCAAGCGGCTTGAGTGCTGAATTGACGTACTTGAGTAATCTGCGCTCGTCCTGCCGGGGCCAGAGAGGCGAGAGTCTCCTCGCCGGCTTTGACGGGCTGCACGGGCAGAGCAGGCGGATCCTGCGGTCAGCCCACGGTACGGCAAGCGCGAGCTGTATACGTACATTCAACTCGGATACAGTGGCGCGCAGGTACTTGCGCATCTGTGCGAGGGGAGGTAGGAGGTCAGCCGAGGAGGCGGAAAATGCGGGTGAAGCAACAAACCGTGGCGGCAAGTTGCTCGTCAGGCAGGTGCAGGCGAACAAACTGGCGCGCGATTTGACAGGCATTGTACGTCTTGAAGTAGACGAAAGTGACGGAATTTGCCGCGAGCTAAACACTCGAGGCGGCGTTAGCCGATGTCGCCTGGAGAAATGACTCGCAAACTCACCTGGATGTTCTGCAGATTGCCCTCCGCGACCTGATGCGCCGTGTTCGTGAAGAAAGACTGGCACAGAGTGGCGCGCAGTTTCTCCGGGCTCGACGCAATGCCTTCGGCAATGCGCTCCGCTGTACGTACGGCGAATTTGACCTGACGAGATCTGGAGGTCAGCTCATGCCCCGTTCAACGGAGAGGAGAGACCGATGCACCTCGCCGTATGACCCTGGTTCGGCATGCGACATGCCTGCGAACCTGTCAGGGTGCCGGAGGCACTGAAGAGCAATCTCGGCCTGCAATCAGCCGCAAGAAGTCAGCTTGGATCCACGAAGAAGACCTCAGGTCCATCTCACTTTGATCCACTCGTGCAACTCCTCCTCGCAGTACTCGATGCCACCATGCGAAGTCAAGAGCTGCACGATCTTGCGATTTTCCTCCTCGAAGGACATCTCCTCCGTCGCGGATCGGAATGCGCGCGGGAGTCCATCGAATAGCTCGTAGCGCTGCTGGGCGAGACGAGCGAGCTGCGTCTTCATGGCCTGCCAAGATTGTTCATCAACAATGTCGAGCAACAGCGAGGGACACAGGCAAACGCACTTCTTCGGCCAACTCCTTCTTCGCCACTTCGTCCTGTAGATGAAGAGTCGGTCACTGCACTCCTGCATGTCCCTCGAGAGGAAGCGAGACGGACCAGCCGGTGAATCTCGTCCCCCAACTCTTCGATGCGTCGCTGTTCGAGGTAGGCGCGCTTCTCGTAGTCGTCGGGCCTGACGTCGGGAAGCAGCCTCTTGACGAAGCTCTGTAGACGCGGCTTGAAGAGCTGGAGATGGTGCTCCTCTTGGTCGAGAATCTGCACCGGGATGCGGACATTCTGGAAGGTGGCGGATCCTGGTCAGTAGAGAGGCGGTTGAGCTCTCGAACGGCGCGCTTACGTGGAACGTCTTGGACTGCCGGGCAGACTTTGGTCAGCGTGGTCTGCGGCGTACAAGCGGTGAGCGAGCGCACCTGCGGCGCGAAGTCATTGTACTCTCGCATCATCTTGCGGTCGTCGTGAAGGCGCTTCACAGCCTCATCCTATCTTCGACTCGTTAGACCCAAGCTTGTCCAGTCGGCGGCGAGAAGCGAAGGAGGTACGCACGTCGTGCTCCTGCAACGCCTTGGCGACGTCTTGCGCGTGCTGGTCGTGCATCTCACGGAGCACGTCCTTCCGAAGATCATCCGGCACCGCGCCCCTCATCCCCATGGCCTGCGGAAATAGACGAATGAGGGTGGGTCGAAGGTGAGCGATCCGACCACGCTCACTCGTCGAGCATGCTCCTTCGAGACGTCACCGGCCGAGGGCGGTGGCGAGAGAACTGTGTGCTGCGCAGAGAACCTCGGAATATGAGCCAAAGACGCTGGCAGGAGGTGAAATGGCTCACCCCCTCCTTCTCGAGCCGGGTGCGAGCTCTAGCAGTTGAGTCGAAGATCGAAGGCGTCATCGCAAGTTAAGCCTAGATGATAAGCAGCAATGCGCGGAAGGAATGGCGAGCAGGTTGAGGGCGAAGGAAGAGAAGGAAAGAGGAGAGGGACGGGCGAAAGCAACCTCCGTCGGATGCCGCGGACCCTGATAAGACAGCAGACAATGCAAAGACAATGGGTTGTTACGCCAGTGTGCCGCTTTTCACTGAGCAGCGACACCGTCTGTCGTCTGTCGAGGCGATGTGGGCAGCGGCGTGAACGAGAGAACGGACGTGGACGGTCTGGTTGAGCCGGGCGAGGGTGTGCAGTCGTTGGTACTGGTCGAACGGGCTTGTGTAAGCATCTCTACCAGCCCGTCAAGCGTGGCGTGAGCAGCATCAGTGAGCGGTCGAGGTCGAAGAAGTGGAGAGCGAGCGGGTCGACCTCTCCACGAACGCTCTGCCGCTCTGTTGGACTTTATAGCTTGCTGAACGAGTCAGAACAGGCTCAGAGATGGTACGTCAGCCGCCCCAGCCTCCCACGCGCCATGCTGACGCCGTTTGCACCCCCAGGCCCTCCTCACTGAATCCGTCTCGAAGCCAAACGTACACAAGCGCATCGATGCGTTGGCTGTGAGGCTCAGGCGACGGTGAGCACCCCTTCTAAGCTTGCCAAGCCGTTCCGCCCCGCTCACACGCTCGTCGTCGCCGCGCAGACAGCTCATCGGTTCGCGCGAGGTTGCGCTCGAAGTCGTCCGCCTCTTCCGCGACGTCGTGGCTGGAGCGCGCTTCAGTCCGTTCGATCAGCTATTGGCCCATCTGGAGGAGATTGGACGGGTCTTACAGGATGCTGGGCCAAAGGGTGAGTCAAGACCGCTTCCTCTTCCCTTTCTCTCGGAGGTGAACGATGCACAAACGGGTACTGGGGGCGTATTCCAACCTCATGGGCTCGAGACTGATCTGCTCGAGGTCCCGCAGAACTCGTCGTGACCAACATGACCCGCCGAATCTGCATGCTCATTCGCGAAGAGTACCAGACGGCTCTCTCGAACCACCTGGCCGAGACTGGCGGACCAAGCGGCGCGCAGACGCCGATACAGGTGCCGCAGACGCCGTCCCTGAATCAGGAGTTGAGCGGGACGTTCATGACGGAGCAGGACTTGCCGATCAAGTCGAGCGGGGCGCTCGGCAGCATCTTCGACTTGTTGGGTCACAAGTCTGCCATCGACGGTGTCGGACGAGCTTCGTACGGCTTCGCATCTGCCGACAACTCGCCCACCGCTTCGACATCCAGCACGCCCATCCAGTCGCCTTCTTCCTCCCAAATTCTCCAACGACCATCACCCGCAACTTTCAACAGCAACTTTGCCTCCTACATGAGCGACGGCGACCAGTCACGAGAAGAGGTCTTCTCGCGGAGAAGCTACCACCTGAAGCCCGTATTCATCGAGGCGATTCAGGAGCTCATGGACGAGGTTGAGACGACGTATCGCAGTGTGGGCGAGCAGGCTCTCGACCACATTCACCCTGGGTGCGTATGCGTTCCGGCACGGGCTCGAGAGAAAGCTCGCTGACTTGCGTATTCTTCGCAGCGAATTCATCTTGACTATCGGCCACTCAAAGACGGTCGAGGCGTTCCTGAAGAATGCGGCGCGGAAGCGCAAGTTCACCGTCATCTGTGCCGAAACGGCTCCTTCGTGCGTTGAGTCGCCTTCGCGAGGAATGGCAGCCGTACTGACGCTCTCGGACTCCCCCAGCTTCTCCGGCCGCGACGCAGCAGTCGCCCTCTCAGCCGCCGGCATCCCCACGATCCTCATTCCCGACTCGAACATCTTTGCCCTCCTCCCTCGGTGCTCGAAAGTCCTTCTCGGGCCCCACGTGATCCTGGCGGACGGCGCACTCCTCTCCATCACGGGCTCGCTCCCGCTGTGTCTCGCAGCGAACAGGATGCGCGTACCGGTTGTGGCGGTAGGAGGGATGTTCAAGTTTAGTCCGGTGTACCTTGGAGAGGCGGATTGGGGGATGAGGGATTTGGGAAGTCCCGAGGAGGTGCTCAAGTCGACGGAGGAGTGTGTTGCGGAGCGAGGCGGAGACGAGTTGGACGAGACCGAGGTGTTGAACCCTTACTACGACGTCGTGCCAGCCGAGATTGTCGACTTGTACATCAGCAACCTGTGCGTTAGCGACCCTTTCACCACCTTTCAAACCGCTGACTGACGGCTTTGATTCTTTCGCAGCGGCGGACACCCCTCGTCCCTCCTCTACCGACTGCTGAACGACATGTACGGCTCGTCATAGCGCTCGTGCAATGCCCAGCAAGTCTCTCGCGCCTGCGTTGGCGGCGGGGGCTCTTCTTCCACCCTGCTTTGCAGTCGCTAGACTCTCGCGAACCTCGTCGCGCCAGATGCTGTGCAACAAACTGCTTGCAAAGACAACCGAAGAGAACGACCAACGAAAGAGGAACACGAGGCGAATGATACACAAACTGAAAGAACCCTATCAGCGAGACGAGGCGGTTTATTCGGCGACAAAGACGGCCGCGGCGCCCATTCCGAGACCCTGCACATGACGATCCGTGTGAGTGAGAGAGTAGGAGGGAAGGAGAAAGAGGCGGGGGACGCACGATGCACATCGAGGTGACGAGGATCTTGCCGCCGCGACGGCGGATCTCGTGGAGACCGGTGGCGATTTGGCGTGCACCAGCTGCAAAGTACTCCGCAATACATCAGCGAATGCTCAGGGGAGGAAGAGAGGTTGAGACGCGTAACGCACTGCATCCAAGCGGGTGACCAAGCGCGATCGCGCCGCCCTTGACGTTGACCTTGTCATGCGGCAAACCGTAGATGTCGATGCAGTACGAGAGCATCGACGCGAAGGCCTCGTTGACTTCGAAGAGGTCGACGTCGTCTTTGGTGATGCCGCAGCGCTCGAGGACTTTGGGGATTGCAAAGGCGGGACCCTGCGCGCGTTTGACGAGGTCAGTGAGGGTGAAGAAGGGAGTGGGAGCGGGAGGAGACGCACGATGCCCATGATGCGAGGGGGAAGACCCGCGACCGAGGTAGCGACGTGCTTTCCGAGGATCTCGAGTCCAAGTTCCTCCGCCTTGCGACGGGTCATCAACAAGACACCCGCAACACCGTCGGTGATCTGACTCGCGTTTCCACCCGTAGTCGTCCCGTTCCCCCACTGCGGGAACGCCGCACGAATCTTTCCAAGCGCCTCCTTCGTCGTACCCGGTCGGATCCCGTCGTCCTTGGTGACGAGGACTTTTTGGCGCTGGGGCTTCGAGTCGGACGAAGCGGACGGCGCGGAGGGAGCGACGAGAGCCTCGATGGGGAGGATCTCCTTGTCAAAGAGGCCGGCGGCCTGCGCCTGGGCGGCGCGCTGCTGAGAGGCGGCGGCGAGCTCGTCCATCCGTTCGCGGGTGATGTTGAAGTCTGCGCGTTGGGGAGAGTCAGCACGTGAAGCGAGGGAAGGAAGAACGCAGAGAACGCACCCTTTGAGACGTTCTCCGAGGTCCAGCCCATCGGGTACTGAGTGTCCTTGGCGACAGGGTGAGCGAGGACCTCCTCAGCGAACGAGTCGGCACCGCGGTCCGGACTGTGCGAGCGTCTTCGTCAGCGGTTGGACAGAAAGAAAGGGAAGGAGGGAAACACACGTCGCAGACATGCTCTCGAATCCGACGGCAAGACCGATCTCGATCTCGCCGTTGCGGATCTGGTTCGAGACGTTCTGGACAGCCATCAGGCCGGACGAGCAGAAGCTGCGCGCAAGCACACACCGTTAGTTCTCGCGCAAGGAGAAAAGGGGAGGGGAGGACGAACCGGTTGATGATCTGGAGAGGGACAGTCTCGGGGATTCCAGAGGCGATCTGAGCAGCGCGAGCATCGTAGGGAGCCTTTGGCGGGAGGACGGTGCCTGTACGAGACGTGCGTGAGCTGGGGTTTGTCAGCCGCGGAAGGAAGGGAAAGTCCAGACGAACCGACAGAGATGTCGCCGATGAGGGCCGGGTCAATCTTCATCTCGGGGATGGCTTTCTGCGTGCGCGGTGTCCTGTCAGTGGTACTCTTTCGAAAGCGAGTGCCGGTCAAAACGCACCTTGAAGAAGGCGATGAGGAGTTCCTGGACGCTCATGTCCTTGAAGCCGCCCTTGCGGGCCTTCTGCAGGGGCGTGCGGACAGCCATGGTGATGACAACTGCGTTCGCGCATCGTCCGGGGTCAGTCTGAGTGCCCGGAGAATAGGGCGCGAGGTGCGGGTCGCGAGTGGGGATGGGAGGGGTGGGAAGGCGGGCGCACCATCGTCGGGGCTCTTCTTGAGGAGCTTGCTCTTTCCGGTTCCGCGGATCGAGTCGATGGTGGATGAGATGAGGCCCGACATGGTTGTGCTGTGCGAGTCTGTAGTGTGCGGGGAGAGCGGGAGCGAGATGGGGTGGCGGTTGTTTGAGCGGGTGTGGGAGCTGACGAGTGCTGGTGCTGTAAGAGTGGTAGTAGCCCTGTGAACAGTAACAAGAGTGAAGAGAGAGAAGGAGAGAAAGAGAGAGCGAGCCCGGAAGTGAGCGAGCCGGCAAGCGGCAAGTCGAGCGAGTGCCGGGTTGGCCGCTGCCGGACTCCGCCTCAGCCAAACTCGACAAGCAGCGCGGCTCGGCTTCCACTCCAAGATGACTACACCAGTAAGCGACTCCCGGTGGGATGCCGAACAGCCGGGCGACCCTCTCTCGACTTTCCTCACACGAACCGCGGGAACAGACGCAACGCCTCACAATGGCTCGAGTGGTCCAGCTGGGGCGCAATCGTGCACTTGTGCAGCCTATGCAGCCGACGAGCAATTAGCAGACGCGCGGAAGCCGAGGCGAGGACGACAGGGGAGGCTTTGGTCAGGATGCTGCGTCTTCGAGCGTCGCATGAGGAGGACGTGCTCGATTGCGTAGGCGAGGTATGGCGACAACAACATCGTGCAATAGATACGGACGAGACTGCGAGCAACGACGAGTGTCAGCCAGACCACAGCGGAGCAGAGGAAAGACTTGAACATACGAGAGGAACGGCAAGGGCTACTCCATGACGAACAGGCCAGGAGCGTAGTAGTCTCGTTGGACATAGACCGCATCCCCAGCCTGCTCGTCGACCCAGAGCATCCCATCATCCATCACCGCCTTCTCGAGCGCCCTCTCGACCCTCTCGACATCCCACGCCGCGCCTTCCCTCCCCGTATACTCGCGCAACTCCTCCGCCGTCACTGCTCCGCGTCTCGTACTCCCCGCAGCTTCAACAGCCACGAGCGAGTCGCGGTCCAGCTGGCCTGGAGAACACCGCACGACCTTCTTCGACCCGACGGTGAGGATGGTGTAGCCGCATCCGAGCGGTTCGAGCGCCTCGATCGCGCGCTGGACGTCGGCTTCTGTGATCTCCGACGAGGTAGTCGTCGGCGTCGCTTCGAGAGGCGTAGGACCGGCCGCCTTGGGCGCTCCAACCGTCTTGACATGCTTCCCGCTCCTCAACTTCTGCACCTCCCTGATCACCTCATCGAGCGCAACGAGCCCTCCTCCCCTCTCCCTCGCCCTGAGACAAACATCCACGACCTGCACCCCGAGCGCATAATACCAATCCGTCAAGCCCATCTTATCCCACAGGCCCTTCGATCCGCCTCCGAGCGGGTCTACACCCAGTTCGGCGCAGAGAGCGGAGAAGTGTGTCCGGAATTCGGGGTTCGAGAGGATCTTGGCGCGGTGGTGGGAGGAGAAGCGTGAGAGGGCGGATTGGAAGGTCGAGAGTTGCGAGGAGAGCGTCGAGGCTTGTTGTGCGGCTAAGGAGGTGCCGAGCGTGGTGTAGTGGTCCGCCGAGTCGAGGTGGCGCTGTAGCGAGCTCAGACCGGCTGCTCGGCGGGCCATGGTGAGTGGTAGAGTGAGGAGACGAGGGTCAAGGTGTGTCGGGCGATGAGGTGGGGAGGGTGGTCGACAACGACGAGCAGGGCTGCCAGTAGCGTGAGGGCGATGTAGACGGTCTGTGAAAGCTACCGCCGAAGCAAGCCGAGCGAAAGAGAGCGCTGCGGAAGTCACCTCGCTCTCCTGGACGAGGCGAACTACGACGAGATCAACATCGCACGACAGCATGCCGGCACAACCACTCGAATCTACTTCTTCCCCTCTTCGTCCTTGACCTCCCCCGCCGCGGCCCTCCTCAGCGTCCTAAACGCCTCACATCCCTCGACATCCACGCCCAACTCCTCCGCGTCCTTCGCAAGCGTCTCGACGTCCAGCTGCATCTGCATCTTGACGCGGTCGTCGTCCGATGAACCGTCTTCAGCTCCGGTCGACGCGGTGGCGGCCCGGCCGAAGAAGGAGAGCCCTTGGCGGCCTTTTTTGAGCCACCGGAGAGAGTCTTCCGTCTTCTTTTGCGTCGAGAGGATGGACGTGTAGCTGCGCGCACAGACGCCTCGTCAGTCCGCGCTCCTCCAAAAGAGCAGAGAACCTCGACTCACCGCCCCGCAATGTCCTCCACCACAACCGTTGCCAACCTCCTCCTCAACTCCACCTCCACCACCCTTCCTGGTCCACCAAGATACGCTCTCACCTCCTTGAGGATATTATGCACAAAGTAACTCGGCTCTGAAGGGCCTTTGCGAGTACTGGCGCGCACTTGGGACGCGACGGACCGGACGAGCTTGAGGTGTTCGGCGCAGCGCTTGATGAGGATTGTGGTGATCTGGGAGGAGAGGGAGGGAACGATGGCGGTTACGGAGGAGAGGGAGTCGCGCATGATGTCTGGACGGCGAGAGTCAGCAAGCGGTTTCGAACGAAGAGAATGTGTGAACGTACCGCCCGCCTCGTCCCGCCCGTCCGCCGGCAAGCGACCCTTGATCCTCTCCTCAAACAAATCCAACACCTTCCGCTCCATCGTCTGCGCATCCGCTATCAGCACGGTCAGCTGTCGCAGCGTCGTCTCCTCCGAGACTTCGTCGTTGACTGGGGCTGGGCCGGGGGTCGCTGGTCGACTGTTGCCGGCTGAGGCGGCGAGCTGTACGCGCGACTGTCAACACTCGACAGAGAGAGAGAAAGGCAGGGAAGAGGCAGATGCTCACTCGACTTCGGTCGCCATCGAACGAGGCTCGACTGGCGGGACTGCCAGGCGCTGCTGCGGCGAGGTTTGCGGACGAGGCGCTCGTAGGCAAGACGTATCGCGGGACTCGGTCGTTGAGCCATGTGCGGTACCGGCTGACGATCTACGTTGGACAAGACGTGGGGTCAGCATGCTTGAGACGGCGAATCTCGCGAGCGCGCAGAGCAGGACCCTCGAAAGCACCTGCAGCGTCAACCTCCAGAACCTTCCCGCCAACTCCTCCAGCCACACATCATCGTCCCAGCACCTCCTCAACGCCTTGAACGCCGCCTCACTCTCGCTCATCACGAACCCCTCCGCCCCTCCTCCGCTCGCTTGACCGACTTCGAACGCTCGCTCGACGGAGGTGACGGCGTCTTTGAAGCGGAGCTGGAAGTAGACTGGGAGCTGGAAGCGCTTGAGGAGGGTCGTGTAGGTTGAGTGGGATCGGAGAGAGGTCAGGCGAGCGAGCGTGGGCGAGAGCGACTCAATGCGTGAGACGAAGGCGGTCGTGAGGAGGTAGTTCTGCGCAAGAGACGTCAGCTGCCGATCTTATGCGCATCATGACCGGCGCGCGCACCTGATGGAACACCGTTGGTCGACCAGCAGCGTAGATGACGCCTCCCAGCTCGCCCATCAATGCCGTTCCGATCTCGTCAAACAAGACGTTCGTCAAGATCTCGAAACCTTCCACCTTCTCCGCCTCGCCGCCTGTGGATGCCGCACCATCTGAGTCGATTCTTCGCCGGTCGGGCTGAGTCACCAGTACCCGCTCAGCGACGTCAAGTAGGACCCCGCAGTCGTGCGAGACGAATGCGAGGATGCGGTTGTAAAGCGCGGTGAGAGGCGCGGCATCCGTTCCTTCTCGGTGTGCTGGAGGAACTCCAATGTGTTCGATGCGGTACGGTGGAGGAACATGAGCCGGATGGGACGAAAGAGCGGCAGAGTCGGATGGAGGGGAGAGGGCGTCGCGGTGAATGGCGTGTTTGACGAAGGGGCGGGCGACGTCTCGTCGCACGATGTCTTCGACTTGCGAGACGAGACCGAGGGAGAGGAAGGTACGGAGTGCGATGGTGAGCTCTTCTCGGTATGTCGGGGTCGAGGGAGAGCCGGCAAGGATGGCGGAGAGGAGGGAGGAGAGGTCGGTTCGCAGGGCGGAAGTAACGCGATCGATGCGCTGGAGGTCGAGAGTCAGCTTTTGTGCAAAGAAACAGAACATGCTGGAGCTTACAGGCTGAAGAGCCTTGACAAAGGGAAGGTCGCCTGCTCGTTCGACAAGGTACAGCATGTGAGTGTATTCGCTCGCTATCCGCTCTAGCCGCTTCGCTGGCGAATCCACAGCGCTGTGCGAAGTAAAGGTCAAGCCGTTGCCCGGCAGAGAAGAGAGAGCGAACACACAGGTCAAGACTCCTCGACTTGTCCCCCTCGCCAGCCGGCTTTAACAAACCCTCCACCTTGTCGACGGCCTCCTCTGTCGCCAACAGTCTCCGCATCATGGCTTTCATCTCCCGGACCTCCTTCCGCTCGTCCAGGACGCCGCTCATCTCGCTTCGCATGTCCTCCAACTCGTCCTTGACGCGCATGACTTCCCCTCGAACGGAGAGAACGGGTCGGCGGATCGTGGCGAGCGATTGGGAGACTGCGGCATGCTTGAGACCGAGCGAGAGACCGATGAACGCCTCGTACTCCTCGTTGATTACGCCGACGAGGGAAGTTCGAAGAGTCGCGAGGTACCCGCGGAGCTGCGGGCGGTGAAAGGGCAGTCAGTACAAAGCCAAAGACTCGCCGTAACGGCTAGAAAGCCGCCTCGAGCTACTCACCTCGCTCCGCAGGTCGTCGAGTGGGGTATGTCGGCGAGCGAGCAGGAACTCGCTCGCATCAAAGTCGTCGCCCGCGAGGGCTTCGTGGCTGAGCGGTGGCGCGCTCGGGAGGTCCACCTGCCCCTCTACCGCCGCTGAAAGATCCGCCGTCGAGAGCACAGTCGTGAAACTCGGGCGATGCGACAACGCTGGCTTGGAGGGCGGCGAGAGCGTCGCTGGCCGGCTGGGGGAAGTTGTCGCTGGCTGTGCCGGGTTGAATGGGTCCTGAAGCGCGTCCCCGGCCATCTCTGCCAGCGAACGGCGCAACGAGGCCGTCGTCGTTCCCGCCCAACCTTCATCCCGACACCTCTCTCGCCTGTACACCTCGCTTCGCTCACGGTGCTGCTGTCTGAAGGGTGTTGAAGCGCTCAGAATAGGCGCTGAGAGCTGTACTCGCGCCAACCTCGCTTTCCTCGGCTGTGGTCGCCTCGTTCTCCCCCCGCTCTCCCACCTCTCGGTCGACCCGTCATGCAAGGCGTTGCCATCGTGGATTCGGCAGGGTGTGTACACTGATGCACTGCCTCTGCTTTGTCACAGCTGACCTATCTTCTGTCCGCAGCCGCCGCATCCTGTCAACCCACTCTCCCTCCTCCCTCCAGGCCAACCTCGCAATCGACGCCGCCGTCGCGTCTTCCTCGCCAGTGCTATGGGTACCGGCCATCAACGGCAAGAGTGGTGATCACCTCGACGATGAGAGCGAGGACGAAGAGGACCAAGTTGAGCAGCCCTGGGCTCATGCTTCACGGCGGTCTGGCGGTGGAATTGCTGTCTGCCAGGTCCAGCGAAACGGCCTGCGCTTTATTTCACTCGTCGACAAGGATGGTACGCATTCAAGCGGAACTGAATGAAGCAAGCGCTGACGGCCGACGTTCCCGTCCTCCCAGTCGACCCGCTCATCCCCTTGACTTTCCTCACCGAACTCTACGAAGTTCTGAAAACCTACATCGCCGGCCCTGTGACTGAGGGCAGCATCAAGGTACTGCCATTCCTCCTCTGGCTGCGTCCTGCCGCTGACCAGACCTCGCCTCGCAGGACAACTTCGACGTAGTCCTCGCCCTCCTGCAAGAAATGGTCGTCGGCGGCCGGCCACAGCTATCACAAAGCCCGCAGCTCAAGGACCTTGTCGTTCCGCCAGACTCGCAGTTGCTCGCGAAGGTGGCACTGAACGCAGCGACTGCTGCTGGGTAAGCCATGCTCTTCCACGCCTGCGACCGCTTGGCGGCTGACAAGCCGATTTCAGACTCGCGATCCCCTCTCAGTCGACTGCGGCAAACGCGCTGATCGCGTCACCCTTGCCATGGCGGAGACAAGGAATCAAGTACACCTCGAACGAGATCTGTTCGTACCGAACGCGTCAATATGCGTCCACGAGTTCCACTGACGGACGTCCCCGCAGACTTTGACCTGATAGAAACTATTTCCTTCACGCTCGACCCCGCCGGAAAACCCATCACCGGCTCGATCACCGGCGACATCGCGTGCCGCTCTCGCTTGTCTGGCATGCCCGATCTCTCCCTGAACTTCACCGACCCTTCCGTACTCGACGAATCGGCCGCCTTCCATGCGTGTGTGCGGTATAGCAGGTGGATGAAGGACAAGGTCGTCTCTTTCGTACCGCGTGAGTCGCTATCGAGCCTCATTGCCTTCTGCCCCCCCCCCGCTAACTGTGACTTACGAGCAGCCGACGGCACCTTCCCGCTTCTCTCCTTTGTTCACACGCCGCCCAAGACATCTCCCGCCCTCGCCCTTGCCCTTCTTCCCTTCTCCGTCACCTCGCAAATCACGCTCGGCACTTCCGGCGGCTCCTTCTCCATCACGCTCACCTCCCGCTCTCCAGCTTCACGACCACTCACGAGCCTTGTCGTCCGCATGCCGCTCGCCACGGGCGCAAACGGCGTCACCGCGACCGTCTCAGGCGGCGCTTACCTGCGCGACGACGAAGGGCGGAGTATCGGCGGTGGCGCGGGACGATGGGACGTCGTGGCCGAGACTGAATTCGCGAGCGACGGAAAGGCGACGGAGAAGCAGTTCTTGGTGTGGAAGATTGACCAGCTCGAGTCGACGGATCGGCCGGCTGTCTTGACGGGACAATACTACGCGTGCGCCCTGCCTCTTCCTGCTCGTGCTGAGTCTCAGCTGACTGTGCCGCTTCGCAGCTCACCCAACGCGCGGAAACCTCCCGCGTTCACCTTCGCCTTCGACTCGCCTTCGTCCGGCTTCTCCGGCCTGCGAATAAACTCGCTCAAGGTACTGAATGAGCCGTACAGCGTGTACAAGGGCGTCAAGACGAGGGGACGTGGCGAGATCGAGGTGCGGACTGGCTGAGCCCGCGAATGCGCCTGCAACGTACTCTCGTTTGCTTCGCAGACAATATGGAATGAGAGACGTATTTTCACAGCTTGCAGATGCGTCGAGTGGGGTTTAGAGAGATTCATGCGAGGTACTGGTTCTCCTTGAGCCACTGCTCGACGTCCTTCGAGTCGCGCTCCAACCACTTGGCCTTCGCACGAACCGAGTCGAGACCCTGGCTCAAGAACTGGTCGTACACGCTGGTCTGCTTGTCCTTGAAGAACTCCTCGACTGCCTTGGCATCCGCTTCGGTCGAGAGACTCGAGAACGTGAGCTGGACGATCCGGCCGATCGAGAAGTTGCCCTTGAAGCGCTCCATGATCTCGTCGTAGTGCGCCTGTAGCGAATAAAGAGGTTAACACGGTGCACGAAGATGGCTGGGGAGGCTTGGACGCACCTTGAACCACTCCCAGACCTTGCGCTTGGCGAGGCGGTTGCGAGCGAGGTGAGCGACGAACGAGGCGATGTCCTGGTTCTTGACCTCGCCCGAGAGGATGAAGTCGATTGAGCGCTGGATGAGCTCATCCTTCTCGCTCGAGCAAAGCGCAGCAATCGCCGAGCTCCTGTGCGCAGGCGTGGGCGGGTTGCGGTACACCTCGAGGACCTTCTCGTACTCCTTCTCGCCGCCGAACCTGACGCATTGGGTGTAGATGCTCGTCTTGAGGTCACCGGGAATGAGCGAGTCGTCGTTCTTCTCGATGAACTGGCCGAAACGACGCTTGTACTCGGCAAGTGTCGCCTCGTCGCCGGTGACAGCAGCCGTGGAGATGGCCATCGTGCGGAGCTCGACCGTGTCGACGCTGTCGGAGTCCGAGTACTCGAAGCCGAGGCGGTCGGCGACAGGCTTGAAGAGTTCGCGGCGGAACTTGGAGATGGCGTCGCGGACCTCCTGCGGCTGCTCCCACCAAGTCGACGAGAGGTTGCCGAGCGCGCCGCTGATCTCCTGCCAGACTGCGAGCATGCGTGAGGTTTAGCGAGTGCTTGGACTGGACAAGGGTGCGCAGGCGTACCGAGATTCTCCTCCTCGCCCTTCATGCCCTTGATGAGCGTGAGCGCGCCGCTGGTCTTGGCGTAACCCGAACTGGCGAGAACGGCGGCATCCTGGACGAGACCCATGCGGTCGTTGAGCGAGAAAGCCGAGGTAGATGCCTTGCCAGCCTCGTCACCGAGCTTGGCGAGGCGCGAGACGGGGTAGAGGGTGCGATCTGCGGGACGAAAGACCAGTGTGCGAGTCAGCGAGGTGAGACTAAGCAAGCGGAGGACACCGCGACGCACAGACACCGCAAGTCTCGGCGTTGAGCTTGTAGGTCGTGTTGGCGACGTTGGGCAGCTCGATCTCCTGCTCGCGCTGAGTGAGGACGACGTCGGAGTGAACCTTTTTCTCGCCAGTCTTGGAGTCGACGACGAGGATCTGGAGAGGAACCTGCCAGATCGTCTCGTCTTCCTCGGGCTGCGCGCGACGACCGTCAGCCGCAGCGAAAGAAAGGAGAAGGAGACTCGACGCACCGTCGCATCCGCAGTGGCGAGGAACCTGTTTTGCTTGACTTTGAGGCCCTTCTCGGTCTCCTCGACGCTGATGAGCGGGAAACCGGTCTTCGAGAGCCAGTTCTTCATGAGCGTAAGGGCGTCCACGCCAGAAGCCTCCGAGATGCCGGCCATGAGGTCCTCGGTGCGAGCGTTGCCGTAGAGGTGCTTCTTGAGGTAGATCGAACTGCAGGCAGGGTGTAAGCGTTTGATGGACGGGCGAAGCAAGGATGAGCCACGCACACTCCCTTGAGGAACTTCTCCTCTCCAACGAAGTTCGACAGCATCTTCAAGCAACTCGCGCCTGCGATGCGGATGGATCTGTCAGCATCGATTCCCCTCTTCTCTAGAAGCTTGCTCACCCTTCGAGTAGGTCAACGCGTCAAAGATCTGCTGGATCGTTTCCTCGTTCGGGCAGGGCATCTCAATCGGGTGCGACGAGCGGAGGGCGTCGAGTGAGAGGGCGCGGGCGAGATGGTCGGTGATGAAGTTCGAGTGGACCTTCCAGGTCGGCTCGATCTGCGAGACGAAGCGTGTCAGCAGAGACCGGGCGAGAGAGTTGGGTACTCGTCACGCACGCGGTCGGGGATGATGACCTCGCCCATCAAAGTCGCGAACGATTCGCTGCGAGATAACCGGGGTCAGGCTGTCGTGAAGCGAAATTGCGGCGAGACGACGCACTTGAGCCAGAGGTTGTCCCACCACTCCATCGTGACGACGTTACCAAACCACTGGTGAGCGACCTGTGGCACAACGGAACGCGGAATCAGCCGCTGCTTCGGCAAACAGGCAGATCAAGGTTTTGAGCGCTGCGCACCTCGTGAGACTGGGTCGAGACGATACCCTTCTTCGCCTGAAGACCAGACTGCTTCGGGTCCCAGAGGTAGAGCGAGGTGCGACCCGTGATGCTGCAAGTCGCGAAAGGAGCCATCAGTAACGAGCTTGAACGCCTCAGCAGAACCCTGCCTCTTCGCGACGGGCGATCTGCGCTTCCGCCTTTCCGCCGCTGAGAATTGTACTCACAGGCCCCAGTTCTCCATCGCGCCCTGTCGTGCAAGTGCAGGGTAAGCAAGCCCGTCAGTTCCCTCACGCTTGAGAAGGTCAACCCAGATCTGCTCACTGCGTCAAAGTCGCTCGCGACAAGCGTGTCGAGCTTGGGAAGCGGGTACTCGATGTCGAAGATCTGCGGTGGCGAAGGAGGTCAGCTGCGGGCGAGCGAAGGGAGGCGGACGAGTGGGGCCGCACCTTCTCGTAGATGGGGAGGATCTTGGCCGTCGTGTCGAGCGCGAGCTGGCCCTGCTTGATGTGGTCCCAGGTAGCGTAGAGGCGGAGAGGAATGGTGCGGCCAGAAAGAGGGGAGGTGAACGACGACTCGATGTGCCTGTGAGAAGACCGTCAGCACCGTCAAGGGAGAACACGCCAGCAAACGTACTCGAAGTGGCCGTTTGCCCACGCAACGAGGTAGCTCGACACCTTGGGAGTCTTCGTGAACTTGACGATCTCCCAGTCATCTGTGTAGAGCGAAGCGTCAGTACCGTTCGAGACCCAAATGTCATCGAACGTACCCTTGAAGTCTCCCTCGTCCTGCGCCTCGACAGCAGGTTTCGTCTGACCCTCCGTCTTGACAGTCTTTCCGACAACCTCCTTGTCGGTCTCGCCCTCGAAGAACTTGTCGTTGAGGAGGTCGGAGCGGGGGAAGGCGCCTCCGGCGCCGAGGTGCGAGGTCGACTCGACGTCGGTGTTGGCGAGCGAGATTGTACCAACGCGGGAGATCATCGAGATGGTGTAGGTCGCCTTCATGGCGGGCTCGTCGAACGAGGGCTGCGAAAAAGCGGAAAGTCAGCTGGGCGGCTGGTGGACTTGGCGAATCTGGCATACGAAGGCGCGGCGAGCCTGGCCTGCGTACGTCAAGCGTGTGAGTTTGCATGACAGAGGCGGAAAGGAAGAAACCGCGCACAGGGCTCGAACTGGGTAAGACCGTAGAACGCCTTGCCCTTGCCATCCTTCTTCGGGTAGCTAGACTTGTAGTAACCGAGCATCGAGTCTATCAGGCACATATCAGCCTTTTGTCAACACTGCAGTGCGCAAAGGAGGCCGCTCACCGTCGAGCTGGGCCTTCCACCTCAACCCAATCTTGTGCTCGCCCTTCTGGATCTCACCGCCCGCAAACTTGATCTCGGCCCTCTCCTTCTTCTCATCGACGCGAATGTGCTCGGCAGGCCTGACAGACTCGGTCTTGAGCTGAGCAGAGCCGAGAACGGCGCTCTCGAGCTCGAGAGGAGAGGCGGCATGGAGGACAATCGACTGGACGGGCTTGTGAACCTCGATGAGGATCTCGGCGGTGCCGGTGAAAGTGAGCGACTTGAGGTCGGTGCGGATCGTCAAGTCGTAATGGATCGGGCTGTTTCAAGCATAGTGAGAGCGCGGTCAGCGAGGAGAAGTGTGGAGTCTCGCGAATGCCCGTCCATCTGGCGGCCCATCTGCTCCAAGCTTACGTGACATCAGTGCCGAGGCGAGCGGCATCCTGACCCTGTTCGGGAGCAGCCATCGTCGCGGAATTCGAGAGGAGGGAGTTGGCGGCGAGACGGGCTTGAGCGTGGTGAAAGCAGTACGCGCGGGTCGCTGATCGAGGTAGAGCAGGCGACTGGGTCTTTGGGACTGCTGCAAGGGTGCGGATCTGCTCGCACGACGACCACGAGGTGAGCGAGCGGGTTTGTGGGGGAAGGAGAGGAGAGGGAGAACGCACGCCTCGAGATGCGGAGAGCTGTGCAGGTCTGGCTGAGCGCAGAAGAGACCCGATTCGAGTCCTGTACGTGGGCAGAATGACGGGCAGGAGCAAGAAGCGGAGGTGAAAGGGGAAACCGAACAAAGGGAGCGATCCACGCGGTCTCACTCGACTCGAGCGGAGCTGCTGGCGAGCCGACGGCAGCGTAGACTACAGTGAGAGATGCAACGATGCAGGATAGGATTGCGGGAACGAGCGCGGTACGATGGCGAGTACAACAACGAGCGACAACGACAGGAAATTCGTACAAGGGCGAAGTTGACTGCCTCAACGTGGATGCCGCTGCCAGCCACGGATACCCAGTCCTTTCTCAGCACTGCTGACCGCAGCGGAAGACGAGGCGGGCGAGGTTGCCGGGGTGGACGCCCTCGACAACTCGGGCGACGTCCCCATCCCGCTGCTCTGCTCCTCCTCGTCCTCCGCTCCGCCGCCATCCTCCATCCTAAGCCGATCCTCCATCTCAACGGTGCTCAGCACCCGCCCACCGCCGACGTCGGCGCCAGCCGGCTCGTACTCGACCGCCCGCTTGGCCCGCGCAATCAACGCTTCGACCGTGCCAGCGAGCGCAGAGAACGTCGGGTCGCCGTCGAGCAGCTCCTGCCACGTCGGCTCATCCTCGCGCTCGCCATCCGAATCTGCTTCGTCGTCCGAGTCGTCCAGGTGCTCGCCGCCACCATCCTCCGTCTCGACGAGCTTCGTCGCCTGCGCCCGCAAGGCAGCGAGACCCGCGCCGCCTATCGACTCGCGCAACTTGCGCCGCAGCTCGCGAATCTCGTTTGTGTGCTTGACCTTGAGCCGTTCGAGCGAAGTGTTGATGCTGAGGAGGGAGGCGTTCCGGATCTCCAGGTCGGCAATCTGCGATATCACGACGTCAGCGGAGAAATATATGCAAGCAGTGCGAGGGGACTCACCCTGCGCTCGACCTTGGCCTCCTTCTCCTGGTCGTCCATCTCCCGCTCGACGAAGCCAGTCGACCAAGAGATCGCTCCCTCGCTCCCGCTCGAGGTCCGAAGCCGGGGTCGCGGTGCAGCCGGCGGTGATGCGGGTCCTGGGGTCGGGCTGGTGGACCATTCGATTGCCGCAAGCGGTGGTCGTGCGGATGGAAGCGAAGGAGATGCGACGGGTGACTGCGCATGCGACCAAGTCGCAGCTTGACTCGGGTGGTTGTCGTACGAGTGTGACGAGAGGGCTGATGAGCGGGACGAGGTGGAGGTCGTAGACTGCGAGCGGGCGTGTCGGTGCCGGTTCGAAGGGTTCGAGGCTGCGACTGGGGGTCGCGAGGTCGAAGCTGAGAGCGAGGCTTTAATCGTGCGTGAAGACGAGATAGCGGGTGAGCGAGAAATGCCGCTTGTCGGCGTTGCATGGCTGGGAACGGATTTCACCGAAGGCGACTTGAGCGGTGGAGAGTGTATTGGGCTGGAATAGGTTGGCGACAGAGACGGAAAAGGAAACCGCTCATCGCCCGAGACGGAAACGGGTGGCAGCAGACCGCTGTCGGCGGACGAAGCGGACGATGCGCTGCTCATCCCGCTCATCTTCCTCACCGCAGATCCCGCTTTCCGCCCGACCGATCCGTCATAGTACGCTTCTGGCGGAGGCGAAAGCGTCGCCCCGAACGTCGAGCCGTCGTACGAGTGCCCTCGCAGAACGGGCGATGTGAGGGGCGAGGAAGCGCAGCTGCCGGGCGACGTTGAAAGAGGAGGGACGGAGGCGGATGATTCGGCGCTACTACTGGCATTGCTGGCGCGGCCGACGGTCGAAGGTGACGAGCGGAGTGTGGGAGAGTGCAGTCGTCGCACAGAGACGGAGGAAGGGAGGTAAGAGATCGGTGTGGGCGTGCTGTTCTGCGAAGGACTCGAGACTTTGGGGAAGGGGTCGCTCTGGCCGCGCAGGAGAGGTGTTTCGGCGGGTGCAAGTCTGGCTGTAGGTGTCGCTCTGGGCGTTGTCGTTGTGGGTACTCGCGCCTGCAGGGTTCTCGCAGCATTGAGGTCGGGCGAACGCGAGCGCACTGGACTCGTCCCACGTGCGCCCGTCACCTGCGGGCTCAGCGTCGCCCGCACGCTGCCCGCCAAGCCCTGACCTCCATTCCCGACCCCTCGCGCGAATGGCGAACATGAACCGCCTGGAGTGGCGGGGGCGCTGGCGACCACCCCACCCCGACCGTCAAGCTGCACTCGCGCTCGTACGGGTTGTGAGGGGGTCCAGTGGGCTGTTGAAGGGGACGTCGTCACATTGCTCAGGTCGACACGCGCTCGTATGGGGCGAGCGGCAGGGAGGGAGGCTGTCGGCGATGAAGTCGAGGAGGTGGATGAACCGAGGACGCGACGCCGCTCTGGCGGGCGCGGTGCTGGTGAGGCCATTTGTTATGCCTCCCTTGCGAGCATTCGAGCAGTCAGAGAGCGCGTCGAACAGATGAGCGTGTGGACCGTCACCAAACAAGCACCGCCTCTCGTCTTCGAGCGAAGGGCGAGGTCGTCGGATAACTCTGTGTCACAACCGCTGTAGGCGTAATTAGGGTATGCATGCGTATTGCGAGAAAGCGTATATACGGTCCCTGCGAATCCAACTGCCCGTGCTGGCCAGATTAAGCCGCACCTCCCTCCTCCGCCTGCAACTCCGCGTACGCCTTGGCAGCAACAACTGCATCTCCTCCCTCGGAAGCCTTCGAGGCGATGTCGGCAAGCACTCCCTGCTGCGACGCGTCGAGAGCCGACAGCGAGGACTGGTAGAGCGAAGGGTTGGCCGTCTGCAAGTCTGCAAGGAGATTCGGGTCAGTGCAGTCCCTGTACAGTCGCCAGGACTCGGGTCCATGAGGCCCACTCACTGGCAAGCAAGCCCGAGAAGCGCTGGTACGAGTCGAACTGGTCGAGCGGCGATGCCCACAGGATTTCGTCGCTCCATGCCGAGTCTCCGTCGTCGAACGCGCCTCCTCGAGCAAGGCGGTTGGCCTGCAAAAACTCCAAGTCAGTGCTCGCTCGGATCGCGTAAGCGAAGCTCGTCAGACCTACCTCGGATTGAGCAAGCTGGTCAAGGTAGTCGGTTGTCCGGTCGCGAACGTCGGCATCGTCAACTGCAGACGAACGAGAGTCAGTCTGCGCTATCTCTCAACGCAGGAGAGGAAGTCGACGCACAGTCTCCGTCATCCTCGCCCAAGTCGAGGTCCTCGTCGTCCGACATGTCGTCGTCGACCTCTTCCTCCTCGAGATCCCGCGCCGCTTCGGCCATCTTGCGCTCTGCCAGCGCATTCGGGTACGTCTTAAACACCTCGAGGGCACCCGCGACGAGCTGGCCGACATTGCCAGTCAAAGGCGAACCCGCGCCCGGCCCGTTGAGCCAGTCGAACAGCGCGCAGATCGCCCACAGGATGATCTTCTTGTCGTGCACGCGCGAGTACTTGGACAGATTCTTGAACCAGTGCGCGAAGAACTGCTGGGTCCAGTCGTGGCGGTCGAGGACGGCGATCGTGAGCTGCGGGTTGTACGAGATGGCGAGGATGACGAGCTCGAGCGCGTGCATGAAGAGCGTCTTGGTGACGACAAAGTCTTCGTCCTCGTCGTCCTTCAGCACGAACCACATGCAACGCTCGATGACAGGCGGAAGGGCCTGCGAAGGTCGCCACAGGTCAGCACAACGCAACGCAACCAAGGGACCGGACCAGTGCTCACCTCGTCGACCTGCCCTCGCAGGCGGAGGAGAAGCGCCTCGGCAAGCTTGCACGCGATGACACGATCCTCTGCGCCAAGCGCGCGGCTGGTCATGCACGTGTCGAAGAGCTCGATGACGGCGCGGCGGTACTCGGTGTTGGTCGAGAGTATGTCGACGCCGTAGTTGATGCAGTTGTCGATGAAGCCGAACGTCTCGTGGAGGTAGTCGCCCGCGTCCTTCTTGAGCGCGGCGCACGTCGCATCAAAGCAGGCCCACATGGGCGGCGAGATCGCTTGCTGGAAGAACGTGAGCGAGTCGAGGATCTCGTACGCCTCGTCGTACAGCTCGACGACCGAGTGTCGGATGGTCGCCTCGATGAGCGGGACGACGGCCTTCTCGATCTCGGCGACGAGCTCCTTCTTCTCCCGCGCCGACGAGACGAGCTGCTCGATCGTCTTGAGAATGTTCATCATGACCATCGTCTTTTCGTCGTCGTAAGTGTCGACGCCAGACGGGTCCTTGTCGCGCGTCTCGAGCGTCTCCTGCAGCAGGCGCCGGTACGACTCGACCTGGGAGATGATTCCGTCAGCTTGTACGTCCGACCTCAGTGAGGGAGCGTGGCACTCACGAGCGAATGCGAAAGCTCGACAGCGAACGGAACAACCTCGTCCGAGAACTCCGTAACCATCGAGCGAGTCGTGTTCGTCAGGCTGTCGAGGTCGACTTCCGACGACAGCTTGAGGAGCTCTGCAGATGTGTGGTCGTCAGCCTACGCAACAGCCGCGCTCACGAACGGTACGCACCCTGCAAGATCCGTCCCAGGTTCGGCAGCATCTTCTCGCGGATCCGCTCGTACCGCACGAGTTCAGGCAGCGCGATCGCAGCCTGGATCCGGACGGGCAAGTCGGTGTCGGTGATGCAATTCATGAGGAGGTTGAGCGTGTTCTCGAGGGCCTGCAAAGCTGAACTGTCAGCATTAGTCGGCGGTAGGAGGAGGGAGGGAACGTACGTCTTGCGCAGCCCAGGTCATGTCGACGCTCTCGAACTTCTCGACGACGTCGCAGGCGCGGTATCGCAAGAGGCCGTGCGGGGACTTGAACTCGGGAACGACGTGCTGGAGGAAGAAGGATTCGAGGAGAGGGGCGAGCTTTTTCTGCGGTCACCCCATGCGAGGTCAGCGAATGTGCCGAAGCGTTGAGCAGCAGATTGGCGGACGCACGCTCTTGACGGCAGTGGGCGCAAGAGCAGCGAGCATGCGAAGCGCGCCGTCTTTTTGTCGGGGCGTGGTCTCGGCGGGGTACCTGATTGAACCTTGTCAGATAGACGGAACATGAGGCGCGAGGGCGTGTACGCACTTGTCGACGACCGACTGGATGAACTGGAGAAGCGGGAGAAGAGTGGTCTTGGCGCGAGTCTCGGTGAGGGCGGCGAGGAAGGCGAGAGCGGAAGCGGTGGGAGAAGCGTAAGAGTCGGCGATAAAGTCTGCGAGGGGTGCGGGTCAGCCGCGAGCCAAACGGAGGGAGACGTCGCACGCACCGCCGAAGAATTGCCGGGAGAACTCGGTGGGGTCGTCCGAGAAGAGCTCGATCTCCTCCTCGGAGAGGCAGACGAGAGGGAAGATAAAGTGTTCGATCAGAGAAGGGATGTGAGGCTTGAGGAGGGCGAACGTCGACTTCGGGTTGATGCTGTGCGCAAGGAGGGTCAGTGGAAAAGAGGGGGGAAAGCAGAAAGGGCAAACGCACCACTCCTCGAAGAAGCACAAGACGTGGAACTTGCCCTTCCTCGGGAACCACTCGTTCTGCGCCACCATCTTCTCCACCACAGCGAGATACGTCTTCATGATTTCGGGCGCAAACTGCTCGACGAAGCGATTCGCAAACTGCCCGTACTGCTCGACCATGTTCTTCGGAAGCTGCGTCGGGCTGCCGTAACGCGTGAAGAGCTTGTTGAGCGACCAGCATGCCCACTTCTTGCTCTTTGCCCAGGGGTGCTTCTCCCGCGCGTCCTCATCCTCCGGGAGCAGCGTGGCGTTGATCGGGTGCGCAACGACGGAGAGCAGGAGCGTGCCCCAGGGGATGAGCGAGTCGTGTGCCTGGTGAGCGGGCGTGAGGGTGTGGATGATGCTGTTCTTGTAAGACTTGAGGACGAGGCGCAGGAGGGTGCCTTGCGTCGTGAAGGCGGCGGCTTCGGAGGGAGAAGAGGCGAGGACCTTCTGGCCGATCGGGAGAAGGAGGGGAAGGAGGTGTGTCGTGAGCTGGGGAAGAGTCTCGCCCGTCTCATCCTTGTGAGCGTATCTGTGCGCAGCGTGACAGTCAGTCCCCTCTCAACTTGCTCGCGAGACCCAATCACGGGCAGGAAACGCACCGCAAGCAGTTGAACACCTCCATCGCCGCCCGCAAGCCCGCCTCAACCTGCCCCTCGTTCCCTGCCAGCATCGTCTTCACCTCGTCAACGAGTCCCGGCCATTCCGTCGGAAAGTCGCACTCGATGACCTTGCTTAGCGCTTCGCCAACCTGCTCCTTCACCTTCGAGCTCGAGGGATCCGCCGCGAGCGCCGCATACAAGGGAATGAGACTGGACTTGACGCTTTGTCGGTCGGAAGCGGGGATGGCAACGAAGGTCGAAGCCTTTTGGGCGGCGGCGACGGCTGCGGGAGAAGCGAAGGGAGAGGGCTCGAGAGGAGATCGCCAGCTCGAGCGGATGCGGTTCTTGAAGTAGATGGCTGCGGCGAGGCGAACGACGGGCGAAGAGGAGGAGGAAGGGGAGACGAGCTGGAGGAGCGTAGGGAGGAGGCCCTCGACCGGCTCGAGCTGTGGAGTCACGTGTCAGCCGGAGTCCACAGCCAGACGTGAGCGCATGCGCACCTTCTTGAGCTCGAGTTCTGCGGCAATGCGAACGTTTGGGTCTGTTCGAGGTGGGGAGGAGAACGCGAAGGTGAGCTCGTTCGGGCGGACCGCAGGACGTGTACTGGTGGACGCACCTGGCTCGAAGGACGCCGTGAACACCTGGTACAGCCTCTGCGCGTCCATGTCTGCCTGTGTGAGCTGGACGAAGCAGTCAGTGCGCGTTCCTCGACCAATCCTCATCGCACTTCCCCCTGCTCACTCTCGCAAGAGAAGGGTACGGTTGAAATCGCTCTGCAACAATTGTAGAGGCTTGGAGTCACACTCAGGTCATTGGGAATGTACTGTGAAGGTTGCAAGGAGAACGACCGCCATTCGAGGCGCTGGCTTTCCGCTCGCTCGCTCTCCTACCTTTTGCTCTTCGCCGCCGCTTCCTTCTGCCTCCTTGCCACTTCACAGCGACACATGCAGACGGCGGCTTGAGTCACACACTCTCGACACCCAGCGGACCGTGCCAGGACTCACAGCGCGCAGAAGCGGACACACGCCGTACTTTGCCAGCCTCCCCAGGACTCGCCCTCTCGCAGACGTACACCGCTCTTTCCCTGCTCACGCCGCTCAGCATCTGTGCTACCCGTCCGCGCCCAGCTGTGACTCGCTAAACGATGCTCCCCATGCTTGCTCCGCTCGCCGCCTTCCTCCTCGCCCTCCCTCAGACCCTCGCGCACCCGCTCTCGTCCTTGAAACGCAGCGACAACGGCGGTAACCTCCTAGCGCTGTGGAACGGCAACCCAGGGCCTGTGTACTATAGCACATCCTCCCACTCCTGCGACAAGAAGTCGCTTGCTGCCGTCGGCACTTCCTTTCCCCTCGTCCTCGACATCGCCTCCTACCCTTACCCTTCCAACCTGACCAGTCAGACAGTTCTCCTCAACGTTGGCAGCTACAAGAAGAGTCCAGGGCAGGTCTTTGGCATTGACTGGAAGGTGCCGCAGCTTGGCAACCAGCTGTTCGTGTTTCGCTTGAGCGACGCATCAGGCCAGGTCGTCTACTCCGACCCGACATACACTGCTTCGGGTAACAGTCAACCCAGCAGCACAGATTCGGGGCAGTCCTGCCAGTACGCTCAAGGTTCGCTCGCTCTCTTCGCATTCGCTGACGGCTCGCTTCCGCAGCTCCAAGGCCGTCGATGTGGCCTTCTACACCATCATGGCGATTCTGGGATTCTGCTTCCTGCTGGCCTTGTGTGCCCCTTGCATCAAGCAAAACCGTCTCGACCGCGTCGCCCGTAAACCAGCTGCACCCTCGCAGCCCGCTCAACCCGCTTCGCAACCCGCACCTCAGCCCGCCCCACCCGTCGCGACCTCGGACCAGGAGAGCGCCTACTGCGAATCCTTCCGCACTACAACGAGCTTCTCGTCGACCGCACCGCTCACCCAGACGGAGGAGGGTCGCTCGTGGCGACTGTTTGGGCGGTGAAGGCGTTCTAGCGGCGTCAGGAGACTGAGTTTTTGACTGTACTATGACGGCTTCTTCCCTAGCTGAAAGCCAAGAGCGAGAGCGACGGCGAGCAGATGCCCTTGACCTTCGCAAGCAGGATGTCGAGCGGCCAAACGAGGAGTACTGCCGTCAGCACGTCCGCCAGCAACAGTGCACGATTGAGAGAACAGTAGCAAGGACGGACGGACAGCGGACGGACTCGGAAAGCGCCTGGACAGAACCGCAAGCGGGCAAGTCGCCGTCACGACTGCTCCTTCGCCTCTTCCCTCTCCCACTCGCAAGCTCCGCTCGTAAGGCTGCACTCCGTGGTTACGCACTTGGCCCATGCTGCTCTCCCCCTCCCGCGCCGCCCTCCTCATCCTCCTCGCTCCAACGGCTCGCTCATTGTGTGGGACCCGAGTCCTGGCCCGCTCTACTACAGCACCTCCTCTTACGTCTGCTACAAGAGGACCTGGTACGCGGCAGGCGCTGTGTACCCCCTTGTCGTCGACGCTGTTCGCCTCCCACTCGCTGCGGATCCCGCTGAGCAGGAAGTCCTTGCATCCGTGGGCAACTACACCAAGCCGTCAGGGTATACTCTGACCATCAAGTGGGAACCTGTTGACTTTGGAGACCAGTTCTTCGCGCTTCGACTTGTCGATGCCGACGGACGGGTTGCTCACTCGCAAGAACTCTACACGGCGCCAGGAAACGAGTACGATGGGGGTGGCGGCGTCGTTTGCGAGTACGTGTGGCTATATCAACAGGTCCAGCAACGGACCGCGGCTGACCTCTCGTGTTCACAGCTCGCGGCATCTTATTCGAACGGTTCGATTCCTCGAGTTCTTCGTTGGCTTGCTCCTCAGCCTGGTGGGCGTCATAATCCTCAGCGCCTGCCTAGACTGCATGAAGGGCTGCGTAAGCATCGTCAAGGAAGATGTTAAGAAACGCAAGGAGGAGAGAGTCGCACTTCGGGCCCTCTCGACGAACGCGCACCCGCTTCCTGACAGCGACAGCTCCCCGCGAGCTTCACAAGATGCCGACCTGCCATGCCCCAGCAAGGAGGACGCGGGAGATGCGGCATCTGTCGCCTCCTCCTTCACCCTTACCTGACGGAAACCTCTTGCGGCATTGGCAACTCCGCAGTTCTAGCAGGCCCTCCTCTTTCTCTCGCCCGTTCGACTAGCTTGTAACCTGTTACATCCAAGACGAGAGACCCGCCGTCGAGAGGCGATTGGACGAAGAGCTCTCCTTTCTCTCCGATGTCAGCGCCGAGACTCCGCGCCTGCTCGGTACGAAAGCTCGCCGGGACATACAACAAACATTGTCAGGTGCATAAGGGGAAGAAGATTGGACCAGACCGCAAGTTGTCAGATGTCGACGCTGATCGAACTCACAGCGTACTTGCGACGGACGACGTTGCTCTGTTCTCGATTCACCCGCTGCTTTCGTCCTTCGCTCTCCAGCAGAGCACGTCTCAAAGCTTCTCGCCATGCTCCTCACGCTCTACCACGCTGCGTCTCTCCTCCTCGCCTCGGCCGCTTCCGCGATTCCCCTCGTCCGGCGTTCCGCGAACGGTGCTCTCGCCATCTGGGACGACACGCCTGGTCCGACGTGCTTCAGCACAGCCAATTACTCGTGCGACAGCAAGGACCTTCGCGCTGTTGCGTCGGCCTTTCCCGTGAACCTGGCTATCATCGCGTACCCCTATCCCGCCAACATCAGCCAGCAGACGGTCCTTGGAAGCGGCGGAAATTACAGCGCTAAGCCCGGGTACCCATTCGAGATTTCGTGGAACGTAACGGATCTGGACGGGCAGCTGCATGCCTACCGACTGATGGATGCGGGCGGCGAGGCAGCCCACTCCGTGCTGCCCGGGTATACTGTTCCCCCAGACTACTGCCAGTATCCGCACGACCAGCAAATGTGCTGGTACGTCACTCGTCGCTCCGACACTGCTCCGGCTCGTTCTCCGGTTCTGACCCGCTCACCGCAGGCATGTTGGATCCAACGATACAGGGTACCGTGTAGTTGCAGGGATCATGTACACCTTACTGGGCCTCCTGGGTGTCTGTATCCTCTTCATCGCAATCACGGCGCCACTCGAATGCTGGCGCAAGGAGGCCAAGCGACAGGCAGCATCTCGCATCTCGCCCGCCGCTCCGACAAATCCTTCGCTTGACCCTCCAGCCATTCCACTGGACAGCACATCCTCCGTCGAAACGGGTCAGACTGAGTCCCTCCCCGATTCATCCGATGTAGCCTCGAGCGCTGCCTCCAGCACGCTCGCCTCGTTCAAAGTCCGCCACCCTCGGCGGCTCCTCCCGTGGTTTGTGTAGCAGATGAGTCGCAGTAGCTTGAAACGCATTTGAGCAACGAGCCCGTCGCGCTTCAGCAGTGGCTGTTGCCCAACGGAGCTGCGGATGAGATGCGAGCGTCCTGTGAGCACCTCGAGAGTGCGGCGCTCCGATGAGGTGTCGCATCTCAGAGGCTGTAGCAGCAAACCCGGACGGCCAGGAGGTTGAAGCAGCAGGAGTTGCTTTGTGCAAGCGTATGGCCGGAGGGCAAGAGGCGAGCGCCAGAGATCTGTTGCGACCACCTCCCGACTTGGCTCGCTTGATGCTCTGCTGCGCGTTCTGAGGCGTTCTGACTTACTGTGCACCGCGCCAGGCCAACGCCGGCCCTTCCCGTCGCCATCGTCCCCCGTCCTCGCCCCGCTCTTCCCCACGCACGCGACCTTGCAACGGCGACAAGGCGCGAGAAGGATCATTCGAGCGCTCCTTGGGTCTGTACGACTACCTTGAAGAATCTGTCAGGTGCGCACTTCCTCAGAGGCTGTCCTCGCGGAGGTTGTACCCTCGCCTCTCTCGACGAACTGATGAAGGCGGCGGAAGTCTACTGGGCCGGCGGGGCTGTGGGAGACGCTCGCAGCGGGCTGAACGAGGAAAAGATGGATACTGGAGGTCATACGAGCGTGCAGGAATGTCGAGCATCATGTCAAGTGCCGCGGGCCCAGAAGGAGCGGGTCTTTCTCGACCAACAAGGCTGTCCAGGATGCCTGTGGATCATGAGACTGACCTTCTTGTCTCACCGGATCTGACGCAGCGCCATCCGCCTCTCCAGCCGCTATGTCCGCACCACCGCCCAGTCTCAGCATGGCACCTCTCGCTTCACATCCTCCCGTCATGCCCGCAGCCTCTGCGACGGTACCCATTGCGCCACGACCATCATCCACAACGACCTGCTCCGCCCCAGCGTCCACGTCTTCCGCTCCGACTCCACCCTCTGGTCCGCCTGCGAAGAAGAAGCGGCGGTCAAAGGTCGACTCGGCATGTCGATTCTGCCGGCGCAGCCACATGCAGTGCTCAGGCGAGCGACCATGTGCGCGTTGCATCAAACGCGAGATCGCCCACCTCTGTACGGACGAACCGATCGCCGGCTTGGACGCCAGTCAGAAGGGCGGAACAGCATCGGCGTCTCCAGCTCCGCCAGCACATCCTCCCCAGTCGACTGCACCTTTACAGCAAGCGTCTGTCTCCGCCGCACAGACGAGTCCTCCCATCGCATCACTCGCCAGTCCCTCTCGCAGCGCAGTCGAGGGGAACTCGATGCTCAACACGCTCGGCTTGGACATGGGCGACGCGCTGAGCAACGCCGCAGCAGCTGCAGGGTCTTTTCCAAACATGCTGGCGACTAGCAACTTGTTCGGGGCAAATCAGGGAGGATTCGGTGCAGCCAGCACCAGCCAAGCTGGAGCGCAACCTTCGCTGTTTGCGACCGACTTCAACCCGGCCATGGTGAGCGTTCTCTCTCCCTCTTCACCGAAAAGTAACTGACTCGCTCTGTTGCCAGCTCGACTTGGCCGACAACGGTCTTGGCGCTGGACTCGGACTCGACATGACGATGAACGGCGACGGCGAATTCCACGGTCTCGGCTTGAGGTGCGTCCGGCGTGGGTTCGTGAAGGTATGTGGCGTCAGCTGACATCGTTCGCGCTCCTAGCGAGTTCCTCCAATCTCTGAACGACACTCCGATCTTCGGTGCGGATCAAGCCTCGACAGCGCAGAACGGGCAAATAGGCGGGCTTCCCATCAACACGGATACCGGTTTGACAGCGCCTCCAGGCTCGGGCGCGGGAGAAGGCAAGGAGAAGGGCAAGAGTACGGGACCAAGCGTGCCGGGCAGTCCGATCAACAAGTGCGTCCCGCTCCGCCTACCTCAAGGCGCATCCTGACGTCCTGAATGCCACAGGACCGAACGCTTCCTCCTCACGGCTGCGGATCAGAAAGACGGCTCGCGATCTGACCGTCTTGCGCGCGTCATTCACGCCAAGTTCGAGGCGGGTTTGCTCAAGCCGTACAACCATGTAGCGGGCTACACGCGCTTGATGAAGTGGATGGCGGACAAGTGCGTTACGACCCCTGTCCTCGCCACCGGTAAAGCTGACTCGTCTGTCCTCACAGCATGTCGGCGAGCTCGCGGCAAAGAACGCTGCATACCTTGTCCGAGTTCCGGCCGACCTTCCGAGTGCGTTGATGGGCTTATCGAACCCTAATCAACAAGCTAACGAAGGACCGCGCAGGCTATCGCTTCCGGCCTGACCGACCTCGACCTCGTCTTTATCGAAGAAGCCTTCGAGCGACTTCTCCTCGACTATGACCGCGTCTTCTCCTCGATGGGGATCCCCGCATGCCTGTGGCGACGGACAGGCGAGATCTACAAGGGCAACAAGGAATTTGCGGCCCTTGGTGCGCATCGCCTTCCGCCCACCTTCGCAAGATGCTGACTTTCGCTCGAACAGTCGGCGTGCCGATCGAGCATCTCCAGGGCGGGAAGCTCGCCATATACGAGCTCATGGCAGAGGAGAGTGCCGTCAACTACTGGGAGAAGTACGGGAACGTGGGTAACTTCCCTTCCTTTCCGGCGCGAGGCACCTGTTGACGCCGAGTCGCGCAGATTGCCTTCGACGCCTCGCAAAAGGCCGTCCTCACCTCCTGCGTCCTCGTCAACCAGTCTGTCTTGTCGCGCAAGAGGAAGAAGGCTGGAGCGAACAAGGCCAAAGTCCTAGAGGACGCGATGGTTAACGCTTGCTTCTCTTTCGTGCGTCTTCGCTCTCTCGTTCGTGAGAATGGTTGCTGAATTCGTCTCCCGGCTTCGCAGACCATCCGCCGCGATTCGTACAGCATCCCTTCGATGATCATCGGCAACTTCATCCGGCTTTGAAGTGTCAGGCGACGCAAAGCGGTCTCCAGACTGTGGTGCGACTCACTTCTCTTACGACACTGCCACGTGGAACCGCCGCTTATGCACGCGCCCGCATTGGCGACAGACAGCTTAGACGGTCCTGCTCTTTCGCCAACCTCGTGGGTAGACTCGGCCAGCGCTTCCGCTCCCCCTTCTCTCTTGTTGGAACAAATACGATTCCTCGTGCGCGAAGTGTCCGTGTTGCAAAGAGACTAAGTCGAGGTCAAGAAGTGAGTGCGAGAACAAGCGGGAGAGGAGCCGAGTTCACGAAAGCTGGTACAACCCGACCGCGACAGTATGGTTCACAATGAGAGGGAGAGAGTAAGGCGTAAGGAAGGGGTCGCTGTCGGTCAACGCGACGAAAAGGGAGCCGACGCTTTGGACTTCGCCGGCGAAGACGGTGCCGTTGGGCACGACGGCCGAAGCCGAGTAGTCTGAGACGTTCTGAAGCGGCGCGTAGGTGACGTTGAGCTGGCTGATGAACGCCATAAACTTGGGTTCACCGGCGACGGACTGCGTCTTGTAGAGGCCGTCGTAGCCGACCGTCTTGTTGAGCGGCTCCCAGGTGAACTGGAGGGTACGGCCGGCGCCCTCCGTGAGCGTGTAGTTCGAGTTGATGCCCGGCTGGCCGTCAAGCGCGTATGGCTGGTTGGTAATGTTGATGAGCGGGAAGCGGGTGAATTCGATGCGAGGGTTGTTGGGAGGGCAGCTCTGGATGTACGGCGAGAGGAGCGTCCAGGCGTAGGACTGAGGAATGCCGGTCTCGAACCACTCGGGCATGGCGGGAAGGCCCTGCGGGAGGAGGTGTTCAGCCAAGTTCGCCGCGGTGAAGCGGTGGAAGAGGACGGACCTGGAACTGGCGGAACACCATCTGCTGGCGCGCTTCGGTCGTGATAGACTGGAGGAGGATCTGAGCCGACGGACGCGAGTCGAGCTGGTTCAGGAAGCCGTAAACCCCTGAGGTGAGAAGGTCAGCGTCAGTGAGGAGAGGCTTCGACAACGACGAAAGGCGAGCGCACCTGCTTCGCCCCAGCGCGTCAGAATCTGTGAGAACAGGATAGCCTCCTTGACGGTGTTGAAGGGGTACTGGTAGACGCCTGTGAGGATCAGGCGTCAATCCCTCGTCTAGAGCGAGCGATTCCTCGAGATTTTGCCCACATTGCTTTGCCGCGCGGTCAACGCCGAGCATCTGCAGTAGAAGAAGGGTCAGAACCTCGCAGGGATTCGACGTGGGATGTCAACGCACGTTGGTGATGGCGATAGCATGTCCAACCTCCTGGTCGGCCATGTGCTCGATGAGCGTGCGGTCGTCCGCGTTCAAGCCGGCCGCCTCGAACTCTTCAACCGAGAAGCGCGCGAGCATGTTGTGGAAGAGGTCTGGGTGAGCAAAGGGTCAGCGAAAGCGACCTGACACATCGCCGAGTCGAGGTGAGCGCACCGAGTTCGATTAGCTCCTGGTTCAAAGCGAGGTTGAGCGACTGGAAGTCAAAGTTGGACTTGACGGCGTAGTCCGGGTTCGGGTCGAGCAGTCCTCCGGCGGGTTGACCGGGCCAGGCGAGCCTCTCGTTTGTGCCGTTGTAGGCGGGATTGCCCGCAGGACTTCTCCGTCAGCCTCGTCCGGGTCACGAGCACTCCGGAGCAACGCACCGAGGATTAGGTGGGCGCCAGGGTACGGCTCCGAGCCGTTGCTGAACGGAACGTCCCAGCCAGTCGCATTGACGCCGAGAGGGTGAGAGACGACGACCGGGTCGAGGAAGGACGAGCCGTTCGACGTGGTCGGCACGATCCGGTAGGTGACGTTGCCGTCAGAACGTTGCGGAACCGTAGCGTTGGGGGGAAGGCCGCTGCCTTCCGCCTTGACGAGGGAGGAGGACGGGCGAGGCGGTTGTGGACCCGAGCAGGACGACGCCGGACAAGCAGTAGCGGAAGTGGACCATTGTGGTACGTCGTTGCGCCGCTTAGCAGCTCCTCCGAAAGTCTTCGAGGGAGAGAGGCTGGGAGGAAGGAGGAAAAGGAAGGCAAGGAGGAGACAGGCGACCCACTTCCGCGCAGGAAGAGCATGCATAAGCCCGGACGTCTCCGACGTGCTTCAATGACTTCCTAGCAGTCCATCGCAGCCCCCAGACTCTCATGCGAGAGCCTAGCGTAGACTGGACAACGGGGACGACCTCGAGAGGGCGCGAGGAAGAGCGGGAGGGTCGCGCGGAACGTTGACTCGGCTGTGAGCGGCTCGCTAAGCTCACAGCAAGTCAAGCAGATGCACCAGGAGACAAGCGAGCGACTGGGACGAAGTCAACCTTGACATCACGCGTCGAGGACGCGAGTGCTGTTTACTCGCCGTCCACCCGTTCACCGCGCTCAGGATGGCTGATGGACCAGCTCATGGGTCACAGTCGTCCTCGCTGTCCTCGCTGACGCCGTCTCCAGACCGCGCGAGCTCTGGGTCGCCCAGCAGGAAGCGACCTCGACTCTCATCAACCTCGCCACCCTCGCCCGCGCTGGACATCGCGCAGAGCCCGGCAAAGCGAGCCAGCGGGTCACTGAGGGCACAGGAGACTTATGGCGAGCTGCTGCAGGGGCTGGACGATGAAGACTTTCGCATGCTACCCAGTTCGGACCCGAGGGGACGGGGGCTCGAGGACGAGGATGATGAGGGAGACGCTGAGGGAGGCTCAGGCGAGCTCGCAGACGGCGTCATTGGAAAAGGCGAGGCGAGTGAGGGCGCGGACGATTCGGGAGTGGGCCTTCTGCCCGACGTCGAGCGGTCCAGGGACGTTGAAGAGGGTGTCGAGGCGGAGCCGCCGGACGTGGACGAGGTTGAAGATGCAGAATTCGAGGGCGACGACATGTGGCTCGGTTTCGACGATGCCGATGTCGGCTTCGACCAGCCAGACACCTTTCCCAGCTCCGCCTTTTCCGCCCTCCATCCTCCTTCCGACAGACTCGATGGCGCGACCGCCGATGGCGACGCACACGATGCCGCTTTCACCGAGCCATCCGAGCCGCGATTGAGCGACTTCGGCTTCGCCAGCGTCAACTCGCTGGCAGGCGGAATAGGCGGCTTCGTGTTTGCGACGAGGAAACCGCTCGTGGTCTCCGAACAGGCGATGCAGCGCATGAAGGCCATGCTCGATGCCGAAGATCACCCAGCAGACTCGCCCTCTCGCCCGGCCGACCGTCAGCAGCCAGTCGCACGAACGAAGACTCCCCTTGCGCGACCCCTTCCTCTTCACCAGCCGACCCTTCCTTCGGCAGCCGTACCACCCACTGCAGCATCAATCGGCTCAACACTCGAAGCGCTCGGCGGCTTCGCGACAGCGGGTGGGACTGCCGTTGCTGCTCCTTCCGCCGACGCCTTCGCCCTTGCCCAGCAACGCCTGCAGGGCAGCTCGTCTCCCGCACCGGCGGCTGCCTTCGCTTCTGCCAGTACGACGGCTCTCTCCGCCGCCCCGGCTTTCCTCGGCTTTCAGAACGCCGCAGGCCGCAGTATCGACATGCCGAGCGAAGAAGCGATGCAGCGAGCGCGAGCACACCTCGATGCGCCGAGCTCGTCACCGCCGCCGGGAAGTGCGCCGACTCGCGTAATGCGGCCTCTGCGGCCGAAGGCAAGACTCCCCGCACCGACGAGAGATGTCTTCGAGGCGCCCCCTGCGGGCGGTCGCGGATCCTTCACGGCGGGACAGCCGACTTTCGCCCTTCCGCCGCCTGCCTCGCGTGCTCCGTCGCCGATACCGGTCGAGCGGACTGGCGCCGCGATGGCGCTGGACACGCCGACGGCTCTGCGTGTGCGGCAGGCGAGTGCCAAGTCGAGTGCCTCAGACGACGGCGGTCTTGCGGCGGGGCGGCGGACGCCCCTCATTCCGCTCATCAACGGCGGTGAGAAGGACGGAATGCAGGCGAAGGAGTGCGCGGCGGAAAAGGACGCTGAGACGGCTTCAAGCGAGACGATGCGTTCGTCAAAGTCGCCGACTCCTCCTGCCGAACGCGCCAGCGCGGCATCCTCCGATGCCATTCAGCCCACTGCTGGTCCTGTGCCCGTCGCGCAACAGGCGCGACGACCTCCCGTCGCGCCCGGAGCCGTCTATCCCGCGCCATCACGACCAGGGTCGTTCCGCCCCCCGCTTCTCTCGCATACCGCTACTCCCGCTCGCCGTCCCCATTCCGCTTACACGCCCCTTCACCCATCGCGCCTCGTCTCTCCCGCCTCCGTCGTCAGCTCGTCCACGCCCAACCCTCTCCTCTCCCAACAACGTCGCCTCAACTTCGGCATGACACCCCTCCGCAAACCGCACCATCTCGCCAACACTCGCACTGCGACGCCCGGATCGGGAGCGGGTGGGAAGGGGTTCAAGACGCCTTGGAAGGACGGGAAGCGACCCGAGGGCTTGACGCCGATGGGACTGAAGGACAAGCTGGCGGCGCAAAAGGCGAGCGTGAGGAAGATGGATACGAGCGCGAAGCGCTCGGGCGACAAGAAGACGAGCCGGCTGAGTGAGGCGGACCTGGCGAAGCGCGAGAAGGCGAAGGTGTTTGACCTTGAAGGTGCGTTCGAGTCGTCCTCCGTGATTCGCTCGTCGCTTACAATCTCTACATCTACAGCACCTCTCGACTTCGAACGCTACGACTTGACCTTTGGCATGCGGCCGCAGACGCACTACTACGAGGCGCTGCAGGAAATCGGAATGTTCGTTGGTGGTCCTTCAGCTTCCCGCTCTTACGCTGACTTGCCCTGTGACCGTAGTCCTGACGCAGTTCTCGACATGGACTCGACGTCGGGCGCCTCGTACACCTTTCCGTGCGGTCGCGGCGTCGCGGATGCCTTTTCGACCCTGCAGGCGCTGGTCGCCGAGCGGATGCCCGAAGAGAAGGACTTGGTGACGCTGCCATGGGTCAAGAACCATTGGTCGCTCGTTCTGTGGAAGCTGGCGAGTTATGTCCGGTCGAGGCCGGACTTGCTCGACGAATGGTGGTCGTTCGAGCGCGTGATGAACCAGCTACGCTACCGGTGCGTCCGCTTCGTCTCGTTCTACTCCAATACTGATGCTCCCCGCGGGCAGCTACGAACGCGAAGTCAACCGCGCAGAGCGGTCCGCCATCAAGCGGATCCAGGAGCAAGACTCGCCAGCATCGCTTCCGATGGTGCTCTGCGTCTCGCAGATCCGCTGGGACGAACCGTCCGACGATAGCGGCGCCGACCCCGACACGCTCGTCATCGTCGGCCTCGAGCTCACGGACGGCTGGTACCGCATTCGCACGAACGTCGACCGGACCCTCAAGAGTGCATGCGAGAGGGGCAAGATTGTCGTCGGCAGCAAGATCGCGGTCATGGGTGCTAAAGTGAGTTGTGCTGCCGTCGTGCGCAACTCAATCGCTGACGTCTTACCGTGCAGCTCGACAGCTCGAAGGACGAAGGTTCGGACGTCCTGCAAGCTCTCGGTCGATCTACCGTCAGTCTCCTTCGCCTTTCTCGTCTGCCACGAGCAACCTGCTGACGGACTGTGCGAGCAGCTTATGATCACCGGCAATTCGACCTCGCTCGCTCCCTGGCACGCCAAACTTGGCTTCCGCCCGGAGCCGTTCATCGCCAGTCTCGCCAGCATCAGTCCCGCCGGCGGCCTTGTTCCCCTGCTCGACATCTACGTCGACCGGGTTTTCCCCCGTGGCTACACCGAGCTGCGCAAGGGTCGGTCAGGCGAGAACTGGGGCGAAGAGGAGGAAGCGGCACGAGCGAAGGAGTGGGAGCGCGGCCGCAAGCGAATTGAGGCGAAGATGACCGATGAGCTTGAGAAGGCCGGTGTCGAGGAAGACGAGCTCGTCGAGCTGCTCCGCGAAGCAGTCGGACGGTACGACGCAGCGCCGACTTCCGCTTCCCTCAGTGAGCAGACTTCCTCCCTGCCCTCTGCACCGCGACGCTGACTCCCCGCATCGCAGACGAGGAGCCCGACGAGATCCTCGACCGCCTCGAATCGGCGCCGAACAAGCAGGCCATCATCCGCAAGCTTACTGCGCAACAAGTGCAAGCCTGCTTCGCCCTCGCACAGGAGAACGCACAGGCGTCGCGCTACCGTGCCGTCGAGGACTTGCAGAAGGAGCTCGCGGTGCGTCTTACCGTCTCGCTCTGACAGCTGACACTCCGGCTCACTCGCCTCGCTCACGCAGGACAAGTACCCGCCTCGTCAAGTCCGCTGCTTCCGCGTATTGCGCATTTCTGACGCTCGCGAGGGGACGAAGAGCGTCAAGCGGACGGCCCAGCTCACGGTCTGGGACGCCGAGACATTCGACGCGGACTTCTTCCGTGAGGGTCAGCGCTTCATGGTGCGTGGCGTCTCGTCTGTGGCAGACTGGCCGCGTTGACGCTCCGTAACCTCGCAGCTCAGCAACACTTTACCAAAAGGCAGCTGGAAACCCAAAGACTCGGAAATCGGTCTCGCAACCCGGAGGGACTCTCGCTGGCGCAGGATCTAGACAGTCTTCGCCCTCTCACACCTTTCCACTTTCTATCCACGCAGTCGCATTGTTCCGAAGTCATGCTTGTTGTCAATACATCTCGCACCGCCATCCCTTCCTTACTGCGCGCCGACGCGTCTGCGCTTCGGCTTAACATCAGGTGTAGGTGCTTGAGAGCGTTTCCTTGACCGTGCTGTCTCCCCCGAATCCGCCTTCTTTTGCACTCCTGTCTTCCTCGCCTTCTTGACCCTTTGCTTCTTCCCGGCGGTGCCCTTCGCCTTGCCCTCCTTCTTCTTCGCGCCGGGGATGGGCTTTGGCCGACTTTCGCATTCCTCGAACTCTTGCTCGTTGATGCCGTGATAGACCATCATGGTCCAGACGAGCTGCACGCGCAGACTGGTCAGCCGGGACCGCAGAAGGCTCCGTCGAACACACCGAAAGACTGCCGTCGTTGTCCATCAAAGCCTTCCACACCCGCTCTTCTTGTTCTTCCTTGTTCGCCGCTTGTACATTGACGGCCGTCCCGTTTTCGCGCTCGACGAAACAGTTGCGAAAGATGAACCGAGCGAAAGCGACCTTGTCGCGGGTGTATCTGAGCAGGAGCTCGACTGTTCGTCGCTGCTTCGCCGGAGGGAGCCTGGCGAACTCGCCGTCCTCCAAATAGCCTGCCCAAATGATGTTGTAGTCGCCGAACATGGTCCACTGAAGGTGGCCCCTCTTGCGCGGTGTTAGCTGAACGAAAGCGGCGTGTCGGTTGTCGTAGTCATCGCGATGGTTCCACATGTCAGGGCCGGTCGTCCAGACCCACGGAAGACCCGGTCTTCGTGTTGCAACATTGAGGTCGGCGCGCGTCGCGATCCGCAGGCTCGACTGGCAACGACTCTGCAATCGGCTGTCAGGCGGGTCCGCATTCACGTCGCTGACAACAAGAGCGGGTACGTACACCTTCAGACGGGTACTGCAGAGTCCTAACTCGGTAGCCTCCAATCTGCCAGCGGTCGAAGCCACCGTGCGCCCGCAAGGTGTCCAAGCCTGGTCCTGTCGGGTGCAGCTGAGCGCAGCCTTCCCACGTAGTTTCGTCCAGAATATTGAGGTTGGGGTGCGTCTTGAGCCAGGGACGCTTGATTCGCCTGAAGGTCTGCGAGCCGAGATGCCGTCAACAATGTCGGGCTGAGATGACGATCGCACTCACCTTCTCTTCCTCCACCAAAACATCAAACAGCTTCTGCTCCTCCTCCTCTTTCTTGGTCTGTCTTGGCAGCCGTATCTTCGCATCTGCCGGGCCGACCGCGTCTACACTCTCCGCCCGCTCCTCCTGCTCCCTTCCCTCCATGGTCTGGTCTGCCTCGTCCTCCGGTTCCACCGCGTCCTCGTGCTTGGTGTCGGAGAAGCACGAGACGCCGTCGTCGTCTTCAGCCTTGATCTCGACATCCGAATCGAGCGAGAGGTCGAGCACTTCTTGCTTCCCTTGAATGGGCGACGGTTCCGGCGACGTCACGGTGGTCGAAGCCGAGCTGGACGAAGATGACGATGACTGTGATGAAGGCATCCTGGCGAAGGAAGACGAGACGAGCGAGTTTGTCGCGTCGGGACCTCGAGAGTGATGAGATTCGAGAAAGCGTGAGGGAGAGCGAGGGAAGTCGGTCGAAGCTGGACGGTCGTGTTGGCAGGTCGACAGGACAGCAATGCGCGTCTCAACCGAGGAAAGAACGCGGAACAAGCGCGAAGAAGCGGTCCAACGCTCGTCGGGAGGTCCGCGAGGAGGTGGAGCGGGGTTCCCTCGACCACCACCTTGCTTGACCTTGCTTTGAACCCGTACGAGGCTCTACAGCTGCACAAGAACCCGAAAGTCTCCTGCTACCTGTCCATCACCAGCGGTGCGTTCGTCTTGTTCGCTCAACCCCTCCCTCGCTCGACCCGCTCCTCTCTCCGTTCGTACTCCTTCGTGGGCCGTGCAGCCGGCTGCGCAGTGTTTCAGCAGGCTTTTAAGCCCACACAGGCCGTGACTGACCCGGCTGTCCGTGTCCTCGCAGACTTCACCACCTCCCCTTCACCGCCTCACTCCTCCCGACCCCGCCCACCACCGCAATGTCCGCTCCTTCCACCGCCGACGTCCAGGCTCTTCGCAGTCGCTACGAGAAGGCAGGCCAGGGTCATGTCTTCACCTTCTGGGACAAGCTGTCGGCCGAGGAACAGTCGACCTTCTACCGCCAACTCCTCTCCCTAGACCCCGCACGCATCAACTCGATCCACGCTTCTTCCCTCGAGGCGGAGAAGGCTGCGGCAGCGTCGACGCACGACGAGATCACGCCTCCTCCCGCGGACCAGTCGGGTAGCGTTATCGGGAACGAGAAGCAGGCGGCTCAATGGAACGAGGTTGGCTTGAAGGCGGTTCGAGAGGGAAAGGTCGCCGTCCTGTTGATGGCTGGAGGACAGGGTACGCGTCTCGGCTCGTCGGCGCCGAAGGGATGCTACGACATTGGCCTGCCGAGCCACAAAAGCCTGTTCCAGCTCCAGGCTGAGCGGATCAAGCGATTGCAGACTGTCGCGGGCGCCGACAAACCGGTGCCCTGGTACGTCATGACGAGCGGACCGACGAGGAAGCCGACGGAGGAGTTCTTCGCCGCGAACGGGTTCTTCGGTTTGGCAAAGGAGAACGTCGTCTTCTTCGAGCAGGGTGCGTTCTCTTGCTTCCTAAATCCAGCACGTCACTCACAGTTGTCGCACCTGCAGGCGTCCTCCCTTGCCTGACGGACGACGGGAAGATCTTCCTCGACAAGCCCGGCGTCGTCGCTGTCGCACCCGACGGCAACGGCGGTGTCTACGCCGCTCTCCGCAACCCTGTCTCTCCCTCGCTCTCCGCGCCCACAATTCTCGAAGACCTCCGCCAGCGCGGCGTCGAGTTCATCCATGCCTACGGTGTCGACAATTGCCTCGTTCGCGTCGCCGACCCCGTCTTCCTCGGCTACTGCATCTCGCGGAATGCCGACTGCGGCGCCAAGGTCGTCAAGAAGACTGTCCCGACCGAGTCGGTCGGCGTCGTCGCGCTCAAGGCGGGCAAGTTTGCTGTCGTCGAATACTCGGAGATCTCGCAAGAGATGGCGGAGCGCAAGGACGCCTCTGGATCAGACGACCTCGCTTTCCGCGCCGCCAACATCGCCAACCACTTCTACTCGCGCCAGTTCCTCGAGGAGGTGTCGCACTTTGACGAGAAGCAGATGCCTTACCACATCGCGCGCAAGAAAGTCCCGCACATCGACCTCGCCTCGGGCGAGACGGTCAAGCCCTCGAAGCCGAATGGCATGAAGCTCGAACAATTCGTGTTCGACGTCTTCCCGTTCACCAAATCGTTCGCGCTCCTCGAGGTCGAGCGCAAATCGGAGTTTTCGCCGCTCAAGAACGCGCCTGGGACGGGCAGCGACGACCCCGAGACGTCGAGGCGTGATTTGCTGCAGGAGCAGAGGCGGTGGCTCGAGAACGCTGGCGCGAAGGTTGCGGACGGCGTCGAGGTCGAGTTGAGCCCGCTCGTGTCGTATGCTGGCGAGGGGCTGGAGGGCGTCAAGGGCCTCGAGATCAAGAAGAGCGGCGTAGTCCATTCGCTCGACGAGCTCAAGCAGCTTGCGGCGTAGCGTCTTGTCGCCTGTCACTCATCCTCGTCGATACCCCTCGCAAGTTAGAAATGGACACTCTCGCTTCCCATCTCGTCGTCATCGTTCTTCCTGCCGTCTCGTGAAGTGAACAAACAGACAGCGACGCACTCGTCCGCGTTTTATTGCGAGAGAAAAGAACAGCCCCTCCAACCCCGCTGCCACCTCTAAACCCCGACAGACATCCGCCCGTCCGCTTACGTCAACTTGGCGGTGTGAGGGTCCTCCAGCTTGTATCCGACCATGTGCCTCCTGCCAATCATCTCGCCGAGCTTGAAGATGCCGTACGCCTCGAGGCCGTACAGCAACCAGCGCTTGTACTCGCCGCTCTTGTAGAGCTCCTTCCAGAACGACGGGCTGGGCGCTTGCTGGAAGAAGTGGCGGACTGTTGAGCGTAGCGAGAGGAGAAGGACAAGCGCGAATGAAGGCGAGGCAGCAAGAGAGGGGGAGGACGTTGAGTCGGGGGCGGTAGGCAAATCGAGTATGCGGAGGGCAACCTGTCAGTCAGAGTGAACAGGTCTTTGGAAGAGAGGATTCGACGCACAGGTGTAGGAGAACTGGGCGAACGAGGGAGGGGCGAGCTGCTCGGCAACGTAGACCTGCTTGGCAAACTCCCGTGCGACCGCGGCCTGTGCACCGTATGATCGGGAGGCATCGAGAGCAGAGCGGAAGCGTCGTAATGAGCCAGGCGATGGGGATTGCGATGTGGTGCGAGAGGATCGGAAGGGTCAGCGAGAGTCGAGGAGGGAGGCGGCAACAGCGCAAGCGGGGGGACGCACGTTGTACAGTACGGGCTCCTTGTAGGCTGTGCATCGAATGCGAGTACAAGCAAGCCAGTCAGCTCCTTGCTTCACGCCCTCCCAAACCATCGCGGAGGCAGTCGCTCGTCACTCGGCAGGCGCAACAACCCTCACACGGCCTCTGCGGGTGATCTGACCAAGCCGACTCACATCCGAGGAGGTTTCCAGCCGACTTGGAGACGCCCGCAAGCGCCTGCTGAGCCGTTGCCTGCGCGCTCGACGCCGCCTGCTGGGCCTTCTGAGCGGCCGACTCTGTCGACGCGAGGCGGACCTGCTGGGGGCTGGCTGCGCGGCGCAGTGCGGTGCGGACCGAGGAGAGCATCGCGGAGCTCGTTTGGCGGAAGTGTGCGGACGGTGGCCTGGTCAAGCAGCGAGCACGACCTCTTCCGAGGACCGCTCACTTCGCTTCCCTCCCGGCTGACTGAATGCTCTGGAAGTACTTCGATGCTGCGGCTGCTGACGCGAACCAGCTGCTCGAGCACCTCGCACACCCGCGCGTGCCGCCGACGTCTCGTTCGCTCTCCTCGCGACTCGCCTCTACGCTCTCGGCTCCTCGATGGCAGCGCCCTTTGTGTTGAGAGGGGATCCTTGTTACGATGGCTGCTAGGTGGAGGAAACACAGGCGCCTCGTCGGCAATCCTGGATACCAGAGCAATGCGCGTCGACCCACTCCCCCTCCATCCTCGCCCTGACCAGGACTCCTCTCCTCCAGCTTGGTCCGTGCGGCTGACCCGGGTCCGCGGTGTTTCCGACCTGAGCCTTTTCCGCTGAGGTGCCCGCGTGTGCCCTTCTTCCTCCTGCGTCCCACTTTCTCGCGTTCCTCAACTCGCCATCGGCAGAGCGACGCCCGTCTGCCACAATGTCGATTATGCCGCAGCCGGTCGACGTGCGCGACAGCGCGCAACTTCTCACGAACATACGGCAGTGCTTCAAGGACATCCGCGAAGCTGCGGCACACTCGAACGAACAAGTGAGACAAGGACATATCGCGGAGAATGGAGGGTTGTTAGGACGAGTGGAGGCTGTTACGGACATTCTCAAATCACGCCTGAAGCGCAACTGGCATCAACTTGCGGTCGTCGACGTGGAGGGCGGCAAGCGATGGACGTTCCAGCAAGAGATCTGGAACGAGGTGGCGCGTTGGCAAAACGCAGATAATCCTTTGGATACCGGCGAGATCGTGCGTTAACGCGATTCGTCGTTCAAGCCGCCTCTGACCCTCGGTCTTCCCACAGAACTTCGTCTACACACGCATCTTGGAGCTCATGGTAGAGCGAATTTGCTTCTACGAGGTCTGGCTCTCTGCTGACAACCATCCATAGAGACGGGGCGAACAAGCGTACGACCGGCACGAGTTGAACCGCCGAGGAATCGCGCAGGCAGCTTGGCTTCAGCAGGTGCGTTCGGCGCATGGTCCAATATCATCCCATCCCTCCTCTGACACTACATTTGGCTCGCAGAGGATAAGGAGGGCACAACTGCGGCAGGCGCACACGCACCTCCAGCAAGCCCTCGGATTCCCCGGCTACGAGTCCGGCGTCGAGCGTCACGATCACCCGACGACGCTGGACAGCCCGTTCTCGCTCCAGCCCGTTCGCTCGCGGCGCGACACAACTCCTTCGTCCGCATACCTCTCGTCGACCGCTTCGTCCTCGCCGGCGCCTTCGCGCTCTCCCTCTCACTCGTCACACTCGCCGCAGCTCGTAAACCCGTCCGACCTCGTCTTGCACGAACCTCGCAACATTGCGCCGCAGGTCCTTCACCGTTCGCCTCGCCCTCGTTCGGCACACTACCACAACAACTCGCCTCTCCCGCCGCATGACCCCTACACCGACTGGCAAGCTAATCACCACGAGCAGGGTACGATCGGTCACCAGTTTTACTTCGACGAGGCGTTGCACGGGCTTGTTCCCGCCACGTCTCCTCACGAGTCTCCCGCTTCCTACGGTTTCCACAGTCTCGGCCGGCCCTCGCACAAGCTCACCCGTATGCGTCCGTAGACTTCTTGCAATCCACTCCACCTCCAAGATGCGCGGCATCGCGAATCGATTGAGGCCACAAAATGAACTGAGATGTCGAAGCCCGAAAGACGTAATCAAGGCTACAAAGAGTGTCTACCCGCTTCTGCTTTCGCTCTACTGCAACGGCCTGCGTCCGCTCAAGACTCCAGCGAACGCCGCAACGATGTCAAAGACGTATTTGCCGAGTCTGCGCAGCAAGTCACTCGTCAGATCAGCCTGAAGAGGAGGGAAACGCGAGGCGAGACGTACGACAAGGCACCTTGCGCGCGCTGGGCGAAGATGGCGTAATAGCCGCCGTTCTCTTCTGATGCACTTGCAGAGAACGGGATCTCAAGGATGCCTCTGCGCGGAGCAATGAGAGTCAGCTCGACCTTCTCGTCCCAAATCGGGAACAGCGGGACGCACTTAAAGTCTACAACGAACGCCGAGCCGTTGCTGGACGTCTTGCAAGCGGCGGCGGTCATGGCGGCAACAACGTCGTCAACCGTAGGGAGAGGGATGCCGGTGAGGAGGAGGGTCGGGATGAGGCCGAAGATGTTGGTCTTGACGAAGAAGGGGTGGACGGTGCTGCAATCATCGTTGTCAATGCTTAGGTCGGCAGAAGACGCAGCCAAGAGAAGGTGACGCACTTGATACGAATTCCGTAGACTCGGGCGTCGAAGTACAGCGACCGCATCAAGCCGAGTACCGCATGCTTCGTCGCGCCGTAAGCCGGTGCTCCGGGGATACCCATGAACGACGCCATTGAGCCGAGAAGCACGATCGACTTTCCGTCCTTCGCGGGATTCTCGCGCAGGTGGAAGAAGGCGAGCTTGACGGTGTACATCAGGCCAATCAAGTTGACGTCTATGGTAGGCAGTGCCGGTTTCTGTATACGCCATGTCTGTTAAGGAAGTCTGCCGGGAAAGGTCGCTCGAGAAGCAACGCACGGTAGGCTCGCCATTCTCGGTACGGAAGTCTAGGAAGCGAGCGGTCGGTGGCTCAGCGATACCAGCGTTCGCAACGACGATGTCGACATGGCCGTAGGTGTCGCGAGCGTGGCGCTGCAAGAAACGAAGCGGGTTGGCACAACGAGAAAAGCGGAAGACAGCAAGCGGCCGGACGCACGAACATCTTGACTTGGTCCTCCCACTTGGTCACGTTGCAGGCAATAGTGGTCGCTTTTCCTGCGGAGATTCGAGGTCAGCGAGCGTTGAGGTGAACAGCAACAGAATAAAAGGAGCCGTACCCTCCCTTCGAGACGATCTCGTCCGCGACCTTCTGCACCGACTCCTTCCGCAAGTCCGACAAGACCACCTTCGCCCTGCGTACAGCCCGGCGAAAGAGTCAATCCTGGTCGCGCAGGCTGTGCAAGAGGGAACGAGCGAGAGGGACGCACCCGTACTGTCCTGCCTTCAGCGAGAAGCCCCTTCCAAAGCCGCTGCCTGCTCCAGTCACGACGACCACCTTTCCCTTCAAGTCTGCCTCGCCGCACGCGAATGCTTCGTCGATGTTGAGCGGGATCGAAGCGTGAGTCTGTCGAACCTCCGCCGACTGGGTCTTGATGAGCTCGCCGATGGCAGCAGATGCGTCCTCGTTCGAGACCATCGTAGCAGTAGCAGTTCAGAGGGCTGGCAGACGAGTCCAGCGAGAGCGAGTGAAGGGCAGGAGACTGAGCGCCGGCGACCTTTCGTGGGGCAGGCGATGCGAGTCGCCCTCGCATCTCCGTGAGGAGAACCAGCTTGCGTGCATTTCAACGGCTGACACAAGCTCATCGAAACGAGCAGCGAGTCCCACGGGGGACGCCGGGGAGAATTGCGCCGCCCCAACTCGCGCAGAAGCTTCCCGCCTACTCACTGGACGACAGCGGCCAAAAGCAGCTGAAGATTGTGAGAGCAATACAGTGATGATGACAGCGTCGAGCGAGCGACGTCAAACCTAGTTTTACGCTTCCTCACGTCTCCATCAAGTCCGCCGCCCTCGCTCGCTTCCTCCCTCCGCCAGGCGCACCACCGTCCATCGCCGCAGAGCCGACCGCACTGCCAGTTGCCACACCACCCGTGACAGGGTCTCCTCCGCCTCCTTCCGCGTCCATCGGCTGCGGGCCGCTCGCGTCCTTCGCCTCGGACGGCGCGGCAGCATCTCCGACGACGACGCTGCCGGGTGCGCCTTCCGTCGCAGCCGAGGCAACGTTACCGACTGCTTCGCTGCTCATCGGGCCGGTAGCGGATGCGCCGCCTGCAGTCGCGGGCGCAGCAGCCATCTGAGGCTCGTCCTCGACGCAGTACTGAGCGAGACGGGCGCGCTTCTCCTCCTGCGAAAGCCGGTATCGTCAAGTTAGCTCACTGATGCAAACTTGAGGGAAAGGAAGGAAGCAAACGCACGGGCGAAGTCTCCTGGTCTCCATATACGAGCACCGTTCCGGGCTTGAGCGTCACGGCCGAGCTCGGCACTTTCTCCCTGACCACCTCCTGCGCGCGCTCCGCGGCAGGTCCCCGCGGTGCATTGGGAGGCGGCGCGATACCGGGCGGCGGGAGAGGGAAGCCGGGAGGAGGAGCGGGGAAGCCGGGAGGGAGGGGCATGCCTGGGATGGGAGGAGGGAACTTGCCGGCGAGACCGGGCGGCAGAGGAATACCAGGAGGAGGGAGGGGGAGTCCGGGGGGAGGAGGAATGCCGGGCGGAAGAGACATGCTGGAGATAGAAGCGAAGTCAGCACGAGAGCATAGATGCAGAGTGACCAATGAAACCCGACTCACCCAGGCGGGAGAGGAAGAGGGAAGCCGGGAGGAGGGAAAGGCAGGCCTGCAGGAGGAGGCGCGATACCGGGCGGCGGTTGGAAGCCAGGCGGAGGAGGAGGGAAGGGCATGCCGTTTGGCGCGGGAGGAGCTGCCATCGGTGCGGGAGGAGGGATATTGGCGACAGGTGGCGCAGCGGGAGCAGGAATGTCGAGGCCCATCAGGGCGCGATGTGCTGCGAGCTGGGCGCGAGCTTCGGCAGGTGTGAGCGCGACCTGAGGGAAGCGCGGCTTCTTCGGTCGCATCTCGTCGGGGTTGGGCAAGCCGAGCTCCTCCGCCATGCGTCGCTTCCACGCTGCGAGATCCGCCGACGGGACACCCTCCATGCCGTAGATCTCGATGTCGAACGAGTCGCGGCCAGGAAGGGCGTTTTCGATCCTGGAAGAGTCGCAAGCCATTAGCGGGCGGTCTCATTGCGCGACGAACGCGAGCGCACCTGTCTGTTCCCATCTTATGCACCTGGTCCAAGTGAACCGCCAAACCACCGGCCGTGTTGAGCCGCCTCGGACACTGCGGGCAGCGGAAGTGCTTCGCCTTCTGGTGGCTCAGCAAGACACGCTGGTCCTCAAAGTTGCGGTCGCAGTACTGTTGGCAGAGGAGCTGGGTCAGCACCGCAGCTGGACGGAGGTCGCGAGGAGGGAACACACCCAGCACCACGCCATGTCGGCGATCCTGCAGGACGGAAGCAAGAGTCAGCAGAGCTCTCGTGAGGACACATGACTGCAGCGCACCTCTTTGTCTTCGACTTCTTCTTGCCCATCTTGTCGAGACGAGCGGTGGGGGAGTGAGGGAGAGCGAAGAGACGGAGGGGTGCGGGAGTTGCGCAGGTGAACTTGGTAGGTGACTGCTGTCCTGAAGGTCGTCTACACTGCAGAGCGAGCCTTGTCAGCGCTGTTCGTGGTCACACGCTCGTCGGGAGATGGGAGGACGGGGATGGGGTCGCAGTTTCGCGTCCCGCGACTTTGTGCTTGCGCCAGGATGGTCATACAAGCTCACCAGAGACGTCTAAGCTGTCAACAGTCCAGCAGAGCGAGCGCGAGGGGGGTGCAGGTCGCTAACCCTCGCCAGCTCGCCTCTCTCCCCTGGACCGCTCACTCTGTTCTTCCCGACACCGCTGAACGGCATGCTGGACTCGCCTGACTCGACTAGGGACATGATGCAGGACTACGAGGCTTACTAGGTTAGTCCCACTCCCGCTGCTCTCTACCCCTTGGCCGAGACGAACCTTTTTCTCCCTTCGACGGGCACCCTCGCATGACACGCTCTGCACCCGCCCGTCTGTGTGGGAAGATACACAACACTGAAAATCCTGAGCCACCGAGCATCGCACGCGAGTCGAGACGTCGAGCTGACCTGGTTCGCCTTCGCACCTCGCAGGACTCGTCCTCTGCCAAGCGCTCGAACGTGCGCAGATTGCTTGCTACTCGACGGTCTAGATCTGCCGCATTACCAGATGACGCCGACTGCTAGCCGACTAGACGCGTTCCGCCCGCCGTTCGCCGCCTCCCATTCTCCTCGACCCTCGAAACAGCGCTCGCACTCCCGCAGTCTGCGCTCAGTCTTCAGAGACGAGCGTTGTACTCGATGGTCAGCGGCGAAGCTGTAGAGGCGACTCACAATGGATGGCAAGGTTGGCGAGCGCAAAGGGCGATCAATCCGTACGTCTCGATAGTCCCTCCCTCTCGTTGCGCCAGCACGTCTGGCCGCAACGGCAGCTATGATGGTATATACTTCGATATAGTCTTACCGAAGGCCGTTTTGACGAGCGGACCTGGGTGGAAAACATGCCTTTCTGTTACTGAGCTGCGTCTGATACTTCGCGATGGGGCCGATACTGACTCTCCTTGCTCGTCCAGTCCCCGCAGAGTATCAAGTGCGAGTGAAATGCAGTACAGTATACACGAGGAGCGGTGGGGAGACTAGTGCAGGATAGACTCCATCATCTCCTTCGCTGCTTCGCCAGCGCTCTTCCTCTCCTCCCCCTTCAACGAGATTGACGGGTTGATGCGCCCGACGACCGTCTCCTTGTCCCACTGCCACGCCCCGCTCTTCAACTGTAGCAGCTCGTCTCCGTCCTCATCCGCGCTGGCGTAAAAGACCTTCTCCTCGTCGTCCCACCACAGCCATGCCTCGTCTGCCGCTTGAGCGAGAGCGACGTTGAAGGATGCCAAGATTGCGGTGTCGTCCTCGCAGAGAATCATGCGAACGAGAGTCTGGCGCGAGTTGGTCTGCAACCGTACGCGAACGCCGACTCGGATCGAGCCCGCCGAGATGATGCCGCCAAGGAAGTCGTCCTGGAGCGTGCCACGGCGATAGGACGTCCAGGCGACCCAGGAGAGCGTAGGGAAGAACGGCTCGGACTCGAACGGTCGGATCTGGACCATCAGGCTTTCCGGCAGGTCGACCGCTTCTGAGACGCGCGTACGAGCGAAGCGGGGGAATCGCCTGAGAAGTGAGTCGACGACGTTCTTGCCGAGGTTGAGCGTGACGGAGAGGGGACCGCGACCCTTTCGGAACCGCTTCTTCTGCAAGCGTTCCCTCCTTGGCACCTGGTCCTGCTTCGATCCGTCCTTCCGCATTTCGCGTCGCCTCTGCGACACCTGGAGCGCGAGAATCGTTTCGTGCACGGTCATGGTGGCCGGGTGGCGGTTCAGGAGGACGGAGGCTGCGGAGGAGGGAAAGCCAGGGACCTTCGGCAGAGCCGACAGCTTGACTCCGCGCGGGACTGCGTACAGCAGGGTGACGAGGTCGTCGTAGTAGTAGACGGATCCGCACGAGATGGCGTTGAGTCCGCCGTGCGTGATGCCAGTGAAGCGTGCGGCGCTGGTCAACGGCTCCAGCGTCATGATCTCCCCGTCCGAGAGGTTGAGCGCGCCTTGCGGGTCAACGTTGATTGCCGAGCCAGTGAAGACGCCAACGACCTCGATAGGCGCGTCGGAATGTGCGGCATTGAACTTGGCGACCATTGACAGCACGACCTTGACGTTCGAGTCGAGCCGGCCGGTGGTGAAGTGGGCATAGGCTCGCACCGACGGCTGTGAGCCCTCGACAACCGAATCCCGACCCACGCTCCATCCGCTGTATGCACCGACGCGCTTCTTCTCGCCCGACCATCCGCCATTCCTCTTAAACCACTTCAGCCCGTCCGCGTAGACGAGATGGGCGCAAAGACAGTCGGCCTCTCGAGCCATCGCAAGCTGCTCTGACTCGGTGATGAAGGCCATCCATCGCTCGGCGACGTCCATCGTCGGCGCGTAAAGCTCGTGGAGATAGCCGTAGTATGCGAGGAAGGGCACATCTTGCGATGCGATGGCGAGGTTAAGAGGCGTTCCGTCGATAGGTTGGAAGGCGAGAGGGTGTTTCGTAGGCGGTTCGAGAACGTCGCACGAAAGGGCGGGAGCGAGAGGCAGGAGCTTCTCGACCTGATTGCGGTAGGGTCGCAACATCCAATTGAAGCAGCCGTTGTCCTCGTTGAGCTCGACGATGGATGAAAGTCGCTTCGCCTGTTCTTCGAGAGTCTGACTCGAGAGCATTCCGAGTTTTGGCGAGACAGGAAAGCGAACGACGAGTCCGTTCGGCATCTGCTTGAACGGGTTGTTGAGAGTGAAGCCGCTCCAGCTTGGGTCTGTTGCGGGGATGAGACGCTTCGTCGCGCCGTTCGAAGCCTTCTTCTGTTTCCTTCGCGACGAAGAACCACTCGAACTCACTGCGGGTTTGGGGCGCTTGGTCGGACGTTCTACCCCGTCCGCTGCGCTTGTAGCACGCTTGCGGTCGCGGACGCTGTCGAGAGAGCTTGGAGAAGAGGCTTGAGAGGCGACGAGAAGGCGGTAGCTGTGAGGTTACTTGTCAGGGTGTGCGGTCCTCGAAGAGCGACACCCAGACTCACGACTCTCCCAGAGTTGATCCCGTCACTTCCTGTGGCCAGTGCTGCGCACAGACGTTCCCTGCCGACAGAAAGCGTCAGCATATCTTGCGCCGCATAGCGAAAACGGGCGGTAACTCACAAAGAGGCGCTCGCTCCGCCGCAGGTCGAGTTTCGATGACCCACCGACCTCGTTGAGCAGTCGCTTGATCGTTTCGACCTTGATTGTACGGTCGACGATCGTATTGACCTGGCTGAGCTGGCGAAGGGACGAAGCCACAGACGCGAGAGGTCCTGAGAAGGTGGAAGGTCAGGCGCTCTGCGCGGACGCAGCGACGTAGTGTGGGTGAGCGCACCATCCTCGATGTCGTAAGAGCCATCTGGCAGCGCCGATGCGAACTCTGCACGGATAAGCGAAGTGGTGAGGTCCAGCCAATGTTGGGTGAAGCAGAGTCGCGGAGACGCTGAAACGCACCTTGTCCACCATCGCTACTGCTGTTCCTCAATTCTTCGCGTCCGCCTTCGCTCTCGGGGATCCTGCCAGCCGCCTGACTGCTCTCATCTTCATCGTCGACCGGTTCCGCCCTTCCCTTCCTTTTCGCCTGCGAGGAGGTCCCTGCTCGCCCGACTTGGTCATCCGCCTTTTCTCTCTGGCGTACAGACGTGACCGCCGGCTTCGCGACGCTGTCTTTGTCTGCCTGAGTCCCGGCGAGAGTTGCGGTGTGAGGTTGAAGGGCAGCAAGCAGTCCAGCGACGGAGAGGAGACCGGGACCGAGCGGGCTGGTGGAGTCGCTCGGGGTGTATGTGCGGAAGTGTCTGAGCGCTGCAAAGTCGCCGCCTGGCGCGGGAGAGGCTGGCAGGCCGTCGAAGGTGAAGTCGGTGGAGGGAAGGAGGGAGGAGGTCGAGGGCATCGTCGGGGTCCGCGGATGCCGAACTGCGTTGCGCTTTAGGCGTTGCGTGTGCAGCGGTGCACCGTGGAACTCTCACTTCGACAGCGGAGCGGGCTTGTTGGAGGAGGAAGAGAGACCCAACTCAGCCGCCACTGCTTGCCCTTCGCTCACTCGCTCGCGAAGCTAAGTCGCCCAGGATGAGCACGCCTGCTACGCTGGAAGCTCTGCGTCGCGTCCGCGAGCTGCGCGTCTTTCTCAACACGCGTCCTACGTACAACCTCACGGGACTGCCACCCTCGCCTACTCCGCTCGCGGTGCGTGTTCGTCAACGTCGTTGCGGACGACGCGCAGCTGATGGAGCTTCGCAGACGTACTCTGGGATACTCAGACAACTCCGCTCGGCGTCGAAGATCGTGCTTGTCGACGAAAGCGTGCAGGTCGCTCAGAAGATGTTCGTCTCGTTCCTCTCGAAGGAACTCGCTGACATGCGTACGCGCTCTCAAAACACAGACGACTTGTCTTCCTGAACGAAGCTGAAGCGGAAAAGGCGCGAGAATTGTGCGCGTCCAAGACGTTTGAGCATGAGGAGCGCCGCCTGAGACTCGAACTCGATGTGCGTCCGCCGCTGCCGAAGTCACAAGGATATTGATGCATTGTGCTACAGCCGACGACCAAGCCCGCCGGCTGGATGTCCTCCGAACGCCTCATCATCGACCGTCCAAACCATCGCGTCTTCTTCGAACGCACTCTCGACCCGACTAGCGCCACGGTCGATGCGGATACGTTCATGCACGATGATGAGCAGCATTGCGAGCTTTGGCGGAGCATCTGCAGCGTGCTGGATGCGCAAGAGGCGGGCTTGTTCGAGACGACCGACGGTCCGTTTTTTCTTTCTCTACCGCTCGATCGCAGTGCGAGATGCGACCTGATGAGGCTCTGGAATCCACAGAACTCGCCACTCTCAAGGTAGCGCAGGTCGCAGACGCTTCTCCCGTCGAGGTTGCGCCTTCGGAGAAGCCGCATGGCCAGCCGCGCACGCCCACCGTCGCGCCGGTCCTTCCTCTCAATCCCGGAGGAGATGTCTCGGAGGAATCAGACATGGAGATCGAGAGTCGTGAGCCCTCGCCTCTCCCAGATCTTGAGCAGCAGGTGCGCTGCTTCGCAAAGTTATACGTCGTTCGGCGCTGATTCTCTCGCTACCTCGCGTCTACTTGTCCAGCTGCCACAACCGCACACGACGCCCGTCGGACCCTCAGACTCGAGCCCTTCCTCCAGCCACAACCCGCCCGCGCCGAACAATCCTCCGCCGACGCCGTATGCTCCTCTGCCCAGCCCGTCTCGCTCGTTCTCGGGTCTTCTTCCGACAAACAGCTCGGTCGTCAGCCCTTCCCAGGGTAATCAGCAGCACGCGTACTCGGACAGTCCGACAAGCCATGCCTACGCTTTGAGCGGCATCGGTGACGGCAAGAACGTCAAGATCTGCGGCGTGCGTACCCTTTCTTCCGCCTTACTGGCTCATCTCGAGACCTGACTTTCGGTCAACCTTCAGCTGCCAACCCCAAACAGCTATTCGCAAGCAGAGTTGCGGAACTTGTGCGCTGGAGTGGGCGGACTCGAACAGTTTCGGGTGAACCCTGTTTCGCTTTACGGCCAGTTCTGGGCTGCGCTGCGGTACAAGACGGAGGAAGCGGCGATCGCAGCCGAGAGTGAGTTGGTCGAACATCTTGGGTTGGGAAGGTCGGGCAACTTTGCTGACGGCTCATCGCAGAACTCTTCAATGGCTTCATCTTCCGCGGTTCGACCCTGCTCTCACGTCGATGGGCGCCTATCGCGACGCGAGACGCGTCCGGTCACTCACCGCAGCTTTGCGTCCTGGCGGTGTGTTCGCTTTCCTTCGTCGCCCGTCTGCTCTCCATCGCTGATGCTCTACGGCATGCAGCCTGCGAGCTCGACTTTTCTCTTCGGCGGTCCTCAGCTCGAAGAACTCGTCTCGTTCGCCGCGATTGCGGCCGAGCAGCCCATCGAAGCAGCAGACTTGTCGCCGACACGGAACAAGGCGTTCCTCCTTTTCGCGACCACGGCCCAGGCGAGGAAGGCAGCGCTCTACATGAATACCCACAAGGACTCATGGGGTGCGCCACAGCATGTTCCTCTCGTGTACGACTAAGAGGAAGTCGGGTTCCTACTGACCGTGACTTCGAGCCCAGGTCGCCGTCTCTTCGCCTTCACCGACGATGACCGCTCATGGAACTTCTCAGTCTTTGACACATACTGATGCGTGCGCTTTCGAACCTTCTGCAAAAACACTCTGTGCAATCCGCCGACTAGTCCTGCCCTCGGCGTGAGATCAGCGCTGGTCAGGCGTACTCGCATCTGGCGCTAGCGCAAGAATCAGCGGTAGGAGACTTGCAAGCGGCTAGCAAGCCGCCCTCACGAAAGGAGAGCTGTTCAACGTCGCTTTGATGCAAGTTCATCTAGTCATGCTGAGTCTATGCCGCTCTTCCGCCCGCCCTCTACACCCTCCGCGTCTTGATGCCAGCGTCGACGAGGTGCTTCTTCACCGCCTCGATGGGGACCTCCTTCCTGTGGAAAATGCCCGCCGCAAGCGCCGCCTCGACGCCCGTCGCCTCAAACACCTCGCTAAAGTCCTCGACCTTGCCCGCACCCGACGAGGCAACGACGGGGATGCCAACACTGCGCCTGACAAGGTCGACGAGGCGGCAGTCAAAGCCGGACTTTGATCCGTCCTTGTCGACCGAGTTGAGGAGGATCTCGCCCGCCCCGAGCTTCTCGACGCCCTGCGCGAGCTGGACGACGTCGACATCGCGCGTCTCGCGGCCACCACGGACCGTGCATTGGTACCAGCAGTAGCGCTCGCCGTTCGGGCCGAGGTCGGCCTTGAGCTCCTTGTCGGGTGAGGAGGCGAGCGAGCCGGCGAGGTCGACGGCGCAAGGGCGGTGGGCTTCGGGGATCTCGTCGATCGAGTTGGCGTAGACGCGCTTCGGGTCGAACGAGACGACCACGGCTTGAGCTCCGTAGGCGTACGAGATCGTCTCAATGCTCGTCTTGCCGGTGAGCTTGCCGTCCGCCGCGAGGAGCTCCTCGACCGCAAAGACGGCGTCCGAGCCAATCGAGACCTTGTCGGCGCCGCAGCGGAAGTAGGTACCTGCGACCTCGAGAGCCGAGCGAGTCGTGCCATCGGGGTCGGTCGTGTCGCGGATACCGCCGCCAATCGTGAGCGGAACAAACACGGTCTCTGCTGCCTGACGAATGACGTCGAGCATGGGCTGGTCGTGGAGAGGGCAGGAGCGGAACGAGGTGATGTTGAGGAAGGCGACTTCATCTGCTCCTTCGGCATAGTATCGCCGTGCGAGGTCGACGGGCTTGCCGAGGTTGCGGACTTGCCGTTGACGCTTGGCGGGAGGAGGGGCGGACGGGTCGGAAGAAACGGTCGAGGTGGGAAGGGTCGTCTCAGCGACAGGTGCGGCAGGCGAGGTCGAAGACGACTCTTCGGGTGCGCCCGACGGCTTGGACTCGACGTCTTCGGTCGTGACCGACTCTTCCGCCTCTCGCACGTCGTACTGGTCACCCTTGGTCACGACGAGGTCGCCTTGGTCGTTCGCGCGAACGTCGAGGCAAGCAACGATGCGCTTCGTGAAGCCCTTGCGGACGAGATCCGCATCGACGTCGGCCTGAGGTCGCAGCGGCTTTTTGCTGACGTCGAGCATGCCCTTTCCGTCCTTGTCCGTCGCCTTGAGCCAAGCCTCAACGACCGCCAACCCAGCCTTGCCGCTCTTCTCCGGGTGAAATTGCGTGCCAAAGACGTTCCCGCGCTGGACGCTCGAGACGTACTTCTCCTCGCCGTACTGCGTCAACGTGAGCGCCCAGTCCTGGACGCCCGGCTGGTCCGCATCAACGCGGTACGAGTGAACGAAGTAGTAGCTCTCCTCGCCCTCTCCAAATCCGTACGCCTCCTTGCCCACCTCTCCAATCTCGCGGCGCTCAGTCGCGCCGTTCCAGCCCATGCAAGGGACCTTCTTGTCCTCCGACGAAAAGCGGCCGACTTGGGCGTCGATGACGCCGAGGCCGGGCTCGTCGGGCGACTCGAGCGACGACGCGAAGAGCGCTTGCATGCCGATGCAGATGCCCATGTAGGGGCGGCCCGAGGCGATGTACGCCTTGAGAGGCTCGACGAAGCCGCGCTTGCGGAGGCCGGCCATGGCGGAACCGAAGGCGCCGACGCCGGGGAACAGGATGCGCTGCAGCACAACGTTTGATACTGATGTCAGCAAGCCGCCTAGCGCCCCCACGACCTGCACAAGCGATTCTTCCTCCCTCCTCACCAAGTGCTGCAACAAGTCGAAGCGAAACCAGCACTCACGTCCGCCTTTTCGATATCCTCCGCACTTTGTACCCACTTGAACTCATACCCCAGCGAGCGGACCGAGTTGGCTGTTCATCCGCGTCGCGCGAGTTCCGAGAAGGATGGGAGAAAAAGCACGGCGGGCGTGGCGGCGTCAGTACGGCACTCTGGCGGTTGAGAGAGTTAGAGAGCGCACCGAGAGAGGCTACGTTGCCTGCGCCGTAGTCGAGGAGGTACAGCATTGCGTGTAGTGTGGTGGAGTGCCGGGGAGGAACAAGGCGAGATGAGGACGGAGAGGGGGGCGTCCGCGGCTTGGAGGATGCTGTAGAACTGTCACCGAGCTGTTCTGAGCTACTCTGAGCGTCGCTAGCTTGACCAAGAAGCAGTCTGAGCGGTGTGAGCGAGATGAAGCAGCGCTTCCTTCGAACTTGGCTCATCCAGCAGGCGAGTCAACCTCTCCTCGCTCGAGTAGCCGAACTGACTCGCTCGTGGACTGTATTACTACTTTTCAGAAAGGTGCATAGATCGTACAAGGCTTTTAGTGCCGCCGCCGATGAGGGCTGCCGAGATGCTGGACAAGGGATGTGGGTGTGTACAGGCTGCAATGGAATTCGTGGACCGCGGTTGACGCGAACTAGTCTATGAGGCGATAGAGAAGGGAAGCGGAAAGAGAAGCGCGAGAGGGAGCTTAGAAGAGCATCCGGGTGGCGATGTTGGCGCGGGACTGCGGGTTCAAAGGGTCAGTTCCAGTCTGAGGCGATTCGCAGGCGACTGTACTCACGCCAGCAATCGCCTCGTAGATGTCCTTGATCTCCTTCTCATCGACGTTGGTGATGTCGGCAAGGAGGTACGCAATGTCGCCCTGCAGTCGCGAGGGGAGTCAGTTTCATGCAAGAGCCCGAGCGGATCCCCGCGCACGCACCTTGGAGTCGGAGAACTGCTTCTCGACGTTGTGCTCTCCGAGGACGGCGTTGACGACCTTGAGCACACCAGGCTGGTTCAAGTGAACGTGGCAGAGACGGACGGTTCCGTCATGGAGGATCGGGCGGAGGTTGACTTCAGGGAAGTTGACCGAGCCGATCGTCGAGCCGTAGTTGAGGTAGCGGATCAACGCGCCGCCGACTTCTGCGCCGATCGCGCTCTGCGCCTCTTCGGTCGACCCGCCGATGTGAGGCGTCAAGATCAAGTTGGGGCAGGAGCGGAGTTCAGACGACCACGCGTTGAGCGAGTCGCCAAAGTTGGGACCGTTCGATGCCGGCTCGTGAGGGAAGACGTCGACGGCCGCGCCGGCGAGCTTGCCCGACTTGAGTGCGTCGATGAGCGCGGGGATGTCGATGACTTTTCCGCGGGCGTTGTTGAGCAGGTACGCGCCGTCCTTCATCTTGCTGATTTGCTCGGCACCGATCATGTTGGTCGTCTCTGGGAGTTCGGGGACGTGCAGCGTGAGGAAGTCGGCTTGCTCGAGGAGGTCATCGAGGGTCTCGGTCTGCTTGGCGGACCCGAGAGGCATGATCGGCAGGACGTCGTAGTACAGGACCGACATGCCCATCGACTCGGCGAGGACCGAGAGCTGCGAGCCAATGTGGCCGTAGCCGACAATCTGTGCGCGTTCACCCACGTCAGTTCCGCTTCTCTCTGGAGAGCGGACGATGTACGCACGCCAAGAGTCTTTCCCCTGACCTCCCAGCACCCCTTGGAGACCTTGTTCCACACGCCCTCGCGCATCTCCCTCGCGCGGTCACACAGCTGCCTCGAGAGCGCGATGACCTCGGAGATGACGAGCTCTGCGACGGAGCGAGAGTTGGAGAAGGGCGAGTTGAAGACGGCGATGCCGGCTTTTGCGGCCGCGAGGAGGTCGACTTGGTTCGTGCCGATGCAGAAGCAGCCGATGACGAGGAGCTGTGCGGGCGTGCAAGGTCAGCGGGCGTCTTGCCGGGGTCAAGACGCTCCGGGATACGCACGTTGGGGCACTCTGCGATGACCTTGGCCGTGACCTTGGTCTTTGAGCGGATGCCAATGGCCGAGAAGTTGCCCTCCCTGAGGCGCTGGATGAGTTCCTGCTCTCCGAGCGCCTTCTTGACCTCTTCGACGACGAAACCCTGTGCCTTGAGCATGGCTACGGCTGTCGCGTTGACGTTCTCGAGCAAGAGGATGCGGAGCGGGTCGTCCTTGAGCGGGAACTCTGTCAGGGCCTTGCCGGACTGGGGGAAGGGGATGGCGCCTGTTGCGCGCTGCCTGGCCTCGTACGAGATGGAGAAGGAGGACGCATTGGGCGGGGAGGTGGCGAGCTGGGCTTGGGCAAAGGTGGGCGACGAGGGCGAGAGGATGCCGTTCGGGAGGGGCGAGATGGAGACGGATGGGCGGCGCTGCTGAGCCATTGCGCGGGTAGATTGGGTTGTCTGAGTGTGTAGCAACGTAGATCAAGCTGTGTCGAGCGCTGTAAGCCGAGTGAGCAGAGTTGCAACGAGTCAAAGAGCACCGCCTCGAAATTGCGCAAGGAAGCGAACTTGCGCTCTCACCCGGAAACTCGCTTACACCCGCTCACTCGTCCAGAGTCACGGCGTGTGCAAGAGAAAGCAGTCATCGATGCAATGGCTTGTGTGTGTGCAACTCCTTCCAACAAATGCCGTGCTTTTCCCAACCTCCAGAGCCTCCTCCTCAGTGCGCTCACTTGGCCGCCTCCTTCTTCTTCTTCTGCACCTTGGGCTTCAAAGGCCGCGCGAGCGTCTCCTTGATTGCGTCGCTGACCTGCACGTCGCTCTGGACCTTGTCGGCAGAGTAGAACGACGGCGCGGCGGAGAGCCGTGCCGCGCCCGTCTTGGTCACCGTGAAAGTGAGGAACACCTGCGCGGCGAGGTTCTCGGCCTTCTCGGTCGTGCTACACGTCGAGAGTGTCAGCTCCTCGTGACCCAAGACAAGAGAAAGCGACCCCGAACGCACCTGACATCGTATCCGCGCACCAAGTTGTGCTGGACGCACTCGCGGACGCCCATACGCGCGCGCGTCTCGTCCTCCATGATGCGCAAGTTGAACGGGAACGAGCCGGCCTTCTGCGAGAGCTCGGAGAAGGTCGCGCGCGAGGTCTTCATCTTGAGCAGGTAGGTCGACTGCGTCTTGGAGAAGATGGTCGTGCGAGACGTGTCGGCCGCCTTGGGCTGCGGTGCGAGGAAGCGCACTGTCAGTCCTCTGTTCGGGACCGCCAACGCAGCCCTCGCGAGCAGATCCCGCCGAGGACTGCGCAATTCCTCAAAGAGTGAACCGGCGACTCACAGTCCTCTCACCATCAGTGACGATGATGTTCAAGCCGTAGACGTCACCCTCCTCAAAGGTGTAGGCGTTGTCCGAGTCGCTTCGCTGCGCGGCGGTGGGGAACGCGACGAGGCCCTTCTTCGCCTCGAGGTTGTTTTGCGTGAACTGCGCGGACGGGAGAGAGAGTCAGGAAGATGGTCGAGATATGTGAGCACGCTGCAGCAAGCCTCGAGAGCTGGCTCCCAAAAGCGCGCACGAAGCGAAACCACCCGCCGACAAGAACTCACCTGGTGCGACAAGACCCCCTCAACGCCCTTGACGCCACTCGCCTCGTACTCCTTCAAGAGCCCCTTGACAGCCTCGGTGACTTCCCAGTTGCGCACGCCGGGCTTGACGGCGCGGAGGGCGATCTCGCCTGCTTGGTAGGCCGCTTGGAGGAGGTTGGCGCGCGTGCCGGTGATGGGCGAAGAGGCGCCGACGATGAAGCTGCGTGGCGTGCGAGGGCGTCAGTAGGAAGATCAAGAGACAGCCGGTCCCGCACCGCAATCGGCAGCGAGGACAGGCGCTCAAGACCAACGCTGGACGCACGTCTCGCCGGAAACGACGGGGTAGCCGTCAATGTGCGCTCCGACGACAACCTTGACCACATCGTCCTTCTTGAGCGTCTGAGCCGCGCCCTCCTTGTCCGACGGGACGGGCGAAAAGTGCTGCAAGACGTTGTTGACCGAGACAGTCGTCGGGAACGCAACGCCCTTCGGGGTACCCTTGACCTTGTTGTAGAGCGGCTTGACGCCCTCCTCGATCAGCTTGTCACCCTCGAGGCACAGCTCGAGGATGTTGGCGCCCTCGGTGGCCTTGGCGATGAGCTGCTTGACGACGCTCTCGACGACACCGGCCGCGGCCTTGTACTTGTCGAGAGTGGCGGTGGGCACTGCGTGGAGGATAGGCGGGTCGTGCAGGATGCGCGGGGAGGGAGAGTCGAGACGGGGTCGTTCACAGCATCGAGGCGAGGGGAGGGCGGGGACAGGGGAGAACCAGGTAGGGAGGGCGGGGCGTCCAGAGAGCAGTCGTTTGAATGGTCGGGCGGGCAGCAGGGTGCAGGGGTGGTGTCGAAAGGCGGGGCAAGGTCGACGAGGGAGAGATGAAAGGGCGGGTCACGAGAAGTGCGCGAGACGACGGCGGTTGACGAGAGTGGTCCGCATGGTCGCAGAAAGTGTCGAGTGCACGGTCAACGGTGTCCACGAGTCGTAGGATGGGCGTGAGCGGGTGTTGTAGAGGGTGTGCGCAAGGTTGGAGGGGACGAGGGAAGCGATGAGCGGTCGTCCTTGTGCGGGACAAGGACGAGTGAGTGTGTGGACGTACGTGCGACCTCCTGAGCGGGCTTCTGTGCTGCGGCAGACATCCTAAGTCAAGTAGCTGGGACGAGGGAGCGAGCAGGACGGCGCTCTCCTCTTCGCTGGCGAAGACCAGCTCGACCGCGACCAACTTTCACTCGCTGGACCGTACGAGTGGTCGCTAGCTGTGCTCTTACACTCTCACTGGTCACGACGCCGTTGTCGCCATGCCCGTCCGAGCTGTGTGCGACGAGCTACACCCGCTCAGGCGCGTCGACCTTCCTAATCCCTCGAATACAATTCCTGGATCTAATGAAGTTGTATTCAATCGGAGTCCGGCTGTACTCCGCGGAGCTTGTCGTCCCCTTGGTCGGCAGCGAGCAGAGTGATCTCACCGCGAGTCGGTCTCCTCGTGCCCGTCGTCGACGTCGCTCTGCTCGCCCTTCTAGACTGCTGTACGCTATCACAACGCTGTTACTACTCGCTACACTCCTCGAGCGATGCCCACAACGCTCCACCACCTCACGCTCGTTCCAACTCCCCTCTCCGCCGTCCCCGATCCAGACGACTCCGCCTTCGAGCAGGAACTCATCGACGAGGGACGCAGACTGCTCTCGCACGACGGGTGGACAGAACGAAAGAGCTGGCATGGCGGGGTCGTCGAGACTTACTCCCTGCCGCAGGGGAGTGTGACGTACGAACCGAAGAATGGAGGAGGAGGCGCGAGTCCATCGCCCACCGGTGCGTCCGATCGAACTCCTGTATCGACCCAAGGCGAGAGCGAGGGGCTGACCGGGATTCACGGGCAGGCAAATCAGGCGAGGAAGGCATCCTCTGGCACAAGCGGGTCTCGCGGTTCAAGGCGTCCGAACACGGCGGCTACGACACCTGGTGGAAGGCCGTAGGCGAGAATCACATCGAGCAGGAGAAGGAGTACGTCGACAACCTCGTCAAGGTCATCGATATCGGCAAGAGCGAGGGCAAGAAGGGTCAGTTTCCGCTCGAACTCGCTCAATCGACGGGTGCTGACCTCTCCGAACGTCTGGAGACTGCTTCCTCAAGCTCTACAAGCTTCCATTCGGCGCGACAGATCGATCCTTCATGACCCACTCCGTCGTCGTCTCTCCCTCCTCCTCGACCCAACAACCGTCTTCACAAGATCCCAACGCCTCCTCCTCCTCCTCTCCCCCCGAATCCAAGTCCAAGTCCTCTTCCCCCTCCTCCGATGGCCCACGCGAATTCCTCGTCTTCTCCCTCCCAATCACGACGCAAATCGAAGTACCAGAGGAGAAGAAGTATGTCCGCGGGACGCAGGCGACTGTTGAGCGGGTACGGGAACTCGAGGGCGGGGAAATCGAGTGGTCGTGCGCGAGTTTGAGTACGCCCGGAGGGAACATCCCGGTCAAGCTCAGTGAGGGGAAGATGTGAGTGGTCTTGTCCTCGCGGCTTTGGCTTTTGCACGGCGCTGTGTTACGGTCGATCAGACTGTGACCAGTTGTGTCGTGCTGTCGATATGCCGCAGCCCACGACTAATACTCTCTCTCGCAGGGCCGCCTCTCTCGCCGACGCCGTCCCCTCAATCCTCACCTGGATGTCCTCCAAATACCCGCCCAACGCCAGCTCAATCAAATCCGGCACCTACTCCTCCACATCCGACGCGAGCGCGCGCAAACCCGCTCAACTGCGCACGACAAAGGACGCGGCGAATCCCGGAGGCGGGATGGGGGTCATGCCCGCCGGGAGGCTGCCGTTGGAGTTGTTCCGCAAGCCGGTCAAGTTGAGGGAGTTCTGAGTGGGGTATAGTAGACGGGGGAGCGTAGAAAGAGCGGTACATCGTGCGGAGGGAGTAGAACGGAGTTGAGGAGGGAGAAAGACGTTTGTATCTTGTTCAGTACGCAGCTCCGCATCGTCTCGCCTGCCAATGCATCTATTCTCGCATCATTCCTGCCTGTTCGTCGCTTCTGCTGGCCCTGCTGGTCGTGGTCGACTTCAACCCTTTGCTCGCCGTCATTTCTTTTGACCTTGTCCTGTCGACTCTCTCCTCGCTGAGCTTCCGTTCGAGCGTGTGCTAGCTATCGAGACTTGTCTGCACCTGCGCAGCCCACTGCGCCATTCTCCCGAGGCCCTCATCGTCCTCCTCCGACCTCATCTCGACATCCCTTCCCCCGCCGAAATCCGCCATCATGGGCATCTACATCCCCTCCTCGAAGCGGGACAGGCTGCTCAAGTACAAGTACAGCTCGACTGACTTGTCCCTCACTTCGGTGCGTTTCGTCCGTCGAGTTGAGTTGAGGAGTGGAGATGATCGGGAAGGGCTGATGAAGTGGGAAGGAGGACCGGGAGAAGAGGCGAGCTGTACGGGGTGAGCGAGCAGAAAGAGAAGAGTTGCTGACATGCTGCGTGCCGACGCAGCGCTACATCCTCAACCCGTACTGGAATCGCCTCGTCCTGCTCTTCCCGAAGAATATGGCGCCGAACGCTATCACTCTGCTGGTGCGCAGCGTTCTTCCAGCCTACGGACGATGAGAACATGCGTCTCGGCTGTCCTAACCCCTTTCGAGCGTTGCGCAGGGCCTCTCGCTCATCTTCCTCAACTTTCTCTCCCTCCTCTACTACAACCCGACCCTCTCGACGGGCACGAAACCCCTCCACGTCTCGAAAGGCGGTACCTGGGACCCCCTCTTCCCTCCCACCTCGACGCACCCGTCCATCCTCTCCTCGTTCTTCACTTGGTTGACGGGACGGAGCGCGGCGGATTTGGCGGACCAGGGCGCGCCGAGGTGGTTGTACTGGACCTTTGCGGTTGGACTGTTCATGTACCAATCACTGGATGCGATTGACGGGAAGCAGGCGCGAAGGACGGGAACCAGCGGACCGGTGCGTCATTCGTCGACGTGCGAGTTCCGCGTCTCCCTCGAAGAGCGATGCGCTAACAGTCGGTCGAACGGACAGCTCGGCGAGCTGTTCGACCACGGCTGTGACGCCCTAAACACGACCCTCGGCTGCCTCCTCTGCGCGTCGTCTCTCAACCTCGGCCTCTCGTGGTGGACCGTCGCCAGTCTCATCGCGACGCACTGCAACTTCATGCTCACGACATGGGAGGAGTTCCACACGGGAACGCTATTCCTCTCGGCGTTCTCGGGACCCGTCGAAGGGATTCTCTTAATCGTCGCGATCTTTGCGGTCACCGGCTTCAAGGGTGCCCCGAAATTCCCTCGTCTCCTTCGGCGGGCAGTCATTGACAAAGCGCAACCCACAGGCCCGCAGTTCTGGGACACCGGCGTCCTCACCGCCCTCGGCCTGCACCCGTCGACGAACTCGCTTCTCGCCTCGCTCCCGTTCCAGGTCAAGGACCTCCCGATCAACGACCTCTTCCTGTGCTTCTCCGCCATCGGCTTGCTCTTCAACATCGTTGCGGCGATCCACAACGTCTACCTCTCGCTCCCCGCCGAGTCGCGCAACATCCTCCACCTCTTCCGCCCCCTTACTCGCCTGTCGCCCTACATCATCCACACGGCCGCCATGCTCTCGTGGCTTCACTCGCGAGAACGTCTCCTCCTCCGCACGACACTCTTCATCCCCTTTGCCCTCTTCTGGGGCATCTCCTTCGCGCACCACGTCCAGCTCCTCATCCTCGCGCACTTGACCAAATCGCCCTTCCCCGCCGCATGGAAACACCCGCTCCTCCTCCTCGCCGTCCTTGCCGCCGTCGATGCACACTTCGGAATCGTCCAGACCGACAAGGCGAGCGTCAAGCATACCGTCCTTGCCTGCCTCGCGATTGGCACCCTGGTCTACGCGCACTTTGTGTGGGAGGTCATCGGCGACATCTGCGCGTTCTACGACATCGGGTGCGTCCGAAAGCGACCTCACTCTTGCGATGCTTCGCTAACTCTCGCACTGGCGCAGCTGCCTCACCATCAAGCGCAAGCCCGCACCCGGCACGCCAGGCTACCAACCCTCCCCCGCCGAGATCGCTCGCAAGCAAGGCAAAGCCGACGAGCCGATCAAGGAGGACGGCGTACCCCTCACGCACGAGGTCGACAAGACGGGACGGAAGGTGCCGACTGAAGCGGGGTTGCTGAAGCGGCAGAAGGGGGAGTGAGGGCGCTTTCTTGGGAGGAGGCAGTCTCGCTATATTTGCTATCTATACCAGTCGTGAATGAGTTGCAGTTGCGGAGAGGCGACTAACGAGAGAGACAGGAAGGAGGGAAGGGGAACTACTCCTTGACGAGCTCGTGACGCTCCGCTTCTTGCTGGCCGTACTTGCCGCCGTAGTCTGGGTTGCCGACATGTCTGTCCCATCAGGCGTTTGAAGAAGGCGTGAGCTGCAGCGTCGCCTCAACCCCAGCCAAAGAACGCTCGACGCACGAAGGAGGTTCCGCCTCAGTTCTCGTCTCCTCGTTCGCCTTGACATCCTGCACATGCATTTGAACCGTCTTGTACTCTCGATTGTACGCCGGTGGACGCTCAGAAGAGGAGGACGGCGCAGACATCGAAGGTTGGGGAGCGGGAGGAGAGAAGAAGGTGCGGCGAAGGATGGAGCGACTTGCGAGAACGACTTGGCGGGAGCAGAGCATGTGGGCGACGAGCATGAGGAAGTTGGGTTCGATGAGGCGTAAGGTGGCAGGCGAAAGTGAGGACTCGGAAGGAGAAACGAGGGAAGGAAGCGATCAGCGCAACCTCCTCGCCCTAGACCACAAGGTCATGCGGGGGAGCTTCGACGCGGCCTGTGCATGCATCGATCGCGCAGAAAGGAGGCGATGCGGAGCGAGAGGAAGAGCCGGAAGTGCAGGCGAGTTGGGAAGGCCCGTCTCAAGCGGCAGCAACGTCTCCTGCTGCGCCAAAAAGCTCGCAGGCGATCCTCCGCCCTCTCAAGCTACAGGCTGAGAGGCCCGCCCGAGCCCGCAAAGCCTTCCTCGCTGATCTCGAGCGAACAGCTGATGAAGTTTGAGGAGGCGGCACCATCGCTTCGGGCCCCGTTCGACCCGGTGCACTGCTTGAATATCCCCTTAGCTAGCGTGACAGTACGCAGACTTTAGCGAAAGAACGAGATTGCGGTGAGCGGCGGGCCACAGCCTGTGCGAACCTCCCGCGACGCCTCCCTTCCTTCTTCCAACCACTTTGCTCCTGATCCTGCTCCTCCGTGAGCTGTCGTGCTGGCCACACTCGCTCGTTTGAGCCTGCGCACCCTCACACGCCCGCAGACCCGCCGCTTTTCCTTCCGCCCCACGATGGCCTATTCCCGCCCCATGCAGCCCACCGAGGCGCTCCTCAAGGTCCGCCAGTTTTTGCAGGAGGACCCGACAGAGGGACAGTCCGCAACAGGCGGTGCGTCGCTTCATCCCGCCGTCTCCTGACACCAGCTCACTTCATCCCCCCACTTGCCGTCTCTTACCGAGCAGGCTGGGACCAGGCATGGAAGGCAGAGACGACGCCTTGGGACGCCGGAGACGTCCAGCCTGCGCTCAGGGAGCTGCTGGATGAGAAGTGGAGCGAGGTTGGCGTGTCGCTCGACGAGCTCAAGGATGGGAAGGCGCTTGTTGCGGGTTGCGGGAGGGTAGGCTTGCTCTTTCGCTTCTTTCAAGGGTCAAAGCTGAACATCGACGTGGAACGCAGGGCTGCGACGCGGCCTTCATCGCCACGCACGGAATCGACACCCTCGGTATCGACTTGAGCCCTACCGCCGTCGAAGTTGCAAAGAAGCACCTCTCCTCCCAGCCTGACGCTCCCACGAACATCACCTTGTGCGTCCCGTCCTCTCCCCTTCCTCCTTCCCTCGTCTATCACTCACCGACTTGCTTCCCGCTCGCAGCGAAGCAGCCGACTTCTTCGCCTTCCCTCTCCCCTCCAACAAACCCTTCAGCTTCGCCTTCGACTACACATTCTTCTGCGCCCTCCCGCCTTTGTGGCGCGAGAAATGGGGAAACAGGTATGCGGAGGTGGTGAGGCCGGGCGGATTGCTCGTGTGTTTGGCGTTCCCGATCGGTGCGTGCACTTCCCTCCTTCTCTCCTCCTCCCGCCAAATCGAGTTGACCATCGTGTGTGGCGTGGTGCACAGACGGCGATAGGGAAGGCGGCCCCCCATACTCGGTCAGCGAAGAAGCCTACGACAAAGTCCTCCTCGCGAACTTCGACAAAGTCTACTCGAAGCAGCCGACGAAGATGGCGGAGGGCCGCGAGCCGGGAAGGGACAGGATGATCGTGTATCGGAGGAAGTAGATCGCGTACGATCCGAGCGGAAGGAAGGATATGCAGTGCCAAGGTTATCAGTCCATCCGCATCCGAGGTTGTCTTCCTGGCTCCCACCCTGCTTCACTCTAGGGTCCTCTCCGCTCACGCAGGACATAACGACGACAACAAAGAACTGCTTGACCAAGCGGAACATAGAAGCTGTGATAAGTCGGCGGGGGTATTCTACGATTTTGTGAACAGACGGTCTCACGCGGGGAGAGGGGGTATTGAGAGCGACAAGCGGAGGCGAGGAGGGCGTTCAGGAGCCGCGGTAGGTCGTGTAGGAGTAGGGCGAGAGGAGGCAGGGTATGCTGCGGGATAGGGAGGTCAGCGACGAGGCGAGAGAGGGAAGGCGAGAACGAGGACGGACTGGTAGTGCTCGTCGGCGGACTTGACCTCGAAGGGAATCTGCACGCAACCAGCTCGGGCTCCTATCAGCTCGTGTAGGCGACGGAAGCGCACGAAAGAGCCGAAACCCGCGAGTCTGCGAACGCACCTCGATGAACGGGTAGAACGACAAGATCCCCCTCTTTGTGAAGTACTCGTTCGTGAAGAAGGTGATTTTGAAGATGCCGATTTCGAGGTGGGTGCCGGGAGGGAGGAGGGTGTTGCATCGGCCGTCGTTGTCGGTCATGCTGTATGAGTGGAGACAGGCGGGTCAGCTGGCGATTTCTGCCACTGGCATCGACTTGAGAGCGGCATCGCGTCCATGCACAGTCGAAAGGGAGAACGAGCGAGAGCTGAACGCACCCTTGCGCCTGAAGGACAAAGCCGGTCGTGTTCAGGCGGTCGAGGCGGATGCGCATATCGGGCGCAGGCTTGCCAGACGTCGAGTCGAGGACTGTTCGAGGGTAAGCGGGATGAGCGAGATGCACGAGGAGGATCAGCTTCCATGCGAGGAGCAGAGGGAGGACGGGCGCGCACCATGGCAGGTGATGGGCGAGCGACCTCCGTGCGGGAGAGGCATCCTCCTGTTTGCGCAAAGAGTCGAAGGTGAGCGAAGGGAGGGAGAAAGACCCGCGAGCGAGCGAGGACGAAATCCAGTTCCGCCATCTCCGCCGACCCGTCCGGGCGCATACATCCACTCGAGGCGGATCTCGCGCTCGTTTCGCACAGAACAATGAAGGAGGACACTCACTTGGGCGTGCCCGTGCCAACGACAATCTCGCCAGCGTTGTCGCGCTTGACCTTCTTCGGCTGCGACGGACCAGCGGCAGCCATCTGAGCAGCGCGCGCTTCGGCACGCTCCTTCTTGGCCTGGAGGCGCTCCTCCTTGTCGTGCTGGAAGCGCTCGAGCTCGTCCTTCTTCTCCTGCGGGATCAGCTCGCACTGCTGGACGTGCGCGCGCATGCGGAACGCCTTTGGGTGGTCCGTCTTCCACGAGCACCACTGGCAGCGAGCGACATCGCGGTCGCCTGCGAGCGTTGCGATAGGTCATGCGAGGTCAGCACGGCGATAAGCGAGTCGAGCGAGGCTGCGAACGCACCGTCAAACAGCTCCCACACTTTGTCGCGAGGTCGTCCTCCGGCAGCCTGTACCAAACACGCGCGAGAACGGGTCAGCGCGGGCTCGGTTGAACACGGGGGCACACGCACCTTCTTCTTGGTTGTCCCGCTGGGCGTGGCATGCAGTCCCGAGTCTCCCTCGTCGTCGTCGTCGTCCGCGTCCGGGTGTTCGTGCAAGCCGACGCCAGAGGGACCCGCGATGGCTCCCTGCTGCTGCTGCTGCTGCTGCTGCTGGGGCGCGTGCTGCTGGAGGTGTCCGAGCGAGATGTCCTGCTGCTGTTGTCCGCCGGGCTGCTGCTGGGGCTGGCCGTACTGCGGCGGCTGTCCAAACGCCGCGGCGAGCCCCTGCTGCTGCTGTGCGCCCGAGTGCGACGGCTGCTGCTGCTGCGCGTAGACGTTGTACGCGCCGAACAGGTGGCTGTTCTGCATCCTGGACTGCCCTCGTCTGTGGGGAAGTTTCGCAAACCCTGTGCGACGAGGTGCGGAAGGAGGAGAAAGGGATCACAATGCACCATTAGGAACGAGTTTGTATTCGAGTCATAGTCTGCTATTCTTGCAGCCGGGCACTCGCACGCCCCCTGACCGTTTGTGGCCCGCTCCGCTTTTGCACTCGCTCGCAACTCTCGTTTGCCTCCGAGGAAACTCCGCCAACACCTCGCTGTCCTCTACTGCTCCTGCTCTCGCTAGGTCTCGCGCATGGGTGATAGGAAACCACTGCTGGATCCGCTCGCACCGTCTCCCGCTCCTGCTGCTGGCTCTCGCGCGCTCCCTTCGTCCTCTTCCTCCTCACAGCGAACAGGTCGACGACGAGCTTGTGAGGACGACGACGAAGATGATGCTGGTGGGACAGTGGACGAGGAGGCGCAGTCGACGAAGAGCGTGTCGGGCTTCTCACGGTTCAGGCGAAAGCTAGGCGAGACGCTGAAGCAATCCTGGGTCGAATGGAGTGCGCACCCTCGTTCTTTCCTCCTCTGCCAATCCTGCTAAGACTCGATACCGGCGCAGCGATCCTCGCCCTGTGCTTGACAGACTTCACCATCTCGATGACCCAGATCTCGTACTTCTTCCTCCGCGACACGACCTGCGAATGTACGAAGTCCTGCCCGCCCGACCCGCCCATCCTCGAGTTCTGCGACATCCTGAGCCTGCTAATCACCGGTGTGCTCGCTTCCTCCTCGCCAAGGAACGAGGCTGACGAGCATTGGATGAGCAGGAGCATTCGTCGTCGAGATCTTGCTCGACTTTACCGCCTTCGGTCCGGCGTATTACCTCACAGACCGCTTTCACTGGCTCCATTCAGCCGACGCCGTAGTAATCCTCGTCGCCTTCGTCCTCGAGGTCGTCCTCAAGGTACGCTTTCCCTTTCCTCCTTTTTCTCACCATGCAAGACTGACCCGGGCTCAATTGTGCAGGGCACGGAGAAACAAATCGCCTCACTTATAACGATCCTCCGACTCTGGCGCCTGATCAAGCTCGTCTCCTCAGCCGAAGTGAGCCTCACGTCGTACGAGGAGATGTCGATGTATGAGCGGGAGCGGAAGGCGTGGGAGGTTGAGCGCAAGAGGTGGGAGAGGGAGAAGAGGGGGTTGGAGAGGGAGGTGAGGGGATTGAGGAGGAGGGTGAGGGAGCTGGAGGATGAGGATGAAGGGGAGAGGGAGGAGTGGTGAGGGGGTCGAGTCGAGCGGTCTCGCAGTGTTGTAACAATACGATCTATCCCAATACAGTCCTCACCGTTGCGTTTCGCTACGAGTGCTCTGTCACGCTCGAACCGCCGCTGTCGCGAACGCCGGATCGTGAACTGTCTCGACGACCTGCGTCGGTGAATACAAGTGCTCGCGGATATAGTCGCCGTTCAGCATGTCCGACAAATCGACTGCTCCTCCCGAGAGTGTCAGCACCGCGCCGAAACAGCGTACGGAAATTCAGTCGAACGCACCCCGTTTCTCCGCCTCCTCGCGCACCGTCTCAACCCCCGTGTGCAAATGCCTCTTGACCAACCTCTCCCTCGCCACACTCCTCTCAATCTCGACCCAAATCCTCTCATCCAGCAACTCCGCCGCATCCCTCCAAGGCTCAACATCGAGCATACAGTACAATCCCTCGATCACGACGACCCTATGGGTGGGTAGGATCGGGGAGGGAGAGGGGAGAGGGTCTTTGAGTGCGTGGTTGAAGGTTGGGAAGGGGATTGATGAGGGGAAGGGCGTTTGGCGCAGCGAACGGACGAAGGAGACGTAGGATGAGGCATCGAAGGTGAAGGCTGCGCCGCGACGGCGTCGAGCTTCGGCGGGGTCCTGTGCGAGAGACTGTGAGCATGATGTCAAGGAGGAGAGGGCGACAGCAGCACAAACAGGGAGGCGGTCGAGCGCTTCTCGCGTCAGGTGCCATCCGTCCAAACCGACCGCGACAGCGACCTGTTCCTCCGGCTTCTCCTTCCCAGGCTGAGCAATCACATCCTCCAAGTCGACTTCAGCCGGCTCCTTGACAGCGACGCCGAGGAGGGCATTGAGGCGGTCGACGAGCGGGTAGGCGAGCGTCGATTTACCGGAGCCGGGGACGCTGAGTGTTCGAGCGAACGTTGCGAAAGCGAGATCAGCCGTCAGTGTTGTTCTATCTGATCTGATCGCGACGATTGCGTGCGCGCAGAGCCGCCCGCAGTACGGCGAAGAAGCCGTCTCGGACGAGGCATGGCGAGCGGGCGGCGAGGCGGGCAGGACAAGCGTGCGAGTTCGGCACAGGAGGCGAATGATGAGCGAACAGACTCACCCAGCGATGCCGACAAGCACTCGCTGATCGGCCGGGACCCTGGGCGAGTCGCAATCCCGTCATCAGTTGGGGTTTTCGCCGGATGGGGAGGAGCAGGGCTCCGCACCTGCGCAGGCGCTCGAGGACACGCTCGGCGATGGCGGTGACTGTCTGCTCCATCCTGTGTGGCCCAGCAGTGGCAGCGAGGCGACTGGCGCGATGGGACGAGGCGAGGGTAGCGCCAGTTCGGTGAGCAGGACGAGGTGGGGTTCGCCAGGAGTGGTGCACTCGGCAAGGGCTATGATTTGCGAGGCAGAGTCAAATACAGCTCTTTTCGCAGCGATGGGCAGATTCAGCGGCTCGGGAGTGAGGGAGACGAGCCTCTCGCGGCGCATCGTCGGCGGCGAGTTGCCCCTTCGCTCCTAGCTCGCGGGGTTTTAGTAACGAGGATGATACGCCGATCACGTCGCAACGTCGCGAGCCGACCGGATCAGTGTCGCTTGCGCCCTTCGGCGATGCCTTGCGTCGAGCCGTGACGTTCCTCCTCCGAGGTTTGCGGAGTCTCGTCTCGCAAAAGCTGCTCGACCTCACTCTTCTTCTTGTTTCCTCACAGCCCCTGCTCGACGTTTGAACGACAGCCATGCTCTTCAAGTCGCTCACCGCCGCGGCAGCCCTTGCCGGAACGACTTCCGCCTCTCCCCTCCTCCGCCGCCAAGGTGGTGGGAGCGGACTTCCCGCCAACGCCACGCTTCCGCAGGGATCGAACGGCAACATCACCTACCAGGTCGTGCCGTCCTCGTCGAACGGATCCTCGTACTTGAACGCGACCGTTCAGTCGATCCCGCAGGGCGTCAACAACACTGGGTCGTGGAACGTCACGTACACCAACGGTACCGAGCCCTACCCTGGTGCCCACCTCATCCTCGGTGCGTTTCAACGTCGAACCCCGCCACAGATCGACGTTGACGGGTTTCCCAACGTCGACAGGCAACCCGACGAAGAATGGCACCAACACGACGATGGCTTGGCCTGGACAGCCCGCCGGCGGTCTCTTGATCTACAAGCCGACCTACCAGGTCGAGTCCAACTTTGACTTCCAGTCGCTCAACCTTGCGCTCAACCAGGAGCTCATCGAACTCGGTATGTCGCCTCAACACCTTCTGACGCGCTTCCGCTCACCCCTCGCTCGTTTCAGACCTCTTCCACAATATGCTCGCTCGCTTCTCGACTCAGGACTTTGAGGCTGCCGGCTTGACCGCCGACGACCGCTTCCTCATCGAGCACATGGCCGACCAGGAGATTGGACATGCTATCGCCATCACCAACGTGAGTTGACGTCTCACGTCGAACTCCCCCAAGGTTCTGACCCTTATCGTATTGCAGATGCTCGGCGTCGACCGCGCGGCGAAGCAATGTGCGCAAATTCTCGAGGAATCGCTCGCCTTAGACGGGGTACTGACGCTTTCCCCTCACAGGCGTCTACCAGTACCCCTTCAACACCGTCAAGGAGGCTATCCTTTTCTCGCAGCTCCTTACTCGCTGGGGAGAAGCCGGTGCGCTCGCTTCTCGCCGTTCTCGAAGCCTTTTCCTCGCTGACCCTCGACCTTCTCACGTCAGGTGTCTACGGTTTCCTCGGCCAGCTCGACTCGCGCCCGGCTGCTCAGATCCTCCTCCAATCTATCACGACCGAGGCTCGCCAGCAGATGATCTTCCGCCAGTTCCAGGTGCGTTCGCTCGCCCTTCGCCGTCGCTGGTCTCCCCTTGTTCCTCCGCTGACCCTCCCTTCTTCTTCGCAGGGTCTTCCCGCTATGCCTGAGTGGTTCGAGACCGGCCTCCCCCAGTCCTACGCTTGGACGCTCCTCTCGCCGTACATTCAGAGCTGCCCTCCCAACAACCCGAGGATCGAGTTTACTCGTTTCCCTCTCATCAACATCACCAACCAGCCGTACGCGCTCGACGGCCAGCCGGGCATCAACTCGAACTACACGCTCACGGAGGGCGCTGGCCGTACCATCCAGTTCACCTGGGAGCCGCTCAACAAGACGGTCGGCTACGACGGCCTCTACAAGACGCAGTCGTTGGCCGGTGAACCCAAGTTCATGGCCTTCATCGACCAGCTCAACGTCACCTACGCACCGCTCCAGAACATCTCGAACCATTCGGCGTCGGCGGTCGTCCCCAACGGCACCGTTTTCCCACCTCAACCTCAGGTCGTGAACTCCGCGTTCGTGGCGTTGACAGACAGTGACGTCTACGTCACTCCGTACAACTTGTCACTAATCACGAAGTCCGGAATTCGCTAAGGTGCCCCTCATGACCCTGAACTGACTTCGAGCTTGCCTTCGCCGCAGCTACACCGTCGCCGTCGGCCTCTACCAGGCTTCGTAAGACGTCGTCTTCGGCCCAAGGACGCTTCTCACATCACCGCATCTCCCAATCCGCCAACCTTTCCGCTACCGCTTCGCCCTTTCCGCCTGTACCTAGCCCTTCCTCTTCGTAGCGCTGTTCCCGCGGCTAAACGTCTCAATCGACGCTTTCTCCAGCACGGACTACATCGTAGTCTGTCTCCATCGCTAGCTTGACCGCCCAGCGTCGAGATTGGCGAGTTGCGAGAGGTTGAGGTCGTCGGCCGAAGACGGAGGCAGACAGCGACGCCCTCACCACACCGTAGCCGGCGCCGCGCCGAGCCGGGCCCAAGAAAACCTCTGAGAGACCGTACAAGCTATCAGTGAGCCCTGCGAAGCGCTCTAGCAGCCGCCCGCCTCGCCGCCGTCGTTGTCGCCCGCTCTGACCTTCTCAAGCTGAGCCTCCTGTCGCGCTCGCCTCAACCGCTGCCGGATTTTCCGCTGAGGCCGCCGAGGCAGTGCACGCAGTCGTAACTGCGCTCAGGAGGCCGGAGGAGGACCATACAACCGAGTTGCAAAGCGCTCCGCCCGTGCATCCCGCTCTCTCCCTCCTCCCTTTCACTCAAAGTCGCAGATTGCGTCCGGACCAGCATGGTGGCCGCTCCAGAGACGCAAAGGCAGCGTAGGTAGGCAGCTCCCGCCCTCCCTACGCCCACACTGACGCTTCCTGCGCACAGGCGAGGAGGAGTCGCCCACCTTCGCCCAGCCCATCTTCCCCTCTCTCCGCTTCTTCCACACCATCCTGTACGCCTTCAAGGTTGTCGCATTTCTCGTCACCCTCCACACGAGCGACCTCGTCCTCCTGCTCCTCAACCTCGTCTCGCCGAGTAGGAAGGGCCGCGACGTCTCTCCTCCCGCCTTCAGCCCGTCGAACCCGCCTCCGTTCGCCGACTACCCGTTTCTGTGGGGCTTGTGCAAGACGGCGAACTGGCTTGGCAAGGAGTGGAGTCCCGAGTGTCCGTCCTCTTTCCTGCTCATCCTGCCGAGATGAAGCTGATCCTCCGCTCGCGCAGGGCTCTGGAGCTGGACGCACTGGTCTGGCTTGCTCCGCAAAGGAAAGATCTCGCAGCCGATGAACGAAGAAGGCTGGTCTCGCTCGCCGTGTCCCGCCTTGAACGCCCTTGCCAACCACGGAATCATTCCGCGTGATGGCCGTCACCTCACCCCGAGCCAGCTTTCGAGTGCCATCCAGTACGCCTACAGTGAGTCAGGCGTTGACTTTTTCTCGTGGTGCCGGGACTGACGTTCGCGCTCCTGCAGACCTCAGCCCGACGCTCGCCATCCAGCTCCTCTCGCCCTTTGAGCCTCTCTGGCGCGACCGCGGCTGGTTCGACCTCTCCGACCTCGGCGTGCACAACCTCGTCGAGCACGACGGCTCGCTCACTCGCGAAGACAACAACTCGCCATTTGCGCAAGCTACGGACGTCGCGACGCAGGCAACCCCGTCGAAGCGCCTGATCGACCGCTACTTCCCGCCCGAGGTCGAGAGGCCGCTCACCTGGCAGAACTTTGCGGCGATGCTCAGGCAGTGAGTGTGCGCGGAGCCGGAACGAGAATGCAAGCTGACCATTCTTCCCGCAGCCGTCGCCTCGAAGCCCGCGAGCACAACCCGCAGTTCGTTTACAACACGCTTCATGTCAGTTCTCCTTCGTACTCTTCGCCTCGTCTGCGCTAACGAGCGGCTCGACAGCGCATCTTCGCCTCCGGCAACGCCGCCCTCGAGTTCCGCACCATCGATGACAAGATCCAGGACCACCGCGACTGGCTCGGCGTCGGCGACGACGGCTGCGAGCGCTTCCCGAGGAATTTCCATAGCGGCGCGAAGGACGCCTATGGCTACGTGCGTCAAAGTCGCCTCCTTCGTGAATCTCGCTAACTTTGTCTCCTCCCGCTCTCCTCGCAGACGATCCTCCAGGCCCAGCTCTTCACCGCCATGATCGAGCTCGCGGCCGGTCCCATTGACGGCACGCCGCGCATGAAGACGATTGCGGACGGTGTCGCAGCGCAGGACGGCTGGAACGCCATGCTCGGCGAGACGGGAACGAAGTCGAGGAGGCACCGCGCGAGCTCGCCCATGTCGAGCGCTGGCGGGTCATCGAGGGACTGAGGGGCGACGTCGAAGGCCTGGAGGAGAGAGGGAGGAGGAGGGAGGACTCGCTTGGATCGCTGCTCGCTTGATTCGTACTTTCGCTGCCGCCTTGAAACGACCGACTCGCATACTCAGCAACGTTCAGCGCTCAAGAGGGTATCATGATGCAGGAGAGCGTCTGTACAGTTGACATACGAGAGGCGAGAGCGCGTAGGACAAGAATTCCGGGATATTGCGGGCGATGCGAAAAGAGTGGCGACATGAAGTAACGAGCGGACTGATAGAGAACGGCGGGGGAATAGGCGAGGATCACGACTTGACGCTGTGGCGGTGCGTCGGGGCGGGAAGTGACGACTTGACGCCGAGGCGGGCGACGGAGCCGGTCGCGGTCGCCGAAGACATGGTGCGCGTGCGCGGCACAGGAGCCGTTGCAGTCGAACTCGGCTGCGTCGCTTTGAGGCGCTGAGGCGTGCCGATCGTTGGCGGGCCAGCCTGCGAGGCGTGTCGACTGTTTGTCGAGGCCGAGAGGGTCGACGAAGTGCGACTTGACCGTGCGGGTATGCTCGACTGCCCGCCTGAGCGCGACTGGGCGATCCAAGGGTGGCGCATCGCTTGATCAGGCTTGAGCCGGCGATCCGGATCCCATGCGAGGCACTTGGCGATGAAGTCGACGAACAGCTCGTCGTCCGTCTTGAGTACGTGGGCCAGCGTCTTCGAGCCTGGGCGTCTGCGGCGACCTTTCGAATTGACGACTGGGCGAGGGGCACCCGTCGAGTCGAAGAAGAGCCGCTTGCGCGAGCTGCGGTCGACGAGGTACTTGTCGGGAACGCCGAGCACCTCCATGATGCACGCCAGCTGCTCTTGCTCGTTCTCGCCGGGAAAGATCGGGTACCCCGTGTACATCTCGGCGATGATGCAGCCAAGCGACCACATCTGCGACGTGAGAGCGAGTGAGTCGCAAGGCCGGCAGAACTGGACAAATTCGCGAACGCACGTCGATGGCCATGTGGTAGTTCTGGCCGAGGATGACTTCGGGCGAGCGGTAGAAGCGCGACTGGATATACGTGTAGACTGCGGACGGCACTCAGTCTCTGTCGCCGATGAGCGCAAGTGGAAGGGACGAACCTTTCTCGTTCTCGAAGCAACTGCTGCCGAAGTCAATGACCTTGATGCCGCTCTTGGCGGGGTGACGGAGCAGGATATTCTGCGGGAGGAAACGTTTCAGCGCTCGAAGGTGCACGGGGAGAAGCGAACCCGCCCACCTCCGGCTTGAGGTCGCAATGCACGACACGGTGGTGACGCAGGAGGATGAGCGAGTGCAAGATCTGCACTGTAAAGCGGCGGATGAGGGTCGTCGAGAAGCCGGCGAAGCTGTTGGCCTTGACGAGCTCGTATAGGTTGATGCTGAGTAGCTCGGTGACGATGCAAAGGTGCCCGCGGAACGTGAACGAGTCGACCATGCGGATCACATAGTGCTTCTCGTCGGGGTCCTGCGAAGCTTGCGCCGTCAGCAGCAGCGAGGAGGGGATCAGGCGATCGCGCGCACCCATTTCACGAGGTTCTCGAGAACCTTGATCTCGACGAGCGCTTGGTGGTGGAACCGCTTCTTGTTCCGGATGATCTTGACGGCCACCATGTCGCCCGTCTTGTGATCCCTGCATTGCAGGACTTGGCCGAAGGAGCCCTTCCCGAGCACATCGATGACCTCGTAGCGGTACCGGATGTGGTCGTGCGGGACGAGCAGGTAGTCACCGCGATCGTCATCGAAGCCGTAGTTGTTGGCGGTGGCCTCCTTTGTCGCCTGCTTCTTCTCGCAGTTCGGGCCGACAAAGTAGATTCGCGGATACTCCCGAATTTCGTCCTTCTCGTACGGCGAGAGGTACCGCGAGTAGAGCGAGACGGCGTCGTCGGGACTGAGAGGCGGGAGCGGCTCGGTTGGGTCGGGGAATTCGAACAACTTGCGAATGGCGTCCTCCGACATGCCGGATGCGAGCTTCTTCGACATCTGCCGGCGAACGTAGGCTGCCATCTCCTCGTCTCCGCGGACCGTGTCTTCCTCGCCGTAGGTCCCACTCGCAGCCGACGACCGGCCTGAAGAAGTCGTGCTTGGGCTGAGTCGAGTACTTGTCGAGGCGGACTTGCTGACGCGACTAGGCACAGCCATCTTGCTACCGAGCGTTCGGGCGGAGCGCGAGGACGAGAGCGCATCCGTCGACGCAGGTACCGACGTCCGCCTCGATGCCGAAGACTCGCCAGGTTTCGGCAGGCTGCGACGAGTCGCAGTCCCAATCGCCGGGGTCGAGCTCGCGCTTGAAGACTCGGAGGTGACGGCCTGCGAGGGAAGCCGCGAGAGCGAGCTGGACAACGAGGTGACGCGCGGCTGATGGCGCGGCGTTTCGATCGGCATGTGCTTCTCGTCGGTAACTGCCGGCGCCTTTCGAGCGTGTCGAGAGGCATTGAAGGCGGCTTCCGACGCAATCGACAGCTCGACAGCATCGAGGGTACCGCTCTTGAGGGAGGACGAGCGCGAGTTCGTGCTGCGACTGCGCGGGATCTGCGTAGCGTCGGACTCGACACGTCGTCGTGCTGACTGCGTCTTTTCGGCAAGAGTTGACGTGGGTGCGGCTGCCCGTGGAGCACCGCCGAGACCGTCACGATCCCTCTGTGAAGATTGTTGCGCAGACTCCGCCGGACCATTCCCGTAGGAGCTGAGCCGGCGTGTAGGCGGCTTGCTCGAAAGCGAGCGGCCGACTGGAGATGTGCGAGGGCTTGTCGCCGCCGCCGCCGACGTACGATTCAGGCGTGGGATGCGGGTCGGCGTGTGAGACTTGGGCGGCGGTGTTGTGGACGGCGAGACGCTGGACGAGCTGGACCTGGCAGCCGTGCCGAGGAGAACATGGGTCGATGGCGAGCCTGCAATGGTGGGCAAGTTCATCTTGGCAGACTCCTGAAGCCTGCTCGTCCGTGTCCGAGGCGTTTGCTGCACTGGCGCCGCTGCGACAGACGATCGGCTCATCGAGTCGACACGCCGCGCAGTCGAAGCGGGTAGTGCGCTGATGTGCAGCGGCGGCAGCTGGGCCGAATCCGGCACCCGGAAAACGTCGCCTTGGTCGACAGAGCTGATGGTCTGCAGGGGAATTGATGTTAGCCAATCGACGCAGATTGAATGCTCTGACAGGAAGGCGCACCTTGCCACGCTTGCGAAGAAGCGAAGTCGTCGACTTCGGCGCCGCCAGGCTCGCGCGCCGGCCAAAGTCGTCCGTGACGGTCGGGAAGATCTCTTGCTGGTGCGCTGCCGAATTCGCTACGGACGTCGACGCGCTGAAGGTCGAACGGTTGGCAGACGGCGGCGAGAGCAGTCCCTTTTCCTTGTCGCGCTTCGAACCGCCTGAGCGAAGGAAATTGAGGCCGAGGATCGACTTGCGACCGCTCTTTTCGTCTGTAGCAGGTGTCGAAAAACCGCTTTGCTCGAGGTTGGGCGACGGGGTTGTGGTCGAGACTTCCCCGCCGCTCCCGCTCGACGCTTTGCGGGAGAAGAAGGGGATGCCGGACGGAGTACGGCGCGGATTGACAATGCTCGAGCGCGACTTGCCTGGGCTCGTGGCGACGACGGACGGCGGAACGCCGGTGGCCGCCCATTGGGCCGTGCGGCTCGTGCTGCTGCTGCTCTGGCTGGAAGTTCGAGTTCGAAGGAACGGCGGGATCTGGCTGCCGCGCATGCTGGCGCGACCGAGGGAGCCAGTCGTACCGGCAGAGGGGAAGTCTTGCTGAGCTGGCTCATCCGCGAGTGTCGAGAGGTTGCTTGTCGATGCGGCGAGACGTCGCGGGAGAGCACTACCTCCGCCCTGACCGAGCGAAGCCTTACGGATGCGCTTGCCAGCAATCGACTGCAGGTCGCTGAACGAAGTCGACTCCTTGACGCCGTTCATCTTCGGGCTTCTCGTGGCCTTGTGAAAGGCGCTCGAGATGCTCCACTTCCGCCTTCCGCTCGTTGCTGGCGGCGATGCAGGGGTGGCGAAGTCGTCGAGAGCGCTGCCCCCACTGCTCGACGTCGTCCTCGTCGCCGACATGGGCGGTGCGTGCAAACCCTGGGAGGCAGCGGCAGGTGCCGCTGTACGCGAATTAATGGCATGAGGGGTCTGCGATGAGGGTGACGAGATGTCCGCGACGGCCGGTCGATAGCTGTCCCAGTCCTTCGGAAGCGGCGGAACAGGCGGGATGTTGTCGGAGCGGGCGGTTTCGTCGTTGCTCTGCCGACGTTCGTAGCCAGGGCGGTTCTCGAGGACACTGTTGATAGACGAGACATCGCTTCCGATACTGCTGCGCTGGTACTTCGAGGCTGGCGACCTGGTCGCGAAGGAGGTGGCGGACGTCGAGTCGAGGGATCCACTCGCCGAGAACGATGTCCCACCGGTTCCCGTTGCGCTCGCAGACGATGACGACAAGGTCCGCTTAAACGGGTCGGCGCCGAGGAAAGGGATGTCGGCCGCCGTCGTCGAGGCGGAAAGGCGGCTCGCCGCTGGACCTGACCTTGTCGACGAGGGGAACTGCGACGTAGATGCCGAGAGCGGCGAGCGACCAGGCGAGGCCGAGCTTGCCGAGTTACTCATATCCTGACCGATAGGCTGACCGGCCGGACTGCTGCTCCGACTCGCACCTCGCGAGTTCGAACCGGAGCCATCGCCGCGAGCGCCGTCGTGTGAAGCAACACCCGTCGAATCGTTCGTACTCGTCCTTGTCCGTCTCTTCGCGCTCTGGCTCGAGTCCCGTTTCGACGACGAGGCCACGCCTTCAATGGTGTTCCGGCTGGACTTCCTGCTGCGGGTGTCGCTCACGGCTGACGGTCCGGAAGTGCGCGCGATTCGGGGCGAGCTGATGCCGTCGAGTTTGGCGAGAGCGGCGGCGGTGCCTTCGTCAATCGCGGCGGCGTGCTCGATGTCGACGTCGACGCCCTCCAGCTCGCGAGTCTGCCGAAGGATGGAGGCGGCGATGATGGACGGCGACGAGTGGTGCGAGTGAGAGGAGTGTCGGGACACGCGCGCATGGTCGGGTGTCCGGCCTGAGGGCGTTGAGACGGAAGAAGCGCCGCCTGCAGAAGCGGGGCCTTCGAGGATGAGAGGGGAAGCCGGGAAAGTCGTGATTGGCGGGAGGGCGGGAATGGAGGGATCGGAAGACGGCGTCGCTGTGAAGACGTGAGAGGCGGAGGATGCGGCTGGGGACGGAGGTAGGTGCGCGAAGGACCCTCGCCCCGTTGATTGGCGGCGGCTGTGCTTCGCGCTTGCCTTCCCGTCGAATGAGAGCGTGCGAGTCGTCCGCTTCGCGCTCGATGTCGAGGCCATACTCCCGGCCAACTGTCGCCGTCGCGCCTTCGCCGCCAGATCTTCCTCGACTCCCGACGCCCCAGCTTCGATCTCGTGGTCGAAGCCGAGTCCAACAACGCCATCCGCCAAGCCAGAGGCACTCGAAGCCCACGGTTGGCTAGACTCGAGCGTCGTCGATGCAGTCGGCGCCGCACTCTTCCGCCTCGAACTCGTTCTTCGCCTCGGCATTTCCTTTGCCGCCTCAACCGGTGACGCGACATGGACGCCCGAGCTGCTCTCGGCTGACGAGATGTCAAGCGGTCCGAACCGATGACCGGCCGGATCTGGGGTGAAGTCGAGCAAGCCGGCTGGGGAGGCGTCAAGAGCGATGCTGGCTGACGAAGCCGATGTAGGAAAAGGACGCGGAGGATCGAGAGCATGCGACTGCGCAGTTGGGAATGGTCGATGCGGCGAGTCGAAAGAGCCAAGTGAGCGGGAAAGCGGTTGACGAGGCACGGGTCGAACAACGGTCGGCGAGTCGACAAGGACGCCGCCTTGATGGATGGTCGGCTGCGCAGTTTATGAGAGTCAGGATGCGTCCTCGAGACAAAGAGTGGAAATCACGCACCATCGGCAGCTGTTCCGCAAAGGCAAAGTTGGCGCTTTTCTCCTCAGCTGGAGACACCGCCGCGCCCCACCGCCTCTCCAGCGCTTCGCTCGTCCACCTCGGAGTCGCGAGCTCTCCAAGCCCGACAAGCTGTCCTCGGTCGACGACCGGACTGAATTCGCTTCGTTCGGCGATTGACGGACTGCGGTAGGCGGTGAGACCGGAAGAAGTAAGAGGGGAGGACGGGTTGGACGTTGTGATGGAGGGCGCTTGTCGCGAAGAGGAGGTGGACGTGACGGAGGACGAAAGCGGCGCGGCCGCAAGGGAAGAGAGGTTGGCTGAGGCGGACACGGAGCAGGGCAGGCCAAGAGCGAGACCGTCGCGCGAGCGAGAGAACGTCGAAGACGACAGATCCGCTGGGCGTGACGGCACATACGCCCTGCGACCCGTCGAACTCGCTGTCGAGGAGGAGAGAAAAGACGAGCCCGAGGCGACGGTGTCGTCCTTCTCCGGCGTGTCATCCGCAAGTCCCAGTCGAGGGGAGGGTATCGACATGTCGATGACGGGCGAGCTCATGGGATTGAACTGGATGGAACTGGCGAGGGACGTGTCCTGCTTTTGCGGAAGCGTAGGTGTCGACCGCGGCGAGATGTCCTGCTGCGAAGCAGACGTTGCGCTACTCGGACCTCGGTCCTGTTGGACTTCAACAGCTGACGCAACCGGCGAGCGGTCGTGCGAGAAGTCGAGCGGTGCCGGTTTCCGTCGCGAGAGCGATCCGGTGCTTGACTTGGCGCCTCGCTCCACCGCGCCTGTCCCGCCGCTGCCTGCAATTAGGGGCGAGGAAGCCTGTCCTGAACTGGTATGCCGAATCGAGCTGGTTCGAGGCGGGGTTGCCGTGAGGACGAATCCTCCTTCGCTGCGTCGCGGCGACGCTGCCGAGGCCTCGTGAACATGGCGCTCCGTCTGCGGCGACGAGGCGCTGAACGTCGAGGGTCTCGGCGACTTTGTCGAGGTCGGTACTGATGGCAGAGCGCCTGCCATCGGTGAACCTGGCAAGAGGCTGCGTCGGACAGGCGGGGAAGCAGCTGTTCCCGCGACGTGAACCCCCTGAGCATGCGAGATGGACGCCCTCAAATCATGGTCCCGGCCTCCCTCAACGATGCCCGACTGTCCCAATCCACCCAAGTCGACCGGAAAGTTGGGAGAACGTGGAGAGATGCCCTCGCCTCGCCAGTCGTCGAAGCCCGCGCCCACACGCTGCGGTGTCCCCGCCAGGCGCTCGTCCGAGTCTGCGGCGCGCTGGAAGGTGCCGCTCATCATTTGGCCTGGTCGGCGAGTCTCGGCGTGAGCTGGACGAGCTGTGCGTGAGCGAGCGACGGTTAGTGGGGAGGCTCGACCGTGTTGAGCGAGCTGCGCGCGCCGCACCGGGAGCTGGATGTCGCTGTGCGGATCTGTCGATTCAGTAGACGGCGGTCATGGGCAAGCAAGCAGGGCGAGACGAGCAGTACGCGATGAGGAAGAGCAGGAGGAAGCGGCGCCAAGGTGATTTCTCGCGCTCACTTAAAGTGCTTACTTGGGTGCATCAAGCGTTGTATGATACGTCAAGACTCCCAATTTATCCGTAGGAGAGCCGGTCGACGAAGAAGACGCTGAGGAGCGCAAGAAGCCCATCTCCTCCTCCCCGAATCATCCTTAAAGGGCGATAGTGCAACAGATGGTAATGCAGAACAAGGGTCGAGTTCTGTCTATGCACAGAAGGAGGGCGATGAGAGTCTAGCGTCGTTCGCGGACGAAGAGGACGAGCGAGAGATACGAGAGGATGGTGAAGCCGCCGAAGTAACACAGGAGGAGGGTGACGTCGGGGAACCAGAAGGCCTGCGGGCGCGAAGTGTTAACGACGTGGACGAGGCGAGGGCAGAAGAGGAGGGAAAGGGGACGAACCTGCGCCTGGAAGCCGAACATGGATAGGATGGTTGCGGCGGGGACCTCGATGTCGACGCCGTCTGTGTAGCCATCTCAAGCTCAGCATGATGTCTTGAAGTGAAGAAAAAGGTGAACGCACAGCGGTGGTCCTTGAGCTGCAGGTACCGGACCTCGTTGACGAGGAGCGCCTCGAATGCCGCATGGAAGAACGAGAACGTCTCGAGCCACTGGAGGAACCACGGCAGCTTGTCTCGGTTGATGAGCAGGCCGGCGAAGAGGAGACTGCGGAACAGTCTGTCAGTCCTGGTCGCAGCGGGAGAAGGTGGAAAGTCTAGCCCACTTGAAGAGCATGACGAGACTGCCGACGAGGTTGGCGACTCCCGCGTTCTTGATGACAATCGAGAGGAGGAGGACGACGCTCGACGCCGACAGATTGAACAAGACCAGGACGAGGATGAACCGCCAGAACGAGACGACTTCCGGGACGAGTCCAACCGGCGCATAGACGATCGCGCCGAAGACGAATGCCGGAATGACTCGCAAAGGGATGACGTCGAAAAGGAGCTTGGCGGCGAAGTAGGTGAGCGGGTTGTAGTACCCGTTGGCGCGCTCCCGCGTGAAGAGGAGGCGCTCGGAGGAGAAGGTCGCGAGGGTGGTGAGGCAGCCGAAGCCGAAGAGGGCGAGGGCGAAGAAGATCAGGCCCATGCGATTCTGGAAGCCGGGGATGTCGAGGCTGTCGCGCAGCGAAGGGAATCAGCTTGGCACGCAGAAAGAAGATGCGCCAGGGAAGCCCTTACGTCAAGCCGCGGAAAAGGAAAGCGCAGATGCCTGCAAGTTCCAAGTCAGCGTCAGCAACTAAGCAGCCTAGCAAAGAAGGGAGCGTCACGCACCGGCAGCGATGACCGCCACCGCATAGTGCGACAACATGAGCATCGGGTCGCGGTACAAGTTCTTGAAGCTCCTTCCGCTCAGAATCGTGAACTGGCTCCACCAACCCGCGCGCTTGTAGTTCCGCAAGATCATCGCGCCGTTTGCGCCGTCCGCCGTTCCGCCTCCTGCGCCTCGTGCGGCGTCCCGCTTGGCTGCGGCGATCTCGTCCCGCGTGGAGCGAGCGACGTCGCTCGATGAATATGCGTCGACGAGGCGAGCGATGTGAGGTGGCGGAGCGGGCTGGTCGGAAGGAGTCGATGTACCGCCGAGGGAAGAGGGCAGGAACCGCTTGAGGCCGTTGCTGGCGTTCGACCGAACTGATCCGTTGCGCGTCTCGAGCTCCGTCTCGTCGCCGTCGATGGAAGGAGCCCCAGTCGACCGACGTGCGGGAGAACCGACGCCGAGTTCGGGGTCGCGCCTGGAACCGTCGAGCTGGATCAAGGCGTCCTCGACTGATGCATCCGACGAGGCCGACGACTTTTCGTTCTGCATCGTCAAGTCGACTGCGCAGACGAGATCCGTCAGGCGGGAGTTCCACATGAGCGAGGGAGGGCGCTCGAACGTACTAAGGTAGTCGGCGATATTGAACCCAGGCGGACACGCGCACCCAATCTTATCCAAGTACGCCTGACTCGCCTCCGCCAGTCCCGAGTAGACGACCTTGCCATGCGCGAGGAGGATGAGCTTGTCGAAGAGGGCGACGATGTTGGACTGCGGCTGGTGGATCGTGAAAACCACTGTGCGCTTGTAGGTCCGGGCAAGCTGGACGAGGGATTCGATCACGTTGAATGCATTGTAGGAGTCGAGGCCTGCGGGGGCGAAAGTCATCAGCCTGGCAGCAACGAGTAGGAAAGGCGACAACCCACCCGAGGTCGGCTCGTCAAGGAAGAGGATCGATGGGCTTGTCACCAACTCGCAAGCGATCGACACGCGCCTCTTCTCACCGCCCGAGATCCCCCTCGCCCCGCTCTCGCCAACTCGACTATCCCTGATCCCCAAGATCCCCAACTCATGCATCGTCTCCAACGTCCTCAACCTCTTATCCTCGAAGCTCATCTCCCTCGGCAACCTCAGCAGCGCAGAGTACAGCACCGTCTCGTAGACGGTTAGGGTACCCATAAGGGTGTCCTCCTGGTCGACAAAGCCAACAACGCGGCGGTACTCCGTCTCTGACGCATGTCGGCCATTGACGAGTATCTCGCCCTCGACCGTCCCGCGCTTCGACTTGCGTGCGAGAAGGTCAAGGAACGTCGATTTCCCGGCGCCCGAAGCGCCGAGGACGGCCATGATTTCGCCTGGCTGGACGGAGCCGGTGATCGAATCGAGGACGCGGCGGCCGCCTGACGAGGAGGGAAGGGTGTAGGAGAGGTTGGAGAATTGCAGGGCGGCGGGGACGTGGTCTTCGAGCAGGGACTTGCTGGCGTCGGCGCCGCTGGAGGAGGGCGACGAGTGGCCGTTCATAGGGAGGCGGATGCGGCCGCCGAGGAAGGAGTACTCGACTGAAGAGGTGCTGCCGCGACCGAGGTACCAGAAGACTGCGAAACTCGAGTGCGTCAGCTTCGCAACCGGCGCGGAGCTCCGAGGCCAGAACGCACGGAACAGGCCGAGCAGCAGGACCGCAACGACGGCGACGATGCTCAAGACGACCCAAGTCCTCGAAGTCGGCTTCGGCGGGCGCTGCGAGGCCGAGGAACTCCATCAGCCAACCCTTCGTGTTCAGACGGCACGAGATGCGGATCTCACCACAAATCCCGGCACGTCCCCCAGCCTCAGACACTCTCCACTCTTGCAGTTGAGGGTGATGTACGTATCCCCGAAGATATCGTTGATAAGCTGGTTCATCGCTGGTTCTTCGAAGCGCGACGCCTCGCCTGTGCGGGTTGTGAACTTGCCGGGACCGGTGATCTCTTCCGAGAGGAAGTCGGAGATGTCTGCGAGCGTGTGAATTAGGAGGGTGAGCGAGGCGATCGGCGAGAAGTGGAAGAAGGGGAAGCGAAACGCACCGACACTCCCATCTTCGCCGCACAGCATCCTCCCCGGAATGCAAGCGCACCTCACCTTCTCACACCTATACTCTGTCGAGTTCGCCTCGAACCCAACGTCGTGCTTGACCGTGCAGTTGTCGAGGCCGCAATAGAACGACTCGACGCGTCCGATCCAGAATTGGAAGCCGCAGGTCTGGGAGGGCATGTCGCAGGTGAATGTTACTTGTGGAGGGCGGTTGGGGAGCATGTCGAGGATCTTGCGGTCTGCTCGAGCGTCCTCGTCAGTCGCCTTCCCCAGTCACCGAGTCAGACGAACCGAAGTCGAACTCACTGGTGACGTCGCACATCTGGTATACCTCCTTGACGCCGTAGCCCTCCTTATAGCAGACAGCCTTGTCGAGGTCGTCTTCCTTCGGCCCCGAAGGGCGGAGTGACGAAGCGGGGTCGCGGGCGAGGAGGTCTTCGCACGCTTCGTCCGTCTCGCAGACTATGGTCGCCGCCGTGACTCCGGACGTCAGTCGCTTGCTCGGAGACTCGGAAGGACGAGGAGACGCGAGCGCGACGCACCGTTACAGTTGATCCCTCCCCACCCGTCCTTGCACTCGCACGTATCGCCCTCGCGGGGATACCTCTCCGACCCGTCCGCCAGCGATCCGCACACTGCACCGTGACATTGATCAGTTCGATCCTGCGGAAGGACGGGGACGGGACGCACGAGGCTTCGAGCAGTCTTCGCCGCCAAAACCGGGGGGACAGATACATTGTCCGTTGTAGTCGTTGCATTCGCCTGCGATCGTCACTCAACCCACGTCAGCTCGACCTCTCCTACGGCGGATGAGAGGGACAAGGCGGGGACGCACCGTTGTTCAAGCAGGAGAAAGCGGGCAGGACGCAGTTGAAAGGGTTGCAAGGCGGACACTCGGGTGGCCTCGATGGGATTGCGAAGAGTGACCCTGCTGTGAGCGAAGTCTGCTCGAGCGAGGAGGAGGAAGCGATGAGCGAGATGGCGAGGAGTGGGGCGAGAGGGAGCATCGCGGGCGGCGAGGACGTAGGTCGCTCGACTTGTCGGTACAGCTGGGTCTTGGCGGCGAGTCTGTTTCCCAGCGAGCGAGCGAGAGTGGCAGCACGAAGAGGAGGGCGGCTCGATCGGGCGTCGACGACGAGGTGGGGAGCTGACGACGAGCGTCCACCTCGTTACTTGCGTGTAGCAGATGTACAGCGTGGTAAAGGTCTCTACACTGTCGTTGTGGATCGTCAGGCGGGCGAACGGAAGTGGACGGTTTTGTTACTCTCCTCTCGCAAGAGTTGCGGACTGCTCCAGACCTTCGCGTTTCAGGTCTGCACCAGGTCCTCCATGGGTTGCTCAAGCCAGCTCCAGTCCGTTGTCATGCCGGGCAAGAGCGATTCCCTGAGGAGACAGAGGACGGCGTCAGAGGGCGTTTCATCAGTTGCCAACGGCGCAAGCGAGAGTCTGCGCACCAGTACGACGAGTCGAGGTTGTCGCCGATCGAGAAGGCGGCATGCTTTGCGAACAACCCGTCGTGCGACTGGGTGATAACGTCGGTGAGCGATCACTACAATCGAGAAGCGCGTAAGACAGGACGGACCTGTGCGGGTGCGGGCGGCGGAGGCATAACTGCGACGCCTGCAGCGACTGCGCCGGATCCTTCTGTGTCGGTCGAAGCCGGAGGCGAGCAGACGACGCGGATGCACGACTGGAAAAAGCGACAGATGAAGGCTGCGGTTGAGTTCGTATCGCTTGAGGCTGCTTCACAGGCACGATAAACTGAAACAGCCGTGTCAGCGTACTTAAGGAGCCGACCATCCAGCCGGCAAGGGGAATACTCGGAGGTTGCGACTCACTTCGTTCCATCCAGCCCAAGATAGCGTGCTGATCACCGGGATAGAGCTTTGCGAATATCTATAGACGCAGACAGCGTGAATGCGTGGTCTTCGAGCGCTTGTGCAGAAGTCTGCGTAGAGGATAACGAGCGACGCACCTTGAGGCAGAACTCGCCCATCGTGAAGAGCGTAATACCGAGTGTGTCCTGCCAGTACGCGATGTAGCCGTGCTTTGCGACGATCTCGAAAGCGTCGACAAAGGCGCTCGAAGCGAGAAGCCACTTCGCCGTCCAGTCGCTGTCAGTACCGACGGCCGTGAGCATCGCTCGCGCAAAGGCGAGAGAGGCCGCTGAGAGCCAAAAGCTGCAGATGGGAGGGTGAATTTGACGGACTCGCCTGGCTAGTGAGGCGGAACGCACTTGACTCGAATCCAGGACCGGCTGCCGACGGCGAACGCGTCCGAAGCTGCGCCATCAATTGATTAGCTAAAGAGCGAGAGTTCGAATGCAAGCCGACGTACATGAAGATTCAAGGTAGCGAGCGTAAGAGGCGTCGAGCAAGCCTTGGACGTGCTGGGCGATCGATCTTGCACTAGCGGCAGGAGCGCGAGCGATGTCTTTGCTCAAACGCTGCACCTTCATCCACCTGCACATGCGATAGCATCAGTTCGAGACATTCAGTGCAGCTATTGGCAGCGTCGAAGCCCAGAAGCGAGCACAAGTTAGCGACTCACTCGAAATCTGCGCCTTGTTCCAAGTCGTCGACGACACCGTATCGCTTCGTCTCTTCGAGCCAGGCTGCTACGTTGATGCTGTAGGCGAAGTCAGTCAGCTGAGCATCGGTCTGTTGCAGCGGGACAGACGCACCGAAAATACGGGATCATGCATGTCTACGATTGCGGGAGTCGTCAGCTTGACTTCAGGGGACAGATCTAGTGAGCGAACTCGCCTGGTGATATGCGTCATCCTCGGCGCTCCCTTGCAGGAAGAAAGTCTGGTCGAAGGCCTGCGAAACGTCCCGAGCTCGTCAGCAATGAGCGGCGAAACTTTGGCAAGAATGTGGCGCACGCAGAGATCTATCCACGTTCGCTCGCGGTCCATCGTCTGCCGCGCTTCGGTCTCGTCGTCTGGAAGCGGCGTCGTTCGGTAGTCGTGAAGGTGAAGCTGAAAGCCTGCGGATGACCAAGGTCTGTCAGCACCACGAGTCATAGAGGCTCCATCTGACTCGTGTGTATTCAGCGCACCCATCCGAATTGCCTCGCCGATCCGCAACCACGCCGTGCGGTCTTCAGGCTCTTTCCAATACACTTGCAGGAGGATTGACTGGATCAGACCGAGCGAGACCTTGCCGTCGATGATCGCGCGCCCGGTGAGATGCCTTGCGGAGGAGATGAGCATTGGATAGAGGTCGGGTCGGAGGAACTTTGCCGAGACGGCGAGGATTGAGGTGAAGAGCACGGTCGAGTTGTTTCGAACGTAGTTGACGGTGTGGAGGAACGGGTCGAGGAGGATGATGAAAGCGTTCATTCTGGTATGATAGCTGCGACGCGTCCGTCGTCAGCGATGCAAGCTAGCAGCATGGCTCAAGGCGGACGCACTGCTCGAAAAGTTGTCCCGCCTGCAGCTCGCTCAACACGTGCATGTCGATGGGATCCGACTCGCGGACCTCGATAGGTTCAGGTTGCCGCACTCGCGCCGGCGGGGCGTTCGACGTCAAGTTCTGCAGAGCTGCCTCTTTGGCCTGCGCTAGTTCGGTCATTGACAGCGTAGGCGGCGACGAGCGTCGTCCTCTGTCACTCGTCGTCTCGGGCGTCCCTTGCGAGGCGCCGCCGGGCGCATTTAAGAGGGAAGAAGCGTTGGGCGAGAATCGGGCTTGCAACGGCTCGAGGAGCTGGGCAGATTCGGGAAAGAAAGCTGTTGCCGAGGAAGCAGGCGGAATGTACGGTTGCTTCGAGGTCGAAGCAACAGGTTGGTGCTGTTCGGGCGCAGAGAATGCGTAGCTGGGTTCACTGAAAGCTGAACCGGTAATTGGCGCAGCGGTCGAGGCGAGAAGTGCGAGGCTGTCGAGCGGCGGGTCTGAGACGCTCTCGTCAGCCGACGTTACGCTTGGCTTGCAAGAAGGACTCACCCGCCATCACAGCACTCACAGCATTGGCAGAAGCGGAAGTGCTCGACGAGTCTTGCGATGTCCTGTCGAGCACTGACTTCGTGAGAACCGGCGAGCTCAACAAACACCGCTTCAAACGCACCGGCTGGATCCCACCCTTCGTCCACGCTTCTGCGGCTCGACCCACTCGCAATCAAACTTGAGTCGGGTGCAACGAACGCATCTCCCGTTGCCCGGCTCCTGCGGCTGGCATCGCACCTTGATGGTCCTGCACCGCACACACGCCTGCTTGGCTAGCGGCGCACGCTGGCCCTTCCCGCGCCCTCGCGACGCCCCCTCCCCCTCCTCGTCCTCCCCACTCCCGGTTCCGCGTCGCGACTGTCCTCGACCCGTCGCCTCGCCCGCCGCGCCGGTGCCCTCCTGCGAACGTTGAGCTGTGTCTATGCTGTTGAAGATAGCAGACATCGCCAAGAGCCGGAGCAGTGTGAGGGGAGGCGGCAGACCAGCGCTGTCGAGGGTTCCGCACAGGCCAAAGCTGGCGCACTCCACCTTGAAACCGCGCCAGGCAATACGAACCACATGCTCCTACTCAGTCAGCTTGCGCCGAGCCACTCGCAGCGCCACGAGCCCTCCAGCGCTTACTCCAGCCTCGCCAATTCCTCATCGGTGCGACAACTGCCCCGACGGAGGCAGAGGACCAGCGCTCTTCTGCTTGTGTAGTTGCCATTCGCTACCATTCCGACTCGCCGCCAGATCCAGCATCTCGGACAACAGGACGGTCACACGCGGGTTTGGCGCATCGAGCGACACAACCCTGCGATCTCGTTTCTGAGCTTCTTCAAGTTTCCACGCTACTTCAAGGACGAATAGTAGTTCTTCAAGCTCTTGCGCTTCTGCTCGTCCGCCTGCTTGAGGGTGAGGAGGACGTAGTCCTTCTCGAGGTGCCAGTACGGACCATGCTTGAACCCGAGCGCCTTGGCCTTGGTCTCATCCGTCACAAGTTTGGGTTCGACAACGAGCGAGGACTTGACCCCGAAGACGGCATCACTGGGTAAGCGTAGCGCGAAAGCGTGTGGGGAGGGAGGGAGGGATGGAGGAGAGGGTCAGCTCTGACAAGGCTTCGGCCAATGGGGAGACTCACGACTCGAGGAACTGGTCACCCTTGAAGTAGAGCGCGGTGATGAGCGTCTCGTAGCCTTTGGCGACAAGCATCGTGTGCAGGTGGGCCGGGCGGAAGACATGGCGATTGAGGGTCTTGAGGAGGCGGCCGACGGGTCCGTCGTTGGGGATGGGGTAGGGCGTCGGTAAGACCGCACGATACTGCATGAAAGTCATGTAGGCTTGAGCAACGGAGTTGAGTATGGCAATGAATCCAACGCACGCTGTAGTACCCATTCGCATCCGACTTGAGGCGACCGCGGCAGTCGGCAACAGTGCGGCCTTCGTATTGCGTATCGTACCTGGGTCAAAGTAATGTGAGCGGAGGCTACAGCGCAAAAAGGAGACGGTCACGCACAAGCCTTCGTTGTCCGTCTCCCAGGTTTCGATGGTGCAGTTCGGCACAGGGTTGCCCTGTGTATCGAGGACTCGCCCTTCACACCACATGTACTCTCCCTTTCCTTCCGAAGCAATAGACTCGCCAGCCTTGAGCTGCACAAACATAAGCGTCAGTCGAAGGCATTCACAGCTGAAAGTGAAAGACTCACATCCGCCGCATCCTGCGTGAAGAAAGGTCCAAGGACTGTTCCCTCGGTCGCCGGCGGCATTGAGGGATGATTCATACTGTCGACGAGGCAGGAGAGGCCGAGAATGTCGGAGAGGAGGATGAACTCTTGCCGGATGTCGGAGCAGATCTTGCCTGTCGCTGTGAGGAACTCGATGGCGAGCCTGCCGCAGGTGAAGCGATGAATTCATCAGTACAGCAGTCAATACGCCTCTACATTGCGACGTCCAGACGTGACCTCGGGGCTGAGCAACGCACATCCACTCTTCGGTCGTCAGGCTCACTTCGCGGGTAAAGTCGTGGAGGTGCGTGACGAGCTTCTCGAAGACGAACTTTTGTCTGTTTGTCGCACCGACAAAGGCGCGAGACCGTCAGCCTCGTCTGGCTACGCAGGGATGCGAGATGTAGAAGTTTTGGAAGTGACGGGAATCACCGAGGATTTGGGCACATCGAGTTGATGGCATGCACATTCTCCGTGATGTTGAGCGGTCCAAGGTCTCGCAGACGAGGAAGAAGTGCCTGCACAACGAGGAGGACCGCCGAATGGTGGTTTGCGAAGGTCAACTTGCAGTCCCCGAGCTCTCTGCGCGAGGACGGCACGCACGGGGTCGATACTGGGTGCACCGTTCTTGATAGCTTCAGCAACGGCTTTTCCAACCTGCAGGGGCGAATCAAAGTCAGCGCCGTTGGCGAGCTCGACGCGGACCAAGGAGCGCCTCGCCTTCTTCTGCTCGGGAGTGGGCTGGGCCGGAGTAGCTGTCATCATTCGAATGCTGTGCAAGTGGGATGCAGGAAGGCAGCCAGGCTCAAGCGAAGCAAAGACAGCGAAGGAGGAGTCGGCGCGGAGGACCACACGGACCTCGATTTCGCCGGTCGTCCTTGCCCGGCTCCGTATCGCGCTCGTCTCCGCCATCGTCGACGACGACATGCTTGTACGCTTCCTGCTCCAGCTGCGACTGCTCTCGCAAGCATGCAGCCCTTCGTCTACATTGCGCTTCCCGCGCGCGTCGTCTTTGGCTTTGGAACGGCCAAGCAGGTTGCGCAGGAGGTGACCCGGCTCGGTTGCGTGAGTCGCGCAAGGCTAGGCAGCCGCTGAAGAGTTAGTCACGCTATGTTCGTCGAACGCAGAGTCGAGCGCTTGTCCTGACGACGCCGCAGCAGGTTGCTGCCGGCGAGCAAGTCCAGGCAGACTTGGTGCGTCGATCTACTCTTCGTCCTGATCCGCAAAATACAGGAGCTGACTTTTGACTCGCAGGGAGACCTAAACGTTGGCATCTACTCGAAAGCAGCCATGCATACGCCGCTTGAGGTCACCCTTGATGCTCTCGCTCAGGCGAAGGCTTTGGGCGCGGACTGCTGTGTGCGTCCGGCTGCTTTGCTTTCTGCTTGCCGCGCTGATGTCTTGCATCCTTCGGTCAACAGGTCGCTGTAGGAGGCGGCTCGACCATCGGTCTCGCAAAAGCTCTAGCGCTTCACTCGGCTAATTCCGCCAAACTCAAGATTGTCGCCATTCCTACGACTTGTGCGTTGACCGTCCATCCCGCGAGCGAGCTATCGCTTATCTGTGGCTACGGCAGATGCTGGCTCGGAAGCAACACCCATCATCGGGCAGACGGAGGTCGGCAAAGACGGAAAACCGCTCAAGACGACGCAGAAGACGATGAAGGCGAGTCTCTTCCGCTCGCGCAGCTTCTAGAGGCGTGCTGACACCTCTAGAAGCAGGTCTTGCCTGAAGCCATCGTCTACGACGTCGAGTTGACACTCTCTCTCCCCCCTCAAATGACCGTGAGTTCCGCCGCTACTGCCCTCTCCGCTCAAGCTAAACGACACTGACGCATGCGAATCTGTTTCTCCTTATCCTCCCATTCGCCCCTTTTGACTCGCTTCTCCCAAGGTTACCTCCGGCCTCAACGCAATCGCCCATGCCGTCGAAGCCCTCTGGGCCGTCGAAGCAAACCCGATCATCTCGAGCCTCGCTATCCAGGGCATCAAAGCCATTGCTCGCTCGCTGCCGCTCATCAAAGCTGGCCCGCAGTCCAAGGACGGAAGAGCGGATGCGCTTTTTGGCGCCTGGGCGTGCGGAACCTGCTTGGGTGCTGTCGGGATGAGCTTACATCGTGCGTGCGGTCTTCAAAATTTTCAGTAGTTTCTGAAGCTCGCGCTTGACTCGTTGGTGGCTTCCGCAGATAAGCTCGTGAGTGGTATCCCTGCGAATTCACTAAAGCTTTCCTTCTCTCGGTTTACACCAGCTGACATACTTCGCCGACACAGTGCCACACTCTCGGAGGCTCCTTCAACATGCCGCACGCCGAAACGCACACCGTCATTCTCCCTCACGCCGTCGCCTACAACGCACCCTTCGCGGCAGATGCCGTCTCAAGCGTCGCGAAAGCGCTCGGCGTGGCAAACGCTTCCCAAGGCTTGTACGACCTCGCGAAGGAGAACGGTGCGCCTTACTCGCTCAAGGCACTCGGCTTCAAGGAGGAGGACCTCGAGCGAGCAGCGGAGCTTGCTGCCAGCGCGCCTTAGTGAGCATACTCCTGCATCCGCAGACGCCTACGACCGAAGGCTGACTGTCGCATGGGCCAGCCCGAATCCTGCCCCGCTGAAGAAGGAGAAGCTGCTTGCGCTCCTCCGCAACGCGTATGAAGGAGTCCGTCCTTTGTAATTTGACTCGCAATGGAGTTCTACAGAGTCTTACTCGAAGAAGAGTCTCAGCTGAGCTGCCAGGAAGTCGTATGAAACCCGAAGAAAGCAAAGAGGAGGCGCAAGACTGGCGCCTGAGACGGACACGGCGAAGTCAGCTGCCTTCGAGGAACCTTTGCGCCGTTAGAGCTCCGTTTTAGCGCGCAAAGTAGCTTTAGGTCGTCAGACGCAAGGACTTCAGCGGAAAGCTGCGCCGAAATTGTTCACAGACGAGGTAGCTCGCATCCAAGGCATCGTTCGCACGGAGGAGAACCTGACATTCCATACATGTGATGACCTCAAACATTCAGGAAAGTGAGAAGAATACGGTTAAGTAGCGATGTGACGACGAGAGGCGGATGAGCGACAACCCAGACAGAGTTAGAACTTGGAGTCGGCAGCAACGGATCCTTCAGCTTCGAGGTCGCGTCCGGTCGTCTGCCGCTTCGCTTGGCGCATCCTATCGGCCTTGCGCACGCCAAAGCCGTCCACGAAGAGCGTGCCCGTCTCCTCGAGAGTGAGGCCAGCCGACTCGGGGTAGCAGAAGAAGATGAAGACGAAGGTGAGCTGCAGCGATACGGGAAGGTCAGCTCGCGACCGGGAGAACGCACGATGAAAGGTATACGGACGAAGCAAAGACCGGAGAAGAAACCGTAGGTGCCGGCCGGGCCGAGTGCGTTGAGGAGCGAGAGGAAGGTCGCGCTGATGATCAAGTTGCCGCCCCACTGGAACGCGACGGCGATGGCTGAGCCGATACCGCGGACCTCGAGCGCTGTCGAGCCGAAGACACGGTCAGTAGCCGCGCTGGAAGTAGGAAGAGGAGAGAGGACGTACGAATGAGCTCAATCGTGGTGTAGGCAATGGTGCCGAGCGAGGGCGCGTAGCCGACGATGAAGAGGCACACTGTTCGAGTGGGCCATCGTCAGCGAACCATTAGGGGACCAGATAAGACGAAGGAGGACGAACTCATGCCCAGCATCAAGCCGACCCATTTCTGCGGGTAGTCGACATCGTCGAGCAGTTTGTTGCCGGTGCCGAGCGTCATGAAGTGGAAGGCGACAGCAGCAATCGCAAGAGCGATCGTCATCAAAGGCACGCCGAGGAGGAACATGCGACGGCGGCCAATGCGGTCCATGCTGAACATCGAGACGATGGTGAACTGCATCGCAGGCGGTCAGCGAAGAGTTCAGAAGATTGCTGAGGCTGCGCTCACGATGACGTTGATGCCGGCGACGAGGATACCGATGGCGGAAGTCTGCGCAGTGAGAGCTTGGGTTAGTCGCCTGTCCTCCCGGCTGTAGCTGTGCGCGCGCACGTTGTGGAAGCCGGCAGCACCGAAGAGCTTGTTCGAGTAGTAGAGGAACGAGTTCCAGCCGGACAGTTGTTGACCTGCGAGACAATCGTAAGCGCGAATGTTCGAGACGAAACGAAAAGAGACGGACCGAGGAAGACGACAGCAGCGCACACTGTGCAGCGAAGGTATCGCGGTGTGCTGCAGACGGCGTAGATGCGTCCAATGAGACTAGGGTGCTTCTTCTTGAGCAGCGTCGAGACATCAGTCGCAAGCGCAATGGCCTTGAGCTTCAGCTGTAGCTGTTCCGGCGTAGCCTTCGGGTAGATGCGCGCAAGGGTCGCCTCGGCGTCGGCTGTCCTGCCTGATAAGACGGCGAAACGAGGCGTCTCGGGGAGCCAGTGCATGCCGATACCCTGACCAATCGCAAATGGCAGCGAGAGGGCGAAAAGGATTCGCCAGCCGTTGTGCACGTTGTTGAGGCCAGCGCTGACGGCGTAGGCGGCGAGCTGTCCGCCGGTAATCATGCTGCAGAACGGGCGGATCAGTTCTTCGTCGGCGAAAGAAGCGGGATGAGACGGCGACATACACGCTCTGCACGGCGACGATGCGGCCGCGGAAGTTGGCTGGCGCGACCTCGCCGAGATAGACTGCGCAGACGACAGCGGCGATACCGGCTCCACCGCCCATCAAGATGCGGCCGACGATGAACTGCTCGAGCGAGTACGAGGCGCAGATGAGGATGCCGCCGATGGTGAAGAGCACATCGCCAATGACGAGAACCGCCTTGCGACCGATTCTGCAGATGCGATCGTTAGCTCCTTCACTCTGAAAGGAGGACGGGACGGCTCGACCCACTTGTCGGAGAAGGTTCCGCCGATGAGGGTACCCAAGATGGCGCCCGCCGAAAGCGATGCCACGGCCCACTGCACGAGGTGATCAGTCAGTTCAAGGCCGTAACGTACGGCCGCACTTACGCACCTCCTGCTCGACCGAATCAAGCGTGTGTCCGAGAGCGTCGCCGATGTTGCCGAGCGCGCCGCCAACGACCGCCGTATCCCAGCCATCTGCAAGACTCCTGAATAAGCGCGATGATTCGTCTAGCAAGCCGATAGGAGAAAGGCGCACAGAGGAAGCCTGAGATGCCGGCCTGAGGGATAGGCAACTAAGTTTGCTGCATTTGGCTGATGCCAGCCGAAGGAAGGTGACGCACCACGAGCGAGAGAAGCCAGACGAACGGGTGGATCTGTGAAGCGGACTTGATGAGCAAATGCGGTCCTCGGTTCAACGGAGCAGCAAAACACTCACTTCGTCTTCGCCGTCCGCCACGATCAAGTCGTCCTGGACACCAAGCAAGCCTGGCACGACCGTCTCGATGTATTGAGGGTCGCCGTTGGGCTTTGGGTCGTCCTTCGTAGCGAGAATGCTAGGCATGATGGACGGCGATGGAGGGAGGGGAGTTGTTGTGGGAAGGAAAGGACGGAACGAAGGTGCTGAGGGATGCGGAGAAGAATGCGGACCCCGTGTCGTGCGGAGGACCATGTGAGGCCCCGTATCGTCGATTGCACGCCGTCCGACTGGACCGGAGAAAGAGTCGGGCAAATAAACTCGGGCTGTTCCTCCGTGCCACCTGGACGCTGGCGCAGCGTGGGGAGAAAAGACAGATGCTCTGCGTGTGCGCTTATGCAATGTCACGACGACCAAGCGTCAGCAGACGAGCGCGCGGGGGAGGACAAGGACGAGGGGGACTGGGGAGGAGACGGGGAGGTTCTGAGCCGGAGCGAGTCGTGAGAGAACAAGGGCGACGGACCACGCACCTTTACGCAGTCCCACGATCCAATGCGAGGCGCATCATGCCATGTTAAGCGAGTGTCGCAGGCGAGGCGCGTTTCGGGAGATGAAGAACCGCGGGAGCTCAGCGAGGAGAGGAGGGCGGAGCGCTGAGCGAGCTACAGCGTAGCAGTCGTGCGAATAGCTTGTACCTGCCGAAAAAGTCTCAAGCAGCCATCCTTAGCAACGCGGGAGCAGACCGGCGGGAGGTCTCGTGGTGAGAGTGTCGAGCTGTCGAGGGAGGGTTTGGCTCGACGCCGCACGCTGCTCACCGCTTGGGAGACAGCCAGACAGCTCCTGCTATTCCTTACCTGACTCTCCTGACTCTCCCGACCTCGCCAGTCCCGCCCGCAGCCACAATGGTGCGCTCGCTCGCCTCGAATCCTCATCACCTCCTCGAGCAAACTGACCCGTCTCACGCTCGCCACGACGCACGCAGGACAAGGTCGTGCAGCGCTACACCAAGTCATCAGCGACAGCTGCCTACTCTGCGCGCCGCTATGCCCAGGAGGACATTGCGAGGGAGGAGTACGGCTACGCTCTCCGTCGGACGGGGCATCGAGCGCTGCCCGGTGCCCAACTTCGAGATGCCTGCCACTATCGACGTGCGTGAACTGGCTCAGAGCTATCCGAGCGCCCGCTGACACTGGCCTTGCCCTTGTGCAGCCCACCTCCTTCCTCCAGCTTCACACTGACGACGCCTCGGACCCGTCATGCCGGATCAAGAGCAACCACGGCGCGACAACGCTTGCGTTCGAGTTCCAGGGAGGAATTGTCGTGGCGGTCGACTCGCGAGCAACGGCGGGAAGCTACATCGGTGCGTTGACGAACCGGACTTCGACGCATTCGCTGCGGGCGGAATGAGCTGCAGGCGCCTGCGGTGAACCAAGCAGCGGTGATGTTGGCCTCCGCACTTTGCCTCTGCAGCGTCCGGGACGGTCAAGAAGTTGATCGAGATCAACCCTTACCTGCTCAGAACGATGGCCGGTGGTGCTGGTGCGTTCCATTCCTCCTTTCATCCTCGCGATACACTATGCTGACCGTTCTTCCGTCTCTCATAGCCATACCTGCAGACGTATCTCGGCTTCCAGTGCTGCGAGTTGCGCAATCACAAGCGGATCTCGGTCGCGGCAACAAGCAAGGACCTCGGCTGCTGGCCCAATTACCTAAGCGGGTTATCGTATCAATCAGCTACACGCGGACGAGGAGGGTACGTGGGCTTACACTCCTCGCTGTGGGCGGCGCTGACCTTCTCGCTTTGTCTACTTTCCTTCGTTCTTTCGCTGCCTGCACTTTCGACATTATCCGCATCCGCCACCGTAGAGCTACTAGATCCCTTTGCGAACTCCCGAGTGGCGGCAGTTTGCGAATCTTCACCGTTGACGTGCTTTTCACTTTTGCAACGCGCTCGATTACTGCCCGCGCAGTCCCGCTGTCCCTTTTCTGATAATGCTCGTCTCGCTTGAGGGCTGAAGCTATGTCGCGCTTTTCCTCGCTGGCATCCAACCGTCAGAACATCTCGCAAGGCGCAGAAAGTTGGCTCCAAACGATCCATTGCCACCGAGACAGACATCGTTACAGACAACGAGAAGATGCTCATTCAAGCCTGAATGTAGCCCGCGTCCATGGCCAAGTCGGTGCCGTTGCAATAGTCGGAGGCGTCGCTCGCGAGGAAGAGGACGGCTGATCCAACTTCGTCGACTCGACCGAAGCGAGGCCAGGGCGTCTGACTGCGGTAGTTCTGGCACTTGCTGGGGTCCGCGCTGTTCGAGGAGGAGAAACTGTTACTTGACGGTGTTCAAGCTGTTGAGAGGGGAAGCGAAACGCACAGCTCCTGAGCGTTGAGCGCTGTGGCGATGATGCCAGGACTGACAGTCACGCATTTGATGCCTTGACGACCGTAGTCCTGTTCGATGTCAATGCGAATCAGCTGCAAAGGCGCTCGAGGTAAACGCGACCAAACGTACGACGGCGAGCGCACGATTCATCGAGATGAGAGCGCCCTTCGAGGCGCAGTAGGGCTGTGTCGAGGTGTGACTTCAGCGTCCGCATGAGTGCTATCGTGGAGGAATGAACGCACGGCTTTCTCCGGAGCGCCGTGGTAGGCGGCGTTCGAGGAAATGGTTATAATGGTGCCGCGTACTCCGCCCGAGCGACTCTCCTGAGCGAGCATGGTCGGGATGACGGCACGGATACCTGGAAAGAGTCGGATGCATCAGCTACGGCGTCGAGGAGGGTGGGCCAGCGAACGGACCGAGAAAGACGGCGTTGACGTTGATGTTCTGCTGAGCGGGCTTCTGCTCAGTATTGGCGGACGCAGGAGAGCCAACAAAGTTACCATGACGAGCTGCCACTGTGCGAGACTGTCGTTGACGAGTCAGCCTCGAGCAGACGTGAGGGGAGAGGCGGAAACTCACGTCGCTTCGTGCACAGGTCCGACTTTCCCGAGGATGCCAGCATTGTTGACCAGGCTGTAAGAGCTGCGTCAGCGTGCGAGCGAGAAGGAAGAAGCAAAGGGCCCTCGCTCACATATCGACCCGGCCAGTCAACTCGAGAGCGGTCCGCATGACCTTCTCCCATGTCTCCTCCAGCGTCACGTCGCCCTGTACGAAAGCTGACTTTACCCCGTAGTCGCGCTGAACCAGGTCGTGCGTGTGAGGAGCGTCCTCCTCGAAACCCTGACAGTTGCGAAGGTCAGCTTGTTTCGCTCGTACCAACGGACAGCGACAAACTTTGGGCTGGCCGGGCTGTAGGTCGACGCCAATGACTGTATGCAAGGATCGTCAGCTCGTTCCGAGGTTTAGAAAGGGCAGCAGAACGTACTGTCAGCGCCGCATTGGGCGAGTGCGACCGCGATGGCGCGTCCATTGCCTGTCGACGAGCCGGTAACGATGGCGGTGCGGCCCGACAGGTCGTAGGGCGCAGAAGCGGTGGCTAAAGCGTGCGGCATTGTATGAGCGGAGTGTGGTGAAGAGGAGCAAGGACGAAGGGGCCGCTTTCTTCCACTCTCTCCTTCGACTTCCGCCGGGGCTCCCCCTCCTTTCTCCCCGAGCCCCACGCGGAGGATACACCGACCGCAGGTCGCCCTCCACAGCGGCAAAGAGGAGGAGAAGCGGTCCACCCGCTCAATTGCCCGTCTCCGTCCGTACGCTAGCCTTGTTCCGAACGTTCCGCCGTTTCGCTTTCTCCTTCGCTGCTGTTGCTTGCTCTGCCTGCTCTCCACACGACCGCTCCCAGACATCCCTCGTCAACGCTCGCCATGGTCTTCGTCGTCCTCATCACCGTTTGGCGCAAGCCGGGCATGTCTCCCGAAGCCTTCTACGACCACTACGAGAACGTCCATATGCCGCTCATCCGCCGTCTCGCCGGCGACAAGATCCCTATTAGCCACAACCGTCTCTACGTGACGCGCGAAGGACCCGACCTCAAGGAGCGGATGGTCCAGGAGGCCGAGTGCGGCGAGGGCATCAGCTACGACGCCGTCGCTGAGCTGATCTTCGAGGACGAGGCCCACAACTTGGCGTACTGGAAGACGCTTTACGCGCCGGAGACGAACGGCGCCCTGACGGAGGACGAGTACAAATTCATGGACCGCTCGAAGCTTCGCATCGTCGCCATGAAGAACAAGGAGCTCATGATCCGCAAGTGGGTCGCGGCTCCGTCCGTGACTGCATTGTCGTTGGACTGACGACGTTGCTCGACAGCGATTTCTTCCCCGGCAAAGACGACGTCAACAAGTACGGCTTCCTCCCGCACGGCAAGTTCAACTGAAGGTGCGTCTTCGCTTCTCTCGCCCGCGGTGTTGCGGCGTTGCGGGTCTCGCTGAAGCACTATCCTCAAAACCGCAGAACACGAGCGAGCGAGGCGCTCTTTACCTCTCCGTTCTCGGGCCCCTTTCCGGCTTCAAGAGCGTTTCCCCGCTGTTCCCCCGTGCATTCCCTCCGACACTCTTGTGTTCAACAGCATCTGGAACTCTGTACGGCCTGGAATCAAGCCCGTCAGAACATGTCCTGCTCCGGAGAGTCTGCCTTTCGCGCTTCCGCATCTCCATCTGGCAAGCTGGGACGTGCGAGAGTCTGCATCGTGTTGAGCACTTTGCTAGGTCAGTGACTCAAGTCTCCGGAGTACGGCACACTTCAGATGACCCGGCGCCGTTGCAAGCATGTCTTGCGAGAGTTGTCCAGCTAGTGCGTTGTGGCCGGAGCCCAAAGCGTCCACCTTTCCTCCCTTCCGAAGCCAAGCAGCCCCCATAGAGGACGGAGCAGCCACCTCACGGCGGCAACTCCAACCGCAAGATGAGGAACAGACGATTTTACAGTTCTCCCTCCTCCGCTTCGTTAACCTCGGCGCTACCAGAACGGAGTGATCTCTGCGGGGCGCAAGCGCGTCAGCAGTACTTCCAAGAGCACGAAGCAGTCCGAGACAGCGAATGAAACCAGACGTACCCTTTGCCTCCGCGATGCAAGCCTCGAGACCAGCGTACGAGCGCTTCGCATGCTCGGCCACGACGTTCGGGCCCTTCGCAAAGAGCGAGTCGTTGAAGACTTCGAGCGTGAAGGCGCCCTTGTAGCCCTGCCAAGATGGAATGGCGGTCAAAATCGGTCGAGGTAAGGGAAGGAAGGCCGGTAGTCAACAAAGGCGACTCATTGCGTCTGAAGAGAACAAGAAGCGGAGCGTAAAAGGGACACACCGTCGCGAGGATCGCAGCCAGACAGTCCGCCACAGGCATGTAGCCTCCGAGGAGCGACTCGTTCGGGAAGAGGCGGTGGCTCGACGACCATTGGCGGTACGGCGGCTCGTGGTCAGGGGTCCACGCCTTGTCGGGGTGTGTCGGCGCCTTGAGCGACTTGGGATCCACAAGCTTGGCGTCGGCGACCTGGCAGACGTAGATCTTGTCGCCCGGTATCAGCTTGACGAGCTTGGCGAGGCGTGAGCGAACGACTCGGATCGACTCTTCAAGCGTGTCGTGCTTGCGACCGTGGCCGGCGGGGTTGTAGGGGTTGGCGAACTCGACGGCGAGGAAGTTGAACGTGTCGAAGACGAAGCCGAGGTTCGGGCGGTTCTCGAGCTTGATCGCCTCCCAAGTCTTGTCAAACGTGTTGATGTGGCTGCCCCACGAAAGGTGCTCGTAGCCGATCTTTATCATGGGACCGCCGTCGGCGCGAGCGTAGTCGGCGGCGAGGTCGGCGAAGAGTGCCAGGTCGGCAGCGATGACGGAAACTTCGCCGGTTATGTTGTCAAGGTCGTAGCGCCGGTTCGTCGTGATGTACGTGCAGTCGGTGCGGAGGACGCGCATGAAGGGGAAGTAGTTCTTGACGCGCTCGACCGCCGCCTCGCGATCCGCCTGGTTGACGAGACCCTCGACATCGATGAGCGGCTGGAAGCAGATGATCTCCATTCCGAGCGATGCGCACAGGTCGCCAATCTTCTTCGCTGCGTGCAGATGCGCCGGACTCGGTTCCCACAGGTTCGCCTTGTTCGCACCGGGCTGGAGCGAGAGGTAGTGGAGGAAGTCGTCTTCGTAAAGGTCGATGGCTTGATGGCCGACCGCGGCGCACGCATAGAGCTTGTCTGCGCGATGTGGTTGATCGTGAGCCTGCCGAAGGGAACCGAGAAAGTCGGAAGAAGAACGCACCTTCGAGCGAGTAGTGCTCGTAGTGCCCGATGTTGACGGTGCACGTGCCGAGCTTGTTCTGACCCTTCGGAGTTGGCGGGCGGACTGCGCAGGTCCAGTCACGGTCAGCAAAGGCGTGCAGAAGACGGACAGACCTGGCCAGCAGAACTCACACGGCGCCAAACCGAGTTCCTTCGAGAGGCGGACCCACGATCCGACGGCGCGATTCGTGCGCTCAGCCAGAAGCGTACTACGCTTGCTGAACGCATCGTCGTCAAACACCTCCATGACGGTGATGCCGCGGAAACCAGTCGCGAACACTGCCTCGCTGATCTCGGTGACGGGGAAGTAGCCTTCGCCGGGGAAAGGTCGACCGTGCATGCTCCATGAGAAGAGGTGGTGGATGTCGGGCTCGGTGCAGGGCGAGTCGGGCATGGGCGGGTCGAGGAGCGTCCCGTCGCTGAGCTGGTAGAGGAAGATGTCCTCGGGCGAGACCTTGCGCAGACGCTGTGTCGGCACGGTCTCGTCAGCCAAGTCCTCAACAAGCAATCCAGTCGGAGTTGAACGCACATCAAGCGAAGCCTTGAGCGCCTCTTCCCCGCCCTCCCTCAGCCCGTCAACCGTCTCCGGACTCGCCCAAAGTAAGCTAGCGACGTGGAACGTGTCGAGGCAGAGACCGATGTTGGGTCGGTCGACGCGGTGGCAGATGTCGAGTGCCTTTTCCCACGTGTCGATGTAAGTTGACCAGCCTAGAGGTTCGTAGGCCATCTGCGTGGAGCAACGATTGGGGGAAAAGTCAGTCCTGCGACGTGGCGAGGACCGCAGAGGGGGAGACGCACCTTGATAGGCGGCGAGACCGACAAGCCGATATCCGCCAGCTCGCGCAAGTCAGCAACAAGAACATCCACATCGTCCGTGGCCTTCTCGCTCGTCTCGAAACTCGCCGGGACCTGAACCATCTCGATCCCCATTATCCCGCACAACTCGACCCAGAACTTAAAATCGTCGACGAGGCGGTCGTGTTGCTCGCGGTCGAGGAGACCTTCGTAGCCTTCGAAGGCGTCGAGGACGGCGCAGACGAGGCCGAGTGATTGGGCGCGCTGGTTGACGCGGCGAGCGGCTTCGCGCAGTGCGTCGCGCGGGTTGGAGAAGGACGTGAGCGACTTGGCGTAGTTCTGCGAGGCAAGAAGCTGCAAGGTCAGGTCCGTGGAAGAAGGCGGACGAGAGGTCGAGTTGCGCACTTCGAGACACTCGTAAGCGACTTCGATCGTCCACAATCCTGCCTTGGCGCACTCGTCAAGGATGTCGAGGATGTTGTCTGCACCGTCGGAGATGTCAGCAGAGTATTCCGTTGCGAGGAGGAAACGAAGGGACGCACGACCGGCTGCTGAACGGCCGACGGAGCGCGAGCAGATGCCGAAGGGAACAGCTTGGGGGAGAGCAGGCATCGCGATCGTGTGGTTGTGTAGCTGGGTTGGGAGACGGAGCAGCGAAAGCGAGCGAGGGAAGAAGCGGAGACTCGAAGCGAAAGGGCTGGGGCTCGGCGGAAGGGTCGGAAGACTAGCAAGCAGACAAGAGTCCGCCCGCGCGCGCTGAGCCAGCAAAGAGCCTAACCGGCGTCCAGCAGACGTCCACGCATCAATTCTCCGGCCGTGTCGGGGAAATGGGCGGCCGCTTCGTCGAGTGTCGGACGGATGGGCGGAAGCTACTTGCGCAGCAGTGGAGAGGGGCCATTGCAGACGCTCACACCGCACGTCTCCTCGTCAGCGAGTTGTCGAGAGTAAGGTGAGGCGTTTGGGGGTCCACACAGCCCGACCTTGCGCAGCTGGCGGAAACGCCTTTCACCAGAGTTTGTACGGCGTCATCGCGTGCCTCAGCAAGCGTGCAGGCGGAGACGAGGAGGGTGTCGAAGCGAGAGGTGTGGGGTTCGACCTCGACGAGCTGGACGTGCCGCTCGACCCGCTCGAGTGAGGCCGGCGGGCTGCAACTCGACACGCTAGGACCGGACTTGCCCGATGCATCGATCTGGCGCAGCCTCGCTCGACCAGAATGCCTCTCCCCACCCAACCTGAGGACGACGCGATAGACGACCGTCGACGCGCTCAGAGAGGCTCACCCGACTGCTTGACTTACGCTGCTACTCCAGTGTGATCGACCCGACTTTCTCGCTCGCCCCCAACTCGCGCCGTTCGCCCGCTCTCCCCCCTCGCGCCAGAAGGCTCGCTCTCGGTATCAACGCGTCTGGGATGGGAGGACATGGCTGAAGTGGCTCGAGCAGGCGGCTGATGGAAGGGCTGAGGAAAAGCGAGGCGGAACCGGAGTCGTGAGGCCGCTCCTTCGCCTGCTGATCCGCCTCGACGCCGGGTCTTTCTCGCTCCCTTCGCCAACTGCTCAGGTTGGGCTGAGGCTTCGCAGGACGAATGCGGCGGTGCCATTAGACTGCTCGATTAATGCTAGATCAAGAGTCGCCACCTTGAGTCCTTCGACACCGACACGCCTCTCCTCTCTCCTCCCTTTTCGCGCTACCGTCCATCGATTCGCACCCGGTCTCGTCTCGACAGCGGCAAACTAACTGCTCAGCTGTCGCTGCTGAAGCGCCCACGCATCGCTGCAGATCACGCTTCTCGTCGCTTGTATCGCCAAGATGCAGCACTTCGTCCGCTTGTACTCTCGCACTCCTCTGCCTGGCTCGCTCTGCGCCGCCTCGAACTGCTCGCCCTCTCGATGCTATTCCACGCCGCCCCGTGATACTCGGTCTCGGCGATTGGACGACGCAGGCAGTCCGAGAAAGGGCAGGGACGAGGACGAGAGGGCGAGATCCGACGTCGTCTCCTGATGGTGCGGCGGTGGTTGATCGTCGTCGTGGCAATGTACTGATTGTCGAGGCCAGTCCCAGTACGAGTCGAGTGAAGAGAGAGCGAAGATCGCGTGTTGGACGGGAAGCGAGATCGACTTGCCCTGCTTCTCTCCTCTCGAAGCAGATCTCGACTCGAGTTGCTGTGTTCACGCTGTGCTGTCCGTTCCACTGCTAGAGACTGGCTACAGCTCACAGTCAAGTCGAGCGCACCCACCTCGCCCGCTGTCTCCGCCCGCGTCTCCTCTCTCGCCCTCGGCGTCCATCTCGCCAGCACTGCACTCTCACCTCGCACGGGGACTGACGCGGGACACTCGCTGGCCGAGTGCACGAGGCACATGGCGGCTCCTCCCATCCGCCCGCCCATCGACCGCACATCCACCACGCCCGTCCCCTCCAACCCGCACCACCACACCCACCAGGCGTCATCATCCCCCTCGTCGTCGTCCACCCTCCCGCCCGCACCTCACAAGCGCATCCCGTCGTCCCTCTCGCGATCATCGAGGATAGACTCGCTCGCCGCAGTCGCAAACCGAGGAGCACCGGCGGGAGGGACGGCGGCGACGGGCGAGGTGTCGCCGAGGATGCTCACCTCGTCCCGCTCGCACTCGTCCCTCGCGAGCGCACACGCAGCTGCGATGGCACCCCAAGGACGCGGGACTAAAGGCAAGGGCAAAGCCAAGGGCTACGGCGGGGGAGGGAACGAGTCCTACGTCGTCGAGTCGTCTCACTCGTCCACACGCTCGTCAACCTCGACCACCACCTCTGCAACCACGACCACCCGACCCGCACAAACTCGATCGACCGTCACACGCGACAGGGACGGCTTCGTCGTCACCTCGCGCCCAAAGTACTGGCAACCGCCGCCCAACTCGCCCGGCCCACCCGCAATCATGGCCGCGAACCCGTTCTACCGCTCCTCGCCCTCCAGTTCGCGCGCCAACTCGCGCGCAAACTCGACCAACACGAGTGCGAACAACAGCGCTAGTTCGTCGAGGGCCAATTCGCGCGAGAGGGCGCGTCGACAACAGCGCGAGTTGGCGGACAAGGCGAGGGCGGCCCTCCTCGCTGCTGGGGCGGTCTCGCCGCCGTTGGGGACGAGGAGGGGCTCGTCGCCTGCTGCGTTGACGGGCATCGATCCTGCCAATGCGCCAAAGACGACCCTCCACCTCTCGAGCTCGATCGACTCAAAGGGTCGGAGAATGGTCAACCAGTATGTCCGCCTCAAGACGATCGGGCAGGGCAGTCACGGCAAGGTGTGGTTGTGCGCCGAGCCGAGCGTGCCGGAGGAAGGAGAGGACGACGAGGTCGATATCGACGAGGGCGAGGAGAAGGAAGAGTTGGCGGACGAGACGGAGCGCGCGGAGGGAACGAGTACCGGTCGGAGCAGGAGGAGACGGAAGCGGACGCCCTCGGAGCGCTGGGAAGCAGACATCGATGCGGGCCGAGTCAAGTACTGCGCGATCAAGTCTGTCGCGCGCGAAGGACCCGGCGGGCCGAAAGGCAGTCGGTCTCTACGCCTCGCTGCGCAGTCCAAGACGAGCAAGAAGGCGTCGACGCAGGAAAGCGGCGGCATTGGAGCGGACGACAAGGTCAAGCGCGAGGTGGCCATCATGAAGCGCCTCGACCACCCCAACATCGTCCGCCTCAAGGAGGTCATCGACGACGCCAAGAGCAAGAAGGTGTTCATGGGTGAATCGGCAGTCCTCTCTTTCGTTCCTTGAGCCGTACTGACAGCTCCTTCCGCGCAGTTCTCGAGTTCATGGCCGGCGGACAGATCGTCTGGCAGGACGACAACAAGCAGCCGACGATGACGGTCGACGAGGCGCGACGAACCTTTCGCGATGTCGTTCTTGGCCTCGAGTACCGTGAGTCGGCGCTTGCTCTTGTGAAACTTCGACTCTTGCTGACCCGCTTCGTCCGGTAGTCCACTACCAGGGCATCATCCACCGCGACATCAAGCCTGCGAACCTGCTATGGACCGAAGACCACTCCACGGTCAAGATTTCGGATTTCGGCGTCTCGCACGTCTCGGAGGCTTTGCTCCGTTGCTCGCCCGACGACGACCCCGTCTGCGAAGGCGACGACGAAAAGGCCCTGCGCAAGACGGCAGGCAGTCCAGCGTTCTTCGCTCCCGAGCTGTGCTTCCCCGTCGAATGGCACGCCGGCGGCGCGGCCTCGATTCGCGGGATGGGACTGTACGCGACCCGCGACTCGAGGATGATGATGGCTACGAACGCGACCTCCCGCTCGATGGATACGTACTTCCCCCGTGGAATCGAGGGTGCACACCTCACTCCCTCCTCAGGCGGCGCCGCCTACTCGCCTCCGACTTCTCCCAACGGCATTCCCCTCTCTAGCGTCACCATCTCCGCCCCCCTCCCTCCTACTTCGCCCAATCACCCCCGCACTCGTCCCCCAGTAGGCAAAGGCATCGATATCTGGGCTCTGGGCGTAACGCTCTACTGCCTCTTGTTCGGTGACACGCCTTTCAACGCGAGGACAGAGTACGAGTTGTATAACGTGATCGTCAAGGAGGGGATCAGGGTCCCCGAGCGAATGGGAAGGGAGGGACAGTGGACGGGGGTTGGGAAGGGGTGGGACGGTGCGGGAGATGGAGTCGAGGGGAGGGAGACGGTCGATTTGTTGGGACGCCTGCTCGAGAAGGACCCGACCAAGCGCATCACGCTCGAGGAAGTCAAGGTGCGTTTTGCGGGCTCGCTTTTCGTCTCCGTGCTGCTCGTCGTGCTGACTGCTGCGACAACGCCCACAGAAACACCCCTGGGTCCTCCGCAACCTCTCGAATCCCGAGTCGTGGCTTCGCGCCACCGACCCAGCCAAGATCCACCACGTCACCATCACGGACGAAGACGTCCAGCACGCGACCCAAGAGCGTGGCCGAGTCGCCTCGATCCCGCCTATCCGCAACCGCCCCGGAATCCGCCGCGCGCTTAACGCAGCGCTTGCCAAGTTCCCGGCGTTTGCGAGGATCAAGAGTACCCGCACGTCGGCGAGTACCAACTCGGATGAGATGGTCAAGGGCGGTGCAGGGCGGAGGTCGAGGAGCAAGAGCAACAGTTCGGGCGGGCACGGGTTTGGCGGCGCGTGGACGGCGGAACCCTCACCTGCGCTTGCGTCGACCAGCGTCCCGTCAACGACTGTCAGTCGCCAGCCTAGTGACGGTGGAGGCGCGCCGCTCAAGTCGGGCAAGAGCAAGCATTCGTACGAGCACGGCGTCGACCTCCGACGGATCATCTCGGGCAGCGGAGCCCACGAGAGCAGCTCGTCAGGCGCGCCGAGGAGTCCGAGCCCTGTCCACGGTCACCGCGGCGGATGGGCAGCTCGTCGCAAGGTCACGCCGTCCGACTCGCCCTCGGGACCATCGGGACCGACTTCGCCCAACCCGCTCCTTACCTCCGGCTTTCCCGAGCTCTCGCGCTCCGTCTCGACTTCGTCCATCATGGGCAGCGGCACGACAAGCGGCAGCCGATCCGCCTTCTCGAACCACTTCTTCAGTCGCAAGCCTTCCGACTCGGACACGACCGGCGCCAAGTCGGCCAACTCGTCCATCCCTTCGCCTGCAGCAAGGTCATCTGGCTTCTCGCCCTCACCGTGGGCAGGGTCCGACACCGAATCGAACGCGAACGGCAAGAGCGGCCGGTCCATCTCGCGCATGCTTGGACGGCTCAGCGGAGGAGACAAGTCGAGCGGCGCGACGAGCACGACTGGCAGCATCCGCTCTCGCAGCGATGCTCGCGAGCGCGAGTCGAGTCGCCAGCTCAGCGGGTCGACCGAGGACAGCTTCGATGCCGGTATCGCGCCTGGCCTCGTCGAGCGCCTCGAGGCGGCTGGTACGACTCGCGACCAGTACGACGCGCTCGGACGGCTCGTCGTCGGCCGCAAGGGCAGTGCTGGAAGCACCAGCACGCACAGTCGTCGCCGAGCATCCATCGCGTCAGGCAGGTCCGCCGCTCGCGCTGAACTCGACGCGACCGACGGCGAGATCGACCTAACCGAATTCGAATATTCGGACTCGGACGATTACGACGACGACGATGACGACCTCGACGACTTCATGCGGCCGCCCATCGCGCATGCGGACCACTTCTCGGGATGGAAGCAGGACTTTGGCGACTTCAAGTTCGGCGTCCGCTCGCCCTCCGACGACGCCAATGTCGGCCGAAGCGTCGTCGAGGACTACGCTCTCTCACCGGCCGGTACACCGCCGACGGACGAGCTCGACGCGCTCGAGGAGGAGGACGGCAAGATCGGTACCGAGTCGACTCCTTCGGCAGCTGCAGCGAGTCGACCTCACGTCAGCCCCTTGCGCGACTTCCACGTTCCCTACGCCGACGCAGTCTCCTTCCAGCTCTGCCCGCTCGACATCGAGGAGTACATGGCCACGCCTCGCGGCTCTGTACCCGTTTCGACGCCGAGCGGTGCCACCGCCACCTCTGCCACCTCTCCCACTCCTCTCGCCATCCCACCAGCCATGCAGCCCGTTGACTGCCCACCTCGTATCGACACCGGCCGCGCGCACTCGCCTCGCGACGGGTCCATACGCGGCGTCTCGCTCGACCCGCCCAGCCCGCGCAAGGCTCACCAGCCGGCGCTCGGTCAGTGGGACGACGAAGACTGCGATGGGGAGGAGGAGGAAATCCTCGTCGTGCCTCGGCGGAGACGGGCGGCGACTCTGAGCGGCAACCCTCCGACTTCGCCTCGTTGAGCCGTCCACCTCCACTCTTTCCCGCTCTCTCGCGCCTGCATCCTTCTTTCAGCATCTTTCCGGAACCGCACCTTCTGCATCAGTAGACTCTTCCGCCTGACTCGCTCGTCCCTCGTTCCACCCTCCATGTCGCACTCTCCTGTACATTGATCGCGTCTCTCCTTTCACTGTTGATCAATTACTAGCATCTCATTGACTCGAATAAACGTGCATGACTATGAGGGAGACACTCTACTGAGCTCCGCCCGCCCGCTTGATCATCTCGTCGACGCTGATCGGACTGTACTCCCCTCCCTTCTCGGCGATCCAGACGACGTCGTCTTCGAGGTAGACCGTCACGCCGCCCTTGCCCTCGATGCCCTTCGAGACGCGGAACAGCGCCTGGCCTTGCGGGGCGACCTTGCCGGTCGGCAGAAAGACGAGGTTGGCAGCCGAAACGATCTCCTCGACGACGGCACGGAAGGAAATGTCGTCGACGGGCTCGGGCGGGGCAGGAGCCGTCGAGATCGGCCGCCGGGCAGAGGTCGTCGCCTTTGGCGTGGTGGCAGCGGATCCAGCGGACGGCGTCGAGGGCCCAGCGTGCTTGGGCGTGAAGTCGGGCTTCTTGAGCCTGATGGAAGCGCCTGGGTTAGGACCTAGTGCGAGCAAGAGAAGGGAAGGGAAACACACCTGTACTTGACATCCTCGCCGAGCGCCATCGCTTGGTTCATCAAGTCGAGACCCTTGCGGAAGCCGCGCGACACTCCCGACAGCGCAACGACGTCGTCGGGGAAGTAGGACTTCCACCACGAGTACCTGCGCACGACGAAGCGAGTCAGCTGAAAAGTCGGGAAAAGGAGGGGCTGGCGACGCACCACTCTGCCACCTGTTCCAGGTTCACCCCGTCGCTCGTCAACCACAGCCACAACGCCTCGCCCCACTTCGGGAAGAACTCCGCCTCGATGAGCTGGCTCAGCATCGAGTTGCGCAAGAGCGGCTTCCATGCGAGGACGGCGTCGATGGGGCCGAGATCCTGCTGACGAGGGTTGATGACGAGCGACGTCCGTACGAGAGAGCCAAGCTGAGGAAGGACATGCTTCAGGAGCAGCGTGTCCCAGTCCGACTTGGCGAAGGCCTGCAGCTCGCGTCTCTTCGTCAGTGAAGCTCCAGGTAGGGCGAGAGGACCGGCGCGACTCACGTCCTTCCAGACTTCCAGTCCCTTCGGAACGCCCTCCTTCGGGCGCCAAGATGACTTGACCCAGCTGCGGACCTTCCGCTTCGCCTCGTCGAGAACCATGTCCATCCGCGGACCCGCATGCTCGAGCCAGGGAAAGACGAGGGTGTGCAGAGCAGGTGCTGAGCCGCGCTTGAAGGCGGATGGTGACCAGTCGGCGATTGCGGCGGACAGTTTGGGGAGGACGAGCTGGTCGAGGATGTTGTCGCGGAGGAAGGAAGGGAGGAGAGGAAGCCAAGAAGTGTACAGCTCGACGGCTGCTTGAGGCTCGGATGGCAACCAGGCGTTGCTGCAAGACGTGCAGGTAGGTCAGTATGGGCCGCGAGGAGGATGAAGCAGAGAGAGAGGCGTACTTGACGGCTGATCGAACCTTCGGCAACCAGACTGTCCACATGAGCGTCTCGTACGGCGTCATCTGCCGCTCCGACTGTCTCTTGCGCGCCTTGGCTTCGTGCTCCGCCTTCGCCTGCTGGCCGTACACGTCTAGGTCGGTCGACGATGCGCTGAAAGTCGGCAAGGCGTTTTTGTCGATAAGGAAGAGCTTGCGGAACCGCTTCAGCTGCGATACGGTGTAGGCGGGATTGCTGAGCGGGTCCCACGACTGCCACAGCCGTCGAAGCTGTTTGAGCGAGAGTCAGCAACGATCGCTTTGAGCGCGTCCACGCGAACTCACTATTGGCGCAATAGCGGCGACGACCACTTCGTCCAGCCCAAGCTCCTCGTACTCCTGCGAAAAGGCGCCCAGCAGTCTGTCGAAGTCGTCCTCGTACCGCCCGAGCACTGCTTCGGGCGCAACAGTGTCTTCCTGACTCTGCAGCGCGCGCAGCAACTCGAATGCTTCTCCCTCCTTCTGCCTGACCCGCTCGACACACTGCATGACCTCCTTCAGCCGCTCAATCTTGCGCTCCTGCGCCTCGACGAGCTGCCGGACTCGCGCTTCTTCCTTCGCGAGGTATGCTCGGCGTTGCTCAACACCGGCGCCTTCGCGAGCGAGTGACTTGAGAGACGAAGAGAGCGTCGAGCAGAGCAGGGTGAGGTTATGTCGGAGTTCGGGAAGTCGAGTAGGGTCCGCGGAGGCGGCGCCGAACGCGGGAAGTGACGAAAGGGACTGATTCGGAAGCTGTGGAAGCAGCGGCCTGGTCAGCATGCGCCCCTGGAATGTAAAAAAGGAGGTCCAGACGCACTGCTTGACCGGTCAAGTCGACGAGCAGCTCCTGCTGGAAGCCGTCGCCCTCCTGCGTACCCGACTCGGCGACGATCTCCTCGTAGGTCTTGTACTGCGTCTTCTGTTTCTTCTCCTTCTTCGGCTTGGCCGATTGCCAAGCTGAGGCGTGCGCGGCGTGCTTCTTCGATGCGGCTGCTGCGGCTGAGGTCGCCGCGCCCCCTTCATCCTCGTCGACATCTCCGCCCTTCCTGCGGGATAGTAGGGCAAGGTTAGATCACGCACAGCTTGAATGGGGAAGAAGCACTGACCGTCGCCGCTCCTCCAGCAACGCGCCCTTGCTCCGCTCTCCGCTCTTGATACCCTCGCCCTTCCTCCGAATCTTCTGACCCTCGCCAACAGGCGTCACAATACCCTGTCCTTCCTTTCCCAAACCGCTTCCGCTCTGCCATCCCATCTTCTCCAACAGTTTCATACCGATCGACCCGGAGGCGGAGAGCGACGCAAAGTGCTTCGCTTCAGAAGCGGATAGCTTGGCCTTTGGCTTTGAGGCGAACGACGATTTCGGTGCAGATGGGAAGAAAGAGCGACGTTCGTGCGAGTCGGAAGCGGCGGACGGACCGGCTGGTGCGGGAGAGACGGAGTGAGGTGCGGGAGAGGCGGTTCGTGATGCGTCGGCAGAGTTGGGGAGCGACTCAGTGACGGTTTCTGACGGTGAAGAGGGCGCAGGACCTGCGAGTTCGGCGCGCAGCGTGTCGACGAGGGACTGGTGAGGTCTCGCGCCGATACCGCCGCGTCCTTGGCCTGCTGAGGGGCCTGAGCCGATCCCGCCGCGAGCACCGAGTCCCGCATGAGGCGTCGACGCTCGCTCCATAGGCGAAGCTGCGCCGCTCGCTGGAGCGGACGAGTCGGACGCAGCCGTCGCAGCGGCGAAAGCCAGCGGTTTGGCGCCAATCCCTCCTCTTGCACCGATCCCTCCTCGTGCACCGATCCCTGCGCCTGATCCAATGCCACCTCTTCGTGCGCCGAATCCTCGAGGGGCGAATGCGAGTGCCGAAGCGGGAGGTTCGTCGACTACGGGCGGAGAAGGCGATCGTGGGCCAGCGAGGCCGGGGACGGGCGGCAGGTCCTCCTCGTCTTCGCCCCTCGCTTCCGCCTCCTCCTCGATCTGTCGGGAGACGATATCTTCCGCACTCATGACGCTTCCACCGCCATCCTCGTCCGCTGAAGAATCCCCTCCTAGCTCCATCGCTACGTCTTCCTCGTCCGAGCGGGCCGCTTCGATGGCGAGAGCGGTAGCTAAATTGTCGACGGGGGCGTCTCGATCGCCCGACTTGGCAGACGCGCCGGCAGCAACGAACGTCTGGCCCCTGCAGGAGGACGAAGTCAGGGGGAGTCAGCTTCGACTAGGGAATGCTGGCAGCTCGTGACGCACTTGAGATAGTCCGTCTTCTTCGTTCTTCCGCCTCGTGAACTGCCAATCCCGCTGCCGCCGCCCCTGGGCTCCTCATCTCCCTGCGCCCAGATGCCGTACGTCGCGTCTTCCTGCGCCTCTTCGCGAGTCCGCTTCTTCCCGCGTCTGCCATACGGGTTCGCAAAGAGCTCTCGCTCGGCTGCAATGTCCGGATCGTTGATGTCGAGCGAGGGGTCGTCGTCGACGTCGGATGCGGAGGACGAGTCGGAGCCGTCGTCCTCGATCCACTTCTGCTTGCGGCGAGCCATGGCCTGCAGTTCACAGCGAGTCTAGCGTGCCGTGCACCTGCAGCACAGTCCAATCTGAGCGGAGAGCCGTTGTGTACGGAGCGAGAGAGTTGCTCGCCTCTCTCTCATCAACAAGTCACCCGCTGACACACGCCACACGCTCGCTGGGCCTGCTATGCCGCCTCAGAAGACTCCGCTGTCCGTAGAATCGCTACTCGAACAGCAGCGCAAGGAGAAGGAGGAACAGTCGCGCGTGAGTCCACTCCCCACCGACTCGCCATTCTCCGTTCTCGCTGACACGGCGCTCTGTGCGCGTGTACTGGTGCAGCCCAAGTTTCTCTCGAAGCAGGAACGACAAGCCCTCGCCCTCGCAAAGCGGGCGGCTGAGGTCGAGGCGGCAAAGGATCGCGAACTTGAGGCGCAGAAGCGGCGCGATGAGCTCGAGAAGAAGGCCCGCGAGGAGGCGAGGGACCTCTACTATCAACAACAGTCGTCGTACGGTCAGCAGAATGGAGCTGGGCCCAGCGGCGGGCGGAGTGACGGACAGCAGTTTGTCGGGTACGGAGGGCAGCAGCAAGGAGGGCTGAACTACGGATCCGCGCAGGGAGACCAGTACTACGGTGGTGGACGAGGAGGTTACGGACCCGGCGGGCGAGGGAGAGGACGCGGACGAGGAGGACTGGGATACCACGGCGGACCTCCCCCTCCTTCGGGACCTCGAGGAGGCGACGGTTACCAGGGCGTTCCGTCTGGTCCCTCGGGACGAGGAGCTCAAGGTCGAGGAGGAGCGCGAGGAGGCGGACCTGGACGCGGCGACGATCGATGGGCTGGACAGCGAGGACCCGGTCCTGCTCTTGTCGACAGGGATACGGACGTGCGTGGCGGCAGGGTGCCGAATGCCCAACCAGCGACTGGCGGAGCGATGGACATCGACGGCACTGCTGGCGGAAAGGACCTCGTCGCAGAACCGATGAAGGTCGACTCGTCGACTCCGCCTCGGAACGCCACCGAAATGCCGCCGCCTCCTCCACCTACCACCGGCGACGCTCCTCCTGCACCTCCTTCCGATGCGCCACTTCCCCCTCCTCCTGCCAAAGAACCGTCTCCCACGTCGAACGGCAAACTCACCCTCGCCGAACTCGCCGAGCTAAACGCGCTGCAGAGGGCGTCATCATCTAGCGTCCCTGTTTTGAACGCCCAGCTCAACGCCGCTCGCTACCTCGGCGCGAAAGCGCCGGACAAGCGTGTCAAGCGCAACAAGAAGGGTCCGAACGGCGGACCTGGACGAGTCGACTTTGACTGGGACAGGAACGACGACACCTTGGCGGACGAGGTCGACCCGATCTATGCGCCTACTGCTGCGCCTGTCGTGCCAGGAGGCCCGGCGGCGAGCAACACGCCTACTGGACAGTCGATGCGCGTGACGCTCTTCGGTCGAGGACGGCTCGCCGGCTTTGATGCGGATGTCGAAAATATAGGCGGGAAGAAGACGAAGGCTGCGCTGGACGAGCGGCATTGGTCAGAGAAGAGCCTCGAAGAGATGCGTGACAGGGACTGGAGGATCTTCAGGGAGGACTTCAGCATCGGCGCTCGTGGTGCGTCACGCTCGCTGCTTTTCGCATTGTCACCCAGCTGACCAATTTGTTTCTCCAGGCGGCCACATTCCTCTGCCTCTGCGGTCTTGGAAGGAGTCGAAGATTCCGCAGCCGATTCTCGAGGCCATCGAGGAGATTGGCTACAAGGAGCCGTCGCCTATCCAGCGACAGGCTATCCCTATCGGCCTTCAAAACCGCGACATGATCGGAATCGCCGAAACAGGTGCGTTCCCTCCAACGCCGCCCTAACTTCTATGCTCATCTTGTCGTTCGCAGGTTCCGGCAAAACCGCCGCCTTCACCATCCCCATGCTCGCCTACATCGCCCGCCTGCCGCCTCTCTCGGATGAGAACCGCTCGAAGGGCCCCTACGCACTCGTCCTCGCGCCGACTCGCGAGTTGGCGCAGCAGATCGAAGCCGAGACGAACAAGTTCTGTCGTGTGCTTGGCTATCGCTGTGTCTCGATCGTCGGTGGAAAGGCCATCGAGGAGCAGCAGTTCAACATGCGCGACGGCGCCGAGATCGTCATCGCCACGCCCGGTCGTCTCAAGGACTGCATCGAGCGCAGCGTCCTGGTACTAGCGCAGTGTACTTACGTCGTCATGGACGAGGCCGACAGGATGGTCTCGCTCGGATTTGAGGACGTCCTCAATTTCATCCTCGACTCGCTGCCGGTCAGCAACCTCAAGCCCGACTCGGTTGAGGCGGAGGATGCGAACAAGATGACGATGTCGCTCGCCGCACCAGTCGGCGAGGAGAACGAGGTCGCGCCCAGCCTGGCGCTGTACCGACAGACGGTGTGTCGTTTCGTTCGGGCCCAGCGAGTCGTCGCTAACGAACTCTCCCGCAGGTCATGTTCTCGGCAACGATGCCTCCCGCTGTCGAGCGGCTCACGAAGAAGTACCTCCGACGACCGGCTGTAGTCACGATTGGTGTTGCTGGCCAAGCCGTCGACACGGTCGACCAGCGCGTCGAGATGATCAATAGCGAGGAGAAGAAGAAGTGCGTTGCGGCTGACGTTCCGTTCCTTTGCGCGGTCATTGACCTCACTTGCCTGCCGCAGGTCTCGCTTGATCGACATTCTCAACAACGGCGGTTTCCAACCTCCGATGATCGTCTTCGTCAACCAGAAGAAAGGCGCAGACGTGCTGCAGAAGGACTTGCAGCGCGCTGGCGTGCGTCCAGTTTCTCCCTCTGCACTTATCGGTCTTCGGCTAACGAGTTCGCTTCGCAGTGGAATTCGGTCACGCTTCACTCCGGAAAGAACCAGGAGCAGCGAGAAGCAGCGCTCAACTCGATCCGCAATGGCGAGAACGACGTCCTCGTCGCGACCGATCTCGCAGGTCGTGGTATCGATGTGCCGGACGTCTCGCTCGTCGTCAACTTCCAGATGTCGAACACGATCGAGGCGTACATTCACAGGATCGGTCGTACCGGTCGTGCGGGCAAGACGGGTACCGCCATCACCTTCCTTTCCGACGCCGACGAGGAGCTCTTGTAAGCCGGACGCTGGTCTCCTGCTCATCTACACCTCACTGACGCGAATACCCCTGCAGCTACGACCTCAAGCAAGAGATCAGCAAGTCGCCGGTCTCGAAGCTCTCGCCCGATCTCGCTCGTCATCCCGCCGCGCAGTCAAAGGTCTCGTCCGCGATGAAGCGGCGTGCTGCAGAACTCGACGACTAGAAGCTTGCTACGATGTTATAGGCTCCCTCGCGCATCGTCAGACCGGAAGGTGCGGGAGAGAATACAACAAGGAAGAGAATGGCTGCGGAAACGACAAGCGGAACGACAATGCGAGTGATATGCGGCGAAAGCATATGCGAAAAGCACGCAAGGTGCGATGCGACAGACGCGTTACTTCGAGGACTGGATCTTGCGCTTCTTCTTCTCCTCGGCGTAACGGCGGAGGCGCTCCTGCTCCTCCGCATCCTCCTTCGCTGCCAGACGTGCACTGTATATGCAGGGAGTCAGCGCAAGGTCGAAAGCGAGATGCGGAAGGTGCGCGCACGCTCTGCGCTCCTCGAGCAGGACGTCGGCACCAGTCGCCTCCATGTCGCTGTCATCACTGTCAAACGCCCGCTCCCGCGCGACGTCGGCATGCCTATTCCGCCCCATGAGACTCCAGATCGCATCTCGCTGTGCGCTGTTCAAGCCACGCTCCTTCTCGTAGCGCGATCTCTTGCGTTTGCGCTGCTCGGTAGAAGAGGTCGACATGTCGCTTTCGTCGTCCTCGTCAGAAGGCGTGACTGACCGCGCTCGTCGCGCGGGCTTCGTCTTGCTGGCGGGTCGCGCAGGCGCAGGCGAGCGACTAGCCGACTTGATGGTCGTGGTCGCAGCGGCAGCAGATGTTGATGGGGCGGACCCGCCGTGCCTCGCCGCCGCCTCCTTCTCCTTCCTCAGCTTCATGTCCCGCTCAATCTCCTCAACTGTGCGGTTGTCCCGCTTGACCACGTTGAGCTTCTGCGGCGCGTCCGAGAAGCCCGCCTTCAGACGGTCGCGAACAGAGCCGCCGGCAGCGCCCGGCGCAGAGCCGGTAGACGACGTCGAGGATGTGCGGGAGAGTGCTGCAGAGGATTTGGCGGTGACGGACTTTGGCTTGGCCGTGGCGGAGGAAGAGGTAGTAGGGCGAGACGTGCTCGCAGTTGGGCGGGAAGGGGAGTCGTCTCTCGCGGTCAACTTCTGCTGGAGCTTAGCGAGAGCGAAACCGCCGCTGGATGGCTCGTCGTCGCGGAACAGAGCGTCGTGCCGCTTCCTCGCCTTGTCCTCCCGATGAGAGACGACTGTCTTCTCCTTCGCTTTGCCCTTGCCCTTCGCGGCGCTCGTCGACGAGGCGCCAGCTTTTGTCGCCCCGTTCTGCGCAAGCAAAGTGAGTTTGGAGTAGGCGGAGCAGGCTGAAAGGCCGAACACACCTTCGCCTTCCCTTCAAGCAAGTGGTCGTCCTTACCATCCGGATCCAGCCCAAGCTTCTTCCGCTCCTGCTTCAGCTGCCAGAGGTTCGTCGTCTTCGGCAATGCAGCCTTCTTCCGCTCGGCCTCCTCCCGCTCCCTCCGCTCACGCTCCTCGCGCTCTTTCCGGCGTTGAGCGGCAAACCTCTCTTGCTCCGCCCGTTTCCGCGCTTCTGCCTCTTCGGCTGCCTTCTTCGCTGCGAGGCGCTCCTTCTCCTGCTTCGCAAAGTCCGCCTGCTGTTGAGCGGTCGTTGAGGCCGCCTTCTTCAGGAGTTCGTTGAACTGGCCAGGTGGGACAACCGGGCGTCAGTTGCGCCTCTAGCTTGCGGTGTGTCTCTGCTGGAAGAACACGCACGTTCATTCCTAGGCCTCCCGCAGCTAAACAGGCCACGTCGCAGTTTAGTCGTGTGCGGCGTCGAAGGGTAGGAGCAGCAAAGCGCAAGCGGGCAGAGCGAGCACGAACGGCGGTTCGTGCAGGTGCGTCGCAGAGAGCGACTCGGCTGCTTAGAGCGAGTGCAAGCGGAATGAGGCGCGGTGACGAGGACGAACCAGCACACTCTCGAGAGGTTCGTCCGCACCACACAACTCGCTACCCGCTGAAGTGCCGCCTGAGTGCTTGAAACGCCCTAAGGAAGCTCTTTATATCCGCTGCTAGCCTTACCGAGACCTGAAACGGCCCTCGCCCCGCCCCTGCGACTTCATCAGCTCCAACGGCTCGCTCGACGTCAACCGCCGCCAAAACCCGCAAGGATGGACTCAAGCGTTTTCACAGAGTACGATACGGACCTTACGACCGTACTGCAAGGCGTGGCGGACAAGCTGAGCGGGGAAGCGGCCACTTTGCGCGGAGGTTCGTCCATTTCGCTTTTGTCGCCTTCTTCGCGCAGCGCTGTGCTGACGAACGTTTCTCTCCGTCTTCAGAGGAGCGAAGAGCACTTTTGAGGCGGGTTGAGCGCGAGTTGGAGGAAGCAGACGAGATCGTGCGTTTGCTCTCGCTGTTCCACCCGAATGCAACTCTCATCAGCCCCTTCCTCAGGTCGAGCAAATGGAGATAGAGATGCAGACGGCGGACGCAATGGACAGGCAGAACATGCAGAACAAGCTGAGGGCGCACAAGGCGAGCTTGGGGCGGCACAAGACGGATCTGGCGAGTCCGCCTGTTTCGCGATTCTGCAATGTCGACTGATCCGTCTTCTCCCCGCAGAAAGCGCTGTTGTCAAGCGCTGACCGTGACGACCTGCTTGGAGGCTCTTCAGGGCGAGCAGACCACGTCGCTATCGAGATGGACGACCGGTCCGACTCGCCATCGCTGGGACAGGCTCAGGCGCAGCGGGCGCGGCTCATGTCAGCGACGGACAAGTTGGCGGACGGGCAGCGGCGGCTAGAAGACAGTCAGCGGATAGCGTTGGAGACGGAGGATGTCGGCGCGGGGATCTTGCGCGACTTGCGGACTCAGCGAGATACCCTCGAGCATAGTCGGGATACGGTGCGTTCCAGCGCGTTGTCCCCGCCGTTGCTCGCTGATTCTTGTACGCGGCGCAGCTGTACGAAGCGGACGGTTCGATAGACCGGGCGTCCAACACCTTGCGCAAGATGATTCGAACGTCAGTCCCGCTCTTCCACTCCCTCTGTGGCATACTGACGGGCTAGCTTCCTCAGAGCATACCAGCAAAAGGCTATCAGCTACGCCATCATCGGCCTACTCGTATTGCTCATGTGCGCCGTTCTCGACTCGAGTTCTCGCTCCTCCTGACCCGTCCGTCCCGCAGTCTGTATGTCCTCGCCTCCAAATCCTTTGGCTGAGGCGGCTCCGCCGTGCAACGATGCTCTCGCAGTCGCCCGGACTGCACGCGTGGCACTCGCACCAAGCAAACGATGGCTGGGTGCACCTTGAGCCGCTTCCTTCGCCGCCCGCTGTTGGCGATCTCCCTCGAACCGACCCGGCTTCTCTGGCTCGCGCCATTTGTTCACCCACGAGCAACGGTGGGGTGTGTGCCAAGGCTTGAGCGTACGAAGGGTTCGCGGGAGGAGAGGGAAGTGATCGCGGTCGTCTTGGCCTTCTCAAGCCCGGGTCCAGATTCGCTTGCCGGGTCGAGCCCGGTTGATTCGATGTCCGCTCGTAAAGCGACGCCCACTCGCTCAGCTGGGCGCAACCTTCAACCGCGGCTCGAAGCATCTTCCGCGCTCGTCAGGAGACGCCGCCATCCTCAGGCACCAACTCGCGATTCCTCTCGTGTGCGGGGGACAGTACGGGGCTCCTGTTGTTCCGGAGAATCCATCCGGGGAGACGGCCCGTTCGCACGCTCGCCCTCTCGCTGGTTTCCCTGCTCCTCGTCCTCCTCTCCTCTTCCTTCGCCTCCTTCTGCTGCTTCTTCGCTGCACGCGTCTCATCCAGCATGACCAACAGCTTCTCGGGCGAGTACGCAGACGAGAAGGCGGTGATTGAGCAGGTCGAGAACGTACGTCCCCGCCCACGCTCTCGCGGTCGCCAGCCTCGAAACCGGCTCACACCTCGTTCGTCGTTGCCAGATCCAACAGCTCCACTCGCAAATCGACACGAATGCTGAGAAGCGCCTGCTTCGCAAGCTCGACTTTATCATCTTGCCGCAGGTGCGCCCGTCGTCGTCTCGCATCCTCCTGACTCTTGTCCTGACCTCGAAACCACGTTCGCAGGTCACGCTGCTCTTCCTGTTCAACTTTATTGACCGGTTGGTTCACTGCTGAGACCCTTGATGCCGACGGTGTACTGACCGGACGTGTCGAACAGATCTGCCATCGGAAACGCCCAACCCGCCGGCTTCGCCAAAGATGTGCACCTCAAGACGTCGCCTCCGCAGCTCAACATCGCCTTGATGATCTGTTCGTCGCGTTCGCTTCAGCTGCGGTCGACCTTGTGACGCTGACAGCCTTTCAACCCGCGTTCTCCTCCTCGTCCCCCCGCCGTCCATCTCCCTCGCCCACGACGCCACTCGCACAGTCTACATCTTTTATATCATTATCGAGATCCCCTCCAACCTTATCCTTAAGAAGATCGGCTCCGTCTGGCTCTCCATCGTGCGTTGCCCGCCGCCTTCGGAAGTCGCAAAACAGGCTCGCTTACGCTTCTACGCTTCGTAGCTCTGCCTCTGCTTCGGCGCCGTCACCATCGGCAGCGCGTTCATCTCCAACTTTGGCGAGTTCGTCGGAGTTCGCATCTTGTTGGGCATCTTCGAGGGTGGAGGTTCGTCCCCTTCCTTGTCTTCCGCTTGACCCCGCACGCTGACATTGCATTTCCTTCAGTCATTCCCGGCATTGTCTACCTCTTGACCCGCTTCTACACCCGCGCTGAGCTCGCCTTCCGCATCGGTGTCGTGCGTCGCTTCCCTTCCTTCCTCCTCGTCAACTTTGCTGACCTTCGTCCCGCTCGCAGTTCCTTTCGTGGGGACCTGGCTTGTCTGGCGCCTTTGGTGGTCTCCTCGCCGCCGGTCTGCTCAATGCCAAGGTCGCTGACCTCGTCCGCTGGGAGAAGGTGCGTTCGAAGGTGGATCTCGCTTGTCAGCTCCGCTAACGCCTTCCAACGCAGATCTTCGTCGTTGAGGGCATCATTACGATGAGTCTCGGCTTGATCACGATCTTTACGCTCCCGACCTCGCCGGAGAAGACCAAGTGGCTCAACGAGGAGGAGCGCGCCCTCGCCGTCCGCCGTCTCGAGATCGAGCACCTCGGCACCACTCACGAGCCTACGACGCCTCGTCTCGTACTCAAGGCGTGCTTGAACTGGCGGACGTGGTTGGCTGTCGCCGGTTACTCGTTCATCAATGTCATCGTCCAGGGGACCTCAATTTTCCTCCCTACCATCATCAACGGCCTCGGCAAGTACAGCGCGACCCAGGTCCAGTTGCGGACAGTTCCTCCCTACATCGTCGCTAGTGCCGTAAGATTTGTTTCGCTCGCTCTGCTACCGCTTGCGAATACTGACGCTCTCCGTCCTCTCGCAGTGGGCCTTCGGCATCTCGTACTGCGCCTGGAAGACCCGTGTGCACGGTTACTTCGTCGCTGGTTCGACCGTCCTCTCCATCGTCGGCTACATCATGTTCCTGGCGTCGAAGGACCCAAAGGTTCTCTACGGCGCTTCCTTCCTCACTTTCACCGGCGCTCGTGCGTTCTCGCTTCTCCTCCGTCATGATAATGCTCACAGCTGACGAACCTTGCCGAAACAGTCCCTTGCGGCCCCCTCTTCCTTGCCTGGGCGACCGCCAACGCCGGAACGCCTACCGCACGCGCCGTCACGTCCGCCATCGTCCCTGCGTGGGGCTCGCTTGGCTCCATCATCTGCACATGGCTCTAGTGCGTTCATCCGTTCTCGTTACCCGGCCGTCCTTGTCGTCTTTCGCCCGTCCTCCGACGTATGCTGACGGCGTGGGCCTCTTTTACAGCTTGCCCCAGTACAAGCCCAGATATATCCCCGTACGCTCCCTACCCCCTGACAACCGAGGATGCCCCGCTGACTGTCGGCTTCGAACAGGGAAACGCCTTCAACGTTTTCTCGGCCGCCATCTCCTGCATCATCGGCCTCACCTGCTCGCTCTACGCCAGCTGGGAGAACAAGCAGCGCGAGGCTGGCAGGCGCGACTGGCGCCTCGACGGCAAGTCGGAGCAGGAAATCAAGGAGTTGGGCGAGATGCACCCAAGGTATAAGCTCATGTCTTGACGGGTCGTTGTTATCGTGCCTTTTGTCGTTTTTGTTCGGTTTATAGGGTCAATTGAAGCCTTTCCGTGAAGGAACGAGTGCGAGAGGGAGCGATCATCGTGCGTTCAGACGATTCTGACAGACAGATGCGAGGCTTGACTCCGCTCTTGCACGATCTGCACACACTACACCGGCACCCAACGCTCCGGACTCGACACCTCGACCATCTCAGGCTTGAGATCCGCAATCGTGTTGGCGCCGAGCAGCCGCATCGTCGAGTGAACCTCCTCCTCGAGGATCTTTATCGCCTTGCTGACGCCTGCCGCACCGAAAGCCGACTGTGCATACAGGAACGAGCGGCCGAAGCCGACGCCTTTTGCGCCGAGGCAGAGCGCCTTGACGACGTCTGTACCGCGTCGGGCGCCACCGTCGATGTAGACTTCGATCTCCTTGAGCAACTCCGGGTTCTTCTTCCGAATCTCAATGAGGACGTCGATAGGAGCGCGAGCGCCGTCGAGTTGTCGCCCACCGTGCGTAGACTGCGATTGCGAAGGTCAGCGACCGTGAGAGTGCGAAGGAGCGCGACTCACGAGAACGACACCGTCCGCGCCATACCTCTTCGCCTCCTCGACGTCCTCGACGCAGCCGACACCCTTGACGACGATCGGGATGCCCGGCGCCTGCTTGCGGATCCAGGGAATGTCTTCCCAGCAGAGGTTGGCGTCGATGTGAGCGGCTGTAGGGGTGACAAGGTCGTCAGTCCTGCTGTTCAGAATGGAGGAGTATGTGAGCGGAAAATAAGGAGAGCGCACTGTCGGGAATGTCGGAAACGCCGGGCTGCTTGACGGCTTCCCAGTCGGACGCGCCTGCCGCTTTCCATTGCTGCGGGAGCCGTACGTCGGTGAACTCGTCGTCGAATGCTCAGGATTGGCCACTCACCGCGGCAATCGGATGCTCGTAAGACTGTGACCGGGCCTTGAGCTTGAGGTCCCGTTCTCGCTTGCCGAGGACGGGCACGTCAGCCGTGACAAAGATCGCCTTCGCTCCAAGCTCGACGGCATGCTTAATCTTCTTTGCGCCGGCCTCGCGGTCGCCGGGGAGGTAGAGCTGCCAGAATAGAATCTGTTCGCGCTGTTTTGCACCGAAAATTTCGTCGATTGAGGCGCTCGCGCCGGACGAGACGATTTGGACGACGCCGTGTTCTGCGGCACCTCGGGTTATGTTGAGCTCGCCATCAGGGTGGCCGAGTCGAGCGAGACCGGCGGGAGCGATGAAGAAGGGGAGCGGTTGCTGCGAAGTCGCGAGGGTCGGTTGAGTCACTCACGATGTGGGTGGTTACGCAGGACGTACAGGCATGCCGAGAAAGGACGTGCGCGAGTCGATATGACGCATCTTGCGCATCACTCGCGGTCGGAAGCGGATCCTCTGCCAGGATTCTCGCTCGTCGCGCAGAGCTATTAGCGTCAACGAGTCAGTCTAGGCCTGGAAGCGAGGAGTATAATAGTAGCCTCACACTGCTCCGTCTCAGCTGTAGGATGGGCCGGGAGGGTCAGTCTCCACCGCGCAGGAAAGCTAAGAGATCGCGACAACGCACATCCCGTTGCGTAATAGCTCGCCGCCATCTCAGTCAGGATGGACTGCGCGATTTCCTCAAACTCGTCGAGGCAGACAATCTGTAGCTACAATTATCAGCGCAAGAGAGGAGGAAACAGCGGAAAGAGGAAGACGAACGGTGTCGACATTTCGCAACGACTTGCGAGCCTGTTCGATCCTGAAGTCCTCGGCGTTCTTTCCACCTCCAATCTTCGTCGATTCATCGACGTCGATGTAGCCGACGAGGTTCTCGTCCGTCAGGAACTTCTCGAGCGTCTTGGGCGGGTGGATCGTCTTGAAGAGCTTGGTGACGTCCTTTCCGGCGTTCTGCTCGAGCACCTTGATACCGCCGGGCTGTTCATGCTTTCGTCAGCGTTACTCAGCAGAAAGAACGAAGGCACGAAGGACGAACATGAATCTCAGCGAAGTCGGAAATGCTGTCGCCGCAGAGTCTCCTCGTCAGCTCGAGTCTCGCGCCAACGCAGACTGCTCCTTCAGGACTCAGGACGCACTCCCACACCTGCGAGTCAATCACGACCCAGAGGTCGCCCTTCGAGTTGTGTTTTGCGACTTCGGCGGCGGTGAGCGAGCGGTCTCGCCGTCGCTGCTTGACTGGGAGCGGCGAAGGCGCATCGAGGAAGACAGGAGACTGCGTGTAGAGGTAGGTCTGCGCAGCACAACGAAGTTCGCTGGGTGAGCTCAAGAACGAAGACCCCAGTCCCGACGCTCCTCTCTCTCGAACAAGTCGCTCGAAACGCACCGCTACTCCGCCGACTGTCAGCACAGCTCCAGCGCCAATACCCAGCTGAAATGCTCGCTTCGACGCTGCCCTCGCCGCTGCGCCCTGCGATGGAGAAGCCGTGGAGAACGGGCGACGGTTGAGCGACTGATGGAGGTTGCGGGCGACGGTGCGGGCGCGTGCAAAGGCCATAGCGGTGGTGCTGGGTCACTGTCGTGCTGCTGGAATGGTCCAGCTCACCCGCGGAGCCCTTGCGTCGTTGTTCTTCGCCGGACTCCCTTGTCCGCCCAGCTTCGCCGACGAGCGTGCCGCGAAAGTGGGGGGCTCGCTCGTCGGGATATTCGATTCCCTGCCGCCGTTGCTCTCGATGTGCCGACTAGACTCGGCGCACTCGACGGCAGACCTACGTGTCACCCAGTCTCCGCTTTACTCGACACTTCCGCGCGACGCACAGCATAAAAGGCGCCAACTCTGCTTCGATGGCCTCTCTTTCCTGCTTCCTGCACTCACCGCGACACACGCGATGCCTTCTGTCGACCTCCAGTACCCCCGAACCGACTTCCCCGCCGACCTCGAATGCCACCCGCTTCTCGTCGTCGACTTTGCCAAGATTGCGGCCGGCGACGAGCAGGAGATCGATACTCTCTACAGCGCCTGCACCAACCTGGGCTTCTTCTACTTGAAGAACTTTGGCTTCGAGGATGTCATCGAGCCCATGTTCGAGATGGGCAAGGCGACCTTCTCGCTTCCCGATGACGAACTCATGCCGTTCGAGCAGGGTCAGCTTGCGTCTTACTCTATCAGCTATTACACACTCATCGATGCTGGTCGCGCGTGCAGGCGACTCGGGTATGAGCGCCGGCTACAAGAAGGCTGGCGCCAACAACGTCGACGCAAAGGCAAGTCCTCTGTGCCCAACTCGTTCCCTCTGCAAATGCTGACGACCCGCTCGACGCAGGGCAACCTCGACACCGTGCAGTTCATCAACGTCTCGAAGGATGACGCGCTCGCTTATCCGGAAGTCCATCACCGCACCTACCCTCGCACGGTCAACGAGCGTATCAAGACCGTCACGAGCTTCGTCCGGCAATGTAAGTCGCGCTCGCCGACTTGATCATGGTGGGCGCTGACGACCCAAACCACGGCAGCCGACAACGTTCTGCAGAAGCTCATGGAGGTCCTCGAAGTCCGCATCGGTCTGCCGAAGGGAACGCTCGCCGCGCTGCACAAGGAGGGCGACATCTCCGGTTCCGAATCGCGCGTTATCCTCAAGAGCGCACCGGGCGCGCGGGGCTACATCCCGGAGGGCGTCGGAGAGGACGGCAACCCTGCTGCTGCGATTGGGTGCGTCGGTTCTTTCCTCCGTCGAGCAGATGCAGATTGCTGACGATCGTCAGCGAGCAGAGCTCACACAGACTTCGGTGTGCGTCTTCAACCCGCTTGACCCGTTGCGAGCCTCACTGCCGTCCAAAGAGCTGAATGTTCGTCCCTCACTGCCCCTTTCACCTCCTCCAGTCCTGTGTGTTGCTCCTTCATTCCGTTCGCTAAGCTAAAAGCTCGTCTGACCTTCTCCTTCTCGCAGTCTCGATGCTCCACGGGCGCGGCTGCGGCGGACTCCAGGTTCTTCCTCCCGGAACGAGCGAGTGGCAGCACATTCGCCCGCTTCCTGGTCACGCCGTCTGCAACGTTGGCGACACGCTTTCGGTCTTCTCGGGCAACATCTTCAAGTCCAACGTGCGTTCCAGCTGTGCTTCATTCCCCACCCGCAGCCGCTGATCTCGACACTTCGTTTGCTGCGCAGATCCACCGCGTTGTCCCTCCTCCCCCGCCTCAAGACAAGGATGAACGCTGGTCGCTCGTCTACTTCATCCGCCCCGCCTTCGCACACCCTCTCCGCCCTCTCTCCGACAAATCCGACCAGATCAAATCGCACGCCGAGAACGACCCTGCGATGCAGGCGCTTCCGAAGGACGCGACAGCCGGAGACTGGTACAAGAGGAGGATCAAGTTGCAGAGGGTTGCAAACAGGAAGGGACCGGAGACTTGGGCCCAGTCGCGCGGGACGGAGCGTGAGTCTCGCTAGTCGTTCTTCCCTCGTGCTTCGCCGAAGCTGACGCGCACTCGCCTCGCAGACACTCCGCTCGCTACTTGAGCTGATTCCTAGCCTGTCTTCGTGACTCTTCTCCCCTCCCTTCCTTTCGCAGTTATCTGTACAGTCCCCTCAGCCCGACGCAATGAACAAGATCTCGTCCTGCGTCACTCTCCGAGTCGGGCAGCGAGTCTGTACGGAAATTGCATGCATTGCGCCCCAATTCCTCTTCATGCAGCCGTCGCAACCGGTCCCGCCTGAGTCTGGAGGTGCTTCGCCGCCATGCCGCGGTCGTAGTGGCACTCGTTGACGTCGACGTTCTCGATCTGCAGTGACGATAGGGTCAGTAAGAGGGGGAGACGAGGGTGAGAGAGAGAGAGAGAGAGAGACGCACGAACTTCCAGCCGTCCTCCTTGACGACTGCGTGGGTAGGCGACACGCAAACATGTCCATAATATCAGCGTGGTAGCAAAAGCGATGGACAGGCAGTCTTCGACGCACTGTACAGGTTGATCGTGTTGCCGGAGAAAGCGTCGCGGTGACCGGCGGCGTAGATACTTCGGCGGCCGAGGTCGATCGCGTCCTGGTCGGAAAGGTTGTAGTGGTAGCCTGCAGATTCGTCGCGGTCAGTCGGAGGAAGGAAGGAGCCGGTTGAGACGGTTCGAGCGGCGCACCCTGGTCGAGCCTGTGAAGGAAGCATGGTCAGCGGACGTTCGAGATCTTCTCGCGCGAGGAGCGAGCACGTACACGCCGTAGGCAAAGGTCGAGCCGGAACCGACGGAGAAAAGGTCGCCCTTCAACCGCGAGCCTGCGAAGTGAAGTGGGTCAGCACGGTACGTACGGCGGTTTCGCAAGCGATACGCACCATCGGAGTCAACATAGAACAGTGCGGGACCCTGCAAGCAGTTCGAAGCGATTTGTATCGCGTCGTCGAGCGAAGTCAGCGCCGTTCGAAGTCGGAAGGCGGGACTCGACCAACCGTCTTGTCCCATCCGCAGATCATCGTTCCCATGGACAAGCCCATCCCCTTGTACGAGTAGACCAGGTTCGCGAGGTACTTGCTCGCCGCCGCAACCGAGATTCGCTCGTGATTCCGCAGCTCGTGAAGGCGGCATTGAATGCCGAGGTACGTCTCCCAGTATTGGCAGTCGGCTACAAGAGGTCGGAGGATGGTCAGCATACTGTTTTACGAGCACCAATGGAGGAATGGCACGCACCAGCACCACCGGCCATCGTTCCGAGCAGGTAAGGGTTGATCTCGATCACCTTCTTGACCGTCCCGGACGCTGTCAGAGCAAAGTGCAGAGGTCAGCACAACTGTCGCTTGTTCCACAGCTGCGCCTGCCAGCACAGCCCGCTAGCAACAACACGGCAAGGGCAGCTCGCCAACGCACCGATGTAGCTTCCCGCCGTTGCCCGCGAGTCGACCGCCACAACAATCCCTCCCTGGAACTTGAACGCGAGCGTTGTCGTGCCGTGATTGATCTTGATCCGGCATGACGGGTCCGAGGCGTCGTCAGTGTGGAGCTGGAGGAAGGAGGTGGGCTGCGAACGACAAGGGAGATCAGCGGGTGCTGAGACAGCTCTGCGCGAGTGCACGCACGTCGATAGTCGCAGGCATCTCGAAGTTGGGCACCGGGCAGCGCTCGATGCCCCGTCCGAGAGGGAGAGCATAGCCGTACTCCTCGCTCGCAATGTCCTCCTGGGCGTAGCGGCGCGACGAGTAGGCGGATGTCGCTGGTGACTTGGCGTAACGCTGCACGAGCTTGTCCTGCGTGCGTTGTGTCGAGCGTGAGACGGGTCAGTTTGCTCGAGGTGGTGATGAGGATTCGAGGCGAGCGAGCGCACCATTCTGGCTGCGGGCGGGACTGGCGAGGTTGGGAGAGTCCGAAAAATCGAGTGAAGAGTAGCAGGAGGTGTCTGGCTGTGTTCCAAGCGGTGAGCAGCGTGCGGTATCGAGCCAACCCTTCGCTGACGACGTCCCTCTCACCAAGACCGCTCGCTAGCGCACGCTCACACCGCTTGTGGCAGACCTTTGACGTGCTTGACAGTCCAACCAGAGTCAACTGTTGGTCTGCAACTGCTCGCAGCCCCGTCCGCGGCCTCCTCGCTCATTCTGCTCCCATTCTCCCCCTCCCCTTCACTTGGGGTTGTCAACCTCACTTCCGGCGCGACTGAAGTTGCACGGCTGCGCTGAGAGTTTGTACGACGCATGCAAGGCTTTACGGGCTCAAGGCGTCCAGCCTGCGGATTGCAAGCACCCTCCTTGCCTCCTCGCGACGCCAGATTCCCCTGTGCATCGCTACCTCGAGACACACGCACAAGCTGCTTCGCTCAGTCCTGCTGCAGAGATACTGACAGATCTCCTACTTGTTTGTAAAATCTCGCTGACGGTCCTGGTGCAGTTGGCAGCTCGCCAGAGGTTCGTCTGGCGATTCGCTCCTCTCTCTTTGTCTCTCTCCCAATCCCCCAAGCTGACCCTTTCCTCTCGAACGTGATGACAGGGTCATACAGGACGGAACGGGATGACTCGAAGGAACGCAGCGACGTCTGGATACCTGGAATCCCCTTCTCCTCCTCGCCGTCCCCTCGTCTCCCTTCTTCTCTTCTTCGCCGATAGCCTCCGATAGCTTCGAGCAGCCTGAATAGACCACTTTCCAACCCTACAAGCTGCCTCTGACCCTTTCCCACGCTCATCACTCGCACTGACCTCCTCTCGCCCCACCTCTTGCCTCTTCCACTCCCGACAACTCGCCCCAACGTCTCAAGCGACCACTTGCACATGCTCACACGACGCCAGAGACCATGTCGAGCTCGCCTGAACCCGACACGGAGTCGTCCGACATCGAGGTCGTCGGCTCGAACAAGGTGCGTCTCGCCGGGCGTAATCTCGAGTTCACACCGCAGCACCGCGCTGGGGCGACATGTGCAGCGCGTGGACTGGGCTCGTAACCTCATGGGACCGCACTGATGCCGCTCACTCGCCCGCAGAGGGTGCACTTCTCGTCCACCCCGACTCCTGGTGCGACCGGACCCAACCTCTCCCGCTCGGCTCAGAAGAAGCTCCTCTCTGCTATCGCCGCCAACGACGACTGGCTCGACTCGGACAGCGAGCTCGACGTCAAGCCCGTCGTGCCCAAAGTCGGTCCGTCGTCGTCCAAAGACAAGGGCAAGGGAAAGGGCAAAGCTCCTCGCGCCGAGGTGATCGAGCTCTCGTCCGGTTCCGAGTCCGAGGACAGTTCGCAGAAGGAGCGCGAGCAGTCAAAGCTCGAGCGCGACCTCAGCCGCGTCCGCGCCGTCGTCCCCGACGCCCACTCGAAGTGGCTCATCAAGCTGTACCGCGACCCTCGCTTCGAGTGCGACCCGAACCGCATCGTCGAGGAGCTGTTGACGAGCAACTACCCGCTCAGGAACGGAGGATGGAAGCACCCGAGGGAGGAGACCGAGAGGGGCCAGCAGAAGAAGGGGAACGGCGAGTCGCCGACGAAGAAGAAGCAGGCGGGTTCGGACAAGGACAAGGGCAAGAACAAGCGCACGCATCGTGACTCGGAGGACGAGGATGAAGAGGTCGACCAGCTCGACAGCGACGAGGAGCAGGCTGCGGACGATGAGGACGAGGACGACGCGAAGGAGTACACGAGGGAGGAGGCAGTTCAGGAGGCCAAGTACTGGCTCGGAAACGTCAACCGCAAGTTCGGCGACGACGCGTACCGCAAGGCTGCGTGCGTTGTCTCCCCTACGTCTCCCCTTCGCTTCGCTTAGTCGAGCACCTCGCTGATGTTCCAGTCTTCTCCGCCTCGTACAGCCTGCTCCAGCTCTTCCGCGACTACAACGCCTACGCGGAGAACCACATCCGCAACCGCTTCGAGTCGGACAAGTGCGGACAGCTCTACGCTCCGACCTGGATGGAGCTGTACCGCCTCAAGAAGGCCGGCGACCTCCTCCCGCTGAAGAACGGCCCGCGCGACATGGACAAGCCGTACACGACGGCGGATGGGAAGAAGGTGATGAGGAAGGAGGCGCCGAAGAGCAAGTTGCTCCAGGACGAGATCACTTGGCTTCAGGCCTATGTCAGTGAGTTGACGCAGTCTACCCGCGCCCTGATCGTCCGTCAGCGCATACGGACTCACGACGACTCTTTACTCGCTTGACAGATTACGGCGGCTGCAAGCTCGAAGCGAACCGCAAGAAGCCGAGGCCGGACATGGTCGCCCCCGAGCGTCCCTCGCCGAAGAAGAGGAAGAAGAAAGTGCGTTTGCTTCCTCATAGCTCATTATTGCCGGCCGATGCACCCTGCTTTCTGCTCTCCGCTCGTTGACCGGACCGTGACTGACGAATCCGGCCCTCACAGGAGTCGCCAGACGAGCGCCGTGCCCGCACGAAGGGCAAGAACAAGAAGGCGGCCTCCTCGAATGACGAGGAGGAGGAGGAGCTCGAGCACGACTGCCACGACTGCCGCACCTGCGACGACAGCTCGCGCGGTCGCAACGGCCACCCCGCCAACTCGCCCGGCTGGGGACCCGCCTACACGTCGCCGTCGTCAAAGAAGGGAGGCAAGAAGCGCAAGAGCAGCGCGTACAAGGGCAAGTTCGGAGGCGGCGTCTGGGTTAAGCAGGAGGACGACATCAAGCCGTTCCAGGGCCAGGGTCACAGGCTTGCCGACTGAGGGCGGGCCAGGAGAACGCTTGAACGGGAACGCCGCTTTGTGGATGGACGGAGCGCTTGAACCGCTTGAATTGTGTGTACTTTTCGCTTGGACAGGACGAGGAGGAAAGGAATCGCTTGCACCTTCTCAATTCGCTTCTGCTCTTCTCTCGCTGGGCAGAAGGGCATCTCGAGCGCTATCGAGCCATCAAAACGAGGAAAGCTTCGAGAAAGCTGGTCGAGGAGGTCCGCGGACTCGAGGTCGACCCTCGCCTCCTGTCTCCTCTCCTTCGCTTCCTTCCCTCACGCTTTGCTACCCCTTGTCCACTTGCTGGCTTGCACAGATGCCCAACTCGTCTCAGCTGTTCCACCCTGGCTCGCGCACGCCCTCGCCGCAGCTTGTGACGCGGGTCAAGGTCGAGGAGGAGGAGGACGACTGCGAACCGTCTACGGAAGAGGACGAGGAGCAGGCGGGCTCTCAGGCGGCCAAGAAGGAGGACACGACGGCTCTCACGCCACGCCAGCGGTCAGAGACGCCCGCTGCGCCCCCTCCTTTCCCTTACGCTCCTCCTGCCAACACATCTCGCCGCAAGACATTCGACCTCGTCCTCGAGAACGTTCCCGACGTCCACCCATCCTACGTCGTCCATCTCCTCAACCTTCCCGACTTTCACGCCGACGCAAACGACATCGTGGCTGAATTGTTGACGAACGAGTACCCGCTCGTCGGCGGAGGATGGAAGCAGGGTGGACGGACGCCGCTTGCTGGCTTCACGATGAGATGGAGGGAGAGGCAGGTCGATCAGCTCAAGCCGCCGACAACTCCGAGGAGGGCGCCCGTTCCCCAACCCGCACTCGTCTACCAGCCCGTTCTTGTCCCCGTCCGCCAACCTCCTTCTCCAACTCGCCAGTACAGCACACCCGGACCTATCGACGCTTTCGACCTTGGCTACGGGTATCAGAAGGCAGGGAACGGCATCTTTGGCGGTGGAGGATGGGGCGGAGCAGCGAGCGGGAGTAGCTGGAGCGGCGGGAAAGGGACGAAAGCGGACGACGCGAGGGCGAGGAGGCAGGAGGCTGGTGACGGCAGCGGTGGACGGGACGAGCCGGCAGAGGTCAAGAGGCAGAGGTTGATGACGGCGGCTTTGAAGCGGGCGCACAGCGAGTCGCAGTCTCAGTCGCAGTCGCAAAAATGATGCGCCGGTAGCGAGGCGTAGGATGCGCTTGAACGACATAACTTGCGCGCTTATTGTCAGGAACAGCTGCGAGAATAGAAAAGCTACAGGTCGTGACGGCCGCCATTGAACGCCTTCTCGTCGTAGAACCTGGTGAGATACCGAGGTCAGCCAATGTCGATAGCGTGACGAGCCGACTGCACGCACCTTGCACGGACGGTTCGCCCGCCGAAGAAGCGGCCGTCAAAGTTGCGGACTGCGTTGTAGCCTCCCGCAAGACTGCGCCCACAAGCCATGTCAGCCGTGGTAAGCGTGCAGACCGAGACAGACCGCACGCACCCGCTCATAACCAAGAAGATCCTCACCGCCTCGTCGTCCCTCGTCTCGCCGGGCACGACATACACGAAGCACCGCTCGACGACGCCAAACTTGTTCGCCTCTTCCGCGACCTCGCCGCCCAGATCATCGTCGACCTCCTCCCTCCCGCACAAGTTCGTCAACAAGACGACTCGACTCGCATCTCCGCCCATCTGCGCCTTCTGTTCCGCGATCCGCTGGTCGCGCGAGACGTCGACGACAACCGATCGACCCGCCATGCCCGCCGGCGTGGGCGCAACTTCCTGCTCCTTCTTCTTCTTCGCCTTCTTGTTCGAGCTGGCGGATGCGGCTGGCGTACGCTGAACGGAGAGCGCGGCGGTGATGCCCGACTCGGAGGCGCCAAGACCTTTGCCTTCCTCCCAGCCGAACTTGCTCATCATGCGTTCGGCGAAGGTGCGGCTGTCCGGCCTGTCGCAGACGTTAGCGTCAGCGGACGCTCGCGGAACGCGCGTGGAAACAGGGCTTGAGACGCACTCAGCAGATTCCGCCTCACCCGCTCCTCCAGCCTGTGTCGCAGCAGGCGCGAACCCCGGCGGTGCCGTCCCAATACCACCAGCCGCCGCAGGAGGCGCAACGAACGCTCCGCCGAGCTTGCTCAACCTCGCCGCAATCTCACGCGCCTTCGCCTGTGCGGCATCGAGCGCTGCGTTCGATTCGCCTGCCGGAACGAGGGAGGCAGAGTTCGAGGGTACGGGGGGTGTGAACGTGGGAGCTGAAGCGGACAAAGTTGAGGAGGATGAGGCGGGCGCGAAGGAAGGAGGTGGAGGGGGATGTGGGTGAGCGAAGCCGGGTGGAGGAACGAAGCCTGGTGGCGGCGGAGGCGGGACGAAGCCGGGAGGAAGCTGCGGGCCGGCAAGATTCGGTGCTCGAGGATGGGATGACGAGACAAAAGCCGGAGGAGGGGGAGGCGGAGCAGATTGATGAGGACCTGCAGCGGGCGGAGGAGGAGCTTCACCGCGCGACAGAGCCATCCTGCGCTGGTACGCCTCCTCACCCGTTTCCTCACGCCTTTGCGACATCGCGACCCGACGCTGATACGCCTCGTCACCCGTCTCTTCGCGCGACGGCGGCGCAGCATTTGACAGAGCGGCTCGTCGGGCGTAGGCATCTTCGCCGGACTCGTCCCGAGGAGGAGCAGAGGTCGCATCGTAGGAAAAGGGAGGGGGAAAAGCGGGTCCTGCGCCAGGCGACTCGTCGTAAGAGGAGGGAGGGGCGAAGAAGCGCGCCTTCTTGTTCGCTGTCGACGGAGAACGCACACGTCAAAAGGCGTCTGACTCAAAAAGAGTAGTGTGCGCACCTGGCTGCTCATCGTGCTGATCGCGGTCCTCCTCGTCCTCCGAGTAGTAGCTGGACCCGGAGGAGCCCTCGCGGCGACGACGACGTTCCTGTTCTTCGCGCTCGAGGCGCCGCTGTTCCCTGACGAGCTTGACATGCGTCTTATAGGCGGACTGATCGCAATCGAAGGGGTGAAAGCAAGTCAGGACGGCGCTGGATGAGACAGGCAGATCGGCTGATTTGGTCGACACCGTCGACGTCGCGGTTTGTTGCGAGTTTGTCCTCGCAAACAGAGCGCAACGAAAGCAACACCGACACGTACGTAGTCGCAAGGCCTGGCGGGATCGTACGGGATGTCGGCAAAAGCGAGCGCCGGGTCGTCCCTCTGCATCCTGCCTTTCTTCTTGCCCTTCTTTTTCTCCATCTGGGCTAGCTTCTTGCCCGCCGCAGTCGCCGCAAAGCCGTTGACGTCCGAGAGGTCTTCCTCGAGGACCATGGCGGGAGGGACGGCGATGACCCGTCGGACGCGCGTGCGAGTTCGGGCGGACGTTGCAGGCTTGGCGGGAGTTGACGTTCCCGAGTCGCTCGTCACGGACCCTCCCGCGAAGGGCTTGACTTCGAAGGCAGGTTTCGAGACTGCACCCCACTTCGAAGGAGGAGGCGCCTTGTCTGGCGCGGCGACGAGACTCGCCTTGCCCACAGCAGCGATGCGAGGTCCGGCTGCTGCGGGCGGTGGAGCGGCGGCACTGTCGTCGTCTGCTGTCCCAAAGACAGACTTGAGCGCGACTGCTGATGGGCGAGAAGAGGGGGTTGCGGGTTTCTTGCGGACGGTCGGGGCGAAGCGAAGGGCGGCAGACCATGTCGCAGCTGCGTAGAAATGTTCAGCATCATCTCAAATATTCAATGGGACTATCTGACGCACGCTTGGGCTTCTCTGTCGCTGTGTCGGCGGGTGCGGGACTGGCAGAGGCTGCGGGTGAGATGGAAGCAGGCGGCGAGGCAGAGGCAGCAGGCGGGGCGGGCGAGCCAGCAGGTGGCTTATCCTTGCCCTTGAGCACGATACCGCCGTACAGCGACATCCCTGGAGCGTAGTCGCACTACTTGAGGGTGTTGCGACGAAGAGAGGATGGGTCTCGTTCGACCACGACGGGTCGGTCGCGCAAAGGCCGTCAGAGTGTGCGCCAGCGTAACTGAAACAGAGTGTTGCAGCCTTTGAGGCGGTCTCCTTGCCGCTCCATCGTTGTTTGCGTCCTTCCTCCTCATCCCGCTCGTCGACAGACAACACAAACACCTCGTCACACGCTTCCGTCGCCAGTTCGCTCGCTTCCCTATTGAAGCGAGCACCCAAAGACTATAGCGAGCGACCGAACAGTCCTCGCAAGCGCCTTGTCGCTGTTGTTCGCGCGGGTGTGGTGCTCCTCTTCCTCGAACCAACACCTCGCACGCCGTCACTAGCTGTTGCTGCCCGCTAGACGACCGGCCAAGCTGAACTCTCTTGCACGCCTCCTCTCCTCGTCGTCGCGTTCGCCTTCGCCGACACCAGCTTCACGACGCTCCGCCTCCCTCGTCATGCCCGTCGCAGCCTGGTCTCCTCCGCGCGCCCGTGTCCAGCTCAAGCTCTCGCGGGAACGACTACGACTGTTGCAGCAGAAGAAGACGCAAATCGCCAAAGCGACACGGAGGGAAGTCGCGGGTCTGCTGGAGAAGGGCAAGTTGGAGAGCGCGAGGATCAAGGTCGAGGGACTGCTGGCGGAGGATCTCTACGTCGAGTTGCTGGAGGTGCTGGAGCTGTGAGTACGGTGTGAGCGCTGCTGCCCGGAAAGAAGCCTGACCTTCGTTCTCTTCGACAGGTACTGCGAACTGTTGTTGGCTCGCTTTGGGCTGTTGGAGACTGTCAAGTGCGCCCGACTAAAAAGCACTTTGGGCGGACTGGTGGCTGACGAGGATTCGCGCGCAGAGAGATTGACCCAGGCGTGCAAGAAGCCGTCGCAGGCATCATTCATGCCGCACCAAGGTTCGTTGCATGGCCAAGGGTCCGTTCCAGCAAAGACACTAATCGTTCAAGCGCGCAGAACGGAGCTGAAGGAGATCCACATCCTGCGGGAGATGCTCATGAGCAAGGGCGGGCGAGATTTTGCGGTTGCTTGCATCGACAACGAGGACAATATTGTTCCCGAGCGGGTGCGTCCGTCTCGCCATGGGCACCAATTCCAGGGCTTCCAGCTCAACCCCGCATCGCTCCGCAGATCACGTCGAAGCTGGTCATCCAGACGCCGCCGCAAGACCTTGTCGACCTGTACTTGTACGAGATCGCAAAAGCTGTGCGTGCTCTCCCTCCGGGTCTGGCGAGTAGCAGCTGACATCGTTCTCATCGCAGTACTCCGTCGATTGGCGACCGGAGGGTCTGCGTGATCCGGATGCACCGGCAGAGAGCGTGGTGCGTTTCGTCCCCACCTGGCAAGACCGCAACTCACTCAAGCTGCTTGAGAAGCAGCCCGCGTCCGCCACAACTCCCGCTCCCCTCGCTACGCCCACCAAGACCCACTCTATTCCGCCCTTCGACACCGTCATGCCCGTCACTCCGCCCGTTGACCCGTCCAAAGCCGACAACTCGACCATCGTCCGCACGAACCTGACTCCGGCGGCAACCGGCGCTGTACCGCCGCCTGTCCCGCCTGCGCCTGCTGCGAACGCGAATGGAGGTGCGAATGACAAAGAGCTGGATGCGTTCGAGGCGCTGCAGAGGCGGTTTGCGGACCTCAAGCGGAGGTGAGGGCGGACTGTATCGACGCCGTCAACTCTGTGAATGCATCGCTGGACTAGATTGCCTTCGTTCTGGTTTGCCGAGAGTTTGTATTCAGCATTACAAACAGAGTGTATTCCGTCCTTACATTCGCTCTCATCGCTTTCTCCTGTTTCGCATCTCGCTCGCTCGCTCGCTAGTTGATTGGGATGTACGGACGCGGTGCGTAAAAGCTCACACAGCTCTCGTCAAGCCAGCAAGCTCACCATGCCAGCTCGTCATCGTCCTGCAGGTTACGGTCCTCCTGGTGGTGGATACGGCGAGGGCGGAGGCTACGGCCGTTCGCCAGGCGGATACGGCCCACCGCCGAGCGGTCCAGGTGGCTACGGCGGCGCACCACCCAGCGGACCCCGTCACCACGCCGGCCTCGGTTCACGCGGCGCTCCCTCGAACCTCCCTCCGCCGCCGAATCTCGCTGGTTCACCGGGAGGGTATGGCTCGCCGGCTGTGGGAGGTGCTGCTGGAGCGCTTGGGATGCAGGGACCGGCAGGAGAGAAGTTCAGCTTGTTCGTCGGAAGTATCGTCGATGGGCTGGAGAACGGATGGTTGGAGAGTATCCTCGGCGTGCGTCTGCCTACTTTCCTCCGTCTTGACCTACTCAGAAGAATGCTAACGATCCGTGCGCGCGCAGGTTGCCGGTCCCGTACTCTCGTTCCGCCGTCCCTCCCCTCCCTTCGCTTTCGTCGAGTACGCCGAGGCAGAGTCGGTCCTGCGGTGCTTGGAGGTCGTCAATGGCGCGGCTATCAAGATGCCGAACGGGGCGGAGAAGACGCTGCTGGTCAAGGCGGACGAGAAGACGCGGGGCAGGCTTGACGAGTATGAGAAGGACCGGGTCAGGAGCGAGGCGCGTACAGGCTGCTCGTGTGACTGCATTCCACATGCTGACCTACTGCTCGATACAGGAGAACGACGACTTGACGCAGCAAGCGAAGGACGACCTCGCCAACATCCTGAGACGCATCGCAGCCGGCGACCCAATCTCCGGCACCGAGCCCGAAGAGCACGACCCGGAGCGCAAGCCGCACATCCCTCAGCATCTCAAGGACCTCGCGCCCGAAGACTTGCCGGAGAGTCACCGCAACAACACGCTGAGCTCGATTGCCCAGTTCCGCGAGGCGGCGGTGAAGAAGGCGCATCAGCGGTTCGAACTCGACAGGCAGATCGAGGAGCGGAGGCAGGCGATGATTGCGCAGAACGCGCGGCAACATCAGCAGCGCGCCGCGCCGGGCTACTCGCCGCCTGGTCCTGCCGCTGGACCTTCGCACGTCATGCCCGCGGCTTCGCAGGACCCGCAGAGCTTCAACCGCCCTGTGCCATTCGTTGCAGGAGGTGCAGGTGCGAATGGAGCCCCGGCACCTCAGGCTGAACCCGAGTTGGACGACATGGAGCGCGAACGCGAACGGGCCGAGGCGGAGCACAGGCAGCAAGAGGTGGTCTACCGGAATGTGCGTCTCCAATCTTGCCGTCATTTGCAAGGCAGGAGCTGACATTACGTCTTGCAGCGCGAGCGACAGTTTGAGCAGCGGGAACGAGCGAGGATTGCGGCGTGGGAACGGGAACAGGCGCGCGAGCAAGGCATCGCTGAGCAGGAGGAGCGAGATCGCGCGTACATGGCGGAGCGTCTTGCGACCTGGGACGACGACCGCGAGGCTGAACGAGGACGCGAGCTGTTCTACATCGACCGGTGCGTCCGGTTCTTCGCTTCACTTGCGATGGGGTGCAGCAGAACCTAACCAATTGCGCTTCATCTAGCATTCGATGGCGTGCTCAGCGAAAGCCGCATCGCCTTCGCGAGCAGGAGGCAGATGCTCGGGACCGTGCCTTCGAAGCCCAGCAAGTCGCCGCGCTCAACGAGCAATCCGACTCGTTCCTCTCTCAGCACGCCGACCTCTTCGCTTCTTCCCTTCCCACACCTGGTACCCCAGCATCCGGCGCAGACACAGCGTCTGCCACGCCAGGCGGCGCGACTCCTGCTGTCGGCGTCAAGCTCAACCTGACAACGGCGCCGAAACCGGTCGTCAAGGAGGCACCGAAGCCTCGACCGACTGCTATGGCGCTTGCGGACGAAGAAGAGGAGGGTCGGAAGAAGCGCGAGCTCATCCCGCTCGAATACTCGGATGACGAGGACGCAGGTCAACCGAGGCCGAGGTTGTCGAGGAGCGAGATGGAGCGGAAGGCGCGGGAGATTGAAGCGAAGGTGCCGACGAGCAAGGACGGGCTATGGGTGTGGAAGGTGCGGTGGAAGAGGCTGAATGACGTGAGTTCCGACAAAGAGCCCATCTCTCCTAGAAAGCGCCGCTAACTTCATCCGCTTCCAGGACATCATCAAGCGGCGCATCACCCCGTACGCCAACCGGCTCATCGTCGATTACCTCGGTGGAGAGGAGGCGGAGCTGCTGAACGTCGTGAACGAATACCTTCGCGATCACAAGGGCCCGCAGGCGCTGCTGGAAGAGCTCGAACCGGTGCGTCGCAGTTTGCTCCTCAGCGGAACCGCAACTGATGATCCTGGCTTGTGCAGGTTCTGGATGAGGACGTCACGAACTTCGTCGTCAAGGTGTGGCGCCGTCTCGCCATCGAGACCGAGTTTGAGCATGCTGGCATCGACTTCTAACGGCACAAGGCATCGCATCCGTGCGCGTACCCGTCTCCTCCGCTTCGTATCCTGCCGTGCAAGTCTACCTAATTCCCTTTCGGGTCCTACGCGGGTATTTGGGGAGAGTTTGGCTTCGTGGGATCAGCAGGTGTGCCGAGACCCTGTCTTTCGCTGCTTCTGCGCCGCTCTTTTGCTTCGACAGGATTATCGAGTGGAGTGCGGCCGCCGAGCGGGTCCGCCGCGACAGCCTCAACAGGCGCATAGCTCTTTTTATCTTATACGCGGTGAGTGCTGCGCAAGTCCCCCTCATCCGCCGTAGACGGTCGTCGGACCGATCCGAGAAGCAATCTCACCATCTCACCGCATGGAAGGTGGAGAAGGGGTAACGCGGGAGGCCTCGTCAGCTCGTCGTGAGCGACCAGACCATGCGGCTCGGCACTCGCGCTTCCTTCCTCTGCTCGTCTTCTCTCGTCACCCATGCTTTCCGCCGCCTCTCCGGTGTCTGCTGTCTGCTCCGTCCTCGATATCGCGCCGTTCCCGACTTCGCGAGAATGGTGCGTTCTCTTCTCGCTTTCAAAGCCGGGGGTGGTACTGATGTCCTCCATCTCCGCTACCGTAACTTACCAGCTTGCGAAACGCTAGAGCAGTCACTAGCGGCAACCTGCTGCCCTTTTCTCTTCGTCCGGCGAGTCAGCTTTCCGACCTCGCTGAATACGGCACCTCTCTCGTCTCCCTTCGCCTCTTCGCCCGACAGCGACTTGCTCTGTCTCCCTTTCTTTCTGTTCTTCGTTGCGCGCGATGGGCGATGCAGAGCGGCTGAAGACTTTGTGCGTCCCCGCCTCTCTCTCTCTTTCTTTGCCCTTCACGCCTCACTGACGATGCCCTTGCTCCGCCTACTACCGCAGACTGAGAACATCATCGTCAACGATGTCACTGCGACCGCGACATGGCGGCGCCGCACACGGAGGCGAGGGTGCGACGAAGAACGGCTCGACGAAGAACGGCTCACCTACTCGTCGCCGCAACCGCCGCTCGCCCGCTGCCCGCCCTCTTTCATGCTCGCTCCTTCGTTGCGGTGCTCTGCCGTAGCCAGTGCCGACCTCGTGCCGTCCATGCCATCCTTCGGCTTTTCCCCCTGACACGTATCACGCCGCGACTTCGGCTCCGAAGCCCCCACCTTGTCCAACTTCCGACTTCTCCGCCGCTCAGCGCTCCTCCTCCTCCTGCCTCTCTGTCTCTCTCCTCTACAGCTCTCTACACACAGCAACTCGGCCTGCCATGCCTTCCGTCGCCCAGACCGACATCAGCTACCCTCGCACCGACTTTCCCGCCGACCTCGAATGCCACCCGCTTCTCATCGTTGATTTTGCCAAGATTGCGACTGGCGACGAGCAGGAGATTGATACTCTGTACAGCGCCTGCACCAACCTTGGCTTCTTCTACCTGAAGAACTTTGGCTTCGAGGACAAGCTGGAACCGATGTTTGAGATGGGCAAGGCGACGTTCTCGCTCGACAAGGAGGAGTTGATGCCGTTTGAGCAGGGAGACTTGGGCATGTCGGCGGGGTACAAGTTTGCTGGAAGCACCAACGTTGACGCCAAGGTTCGTCTCGCTTTTCCCTCCCGACTTCCTTCGCCGCCGTTCTCGCGGAGCAGCTGACTAGGACGTGCACACAGGGTAACGTCGATACTGTTCAATTCATCAACGTTGCGAAGGACGACGCTCTCGCCTACCCCGAAGTGCGCCAGCGTACCTACCCTCCAACCGTCAATGACCGCATGTCGACGGTCACCAGCTTCATCCGCCAATGTGCGTAGTACTCCGGCGCCGAATGGTTGAGATCGGCCCTGACGAACCTCCACCGCAGCCGACAACGTCCTTCAGAAGTTGATGGAGGTCCTCGAGACTCGAATTGGGCTACCGAAGGGAACGCTCGCAGCGCTCCACAAGGAAGGCGACATCTCCGGCTCCGAGTCGCGTGTGATCTTGAAGAGCGCGCCGGGTCAGAAGGGATACGTGCCCGAAGGAGTTGGCGAAGATGGCAACCCTGCTGCTGCGATTGGGTGCGTCGTCTCCTGCCTTCGTCGAGCAGATGGAGTTTGCTAACGATCGTTGTCGAACAGAGCTCACACGGACTTTGGCGTGCGTCCTCTCACTGCTTGAAGCTGGCGATCGCGTTCGTGCTCGAGCCTGACCTTCCATGCCTCGCTCTGCACTTCACCTCTTGCAGTCTTGTGCGTCTTCATCTCTCGCATTCTTCTACGACTACTGGGTTGAGCGCTGACTTTACCGACTTGCAGTCTCGATGCTCCACGGGCGCGGATGCGGAGGTCTCCAGGTTCTTCCGCCAGGGACGAGCAAGTGGCAGCACATTCGCCCTCTCCCTGGTCACGCCGTCTGCAACGTCGGCGACACGCTTTCCGTCTACTCGGGCAACATCTTCAAGTCCAACGTGTGTTCCCGCTTTGCTTACCTTTCTTCCAGCTCTGACGCTAATCCTCATGCTTCGCACGCTCCGTAGATCCACCGCGTCGTCCCTCCTCCCCCGCCTCAAGACAAGGACGAGCGCTGGTCGCTCGTCTACTTCATCCGCCCCGGCTTCGACAACCCGCTTCGCCCGCTCTCCGACAAGTCCGACATCATCAAGGCGCACGCTGAGAAGGACCCGGCTATGCAGGCGATGCCAAAGGACCAAACTGCCGGCAGCTGGTTCAAGCGCAGGATTGTCAATCAGCGTGCGGCGAACAGGAAGGGACCGGAGACTTGGGCTGCGTCGAGGGGAACGGAGCGTGAATTCGGCTTTCCCGCCTCATGTTCGGCTGATCTGCTGACACTCGCCTTTGACAGACACTCCGCAAGCTGCGTGAATGTCCTGAGTCTGTAATGCCGAGTCTATCAAGCGTTTCTCCCATCTTGCCCGTCTCCATGCCTCGTCAAGCTCTTTTCCAGTCCCTTTCCTGTCTGCCGCCCTGGCGCCGCTCCTGAAGTCTTCGAAAGCCTGCACGCGCACTGCTAGCGAACTCGCACGAGACTGAGCAATTCGACTTCTTCCCCCTCCTCAGACACTCCTTCGTCTCTCTCGAGTCCTTTCCCCTCTACTTCTCCGGCTGGCGCCATGCTTCTCGGGACCTCCGCGCAGATTCTGAGTACGGCAAGAGTAGCGGCACGACCAGCGTGCGCGGCGTGTCGGGTCCAGGGCCAGCAGGTGCGTTCTTCCCTCTCGAGGTCGCAGGGCGTACACAGCGCAGGAGGGCGGTCGCGAGTGCTTGTGTGTGGGATGTACAGAGCTACAAGACACAGCACAACAGTCGCCGCTCCCCCTGCGGCTCTGTTGATGGACTTGACACTCACTCGCCCTTCTTCCTGATGAACTCGCAGCGCTCCGCACACAAGCTCGTTCAGGTCAAGCTGCTCGAGGACTTGCCCGGCCGCGGCACCAAGGGCTCGGTGGTCATCGTCTCGCCCGGCTACGCGCGCAACATCCTCATCCCGAACCGAAAGGCGCTCTACGTGAACCGCAATGGAGAGGCCGTCTCGCCGCTGCGGACTATCCTCCGACTCAACGCGGAGAAGCTGTTGCAGCTCAACCACGACTTGCGGGCTGAGGAGGAGCAGCGGAAGGAGCGGGAAGCGAAGGCTGCTCTCGAGCAGATGTCTAGGGATGCGACTTCCGCGGTGCGTACAGGCGCGCTTCGCTCGTCCAGCCAACGTGCTGACTCTTTGCACTATAGAGGCGACTCGATGAGCAAGCCGCGCTCCACCAGGCGGACAAGACACGACTCGCCGAACTCGCCCGCGCGCCTCCCATTCTCTTCACGCGTCTCACCATCTCTCCTACCTCCTCCGACCTCTTCGGATCCGTGTCTACCGCCGACGTTGTCGCCGAGCTTCGCGAACTCGGGTTCCAGGACTTTTCGCACATGCGTACGGCGTTCCGCGAGCATGAGGGGATCGTCAATGGCAGGATCAAGGCGACGGGCACGTTCGAGTTTGTCGTCTCGAGCAGGACGTTCGACGAGGAGGCTGTCGTCAAGGTCAAGGTCACTAAGGGCGAGGGAAACCTGGGCATGAAGACGGCGGCGGAGGTCAAGGAGGAGCCGAAGGTTGTCGAGGCAGAAGCGAAGGCAGCGGAGAAGCCGTAGACGGATGGACAATGTATACCAGATGCGAAGGCAGACAACAACAACTGATTCACAGAGAGTCTGGCTCGGTATCACTGCTTCTGTACCCACTCGATGAACGACGGCACATCCTCCGAGATCTTGCTCGGCATGACCTTCTCGCTGATCAACTTGGGCACCATGCCTCCCGCCGACGAGCTGACCGCCATAATCCATTCAATGCCGCCTCCCTCCGCTTCGTCAAGCTCCTGGATGTGCTCGACCGAGACGTAACGGCCGCGGACGTAGCCCTTCTCGGATGGGTGTTCGACGGGGATCGAGATGACGACGAAGGAACGGAGAGCGCGAGTGGAGTCAGAGGCGGAAGGTCGAGAAGGAAGCGGAGTTGTGAGGAGGAGGAAGGTGAAGTCGCGATTGCTGGCGGGAAAGGCTTGATGGTCTGCGTGACGGACAGTGAGCATATGTCAAAGCTGAGCGAACCTTAAAGTTCTCACAGAGTGTCTGCCAGACTGAAAGAGTCAACGGGCAATGTCAGCAGATACTCGAGCGAAGACGAGGAGGAGGGACTCGCCTTCTAGCTCGGCCTCCTCGATCACCTTGATCTTCCGCGCCTCCGTGCAGCTCTCAATGTACTTCGCCTCGTTGACGGAGTGATCGCGCAGCAATCCCCGCTCGAAAGCTTCGTACGATGGCGCGTTCTCACCTCGGTGAACGCTCCTTCGCGCATGCCAGCGGTAACCCTCCGTCTCGCCTGACCCTGGTGGCAATCGTGCGGCCGAGCGGGTTGAGTACGTGTGCACTGGCGCCGGACCGCCCGTCTGGAACGTCTTGCCCGTCGCCCAGCGATCTGAAGTTGGCGAGGTGGGGGAAGGAAGAGAAGTGACGAGATCGCGGGCCGCAGACACCGCAGCGTCGACGTAGGCTTGGTAGCTGGGGTCGGCTGAGCTCTGCGGCACGGTCTCGAGCCTAGCAGGCGTGAGAGAGAGCGGAGAGGCCATTGTCTGGTGAGTGGTTGAGGGAAAGGAGGCTTTCCTCGCGACAGCTCACTTCGCTGGCCTGGTTTGCTGCTTCGATGGCTGTCAAACGGGGTACACAAGTATGCTTTGGCGTCGTGTGAGTCCCACGCTGCCTTGTGCCGACACCTGCTCCCCTCTCTGATCCTCATCACTTGCAGAATTCCCTCATCGACCTCGACCTCGCCCCGCCGCCCGAAGTGCTCAGGCAACTCTTCATCCTCAGCAACGGCTAACCGAACCGCTGTCGGCCGCAGCGAGACGCCCTCGACTTCACCAGAGCCCGGCGTTAAGAAGGAGGAGGAGGTCGGCGCGGACGACGGATCGGCAGAGCCTGATGGCCGTCAGACGCACCAAAAGGGAGTCAGTAGAGCCAGAAGCGGGTGCTGGCAGACGGTCAGTCCTGACCGCTGGCCCGATCATTCCTTCCAGCTTGCTGACAAGCTCGCCAAGACAGTAATCCTGCTCGGTTTGGCCGACCGAAGCGATCGTACGTTGAGGTGGATGCCCTCGAAGCTGGAGGAGACGCGTCTCCAGAACCTAGGTGCGTACACGTGGGTTGAACTCCTCCTTGCCCTCTACTGAAGAAACAACCTGTCTTCGCAGAAGAAGCAAGACGCGGCGTTCAGTAGCGCCATCACCAGCCTTGAAGGTGGAGTCGGAAGAGAAAAAACCCGTGCTCTCTGAGCAGCAAAAGCGGGAGCGCAGGAAGCCAAAGGAGGATGAGCTAAAACAGAGGCTTGTGGACGCCCGAGAGGCAAGTTGCTCGCGTTGATCCTCTTTCATGCAGAAGACTAACAGCTTTAACTCGCAGGTGCAGCAAAGCCGGCGACGCCCAGCTGAGCTCAACGCGACCGGTGTTAGCATCTTCGATCCCGCCTCGCTCGATTCACAGGCGTGTCTCAATGTCAGCAATGCTGACACACAGAAAATGAACGAAGTTGGATGTTTCGTTCGCAAGGATTTAGCTAGCGCTCCGCAAGCCACCTTGGTAAAGAGCGACGTGAGTGTTCCTCTCCATCTACGGGTCTCATGCTGACAGCTTCCACTCAGGAGCGACTTGCCACCTACGGGTCGTTGCGACTCTGTCTGCTGCCCGAAAAGAATCTTGGTTGCCGCTCGCCAGGCCGCGCTTTCGTCACCTGCGACGACGCCGAATACGACATCAACGCACGCTATACGGTCTATGTGCGGGTCAGCAAGACTGCTCGTGAGCGCTGGCAGCCTTATGGCGTCTACAAGTATCTCTGGCACAGCTTCGCATTGGCAGACGACTACACCCGACTCGACGACCGCCCCGACCTGCAAGAAGACATCATCAAGGTCTTCCTCAACTACCTCCAGCGTAACGATATCTTCGCCCGATGGGTCTTCGAGAACGTGTCGCTTGACGGCACAAGCGATGAGACTACGCGATATGAGCGGTACGTGGCTTTGCAGGCTGCACTCGAGGAGGAAAAGCGCGCCATAATCGAGCGCTGCTTGCGGGCAGGCGAAGGCTTGCAGATGTTCTGGGGAGTGCTTGTGTGGGACGGTCCGGTCAGGCAGGACGAGCTCCGCGACATCATGACGCGGCGAGACGAGCGGCGCGCGGAAGAAGCAGTGGAGGAGTAGGCGGACAGGGTGGAGCACTTAGCCGGTCGCGGATGGTGACTTGCCGCGTGCACGTTGGAAATGTACTCCAAGCTGTAAAGCTCCATACCTTCGCCAGCAACGTCTCGTTCGTCTCGAGAGGAAGGTCACTTTGCGCATGGCTTCTCCCGCGCCTTTCGCCTGTTCCCGGCTGGCTATCTCTGCAATTGCTACTTACGCTGCGTCCTTCTTGCGACCGTCAACGGATCTGCTGTTTGGCTTCACTTCTTGCTCGCGACCGCACGCGACGAGGGTTGCCTTCGACCAACTCGCGCGCACCATGCTCGTGTGCATCGTGGGACCGCCGCAGGCTGGCAAAAAGTCGCTCGCAGACCATCTCGTCCGCGACCGTAGCTTCACGCGCGTCCACCTCGTCTCCTCGCTCCCCACATTTCGCTCGCAGGACGACCTCTACTTCACCTCGTCGAGCGATTTTCTGGACCACGCAACGCGCACATGGAGGAGGAACTATGTCACCGTCGACCTCGTGAGCAAGGCGAAGCTCGCAGAGTTCGCAAAGAGGCCGTTCGTAGCCATCGTCGCGGTCGATGCTCCCCTCGGCGTGCGCTTCCGGCGAGCAGTCGCAGTGTGCGTCCACTCAGAGCTCGTAACTGTTGAGCCGGGCTGACCTCGGTTCTTCCGCAGCGCGAAAGCGGCCGGCGAGACCCCTCCCTCGCTCGACGACTTTGTCGAGGCAGACGACAGGCTCTACCACGGCGCTTTGCCCCTCTTGTCGCAGGTCGGTGGCGTGGAAGAAGTCATGGAGCTCTTCGACTCGCGACTAGGAGGGCCGGCGGAACCAGCGACGCCCGCAAAAAAGCGACCAGCCCAGCTATCCAACGATCCTCCTTCGCCGACTCCCTCGCCCTTCAAGCAGATCAGCCCCGAACCATCGCCTGAGCTTTCTCGCACCCGGCTCTTCCAGCCAACCGAGCAGGACTCGCTGCACGGGACTCTCTCGCAACTTCCGCCCGCCGACTCGACACTCTCGTCAATCCTTCCTCTCGCCCACTTGACCATCCCCAACCCCCACTCCAGTCTGGGCCCTTTCCTCTCGTCCTTTTCCCTTTCAGTACTCGCCGAACTCCTGCGCCCCTCATGGGACACCTACTTCATGCTCCTCGCCTCTCTCGCCTCGCTCCGCTCAAACTGCATGAAGCGTCGAGTCGGCGCAGTGCTCGTGCGCGACAAACGCGTCGTCAGTACGGGGTACAATGGCACGCCGCGGGGCGTCAAGAACTGCTCGGAAGGCGGGTGCGGGAGGTGCAACTCGCACGGAGACGGATTTGGCGAGGACGCAGGTCCCGAGGGAGTAGACGACGAGGCGGAGATGCTGGCAGCGAACGGTCGGAGGAAGGGTATGAGCCGTGTTGGGGAGGCGCTCGACGAGTGCTTGTGCTTGCATGCGGAGGAGAACGCTTTGCTCGAGGCCGGGAGGGAGCGGGTGAGCGGCGGCGGGACCGAGGGTGCAACGCTCTACTGCAACACGTGCGTACTTCTTCACCTTCAGCAGCTTTCTCGACTGACGTGTTCCTCGTAGCTGCCCGTGCCTGCGGTGCACAGTCAAGATCGTCCAGTGCGGCGTCAAGGAGGTCATCTACTCGCTCTCATACTCGATGGACTCGGCATCAAGGCGGGTCATGGAAGAGGCCGGCGTCGTGTTGCGACAGATCCCTCAGCCGCCTTTCCCCAAGTAGACCTGATAGAATTCGCATCACGAGAAGGTCTTTGCAGAACTCGACCGCCCGATGAGCTACTCGTCCGTCTCCCCATACAGCCGCCTCAGCAGTTCCGCATCGGCGCAAACCTCCTTCAATCGCTTGACAGGCTCGTCACGGTCGAGAGTCGGGTTGTGCGTCGTGAAGATGCGGTTCGGTGCGTAGGCGAAGAGCGGTCCTCGGTCGTCTTCCATGATGGAGACCAGAATCGTGCCGGAGCGGTGGATGTACTGCGAATCGAGTGTCGCGGTTCGGCGGTACGAGTACTGCACTTCGATGGACTGAGGAAAGGTCGAGTCGGCGCCCAGGTCGAGGACAAAGTCGAGGTGGCGGAGGATCGCAGCGAGAGCGTCCCTGCGATGTGCGGAAGCTGTGAGCGAGACTATCACTGGTGATCGAAGTGATGAACGCACTTCTTCTGTCGAGGCGGGCGCTTGAAGCGAGACGCTTCAGCTTCATCGTCCGAACTGCTGCTTTCCTCGTCGCTGGTCCACGGCGAGACGGGAAGAACGACGGGTCGGACCATGGCGGGCTTCTGGTACGGGTTGTGCGAGAGCAAAACAGGTCGCATCGACACCTCGACGAGATTGAGCCCGTATCGCGCCATCTGCCGTGTCCAGGTTTGGATGGTCGTGTCGACGATCTTGCCCGACGCTGTGAGCCAGGCGAGCTCGACGTGGTATGCGGCATGGATGTTGTGCGAGCGGTCGAGGTGACAAAGCACGCGCTCAGCCCGGTCGGAGCGCTTCTGCGGGTCGAGGTCGAGAACCACGGCATGCGACATAACGACGACAGGCCGCTTCGCTGTTGACTTGTCGGCGCTTGGTGCGGACGACGGCAAGTCGGAGACCGAAGCAGTCGGGTCGACCTTGTTCAGGGCAGAGACGATTTCCTTGCTCGCCGTTGACAGCGCAGGAGACGAGAGCTCGACGTCCCGCTCAGACTGTGGCGTGCCAGGCTCATCCCCCCTGCCAGCGCCGGTCCGGCCCTGCATCCGCGACAGCCAGTTCTGGCGAGGCTGCGGCGGCTGAGATGGCAGTGAAGCGCTCGTTGGCGAAAGCGGACTGGCAGGGTTCGGCGTAGCCTGCTCGAGTCGTCGAGCTTCGGCGATGGCCCATCCGGGAGCGTCAAGCGTCGTACTATGAACAAAACGACTGAGTCGTTGTGGGCGACAAGTGAAAGAGCGGGACGCACTGCGCGATGGAGAGCGGCATTTTCTCGACACCGCCTGGCGTCCACCTCGCTGATTCGATCGTTTCCATCAACGCGTAGAAGCCTTGCATCCGGATCGCGGCGTCCGAGACTTCGCCACCCTGCAGAGCCTTCGTGATGCCGATGATGTAGTCGCGGTCGGGCACCTTGGCGGCCGGGAGAAGCACGAGGCGAGTTCGACGATAGCGCACGGCTTGCTGGTTGTCGGGCCTCTCGACGCCTGCGACGAGTCTGTCGACGTGCTGCCAGTCGACCGGGTCGATCATAGCGGGGTACGGGAAGGCGATTCGCGACATGTCGTAGTTCTCGCGCCCGACCGTCCAGATGAGTGCCTTGTACTCGTACGGTTGCTTCGCCCACGTGCGTCGACGCCGCAGGATGCGGACAAAGACGGACTGCGAGCGGCGGTCGTACCAGATGCGGTGAATCTGGTTGGCGAGAGACAGGTACACCGCCGTCACTTCGCCTTCCTGGATGTCGCCGAGGACGTCGTGCAGCGTCTTGCTTGTCGCGAATTCGGCGTTGCTCGGCAGGCAGATCTGGAAGCCTTGCGAGAGGCGCTGGCAGATGAGCTCGGTAACGAGCGTCAAGCTGTGCGAGCGCTTGGGATGATCGGCGCGGAGGAGAAAGGATGAAGTGACGGAAGCGGTCGGGACTGTGTAGCGGAACTCGGAGTACTGCGTCTGGAGAGCATCGGACGAGGGGAGGTAATCAGTCGTGATGGGCAGGCAAGCGCCTCGAGTGATGGATCTGGCGGGTGAAGCGTAAGTCGCAGGGCTCAGACGAGGAGGAACGCGACGCACCGCCATTTGACGCCCAGCCGCATGCTTCGCCGCTCCATGACAACGATGCCCGCCCAACGCCTCGCCTGATCCGCCAGTCCAACGCTTCGCTTGCCCGGCTTGGACGGATTGAATTTTTCGGCCACCGATATCTTCCCACCACTAACGCCGAATGCTCGCCGCATCGCGCCAGCAGAGTCGTACGCCTTGAGCGATGATGACATCCGCCCGCCTTCTTTGACGCTGCTGCTCCCCGCGCTGTCTCCACCGCCTGCTGCGCTCTTCTTCCGAGCGTGACCACTCGTACCGCCTGTGCCACTTGTGGTCCCGCCGAGTTTTGAGCCGATCGAGATTGGCTGCGTTCTGTTGAGCTTCTTTTCGCTCATGATGGACGAGGCATCGGTTCGAGACCGCGAGGAGTTGCGCCGGCTGGAAGAGGAGACCTCGAGGACAGGCGTATCGACGAGAGTCGCTTCACTCGTGAGGCGAGGCGAGTCCTCGTTCCGCAAGCTCGCCTGAACATCGACGCGAGCGACTGCGACTTGGGCAGCGGGAGATGCTGGCGCGCTGGAGAGGGTGTGCGAACGACCGAAGAGGCTGAGCCACCCAGGACGTGGAGGGGCGCCGTTCGTGCTGGGCGCTGTCGTCGAGCCGGGGATTGAAGAAGTTGTTGTTGCGCCGACGCCTCCAGTCAGGCGGGCGATGAGAGCCGGGGTTGAGGCTTTTCGAGCGGAGCTGAGCGCAGGGGAACCGATGTCCGCTTTGCTTTGACCCGATGCGGCGGTGCGGATGGAAGCGGCGATGGATGCGGAGCGGTCGCGTCGATGCTTGGGGACGGGCGTCTTGGACCGTCCGAGTGAAGCCTCGACGGCACTCTTCTTCCGCCCGCCTGCAGAGTCTCGATCAGACCGGCGACCTCGCTCGTCTTCATCGACGCTCAGACGCGCAGCCGCAGAGGAAGTCGTCGAGACTGAGCCGCGCCGAGAGCTGGCTGTCCCGTCGTCCGGCAGAGTCGGGGTCTTACGCAGCGAGTCGGCCACAGCGATGCTTGGGAGACCGAGTCCGAGCGAGTTCTTGGGCGACAGGACGGGTGTGCTGGCGCCAGAGTTTTCGTCGCTGTGGTCTTCCGCGTCGATATGCCGCGCAACGACGGAAGCAGGTCGCAGACTTGCGTCCGCCGCTTCGGCCTCGCTGCTGGACGACAAGCTGCCGACGTTGTGTCCGTCGGAGCTCCAGCCGCTGCCGCTCTTCCCGCCGCCCTCGCTCGTGCCGCTCGTTCCCGTCGTGGCTCCGCTCTCCCTCACCTCGGCCCATCGCGTCGCGCCGTCTCCGCCCCTCCCTCGCATCCCTCCTCCTGCACCACCGGCGCCTCCGCCGAGTGGTTCGAACGGATCCCTCGCGCCAAGCGCAAGCGCGTCGTACCGCTCCCTCTGCTGTATCCGCCGCTCCATCTCCGTCAGGAATCCCTCTCCACCGTCGCTATCGCTGTCTACCTTCTTCCCTCCCAGCGAGTCAAGGTGCAACAGGGGAATCGCAATGGGTACGCGCTCCGTCACACCCTGCACGCTGAGCTCGTAGCATCGCGCGCGAGGCATGAAGCGGTCGATGCGGAACGGCTTGTCGATCTGCGTGCCAAAGAAGTGAGGGAAGACGAACATTGGTGCGGCGTAGTAGAGCGAGGTCTCGAGGTGGGTTGCAGGCCGCGGAGCGGTGGGAGAAGCGGGCCGGAGGGCGGAGGAAGGTGTTGCGGGCAGATGGGGTAGTGGCATGCTGGCTGAGGAAGACGGTTGAGATGAAGGCGGAATAGCCGATGTTGTCGTCGACGAAGGTTGGAGGCCGATAGACGCCGAGGCTAGTCGAGCATGATGTGTCGCTTTCGCTGCTGCGGGCGGCGGAGGTGGGTCGAAGTAGAGCGGATCACGCTGGTCGTCCGGGACCTGTCGCAGCATCGGCACGGCTCGTGTCGCTGCTGCTAACGCCTGCTCCTCCGGCGCATGAGGGTCTCGCAGAGGTGGGGCTGTCGAGTTTGAGGGCATGGATCCCGAGTGAAAGCCGTGCGCTTGGCGAAGGGACGAGGGACGGAAAGCGGAGGTGGCGTTCGAGGCGGGAAAGCGATGGGCTGGAAGAGCTGGCGACTGAGCCGGCGACGAGCCGGCGTATGATGCGCTGAAGACCTGGCTGAGCGAGTCGGCCGGTCGAGCGCTGCCGCCTGCGTTCGAGGTTGTGGCGGGCAAGGCGATGGCAGACTCGTTTGCCGCCGCGAGCGAGACCTCCGAGGCAGCTGGGTCGGGCGAGCGAAATTGGAAGAGCGGCACGGTATGCAGCGGCATCTTGCTCAGGCTGATCAAGTCAAGGCCGATCCCGTGCGCGAGCATCCTTTCCGTCGTCAAGCGCAACAAACTTTTCTCGACCTGGTAGAAGACCGTTCCCGCCGTGAGGACGATGACCTCCTGGCCGGTTCGCTGTAGGTCGCGGTCGATCCAGTGCTCCTCGAACGAGTTGAGCGCGAGGTTGGTCGCTTCGAGGATGGGCGACTCGTGCGCGTAGGCTAGTCGGCCTGACAGGCGTTCTGTACCGTCTGAGCGGCGGCGAAGGAGGACGGTCGATTGCCATCGGCGGAGTTCGAGGGCGACCTTGTGGATTACGGATTGAGGCGGAGAGGGCGTCAGGTCGAGGATGACCTGCGAGCGAAACGCGGTCAGCGAGAGATGGCGGAAGACGAGGGAGCTTCAGGCAACGCACCTTGTAGAAGTCGCGGTAGAGAGTGCCGTCCTCAAGCCTGCACAATGGCGCCCTCTCCTCCTCGCCGTCCTGCTCGTCGTCGTAGATCACCCGTCCGTACAGGATGATACTGACAACGTGAGTCGTCGGGATGCCCTTACTCCGCTTGTCCTCCGCCTCAGGACTCATCTTGCCGCTGTAGTGCGAGAAGAGTTCCTGCAGGAACAGGTCGCACTTCTCGAGTAACATGCTGCCATCCTCCTCGAACTGCCACAGTTCCTCCGAGACCTCGACGAAGATGTAGGCCCGCCCGCCTTCAGAGCGGAAGACGAACTTGGTCTCTTCCGTCACGTAGGCGGCGTCGATGCGGGCGTTTTCGGCGGAGGAGGAGGAAGACGAGGCGCCTCGCCGGCTCTTCGAGCTCGACGAGGGATGCTGGCCCGGTCCGGCAGACCACATGTCGCCGACGCGCAGACGAGCGCCGGAACCGGGAAGAGCGACGCGCTGTCCGGTGTGCAGAACTTTGTTGGCGAGTGCGAGGGTGAGGCTGAACGAGTCGGGACGGGACAGGTACATGTTGTTGAAGTACAGCTCGACGTGCGAGGCGCATATCCGTCGTGGAGGGGGTGCAGGGATCTGTACGGGCAGAGCAAACGTGAGTTGGCGAGCGAAAAAGGGAACGAGACGAGGAGACAGACCAGGGACAACTCGACCTCGATGCGGTTCTTGACCCAGCTGAACGACTGCGCCAGAGTCGCACTCACGACGACGTGCGCCTTGCCTCTCCGCCTCGTCGTCGCCGCTGCTGCCGCTGTACCCGCAACCCCCACCTGCTGGTCTCCGCTTGCTCCTGCTCCACCGTTCGTACCAGTCGCGTCCTCTGCGTCGGCAGCAGTCTTCTCGACCTTGTACAGCAATGGTCTGTCCTTCGCCTTGCCCTTCGAGTGCGGCGAGAGCACGGGGCGGATAGCGACGAGGTCTCCTGGGCGAGCGTCGACAGGGAGGGCGGCAGGGTGGATGGTGAGGTCATTGGCCGCCTGCGTATCGATATGCAGCTCAACTGGCATGTTCCACGTCCCAGCACAAGTCCAGCAAGCGTGTCAAGCCAGTTGTTGCGAGTGAGAGAGGCAGCGGGAGAGCCAGTGAGCGAGACGTCGCCGTTGAAAGGGTGGTCTGACTGATCGCAGTACCCTGCAAGATCCATTCCAGGCCAGTGATAGCCTCAGAAAGCCCGCCTGACGCTGTCGCTGTCGCCGTCGTCGCTCAACTCTCGAAAGTCTCCCGCTTCGCCTCCTCTTCTCACCGCTCTCGCTCTCGTTCGAGGCACAAGGACGCAAAGATGTCGCGCGATCGTCTCAGGGAAGCACGCGTACGTTCCATCTCGTTGCCTGTGCGCAGAGTCGCCGTTTCATCTCATCACGCTCGCTCGAGGCGCTGCGCGTCGCTGACACGCTCTGGCGCGCTCGCAGAACCAGCAGTACGGTCAAGGGAATGCAGGAGGATACGGACAGCCGCAACAGCCCGCTTACGGTGGAGCTGTCGGGGGAGGCGGCGGTGCGGGCGGGTATGGGGGCGGACCCGGCTACGGTCAGACGCAGGGCAGCTACGGCGGTGGAGGGTATGGGTGCGCAGCGAGGGCCCGTCTCTCCTAACGACCACAGCTGACCTCGTCCGTTCGCGCAGCGGCTACGACTCCCAACCTTCCGCCTACAACCAGGCTCCCGCACCCTCGGCCTACGGCGCGCCCAACTCCTACGCTCCTCCTGTCGGACAGGGCGACGCCTACGCCATGCAACCGTTGAACGGTGGCGCCGGCCGCGCGAACGGGAGTCTGATCGGACCGGACTTGGGTCCCTTCTTCGCGGAGGTGCGTACGGGTTGCTCGTATCACTCGAGCGTGTCGAGGTACATCCGGCACGGACAGCTGATGGTCAAGTCCGCCGCTTGTACAGGTCGAGTCGATTCAGGACGACATCAAAGGACTCCACTCGAACATCAACGGCGTCTCTGAACTCCATTCCCGCCGCCTCGCCTCGACCGACGATGCGACGCAGTCCAACACCGCCGCTCAGCTCACCCAGCTCACGAACCAGACCACCGGTCTGACGAACCAGATCCGGCAGCGCATACTCAAGCTCAACGAGGCGAACCGGCAGAGTCCGCAGGGCGACCAGGGTTTCAACACGCGGAAACTCCAGATTGCCAACCTGCAGAATTCGTTCAAGCGCGCGCTTGAGGAGTACAACATGGTGGAGAAGAGGAGCAGGGAGAAGTACCGCGACAGGATGGCCAGGCAGATCAAGATTGGTGCGTCGCGTGGTCCGCTCTGCTTCCGCTGCTTTCTGGAGCGCTGACTTTGGATCTGGGTCACAGTCAAGCCCGACGCGACCGACGCCGAGATCAAGGCCGCCTGGGAGGACTCCCAAGGCGGTGCTCAGATCTTCTCGCAAGCTGTGCGTCCTCGTTCCCTATAGACGCCTGTGAGATCTCCTACTGACCTTCTGCATTCTGCAGCTCGTCTCGTCGCGCACGCAGGGCGCTCGCGCTGCCTTCGCCGAAGTGCAGTCGCGCAACCAGGACTTGCGAAAGATTGAGGAGACGATCACGCAGCTCGCGCAGATGATGCAGGATGTGCGTCCATCTTGCGAGCTTTCGGTGACGTCCGGTGCGGTATCGGCGGTCAAGCTGACGATCGGATCCGAATTTGCGCAGATGGCGACGCTGGTCCTCGAGCAGGACGAGTCGGTCAAGTTGATCGAGACGCAGGCTGTGCAGGTCAACACGGATGTCGAGCATGGGTGCGTTACGCAGGACGTGCCATCGACATCTCTGCAGGTAGCGTTGGCTAGATCGCATACTAACGGGCCTCCCGGCTGGTCTCGCCTCTGGCCTCGCGGTACGTGCACAGTCTCGAGCAGACGAAGAAGGCGGTCAAGAGCGCCAGGAGGGCGAGGAAGATGCGCTGGGCGTGCTTCTTCATCATCCTTGCGTACGTTCAATCCGCCTCCTGCTTTCCCCTAGGCATCCGCTGATTTCCCTGCCCTGCCAGGATCATCATCGTCGGTACGTTGCGGTGCTCGAATTGTTTGGCGAGAGCAGGTGTAGTGAAATTGATCGAACGACCCGTACTGACCATCCGCCTACCGACCCGCCGCTTCGCCCTACCCGTTCCGCCTCTCCGCCCGACTTCTCGACTTCCAGTTGTCGTCGTGGTGGTGGTCGAAGTGTTGAAGAACCAGGCCTGTCCCTTCCCTCGAATCTCCCCTATGTCGTCGTGCTCTCGCTGTGTCGCGACTTGACGACTTTTCCGCCGCCTTCGCTCCCTGTCGCTGATGGCTGGACTCTTGCTGACCTCAGGGCAAAATTTGATCCTCTCAACCCGTCGCTCCTCCTCCCTTTCGATGCGCGCAGAACAAGAACAATTCGCCTGCGCCCCCTCGCGCCACTCGCATCTAATCTCTCGCCCTCGTCTCCGTCGCTACCCCTCGTCCCCCTCTCACTCCGACTCATACAGACGCTCTCCTACGCTCTCGCTTGTTTTGCCGGCCTCAAAACCCTACTCTCGGCCTTCCCACCCTCGTTTTGCCGTCTTCTCGCCCCGAATATTCCCTCACCCGCTTAGTTTCAACGTCTTGTAATCGACGCCATGTTCCTACTACTCTGCAGCCCACTGCCCATTCCCCTACAAGCCACAGAACGTCGAGGAGAGTCGCCGACGCGACTTCGACGCGTCGTCCCGGACTCCGCGATGCGGGTTCCGCTTCCGCTCTTTCACCGCTCGACCACTCTGTGCGCCCGCGATGCTCGCTTTCAGGCTGTACGGTGCACTCGTAGCGCTGCTGTTCGCTTCGGCGGCGTGGGCGCAGGCCCAGTCGAACGTCTCCATCTCCGTCGCCTCGTCCCCATCAATCGACATCGCGACACGCTTCCTGTGCGTCGCAGGCTCTTCTGCGGGTCACGGGACATAGCCGAAGTTGACACGTATCGTATGCACGCGCAGCGAGACTCTCCACTTGCGGAAACCCACCGTCTTCCACTCGTTCCTTCACATGCTTACAGAATTCAAGATTCGGCCCAAGATCGACTTTACCGACCCAGCATTCGCACCACGCGCACCAGGACTCGATGGCAGGCCCCGCCCCGGCCGCTACGCCAACCACAACCCGATCTTCACCCGCCTTGCGACGCAGAACGAGTCGTTCGTCGCCCTTGAGCACACGCTGCTCCGCTCGCGCGAGTTGCGGGAGCGCGGAGGCTACACGCTCTTTAAACTCGCGCTGGCAGGAGGTGTCGCGAATGACGAGATCCGGGAGATGTATCGCGTCTGGGAGGAGAGGGAGATGGAGGTCGAGCAGCCTGCCAAGGTTCGCGGCGAGTGCGTCAGCTGGATTGACGTTGCTGGCAAGAAGGTGTGCTCGTTCGACGAGTTCTGGAAGGTTGTTGGGCTCAAGGAGAACGGGCGCTGGGGAGTCATTCCAGTTGTCGGGTGAGTTTTCCGGGCTATCTTCTTTGAAGCACAACTGTACTGAGTTCAACATGCAGCGACTCGCCCAAGACGTACTCTTTCGACCGCTTCTTCCCCCACGACAGCCAGAACTCGTCTCTCCCGCTCGTCGTTCTCTACGCCGCGCCTACCGACGAAGCCCTTCCCGAGCTGTACAACGCCCTTCACGCTCTGGCAGCGCCCGCTTCCGGCCGGCCTCCTCGTCTCCAGTTTGCCATCCGGTGGCGGCTCGACCCGAAGCTCGAGCTGCAGTCATACGAGCCCGATTGGCGTGTCGAGGCGGCTATCAAGGATGGCTACAAGGCGCCGCAGGTGGAATCCGGTACATTCAGTGTGTGCCGCCGTTCCCTTCGAATTTGCTGACAGTATTGCTGGCAGACTTTTCGGCTCGCGCCGTTTCGTACATCCGCGCCGCGAAGGACAAGTTCGCCGCGCTCACCCAGGTTGCGACTGCTCTTCCGACTGTCGCCTCCGACATCCTTGCCACCACTGCACGCAAGGGCCTTCCCACAACTTCGTCGGTTCCCGAGCAGCTTCTCATCAACGGCGTCTCCGTCCCGCTCGACAACCTCACCTACTCCGGCCTGCTCGACTTGCTCGACTCGGAGCGACAGCTCATCTACGATGTCGCCGCTTCGACCGTTGGCTTGTACAACGAAGACGCCGCCAAGATCGTCCGCAACGCAGCTCTGACTATCGAAGGACCGCGTTCGTCCGCCGCTTCTCTCGCCGTCCCGACCAAGGAGCGCCCGCTCAAGTTTGTCAACCTCGCGTCGGCGATGAGCAAGCTTGCGACTGCGTTTGCGAAGAACTCGTACATCGAGGGTGTCATCGAGAACGAGACGGAGGAGAACGACCCGCCTGCGAAGGCGACTGTTCACGTCGTGACAGACCTGAACAGCGAGAAGGGTCGACAGCTTGTCCGCAATGCCCTGAAGTTCGCCGTGCGTTCTCCTCCGCTCCTCGACGGACGCCTTGTGTTGACGATTCGCGCGGTTTGCAGGAGAATACCGCCGAGGTTCGCGTCTCGTTCGTCCACAACCCCGGCCCTGACGCCGAAGACCCTCACGCCTTCTCGCTCTCGACCCTCGTCGCTGCGATGGTCGAGTCCGAAGATTTTCCCGAGGCATTCCCCTCCGAGATCGTCACCTTCCTCGACTTCAATGCCTCTCCCGCCCACCCGCCCAAACGCTCACTCAACGACATCTGGACCAAGGAGAACCCGATGACTCCCTTCGTCGACCAAGGCGCGACCGAGGCGCAGCTGGCTGTCGCAGAAGCGTACTGGAAGGTGGCCCGGACGTTCTGCGAGCGTGCAGGCTTCGAGCCGGGCGTTTCCGCTGTCCTCATGAACGGACGAGTGCGCGATGTCCGCTTCGTAAGTGTCTCGTGTAGCTGACAGGAATCGCTGCAGGTGATCGACCTCCCCGAACACGAGTTTGCGGTCGGCAGTTTCAGCGCGCTGCACCAGTACGAGCTCCGCCGCCGCATCAAACCTGTCGTTGAGGCCGCCACCGCCGTCTTCCCCGACAAGATCCGCGAGAATCGGTTTGTCAACTTCTTCGAGCAGTGCAGGCTTGTTGGGCTAACGTTCGACCTCCTCCCTTTCACAGCAAATCACAGGCAGAGGTCTTCGCTGCCGCTAGTTCCATCATCGGCGTCCACGGTGTCAGCAGGCAGACTATCGGCGCAGAGAAAGTCAAGGGCTTGACGTGAGTCGCGTCGTCTTTCAAATTTCAGCGAGCGAAGCTGACGACCCTTGCGACACAGTCAACTCGTGCACGGCGAACTTTCCCACGCCCTCTTCCTTGTTACGGCCGTCCTCGACCCCCTGAGTCCCTTCGGCCGCACCGTCGCACCAATCCTCGAGACGATCCGAACGATGCCCCTCTTCGCCATCAAGGCGTACCTCCTACCCTCCGCCTCGTCCACCAAGCCCGACTTCAACGTTCTTTCCGGCCGACCATTTCCCGTGGAGACGCTCTTCGACGACAACAACACCGAAACTGTGCCGCGAGTGACGTTTGCGGGCTTGCCGGAGGGAGCGGTCCTGGATGTCAAGGTCTACGACGGGAAGACGGGCGAGGTGCTTGCTGGACCTGGAGGTCAGGGCGGCGAGACGATTATTGTCGAGAAGGATGCGAAGGAGGTTGTGTACGGCCAGGTGGTTGAGGTCGAGAGCGAGGAGGACGTCAAGGCGCACGTTCGCGACGAGCTGTAGAGGCGGAGGTTGGCGGGAGGGCGAGTCTCCCCAGCTCACGGAGCTCACATCGGTTTTCTAGTCATCCGTATCTCTTGCATTGCATCTCTCAGCCATCTCTCGGCCTGCGATGCGCGTCGAGCTATTGATGAGCGGCGTTTCAGCCGATTTTCCAGAGCTCCAACGAGTTCCGCTCGGAAACGTCCAGCCCATCCCCCGGCTCATCCGCAGCTGCCTCGCCTTCCTCGTCGCTCGAGTCGCTCTCGCTTTCCGACGCCGCGTCCCGTCCTGCTCGTCCAGCACCGCCGAACTTGCGTGCTCCGCTGGTAGTGATGAGCAGCGGAGCGAAAGGGTGAAATAAAGTGGTCGAGATCGGTTCTGCGTGTGCAGGTAGACGGTCAAGACAGCGTCTGAGACTGAAGTGACAAGTCGAGACGCACCTGCGGAAAGCGAGAAGGTCGTGATGGGTTCGAGCTGGTCTGGTAAAGGCTGGGCGCTAAAGACGGAGAGGTTGCCGTCCTATACATGAAGAGATGTCAGTCAATCTGCTGAACCAGCAAGGCTTTGGCGGATCTCGGGCGGCGGGAAGTGCGACTGCCAAGCCAGTCATGACAGCTCACCTGGTCTCCCGCAGCCAGCCATGTCCCGCTAGGATCAATGTCAAAGCCTGTGAAGTCAAACCACACTCAGCCCAATCGCGCAGTGAGCGAATGCGAGCGGTAGCGCACCTAATCGCTGGTTCGTCCGTGCCATCCTGCTCAGCTTTCCGTTGCTACTCGTCCGCGACGTATTCCGCAGGTCCCAGATGTCTAGGTGTGTCGATTGACGCGAAGCGGCGAAGAGGAGATGAGGCGAGAGAGGGTGGAAGAGGAGCTGCGGTGGACAGGCAAGGCGTCAGCAAGCGGCGAGATAGGCTAAACTGCGCGAGCTGACCTTGGTGATGCCGCCATGCTGCGAGGGCTGTAGTAGGTGTGCGAGTGGCGTGGGAGAGGATATGTCGTAGAGGCCGACCGAGCCGGAGAAGGAGCCTGCCGCAAGGAGCGAGCTGGACGACGAGTCCGGCGGTGAGAAGGCGAGCGACGAGATGATGCCTGTGAGCGATATTGCGTCAGTACGGCGCTAGTCACCCGACGGACCGAGCTGGGACGCAAGGCCGGCCAGAAGCGCGAGCAGACGCACCCTTCTGTCCTTGCCGCGAGCTTCTCGTTGGCGTTGTATGTAGCCTGTAGCCTTCTGCGCCGGGTTGCGAGACGTCGAAAATCTCGATGGCGTTCTCAAAACCGCAGCAAAGTCTGCCAGTGAGGACCGCTTAACCGTCAATCATGCTGGGCGAAGTGCAAGGAAGCTGAGACGCACCTTGAGCCATCTGGCGAGAACGCCATACTGTGAGGCGCCACGAACCGCTCCGTATGGTCGATGGTCGGATAGCTCGCTCGCACCCTCCGGTCGTTCCCGTCGAGGAGGTGGACAGGGTGGTCCTTGACGCCGACAGCGAAGGTGAACATGGCTGGGTTGGGGGAGGAGGCGCCTGGGTACCACGCAGAGGAGATGAGCGAGTCGGGAGGGGAGTGAGTCCAGACAGGCGAGAGAGTAGAGGAGGAGGTTGAGGGTTCGGGTGCGACCTGTTCGTCCGTCCTGTTCAGTCAGGGCGAATGAGCAATAGCATAGCACTCTTCGAGGAGAGACGATGATCACGCACAGCGGAAAGAGCGAGAGGGAGCGGTCTTCAGCCGTTGCGAGGAGGCAAGACCCGTCGGGGCACCTGCAACGGCGTCTAGAGTCTCAGCAGGGGCACGCTCCGGGCGAATGCGGACGCCAGCTCGAGCCCTACAATTGTACGTCTCGGAAAAAGGCATCAGATGTCCGCTTTGACGAGTTGAGAGAGGGTGAACCACCGAGGAGTTTAGGCGGTGATGAGAATAAGAGGTCCGCCATCGCGCGTCGCGGGGTGCTCAGGCTTGTACACCGAGACAACAGTAGATGCCAGAGTGTAGCAGCGTCGTCTTTAGGCGAGCAAAACCAGTGAGCGAGCGCAGTGGACGTCGCTGAGCTTTGTGAGGGGCTGTGTTCCCGAGTTGACCGTCACTCTCTCGCTCTCCTGCTCGTGCTCGTTGTTGGACTCGCTCAGAGTGTGTCAGAGTCATCCACAGCTACCCACAATGTCCGACGCAGCCGCCCCCGCCCAGTCGCTCAGCGACGCCGTCCTCACCCAGGGTGCGTCTCCTCGCTCATCTCCTGCGGCGTGACAGCCTCGTACGAGCTTGCTGATCATTGCACCCGCATACTCTTGCTCTTCTGCTCCCCTCTCTGCCACCAACCCGGCCCGCAGTCGAGTTCTACCTCTCCAACTCGAACCTCCCGTTCGACAAGTACCTATTTGGCCTGTGGGCGACCAGCTACCACGACCCGGCCGCCATCATTGCCAAGACCCCTGCCCCCGCCGACTCGCCCAAACACCCCCAGTCCTCGCACAACTCGTTCCACCTCGGATGGCTCCCGCTCGAGAAGCTCGCTTCGTTCAAGCGAATGCAACCCTACCTCGCTGCGCCGCCCGAGGGTCTCGGTAGCATTGACGCTATCGCCGAGGTCGTCAAGACATCGTCGCTTGTCGAGGTTCACAAGTTCGGCAACGAGGGCGAGACCGGCGCCGGCTGGTACGTTCGCCGCAAGACGCCTCTCCAGAAGCCCGAGGACGCGATGCAGCGCAGCGTCTACGTCAAGGGCTTCCCGAAGACGGAGAAGGTCGGCGAGAACGACGAGGAGCGGAAAGCGATCAAGGCGCAGGAGGACGAGTTGCAGAAGAAGATGGAGCAGTGGGCGCGCGACCTCAACCTCGGAAAGGTTCTCTCGGTCCGCATGAGGCGCGAGGACAAGCCCGGTGTCGAGGGAAAGGCGCCCTTGAAGGGCAAGGGCAAGTTCAAGGTGCGTGCGAGCGGTCCTCCTTCGCCTGTCAATCTCGCTCACTCCCTCCGTTCGCAGGGTTCGATCTTCATGGAGTTTGCCGAGAAGTCGTCGGTCGACAAATTCCTTGCGCTCGACCCCAAACCTACCTTCGAGGGTGCCGAGCTTGAGACGAAGTCCAAGTGTGTTCCGTCCCGGTATGCCAACAAGCGCGTCCGCTGACCCTCTCTTTTCTCAGGCTTGACTACATCGAAGAGAAGCGCAAGCTCTACGCTCCCGACTCTGCTCCCATCACCGGCAAGGACGCCGTCCCGAAGAACCCGTACGCTCGCTCAGCCAAGCCCTTCAACGCCTGGGCCGAGAAGCTCGTCGGCGAGAACGGCTTCCCTTCGGTCCCCTCGGCTGGTGGCGCTGGCGCGAGGGAGTCGAACGGCAAGAAGCGTGCGGCGGAGGACAAGGACGCGGTGGATGAGCGTGAGATCCAGTACGAGGGTGTGCGGTTCAAGGCGCGCCGCACCGGCGGTCGTGATGGACAGGTCGAAATCGTCGACGAGGACAAGCTCGGTACGGGTGCGGGCGAGTGGCCGATGGGCAAGGTCCTTCGCTTCACGATCTCGAAGAAGGACGGCTCGACCTCGGGTGACCTTGAGGGTGGCGAGAACTTTGACTTTGGCGCGCTCAAGAAGCGTCTCGAGCCCATCGCCAAGCCTGGATTCGTCTCGCTTCTCGAGGACCGCAAGATCGCGCCTCTCCCGTCGGCGGACAAGGACAAGGAGATGAAGGACGACCCTTTCCCGGCTCGCGCGAACGCGCCTCCCGAGGTCAAGACTGCGTCCAAGGCGGAGGAGGACAAGCCTGCCGAGGCTAGCACGAGCACCGCGCCTGCACAGCAGTACCCGGCGCGCGGACAGGCGAGCTTCAGGGAGGTCCTGTCGGACGAGGTCTTTGACAAGATCAAGTCCGAGGTCGGCGAGGTCAACGGCAGGAAGATCGAGTGGGTTCGTATCTCGGGTGCGTCGCCAGTCCCTCTAGCTCTTTCGCTTTCGACGTGTGATTGACTGGCCTGCTTTCGCAGAGACCGAGGAGCGCAAGCACCAGATCTCCCGCGCGCGCTTCCACGCGAACCAGGCTTTCTCGCAGGAGGCTGGACGTGGCGGAGGACGTGGCGGACGTGGCGGACGGGGAGGACGCGGTGGCCGGGGAGGAGGAGGACGCGGCGGCGGCAACAAGCGCCAGCGTCGCGACTGAGCTGGAGGATGATGTTCCGCACCTCGCTTTCGGCTTGAGAAAAGCACGCGAATGCTATACCACTTCGGTTTCGTGCATTCATCGGTTCCAATGCTGCGCAACACGAGCTGCGGTCCCTTCGCTCCTCCTGCGAAAGTCGCTTGACATTCATCGACTGTTCACTCGCTCGCTCTGGCCGGGGCACATGGGCGACCCGCTCCAGCGTTCGGGAGCGAGCACGCCCGACGGTGTGTCCTGGGACGCTGTCGACGAGGAGATCTCGTCTCGTGCCAAGTTGTCCGAGGCCCCACTTGAACTGGTCGAGGAGGAAGAGGAGGACGAACACCGGCTGGGAGACGGTGCGGGCGACAGCGATGGCTATGGGGAGTCCAGTCTGGCTACCCACGACGCTCTGGCCCGTCGGCGCATCCTCATGCTCGCTTGTGCTTGTTTGCTGTCCGTCGGGAGGTGCGTTCTTCAGCTCCTTTGCCTCGCTCGTACGGATAGCTGAGACTCTCTGCGCAGTCACTACTCGTCTTACGTCCTCGGCCCGATCAAGCGAAGCCTCGGGACGAGCGAGTCGGGCTTCGCGGCCCTCATTTCGTCCTTCGAACTCCTCAACACAATAAGCCCGCTCGTTTCCGGCTTCCTCGTTCCAAAGTACGGCGCCGCGGTCTGCGGACTCGTTGCGACGGGCGCGGTCCTGCTGGGTCAGCTCGTCGTCTGCTTCGCCGAGGGGAGAGACGGCGGCGCAGCAGGCAACATCCCCGGAATGGTTCGTTCGCACGTCTTTACAGCCGCGATGCCTTACTGACGGTCATCTTCGACAGGTCTTTGGCTTGCTCATCTTCGGCGCCGGCACATCTCCCTTGGCCGTTGTCCAAGAAACGATTATCCTCCAAAACATCTCTGCGTCTTCACGCTTCGTCGCTCGTTCCGTGGCCGCAGGGCTCGTCCTTGGCAAGACAGTGAGTGATTCTGATATCTTCCCCAGCGCTCCGCTGAGCACGTCTTCGCAGGGCTCCTTCGCCGCCGGCTTCACCTCCGAACGCCTATACTCGATCTCGCCTCGCCTCCCATTCTTGACGGCCACCAGCCTCGCTCTCTTCTCCTTCTCGGCATGTGTCATGTACGCGATACTCGAGCGCTCTACGCACAAACACGCTCCCTCGTCGATGAAAGCGGATCTTCACTCGCATCATCGCTCGCTTCGCCTTTCCGCCCTCGCGGGCTTCGGCATGCCTTTCTGGTACTACATCGCAGTCTGCGCTCTCGCCGGAACGTGGTACACGACGCAGCATCTCTCCTCGCACATCCTTCAAGCCGTCTACGGCATCTCGGAATCGCATGCAAGCGCGACCGCTTCGCTTATCTTGGCTACGCCCATCTTTGTGCGTCGCTCTCGCATCCTTCCTCTTTCGCAGCGTAGCTAAGTGTTGTCGTCCCGCAGCTCTACCCGCTCATCGGCTACGCAGTCGACAAGCGACCTCATCTCCTCGAACGCATCTGGCTCGCCGTGCCTTGCTTGACCGCCTCGAGCTACTTGATCCTCCTCCTTGTGCGTACTGCTGTCCAGTTTCGACGACTCGGGCTGATGGGCTGCTCGGCCCTGCAGCTCGCACCCATCGTTCCGCCTTCTCTCGCTCTCTTGCCCGCCGCGCTTGGAATCGGCTGCGGCCCGCTCCTGCTCGTCCTCGTCGTACCTCGCATTGTTGAGCGGCAGTATGTCCGACCTACTTCCTTCATTCAGAGTTGTACTAACCTCGATCCTGACAGTCAAGCACCCACCGCCCTCGGCGCGCACAAGTCGCTCGAGATGTCCGGCGCCATCATCTTCCAGACGTTCGCCGGCGCCCTCCTCACGCTCGGGCACCGTCGAGGCGAGGTACCGGAAGACGAGCAGGACGAGGACGCGAGTGGGGCTTTGACGCTTCTTGCGGTCGGCGCGCTCGTTCAGGTCGCCGTCGTCGCGAAGTGGTGGCACGCTATACGACAGCGAACGTCGGAATCAGCGGCAGGAGCAGGCGCGGCGAGCGCTGCCCGGCTGTCGCTCGACGGTGTAGCATCGGAGATGGAGGACAGCGGAGACGAAGCGAGACGCGGGTTGCTCTCGGACGCTTCGCCCGTCTCGCGTGCTCACTTCGACAGTCTGGACGCGGAGGACGGGACCGAGGAGATGAGCTGGAAGAAAGGTCAGGATTTGGCATGGGGTAGACGAGCGCTCTTTCTTGCCGGAGGAACGGTCGTCTTTAGCTGGCTGTGCTTTGTGGGCAACTTGCTTATGTAGAGTGTCCTTCATCGTGTGTTGTCAATATCGTTTTGCATGCCTTGGCTGAACAAACGTTGCGGAGAGGCGGGCAGGAGCAGAACAACAACATGTCAAACAGAGGAGCGAATAGGACACCGACGCCAGAAGCTCAAATTCCGGCTGCAGGCAGCCACAGGATCAGCTCGTCGACCCATGTGCAGGGAACGCAAAGAAGCGCACGCACCCAGCGAGTTGATCGAGCCATAATTCCTGCTCGCCCGCAGACCTGGCCCGCTCGCGACCCTTGCCCTCACTTCCGCTGCGTTCCCACCTGCATTCCTCGCACTCAGTAGACTCGCCCTGCTCGCTCGGTTCCGCAGCTCGCCGCCCCGCTTCGGCACGTCGATGATGTCGTCTTCGTCGTCGCTTGAAGCGCCCAACTCGGACGAGTCGTCTCCTCCACTCGCTTCTCCGTAGGCCGTTTCAAGATCTTCCTCTTCCGCGCTGAGCAGCCTCTCGCGCTCGCTGCCACGCGACTCTCCCGCCTCAGATCCTGCCGCGACACTTTCCTCCCTCCCTTCCCACCGTTGCTCACCCCACGTCGACGACCGTCTCATCCTGCCTGCGAGAGGATTCCGTCGTCGTCGGATGCCGACGAAGATGACGAAGAGGGCGTAGTGAAGGAGGGAGAAGGCGAAGGAGGAGAGGTACCAGACAGTGACGGGGTTAAACAGTCGATGGAAGAAGGTTGGAGACGTTGCGGTCTCGGCGTAATTACGAGTCGCTGGTAGCTTTGGTGAGGCGATTGTGTTGCTCGTCTGGACGACCTCGTTAAGCCGGAAGAGGAGGACGAGGGCGGAGACCTGCAACCGCGAAGCGATGTCAGTCATCGCCAGCAGCGCTAAGAGAGGAACTTGAGAGCGCACCATGACTTGTCCGATGATCACTGGTCCATACTCCCGCACGTTGCGCGACGATGCGACCGCTACTACCGCGACAGGCCGCGCCGAGTTCAGGACGACAGCGGAAACGGGCAACCTCGCCAGGCCCACTCGCAGGCCGAGCCAGAGCGTCACAGCGAAGTCGAGGATCGCTGTAAGCTGCAGAAGCGGCAGGAAGCGCGGTCGAGGAAGGGGAAGGTGCGTTGAGCGATGTGGGGAGGAGAGCGCGGTGGGCGACGTCTGGGTGGTGAGGAGGACGAAGCCAGAATCGCTGCGAGTCTGTAGCGGAGGCGTGAGAGCCGCAGCACCCGCTGCGAGCGACATGGCGGGTGTTGGCAGGAGGAACAGGGAAGAGGAGGGCTTCGAGTGAGGTGAAGCTGGTTTGCTTGCGGCTGAGCAGAGTCTAGTGACCTTACGACGTCGCGAGGAAGCGGCTGACAACCCGTGCAGCGTTACAACAAGCGACGCGAGCGGACATACTGCTCCTCGTCGTTCAGACGTCTCCGTCGATGTGCTCGACCTCGATCGTCTCCGGCTCAGGACTCCTCGTCGGACTCCGCGAGACGTACCGACCATCGCTGCCCGCCGGACTCGGGCTCCTGCTGATGTACCGGTCCCCGTCGTCGCTTCCTGCCGCACTCCCCGCCCGCTCGACGACCGGCCGTCTTCGCTTGACGTCGCGCCCTCGTTGTGCGCCGCCGTCGAGGTCCATGTCCTCTTCGTCGCCTGATGCCTCCGTCCAGTACTCCGGCTCCGGCTCCTCTCCGCTCACCGGCGACGGACTCCGACTCGCACTCGGGCTGCGACTCATGTACCGTCCCCGTCCCTCCTCGTCCTCACTCTCGTCCTCCGCATCCGACCGTCCTTCCAGTCCCTCCATTACGCCCATCGCCTTGCCGAGCTTACTTCGTCGGGGCGCGAGTCCTTCGGTGTCTTCGAGGACTTTGCGCTGCGTCAGGCGAGGGAGCTGGATTTCGCAGACCATCTCGCCGGCGAGGAGCTGGTCGACGAATTCGTCCATCGTGAGAATAGAGTAGGAGCCGTCTGCAAGGCAAAGTGTGAGCAGGCGACAGGGCTGCGGAGGGCGAGCGTACGCACCCATTCCTCGGAACCGCAGCTTGCGGTAGTCGTCCAGCAAGGGCTCGAGCGTCTCGTACGCATTCAGCGAGTCGAAAGTTAACCGTACATAGAACGCTGCTAGTGCTCGGAGGTATCTGCGGCAGCTTTCGTCAGCTTGAGGCGGGAGAGAAGTTGACAAGCGAGAAACGCACTTGAACTCCTCCGCCCGCAAGTACTCCAGCACAATCTCCCGCTCTGGCTGCAGCTGCAGGAGCTTGAGAACGAGGCACATGAACTCGGTCGGGCGCGTGTTGGCGTACGTGCCACCGATGTACTTGAGTTCGACGGCGCGGTCGATGATGGTGGCCGAGTTGAGCGCAAAGCAGTGTTCCTCTGCCGGTCAGAGCTCGTCAGCATACTCTCAGCTCAAAGAGACAGCGCACGCACTCCAGTAGAGGGTGTCGTAGACACGCTTGCGAATGACAGTCGGGACGAGGTACTGTCGAGCGAAAGGGGATCAGCAGGCGGGCTTTCCGGAAGGAGTATGTGGACGCACCTGAGGGTTCGTTCCATGCACCGACAGCGCCCCAGCCCGGGTCGTGTTGGCCATGGTGACCTAGCGAAGTCGAGTGAGATGGGGAGGTTGTGGTGGAGAAGGAGTGGACGGCAGCGGCTCGTTCGAACGGGTAGGCGGGCGTGCAAGCAAGCTTGAGAGCAATCTCAGCGTGTCCCAGGCAGTCTCAGCAGTGCAGCCGCGGTTTTGGCGGAGTCTGACCCTCGCCTGCTCGCCCGCTCACCCTTGGCTTCGACGACACCGCTTCACCACACTCGAACGATGCTGCGCGCACTTCTGAGGCGACCAACAGCCCCTGCGCTGCCCTCGGTATCCGCCCTCACGTCGTCGCTCTTCGATGCGCAACTCCCAGGTCCGTCCTCCCTCAGCTTTCCCTCGAAACTGATGAAGCCGCGCTGACACTCGCACACACCTCGCGCGCGCACGAAACAGGTCTGATGCAGGTCAGGACGGGTATGTCTATCGCTCTCGTTCGCCCAGACCCATGGCTGACGTCTCTTCCTCGCAGCCACGAAGAGAGGTGGTGGTTCCTCGAAGAACGGGCGTGACTCTTCTGGCAAGCGGTTGGGTGTGAAGCGGTTCGGAGGTGAGTGATTTGCTGTACTCTGCGCGGCCTCTTCGCTGACCCCCTCGCTCAACAGGCCAAGCCGTCATCCCCGGCAACATCCTCGTCCGGCAGCGAGGGACCCAGTTCTGGCCCGGCCAGCACGTCGGCTGCGGCAAGGACCACACCCTCTTCGCCCTCGTACCCGGCTACGTCACTTTCTACCGAGACGTCGTCCGCGGCAAGGAGCGTCGCCTGGTCGGCGTCGTGCAGAACAAGGACGAGAAGTTGCCCCGGGACGTGGCGGCAGAGGGCAGGAGCCGGTATTTCGGCGGCTTCAACGTCAACCCCAAGGCGATGGAGGACCTCGACATGTTTGGCGACTTGGCGAAGCAGCTCGGCGAGGGCGAGCTTGTGAGCGAGGAGGAGTTGCGGAAGATGTTTGGTGGAGCAGCGGCGGTGGCACCCTCGGCGCAGGCTGGAGCAGAGCTGAGGGCGTAGATGGTGCGCAACTGTACACTTTTCGCATTCAACGGGTCGAGGTCCGCGAGATGCCGCCACACCGCTGGACTTCCTCATCGTCTCGCTCAGACACAGCTCAAGGCTGCACAAACGATACTGATTTCTCGTCTACAAATCTACTAACCTGTACTCGTCCCAAGCTCTAGAACACGAAGACGCGCGCCTCGTACGCCGCGAGCTCCGCATCGGCCGCGTTCTCGAGCGTGGAGAAGAGCATCTTGCTCGGCTTGCCCTGGAGGTCGGCGGGGATTTCGAGCGGCTGCTTCTCGCTGGAGAAGTTGAGGACGACGAGCGCCTTCTTCGAGCCGTCGCGCGAGGTCTTGGTGTACACCATCGTCTTGCTGTTCTGCGGGTCGACGAGGTCGAATTTGCCGAGCACGAGGAGCTCGCGCTGCTCGTTGCGAAGCTTGAGGAGGCGGCGATAGAAGTTGAGGACCGACTCGGGGTCGTTCTCCTGGTCGGCGACGTTGATCCCTTCGAGGTACGAATCCATGACGCGCATCCAAGGCTTGACCTTCGAGTTCTTGGAGAAGCCGGCGTTGGGCGAGCGGTCCCACTGCATCGGCGTGCGGGCGTGGTCGCGCGCGGTGAGCTGAATGCCGGCCTTGCCACGAGCGAGGAGGTCGGCATTGTTCTGCACCTTCGCGTCGTGCTGGATCTCGCGCCAAGTGTTGATAGTGTTGACGTCCTTGTACTCCTCAGTGATGTCCCAATCCTTCGGCGCATTGATCATACCGATCTCTTGACCCTCGTAGATGATGAGCGAGCCGGAGAGGGTGAGGAGGTAGGTCGCGATCAGCTTGCCGGACGCGACGCGGTGCTCGGGGGCGTCCGAAGCGAAGCGAGTAATTGCGCGAGCTTGATCGTGGTTCTCGATGTAGGAAAGGGCGTGCGCCTTGTTCTGCGGGTCGGCGAGCTGCTGCGCGAACGCCGTGAGGCGCTTGAACTCTTGCAAAGTCCAGTCGCACGCCATCAAGGGGTACTGACCGCCCTGCGAGCGACGAGAGGGAGTCAGAGGCGCTGGTGAGCCTGCAGCAGGAGTAGACGAACCTTGTGGTCGAGGTCCATCACGTCGAAGAGGATGGTGCAGTCGAGCGCTTCGGCATCCGTCGAGATGTACGAGAGGATCTTCTCGAGTGAAGGAGTGTGAGGGAGCTCGCCGATGGTGAAGCAGCTGGAGGGAGGGAGGTTCAGCGGGGTGACAGCGTGCGACGAGGGTAAGGATTCGAACGTACTCGTACTTGGCGAATGTCTCGCGTCGCATCTCCCGAAGGAACTCGCCAAGCCGTGGTCCATTGGTGAAGAACTGGCCTGCAGGCTGGTAGGGCGTCTCGGGAGCGACAACGGGAGCGTCGGGGAAGTCGAGGTACTCTGGAGGCGGAAGAGTATCAGCGAGCTGGTCGACTGGATGCAAGCGGCGTCGACTCTACTGGAGTACATGTTTACCTGGTATAGCGTGGCAACACAGTCAGCGAAGGCTTCGAGAGCGTGAACAGAGGAGAAAGGCCCACAGTGTCGATGCGGAAGCCGTCGACGCCGCGCTCGAGCCAGAACACGACTGCGTCTTCGTATATGGCCTGCAAAGTTTCTTAATCAGCTCGACTCGCCGCTGAGACGTTGAGGACGCGAGGAGGACTGGAAGAGAAGAGGAAAAGGAAACGCACCCGTCGAACCTCCGGGTTCTCCCAGTTCAGGTCGGGCTGCTCGACGCAGAAGTAGTGAAGATAGTACTCCTCCGTCTTCTCGTCCCATTCCCAGATGCTGCCGCCAAAGACGGAACGCCAGTTGTTCGGAGGATGCCTGACGCCGTCAATATAGCGGGGCGGGCGCCAAAAGTACCAGTTGCGCTTCGGGTTCGTCTTCGACGAACGACTCTCCTCAAACCAGGCATGCTTGTCAGAGGTATGGTTGACGACGAGGTCGAAGAGGATCTTGAGTCCGCGAGCGTGAGCACCGTCGATAAGCTCCTGGCAGTCTGCGAGCGTTCCGAAGGGTTCGTGGATGTCGTTGTACTATCCAGCAGTACGAATGTCAGCTCGAGGGAAGCGCAGGAGGGACAGCATGGCCGACGCACGTCCGAGATGTCGTAGCCCTCGTCGACTCGCGGCGACTTGTAATGCGGCGACAACCAGATCGCGTCGACGCCGAGCGACTTAATGTAGTCGAGCTTGTTGATCACGCCACGGAGGTCGCCTAGTCCGTCGCCATTGTCGTCCTTGAACGAAGCGGGATAGACTTGATAGGTCACGACGCCTTCCTTCCACCACGAAGGGAGCACTTTGCCGATTTCGGGAGCGTTAACCATGGCTGAACAGAGCCTTGAGCAAACGAAGGCGGACCGCGAGTGAGGGGGAGAGGAGCGGTGGACGAGGGAAGGGCAGAAGGAGGGGAGCGACAGGCGGCGGTGGGGACCCCAATGGCCAATATGGAGCTCAGCAGCAGTCCACACTTCCCTTGAAGCGATATCGCTGTCGATGGGGAGCGTCTCCACACTCGACCCAACGTTGCGAGAGTGGGGAGTTTGCGAGTTCGTCCTGTTGCTCAAATTGTCCGCATCGATGTCCTCCTCTGCGCTAGCTGCCACGCTCCCTTCTCAGAAGCGGCGCTTGAAGGGCGCGGATGCCCGCGTCGCGCGACGAGGGAAGCCGTAACCGGCAATTCACCGACGAAGGAGAGTTCGTCGACCGAAGGTAGCGCACGAGCACCGACCGGACTTGATCCCTCCTGCGCAGCGCCCCAAGGCAGCACAGATTGCGTTGGATGGGGGCGTTTCGACGAGAAGCGGGAGGGAGCTCTGGCGAGGAGCAAGGGCGACGATCGACGCCTCTGCCGTGACGAGCGCCTCCTCGTCGCCTTGCCAGGTCTCCGCTCGCTGATTACAGGCTTGCCACACGTTTCCTGCTACTCTACTGGGCCCGAGCACCGCTCATCGGCGAAGGAGGGAGATCCTCATCGGTGTCCGCACAGCTTGCGAAGGTCAGCACGCGGTGCGAAGGGTTCCAGCACTCCTCCTCCCCTTCGCTTTCGTCGTCCATCGATGGAGCGCCATCTTTGGGTTGTTGGGACTCCGTGGGGCCTGCTGATCCTCCGCGCTGTCCGGTGTGGCTCCATCAGTCTCGATTGCAGCCAGTCCTCCTCGTCCCAACAAGTTGCGCTCGTCTCGACGTTGCTTGCTCCTCTCGCTTTCCTTTCTTCTTCTCGCTACGCCGCTTACGACCTCTGAAGGTCTTGCCGGAACCCTTACCACCCTTTCCCTCAACCTTCCGCCGCCAAACCTTCGAACTTCACCCAAACTCTCGAGCGACTCCTCCTCCCCCTGGCCGTCCTTCCAGCCCTTCCGCATCGCCATGCCCTCTGAAGCCATCACCGCCATGTCGCACGCCACCGAAAAGGTCGGCGCAGAGATCGAGGTGGTCGAGAACGTCCGCCGCGAGATTGCCGACTACGACAACGTCGTCGCGGAGGCTCGCCGCGAGACGGAGGACCAGCAGTCTATGACCTTGCGCGAAGGACTTCGCCGCTACCCTAAGGCGGCTGCCTGGTCGATGCTCCTCTCGACGGCCATCATTATGGAAGGGTTCGATGTCGTCCTCCTCGGCTCGTTCTATGCCCTGCCGCAGTTCAACAAGAAGTACGGCGTCCAGCTTCCCGACGGAAAATACACGGTTACTGCCCCATGGCAAGCTGGTCTCTCGTATGTCCTCCTTTCCCTCCTCGTTTCCCTCCTTCTTTCCCTCCTCCGCTTAGCGAACTTACCCCGTCTCGTCTTCGCGCAGGAACGGCGCCCAAGTCGGCGAAATCATCGGTCTTTGCATCAACGGTTGGGCGAGCGAGCGTTTCGGTTACAAGAAGACCATGCTCGCCGCCGTACGCTCTCCTCACGTTCCCTTCGCTTTCTCTTTGCGCTGACCCTCCTATCGCACAGCTGGCATCGATGATCTGCTTCATCTTCATCCCGTTCTTTGCCAACAACGTCCAGACGCTGCTTGCCGGCGAGATTCTGCAGGTGCGTCTTCCCTCCCTCGACCCGAACTCTCCTAACTGATGCTGACTTCACCGAACCCTCCATATGCTCGAATCGTGCAGGGAATTCCCTGGGGCGTGTTCCAGACGTTGACGACCGCCTACGCCGCCGAGGTGACTCCGGTGGCCTTGCGACCGTTCGTGCCCTTCCTCTCTTCCCGTTTTGCCGCTCGCTGAACGTCTCTTCTTTGGCAGCTACCTCACCGCTTACGTCAAGTGAGTGCTTAAATTGCTTCCGGGCGTCGACTTGAGCGGCACTTCGACGTCGGCGCCTTGCTTCGCCTTCGTGCCGAAAACGTCTTGCGGGACCCGCTGGTCGGTTCGCCACGCCAGGTTCACTTGCTGACGCTGCTTGTTCGACAGTCTTTGCTGGGTTCTTGGTCAGGTCATCGCGTCGGGTGTCCTCAGGGGCATGCTGACGGTCCAGACGCAGTGGGCTTACCGCATTCCCTTCGCCCTCCAATGTGCGTCTTCCAACGTCTCTCGCCACTCTGCCGAGCTACTCTCTGATAGCATTCTACGCTTCTACAGGGATTTGGCCTCTCCCAATTCTCATCGGAGTGCGTTGTTGACGTCTTCCCTCCATCCGCCGACCTCCTTCGCTCCTCATGCTGACGGTTTCTTCTTGACAGACCATCTTCGCGCCCGAATCCCCTTGGTGGCTCGTCCGCAAGGGCCGCAACGACGACGCACGTCGCCAGATCAGGCGCCTGCACACCAACCCGACCGAGCAGGAGGTCGACAACCAGCTCTCCCTGATGGTCCACACCAACGCCCTGGAGAAGTCGATCGCCGCCGGAACCTCGTACTTTGACTGCTTCAAGGGTGTTGACTTGCGCCGTACGGAGATCGCTGCCGGAGTCAGTCGAGCCTCTCCTCTTTCTTTTCCTTTCGGCTTGCGCTGACCACTAATACTTCGCTGGCAGGCCTGGATGATCCAGAACCTATGCGGAAGTGCCTTCATGGGCTACGTGAGTTCAGCTCCGCGGCCTAGCGAGATCCGCTTGCTGACCTCCGCTCAATGTCCCAGTCCACCTTCTTCCTCGAGCAGTCCGGTGTCCCTGTTACGCGCGCTTTCGACCTGAGCATCGGGCAGTATGCTATTGGCGCCGCCGTGAGTTTTTCCTCCCCACTCGTGCTCCTCCCAAGAGTCTCGCTCCTTCGGCCGCCGCTGACTTCCTGTTGACGCGCAGGGCACCCTCTCGTCGTGGTTCCTCATGCGCTACTTCGGTCGTCGTTCACTCTACCTCTTTGGCCTCATCTTCATGGTCTGCGCTCTCGTCGTTATCGGCGGAATGGGGTGCATCCCCTCCTCCAACACCTCGGCCCAGGCTGCTATCGGCGCCATGCTCCTCGTCTACACCGCCGTCTACGACTCGACAGTCGGACCGGTCTGCTGTAAGTACTCGCTCACTCGAACTGTTTCGTTCACCCCTCTGACTTCCATCGTTCTTCCACTCTTTGCTTCTCCTAACGCCCCCTTCGTCCGCCATCCTCTCTTATACCTCCCGACTTTCTCGTCTCTCTCGCCTTCTGGACTGTCAGAGTGAGTCCTCTTTGATTGGTTGGTTGCGAAGCAGGAAGAAGCCGGACTGACGACCTTTTCTCGCACAGCTGCCTCGTCGCCGAGATCTCCTCGACCCGCCTCCGCGCCAAGACTGTCGTCATCGCCCGCGTTGCGTACAATATCATCGGCATTGTCAACAGTATCATCATGCCGGTGAGCCTCGCCGCAGCTCCTCCACCGCTGCGTCTCTCGACTGATTTGCCGCGTCGCAACACAGTACTTCCTCAACACGACGGCTCTTAACTGGGGTTCGAAGACGGGCTTTTTCTGGGCTGGTTTATGCGCGATCTGCTTGATCTGGTCAGTCCAACACTCCAAGCGAGAAGGTTAACTTTGCGAGGCTTTCATGTCGATGCGGCGGATCAACGACATAACCCAGCTAACTCTTGTTCGCTCTTGCGCAGGACCTACTTCCTCGTGCCCGAGCCCAAAGGCAGGACCTACGGCGAGCTCGACGTCCTCTTCGAGAACCGAGTTTCCGCTCGCAAGTTCCGCACGACCGCAGCGGACCAGTTCGCCGGCCACGGTATGCCCCAGCGCACGTCTTCAAACGACGAGAAGGACGAGAAGTTCGATGTCCAGCACGTCGAGCTTTGAACGACGACGCCGCGACTTCCGCCTCTTCCGCACATCCCCCTCGTCTACCCTTCTCCCCTCCCTTCGTTCTCCGCCTGTCTTTTCTTTCTTAATATCCTTCGACGACTCTGGATCGTTGTCGTCCCAAAAAATCGTTATCTAGCGCGGTATTGTGCGCTTTCGTAGAGATCTTATGGTGTACTGGCTATCTCGGGCTATCAGCAGTTTGTTCGTCTCCTGCCCCGTTTCCCGGACGAGTGTGCGCGCTCTCCACTCTGGTTCCGCTCGCCCGACTGTCTATCTCGTTGTACGGCGCGAGGACCAGATGAAGACGTCGCGAAGGTCTCGACCTTTTACGCGTTCCACCCCGTTCTGCTAAAATACGCTCCTAACATTCACGTTGATCCGCGCTCCACGCTCGAGGTACTCGCCATACGGCGCCCAGCTCTCCGCGCCTTCGACAGCGTCGAATTGCGAAGCGAGAAGATAGCCGGGGAGGGTTCCATCGAGGACGCGAGGGAGGGCTGCGGGCGCGGGTCCTTAGCGGGTGAGATGGAGAGAGGACGAAGGGTTCCGCACCGTGGTAGACTCGGCGGCCTTCGCCGGACATGATTAGCCCGTCGCCGGAACGGAGGAGGATGGGAAGGGGAGGGACGTCGCGAGTCGTACCGCCGACGAGGAAGATGGATGAGTGGCCGAGGCTGTGGAGCGAAGCGTGAGCTGGAAGTTCAGGAAGAGCCGAAAAGCGAGACGGACGACAGCGAAACGAGCGGCGAGACAGCATCGACTTCCGAGAGGTCGATGTGCGAGGTGAGCGAGTCTTTAAGCTGGTACTGCGGGCGCGACGGGTCAATGTTGGTCCGTGGAGGCGGAAGAAGCGCGACTACGTACGAAGTTAACGATTCCAGCGTCCGGTTCGTATGCGTCCTTCCAGCTCCGCCAGTCCCGCATCTGACCCGCAGGCGTCGCCGCACGAGACTGGTCGCCTCCCACATCCTTCTTTAAGCCGTCCACTTGGCGCCATGGCGCCTGGCGAGCGAGTCCGCGACAACACTGGTAGATGAGCGGCGGGAGCGGGACGTGGCCTCGCTCGAACTCGTAAAGCTTGGTGGTCCACTGCGCGGGCAGAACCTTCAGCGACATCCGATATGAAGAGCAAGCGAGATTCACTCACGTTGTAGTGCCAGCCCACGTTGGACCAGCGAAGCTTCATGATGAGGTCCCGTACAGTCACGTCGCGCTCGCCAATATGTACCGCCTGCTTCGACTCCCTGCCGCCTTGCGGACTGGAGCACTCAAGACACGGCGCTGTAGAGGCGATACCGTCGCTTATAGCGCCGTTCAAACCGCCATTCTTCCGCCGAACAGCTTCCTCTCCATTTCCCGCCAACAATCTCGTCCACAGCCCTTCTGCCGGCAGGTGGTAATGCGGTTCGAGAGACGTCAGGTTCGGCGAGCGAGCGTGCGTGAGGGTCTCGACGACGAGCGAGCGTTGCAGGGATTCGGGGAGGATGCGAGGGAAGAAGACGAGTCCTGTTGGCAACAACGGGTCAGCCGCCTTCGTAGAGTCTCCGAGCGTGTGCACACACCTGGAATGCGCGGAATAACGATCGCATAGTCGCCCTCCTGCTCGCGGTCCTTGCCCTTCCAGCGAGACTGTCCCATCGCCGTCTCTGCGAGCTCATGCAGCTCGACCCGCCAGCAGACTTCCTCGTGGCCGTCTCCAGCTGTCCACACGCCCCTCAGCCTTCCATCTGCGTTCGCCTCAGCATCCCACCGCACCTGAGCCGGGTCAAAAGCGAGCGAGAGGTCGGGAGGAGAAGTGCGGCTCTTCCAGTACCGCTCGGCGTCGCGGAAGGCGGAGAGGTTCGTCGGCGGCGTGTAAGCAGATGCACGCTTCTTGCGCGACATTCCAGACAGCGTACGAGCGTGTAGCGGGGTGGTGAATGAGCCAACTGATGAACTCGCCTCTCCTTCACGACCTCTCCGGCGCCCATCCAGACTGGCTGCTCCTGGAGAACGCGCTTCGTACCTCGAGCGTGCTACTGATTTGGCTCCAAAGGTATCGCAAGAGAAGGACAGGCGCAAGAGAGGGGGAAGCTGGCCTCCGCATTTTCGACGAGGACCTCCTTGACGACACGCACGCTCACTACTCTGCACACCGCTCAACGGTCTCTATCGACTACACAGCCACACGCACAGCTCGACTGTGAGTACGCCAGTCTTTGAACGGCCCGCCCTCGTCGCGTGCAAACCCCACCTTCTTCGGTCGACGCCTCGTCCTGTTCCGCGCGGCAATCCAGGACGGCGGACAGATTTGGGGACGCGAGGGGACACTCGGGCTGTTGCTAGACAAGGGAACCATCGATCAAGCGCGGCGGAACACCCTGGCAGGACTCGGGAGACGAGGGGACTCGACTGACGTTGATATCGCTCCCTCGCGAACAGCCTCCCCTCCCCATCCAGCATTCCCGAGGCCTGCGACAGAGCCATGACCTCGCCACTCTCGCCACGCTCGCAAGACTTCCATCCCATCTCTGTCAAGATTCCCGAAGAGAACCGCACCGGCGCGACAGTCCCGTCGGGCTCTGCCATCTTCAGCCAGTCCGAGAGCGACGTCGACGAGCCCAACTGGAAGTACGCGTCGAGTCAAGAAGACGCTAGCGTGCTTTACAGCAGGCCGCAGAGGCGACACAAGACGAGGACGCTCAGTGCCGTACGTTTCGCGTTCCGCTCGCTCGCCATCTTCAAGCAGACTTTGCTTACGTTCGTCCCGGGCGCAGAGCGAGGGACCACAGACGATTCTGAGGCAGAGGAACACGTATGGCCCGGAGCAGGGCGTCGGGACGAGGAGCAGGCGGATGTCGCACGGTCAGCATTCCGCATCGTTCGTCCGCTCGGTTTTCAGCTGACTCCGCTTCTTGCAGACGAGCACTCCTTCAAGTCTCGCAAGTTCTTGGTCGACGTCGAGGAGACGATGAAGCTCGTACTGGAACAGGAGGATACGGATGCGAACTTCCAGGTCTGTCGCTCCTCCCTCTTCTGGTAGAGGCTAGCTGACTCGCTCAACCCGCAGATACACGCCGCAGACAAGGGTCCAAAGGTCTTCTCGCTTGGCACCGTCAGCAGCAACGGCTTCAACTCGGTCGACGTGAGTTCCCCATCTTCCTCCAAGCTCCACGCCCACCTGACCGGCTCTTTGCACAGATCCGCGGCACCTACATGCTCTCGAACCTTTTGCAAGAACTCGCTCTCGCGCGCGACCACGGCCAGAAGCAGATTGTCCTTGACGAGGCGCGCCTGAACGAGAACCCCGTCTCGCGCTTGACTCGCATGATCCGCAACTCGTTCTGGAGCAACTTGACCCGCCGTATCGACGGTGATGGGCTCGAGAAGATCTGTGCGGACCCAAAGGTGCGTAGCGAGTCTGGCTTAGAGAAGTCGGGCACTCATGTTCTTTCGTCCGCGCAGAACCGCGGCTCGAATCGCGCTCCCCGCATCTATGTCCCCGAAGCCGAGCCCGGCATGCGCAAGTACTACGAGCGCATCGCCGCCGCCAAACCTCACCTCGGCCTGATCGTCGACACCGTCCCGACTAACTTTGACGCAAAGTGGGTCAAGGACCAGAACGACAAGCCGGGAATCCTGGCGCTTGCGATGAAGGAGGTGTCGAGGGGCGAGGGACAGGATCCGGATTACCAGGGCATTCCGTTTGTCGTGCCCGGAGCGAGGTGCGTTGCCGTTCCGTCTCGAGTCGTTGGTGACGGTCAACTGACAAGCACTTCACACGCAGGTTCAACGAGGTACGTCCTGCTCTGAGTGGATCTCGACCGAGCTGATGATCTGTTCCACTGACGCCTGACACAGCTCTACAACGTTTGCCCATTCGCTTCCGTCCTGCTCTCGCGTCCGAACTGACCCACCTCTCGCCCGCAGTGGGACTCGTACTTCATCTCGCTCGGCCTTCTCGCAGACGGCCACGTCGAGCTCGCCAAGGGCATCGTCGAGCACTTCCTCTTCGAGATCAGGCACTACCGGAAGATCCTCAACGGCAACCGCAGGTGCGTCTTATCGTCCGACTCAGCCTCAGTGAGAACTGACGCACGCCCGCCCGCAGCTACTACCTCATGAGGAGCCAGCCGCCGTTCCTCACCGACCTCGCCCTCCAAGTCTTTGCCCAGCTCGACCCGGAGACGCCCGAGGAGAACAAGGCGTGGCTCAAGCGCGCGATCCAGGGTGCCATCGAGGAGTACCACATCGTGTGGCAGGAGGAGCGCCGCCTCGACCCCGTCACGGGCCTCTCGCGCTACCGCCCCGACGGACTCGGCATCCCTCCCGAAACCGAGGCATCGCACTTTACTGCCGTCCTCCAGCCGTACGCTGAGGAGCTTGGCGTCAGCGTCAACGAGTACACCGAGATGTACAACTCGGGCGAGGTCAAGAACGAGAAGCTCGACGAGTACTTCCTTCACGACCGAGGCGTCCGCGAGTCTGGCCACGACACGACCTACCGTTTCGAGAAGCGGTGCGCGGACCTCGGCACCATCGACCTCTGCTCGCTCCTGTACAAGATCGAGATCGACATCGCCACGAGCATCCGGGAACACTTTAACGACTCGCTCGAGCTCGACCACGAGTTCACCCTCACGCCCTTCCCCTTCGGCACAGAAGTCCCCTACAAGCCCACGAATCCGAACCTGCCAGACCTCTCTCAGCCTCGCTCATCGACCGCCTCGAAGCAGACCTCGGCGGAATGGTTCGCGCGCGCCGCGCGGAGGAAGGACCTTGCGGACCACTACCTCTGGCACGAGGGTCGCGGGCTCTACACCGACTACGACTGCAAGAAGAAGAAGCAGTCGCTGTATGAGTCGGTCACGACGTTTTGGCCGATGTGGGCAGGAATGGCGAGCGAGCAACAGGCGGAGAAGATAATGTGCGTACGCGTGCGGCCTCCCGTCTCTAGTCTTGCTGACTTCGGTCGTACTCGCAGGCGTTACTCGTTGATCAAGTTCGAGGTTGCCGGCGGTCTCGTCTCCGGAACGGAGAGTTCGCGCGGTCGCATCTCTCTGCAGAGGCCGAACCGTCAGTGGGAGTGAGTGCCGCGCGCCCCCTGCCGAACGCTCAATGGTGCTGACGTTTGGTTCGCACAGCTACCCTGCGGCGTGGTCTCCCCAGTGCGTGCGGCTCGCTTCGAAGAGGACGTCCTTGTCGCTGACCTTCCTAACCACGCTCCTCTCTTCACCGCTCACCCGCGCCTCCTTGTCCCTCTTGCGCTCTTGCTACCGCTCGCACACTTCCTGCCGCTCGTCCGCTCCTCGAATTTGCCGGTCGCGTCGTCTCGCAGCCAAATCATGGCCTGTGAGCAGCGTCGCCTTCCGAACCACCGTGCATCCGCTGACTTTTCAGCGTCTGCAGGGGTCGGCTGCTCGAAGTACGGCTACACGCACGAGGCCCAACGGTTGGCGTACCGGTGGCTGCACATGTCAGTCCTTGTTCGAACGGCAGTGTCCTCTCCTCACCCCGCTGACCGCTGCCTATTCGTCTCGTGCAGGATCACCGTCGGGTTCGTCGAGGCCGGAGGCTGTATCCCGGAGAAGCTCGATGCGGTGGCAGGAAACGCCAACATCGATGCGGAATACGGCAACCAGGTGCGTAGACGATTTCGACACTCCTTTACTCACGACTCATTCGAACCGTTTCCGCAGGGCACCGACTTCCACCTGATCCCGCGCGAAGGCTTCGGCTGGACGAACGCCTCGTACCAGGTCGGCCTCACCTTCATCACGCAGCTCCAGCGTCGCGCGCTCGGCGCCCTCACCCCTCCCGACGTCTTCTTCCGCGCGGGACGCCCTTTCCACCAGCAATGAGGCGTCGTCTTTACGCCCTTTTTCAGCATCCTTTGCAACTGTAGAAAGCATCTTCCGCCCTACCTCTCGCCCGCGAGCGAGATCGTCTGCTCCGTCTCTCTTTCTCGCTTCTTCCGCTCCGCCTCTGGGTGCGCCATCTCACGCTGAGTGCGCCCGCTGCTCCGTCGCTCGCCGTCGTCGCTGATGAGAAATTGTCGTGCGCCGCTGTCCGAGCGAAGGCGATCCTCGGCGACTTGGCCGCTTCCGAACTTGCGCCCGTTCGCATGCTCGTCGTTCGACCTCTCGCTCTCCGCTTGCCTGCTCAATTTGCACTCGCTGCACACTCACAGACTCACCCACACTTGCACACGACTCCGATCAGTGAGCTGGGCTGTTGGCGCGCTTGTTCGGTCTTCATCAGCGAAGCAGCGGTCGGGGAGGGATGGGACGGCGAACACAGCATACGGAAGTTGCAAAGGGTTATGGGAGAGTCGGAGGAGGGTATTGGAACCGCTTGGACATCGCCGGACTCCGCTCGCTTGCTTGGACAGGCAGGACGGCGCTCGTTCGAGGAGGAGGGGCGGTGCCGGCTACTTCACCAGAGCTCTGTACCGCTTGCCACTGCTTGCTGACGAGTCGGACGATATTCTACGACACAGGAATGGCCAGCGTCGCATCCTTCTACGAGCTCGAGGCGGAGAAGCCGTCGGGCGACAAGATCAGGTTCGACGTGCGTTCCCTCCTGTTCGCACCGTGCGTTTGCGGTCTCGTGGTGTACTCCCGGCCCTTGTACCGTAGGCAGTTCGATGGGGTTAGGACGGAGCCCGTGCTCAGAGCGCCCGATCGCTGACTTTCCTTCGTTCCTCCTTACTCCCGCTGTTCCCTCCTGCAGGACTTCAAGGGCAAGGTTGTCCTCGTTGTCAACACAGCAACGAAGTGCGGGTTCACTCCGCAGTAAGCTGTCGCAATCGCTTTCGAACGTTCGAGGCAGTCGCTGACTTTTTCCCCCCATGAAGATTCACTGGCCTTGAAGAGCGTGAGTCCACCTTCCCAACTCTCTTTCTGCATTGCCCAAGCTTGCCTCAGCCCCACTGACGCCTCTTCGTCTTACCCTCGCAGTCAATAAGAAGTACAAGGGCCAAGGCCTCGTCGTCCTCGGGTTCCCCTCCGACCAGTTCGGCCACCAGAACCCCGAAGACGACGAGACCACCGGCTCAGTCTGCCAGCGCAACCACGGCGTCACTTTCCCGCTCCTCAAGAAGGGCGACGTGAACGGCTCGAATGCACACCCGGTCTTCCAGTACCTCAAGCCGAAGGCCAAAGGTATCCTCGGCGAGCGGGTGAGTCGCAGCGTTGCTCTTCCCTTCTTAGCTTCGTTGACAAACTCTCTTCGCCGCAGATTGCATGGAACTTCACCAAGTTCCTCGTCGACAAGGTGCCCCGCCTCTCGCCCTTCTCCGTTCGCTCCCACTGACCCTTTCCGCCTCTCCCAGCGCGGCAACGTCATCCACCGCTACGCACCGATCACCAAGCCCGACGCCATTGCTGCCGACATCGAGAAGGCGCTTGCAGAGTCGGTCTAAGGCGCCGCAAGTCGCTCGGAAACGGAGGTGGCTCGCTCGTGCTCTCTCTGCACTTTCCGCATTCCTGTCTACGATATCCTGAACTGTTAATACTACCCTTGAGTGCCCGAAGCCATCTGCGAAATGGGAGAGAGCGTGGCGCGTTGTCCAGTCTCTCGTTCCCTTGTCGAAGCGAGCGGTTTCGCTTCGCTCTCATCTCACCGCTCTCTTGCACGACTGGCGTTTGAGTGAACGAGCAGGATGCAGCTACAACGTTTGCGGGCAGAATATGGAGTGGGTGGAATCTAGGCGTACAAACAGTCACGAACACGGCGTTTCTTTCTCATTTCGTCTATTTTCCGCCTCAGAACTCATCGCTTCGCCTCCTCCCGTGGGATGAGGATGTCGTTCAACGCGCCAGAGTTGATCTTGTCGGCGATGGGCGAGCCGGCGAAAGCTTCGCGCAGGACTTCGGCGACGTTCTCGGCGTAGACGATGTCGATGCCTTCCTTTACGGAATCGGGGACCTGTAGAACAGTAAAGAAGTGTCAGACAGGTCGAGACGCTGAGAGCGCATCATCCGCGGGGACGACTCGTGCAGGAGGACGCGAGGCGAAAGATGGAAGTGATACGCACGTTGTGCTCAATGTCCGCCTTGCAGCCCAGGGGCAGGATGAGCTTGCGGATGCCCGCGCGATGAGCGGCAAGCGTCTTCTCCTTCAGACCGCCGACCGGAAGCACCTGTCCTGCCAGCGTAACCTCACCAGTCATGGCTGCACGAGAACAGGGTTAGCACTCGCTCAGACGGGGCCAAGGGGTTTGGACAACTCACCGAGCTCGGAGGAGACGCCACGCTTTGAGAAGAGTGAGACAAAGGCGGTGAGGATGGCGATACCGGCGGACGGTCCCTCCTTGCCGATCGCGCCTTCAGGCATGTGCAGGTGAATGGCGCGCTTCTCAAGGAGGTCCTTGTCGGGGTCGGAGGTCAAGCCAAGGTCGTACGCGTGTGCTCGAAGGAAGGCGAGAGCGATCTGCGCCGACTCCTTGATGACCTCGCCAAGCTTTCCGGTGAGCTGGATGCCCTGGCCAGGCATGGACTGCGCGAGGAGGATGCGTTAACTCATCCGGTACAAGCCTCGCAAGCGAGCGAGACGCACCGTGACCTCGATGGGCATGACTGCACCCGACCCGTTTCCGAGGTAACCCAAACCGGTGCTGACACCGACAGGCGAGATCTTCGTGTACAGTCGGTCCTTCTGGTACAGAGGCGGGCCAACGTAATCCAGGAGGTTCTCTGCCGAGATGCGGACGTGGACGTCGGACGGGACTTCGAGAGGCTGGCGGACGCTCGTCGTGGTCTTCCGCTCCTCAGCAGTGACAGACGAGTCGGGCGTCGCAGCGGATGAGGGCGAGGCAGTCGACGCGGGAGTCGCGTCGCCGTCCTGCTTCTCGACGGACTTGTCGGCAGGGGCGGAGGGAGTCGAGTCGGTCGACGCAGGCTCTTCCGACTGGACATCCGCCTCCTTCGTCGCGGCAGCTTCGGGCTGAACAGTCTTGGCGGCCGATTCGGGCAATGCGGGTTCGCCGATGTCCTGCACGATCTTGAGAGCGGCCTTGCGGAAGACCTGCATGGGATAGCCCGTTAGCACGAGTCGCGGCGGGAGATTCGCATGCGGACGTACCTTCTCGATCTGCTGCTTCAGTCGTCGCACGCCCGACTCGCGACAGTAGTACCGGATGAGAGCGGCGACAGCGTCGTCTTGCAGCTCGACATCGGCATTCTTCAAGCCGGCGCCCTCCTTGGCGGCGGGGGCGAGGTATTTGCTTGCGATCGCAGCCTTCTCCTCCGTAATGTAGCCCGAGACCTCGAGGACCTCCATGCGGTCGAGCAGAGGAGCGGGGATTGTGTCAAGCGTGTTGGCGGTGCAGACGAAGAGGACGCGGGAGAGGTCGACAGGGACGTCGAGCTGGGTAAAAGACGATTTAGCGAGCAGAAAGGAGACAGCGTACGAGCGCACTCACGTAGTGGTCAAGGAACTGCGCGTTTTGCTCGGGGTCGAGCATCTCGAGGAGGGCGCTCGAAGGGTCGCCGTTGTGGCCCCGTCCAATCTTGTCAACCTCGTCGATGAGCACGAGCGGGTTCTCCGTCTGCACCTTCTTGAGCGCCTGAATGATCTTGCCCGGCATCGCACCAACGTACGTCCGGCGGTGACCCTTGATCTCGGCGACATCGGAAAGACCACCAACCGAGAAACGGAAGAACTGGCGGTCGAGCGCGCGGGCGATAGACTTGCCGATCGAGGTCTTGCCGACTCCAGGCGGGCCGACGAAGCAGAGGATCTTGCCCTCGACGGTGCCGCGCAGCTTGCCGACGGCGAGGAACTCGAGGATGCGGTCTTTGACGTCCTTCAACCCGTAGTGGTCCTCGTCGAGCACCTTGACGGCGTGGGTCAGATCAAAGTTCTCCTTCGTGTGGTGGCCCCAAGGAATCGACGTGAGCCAGTCGAGATAGTTGCGCGTGACGTTGAACTCGCTCGCCGCCGGCTCGAGGGTGCCAAGCTTGTTGAGCTCCTCGTCGAAGACCTTCTGAACCGCCTCGGGCATGAGGAGCGATTTGGCCTTCTCCTTGAACTTCTCGACGAGCTTGTCCTTGCCGTCGCTTTCCAACCCGAGCTCCTTCTTGATCCCCTTGAGCTGCTCCTGGAGGATGTATTCGCGCTGCCGCTTGGCGATCTTGCTCTCGACGTCCTTCGAAATCTTGTTCTGGAGCTGGGCGTTCATGAGCTCCTTCTTGATGACGAGGAGACCCTTCTGCAGCCGGTCCTCGAGTACCATCGACTCGAGGACATCCTGGAGCTCGTTGACCTCGCCCGCCGAGACCGCCGCCGCAAAGTCGGCGAGCTTCTCCGGCTCTTCGAAGATGTTGCCCGCCGTCAATGACATCGAGAAGTTGGCGATTTGGTCGCGGAAGAGCGGGTTGAGCGAGGCAATCTCCTTGAAGACGGAGACGATCTCGCCCGAGATGGCGCGAACGACCTGCGACTTGGCATCGTACGGTTCCATCTCGAGGTTCGAGACGTTGGCGATCGAGACGCCGTAGTTGTGAAGGTACGCCGTCTGGAAGGACTGGTGATCGCTCGTCTCGGCCGCCTCCTTCGCCTCGCCTTCGCCCTCCGCTTCACCCTCACCCTTGCCCTCGCGCACAACACGACCCTCGTCGTCGACAACAACATCCGCGCGCTCCTTGCCCTCGACGAACTCAGGCTCGTCCGGTCTCTTCGCCTCGGTGCTCGCATCCTGGTCGATAGGCGCCGGCGACTGCTCTGGCCCCGGCTCCTGCTTCGACTCGGACGCGCTCTCCGGCGTCAATTGCGCATCGCCGACAAACGCTGGCTCCTCCGGTCGTTGCGGGCCATCAATGTGCGGTCGGTGCTCGTCGACGACACTGTGCGGCTCAGGGTGATGCATCTCAGTCTCAGTCGACTTGCGACCCTTGTTGGGCGTGCCGACGGGGAGGAGCTCGTCGATCCGGATGCGGCGATGAGGGAAGAGGACGGCGGTGAGACCCGGTTCTTCGGGCTTATCGTCGGAGTTGGGGTTGGGAGGACGGGTAGGGTTGGCGGGGAAGGTCGAGGTGATTTGGCAGAAGACTCCGACGGGGTGGACAGAATTCGGGTCGGTGATGCTGAGCGAAGTAGCGTGTTAGCTGCAGTAGGCAAGGGAGACTAGGTCACAGACGCACACGTCACTGTCGGCGTTCTCGTCTTTGAGGAGGAAAGCGCCGAGGTACGGCTGACCGCGGCTGATCGACTCCTTGATGGCCTTGATGACTTCGGGATCGCGGACGACGACAGCCTTGTAGAAGCCAGGGAAGAGTGGTCGGCGAGTGATTGGAAGCGCCATAACCTGAGGATAGACGTTCGGGACGGAGCTCTTGACGACAGACGAGTTGCCCTCGCCGTCGCTCGACCGACCGCCCGCCGCTCCGCCTTCGGCCGCACCACTAGATCCCCGCGTGCCCGCTGACGTGCCAGCAGAGCCAGGGTTGCGCAAGCCGCTCCGCGGCTGCTCCGTCTGCGGAACGCCCGGTCTCCGCACCGGGACTTTCTCCTCGCCCTCGCCCTCTCCGCCTTCGCGACCCTCGTCGCCGTCAAACTCGTCGTTTTCGCCGTTCTGCTGTTCTCGAAGGCTGAGCCGGGGAGCGCGGGGGAAGGAGAGTGGCGGCGATGGTCGGAGAGGAGAGGCGAGATCGAGCCTGGCCGAGGTCGAGAGGGAGCGCGACGATGTCGGCACGTCGAGCGTCACTCGCGACGTCGATGCGAGGGGCGAGCGGGCGTTCAGGCGGGGAGTTGTGCTGGTCGTGCGGAGAGACGATGATGGAGGACGAGCGAAGGCTGTCCGGCTCGCGCGCGACGAGGCGAGCGAGGTGCGCGCCCGCATCGATGCTGGGAGCATTGCTAGTCGAGCTCGTCGATGGAGTGTCTGGCCTGCAAGATGGTGCTGTGTGGGAGTGGCGATGGGTTCGTCAGCTCTCCTCATCTCGGGCGAGCTGATCCGCATCAGCGCTCGCTCGTTGGACGCACCTGTTTCGCTGGCGTGTGTACTGAGTGCCGTACTAGTGCGAATGCAAGTCGAGCGAGTCCGTTCGAGCGAGTGAGCGGACGGTGAGCGAGCTGTTCGCGGCAAGAGCAAGGAGACCAACTCGGAGAGGACGACGTCAACCCTCGACCCGCTTCTACAGTTTCTGGCTGGGCTTGCGCGTTCGCTAGCTGCCCCTGCGACCTCAGAGAACCACCCTGCCCGCGCAAGAACCGCGCAAACGCGTGCAGCCGTTCGCCTTCTCCCGACAACTCGCTTTCGACGACGAGGTGGGCGTAGACGGCGCGCAGGATGGCGTACACGCCTTATGGAGGCTCTCCAGGACCATCAGCGTGGCAGCCGCTGCCCTCGCAGTATCTCCCGACGCCGCCGACAGCTCTCGCATTCGACCCACTTTCGCCGCTCCTCTTCGCGGCCAGCCCGACGGGAACCATCGCGAGCCACTTTTGCGCGCCGAATGCAGGGCTGGGAGGGAGGTACACGAGCTACCGCGGTCACTGGGGCGCGGTAGGCGAGATGGGCATCGACCAGTCCGGCATCCTCAGCGTTGGAGGTGGGGGCAGCATGCCTGGCAGGACAGGCGGCGGCGGGAGCGTCAAGCTGGCGAACCGAAGAGGCGTGACGCTGTGGAGCGTCGAGTGCGTTGCGGTTCCTCTCTGCGACTGCGAGCGATTTGACCGACTTCCCTCTCCTCCTCGTGCAGGACTGATCCGCCTGTACCGCTCACGGCCTTCGCTTACACACCTTCACGCTCGTCCGAGATCATTGCGACCGGTCCCGGCAGTGACCTCTTCGTCGTCAACGTCACGAGGGGCAGCATCATTCGGAAGGTAGGCTTGAAGCGCTCGTCATCTGGTCCTTGCTTCGGAATCGACTCGCTGCTGATGCCGGTTCCCTGACTCGCAGCAACCCTCGCCACTCTCCTTTGTCCACCTTCGTCGCTCGACCCAACTCATCGGCTCGACAATCACCGGCTCGCTCGCTGTCCTCGATGCCCGAACACCCGACATCACAACGGGAGAAACGGTTCTCGCGCACACGGGCGGCATCATCCAGCTTGAGACCGAGGGCAACTACATCGTCACGATCGGGTACACCATGCGGTGGGTCTTTCGTCTCGTCCATCTCTTGCAGGCCCGCAGGCTAATGCCGCCTCCTTTGCATAGACAAGGCCTCCCTCTTCCCGACCCTTACCTCAAGCTCTACGACACCCGCTACCTCCGCCCTCTCACGCCCATCCCCTTCCCGACTCCCCCTGCGCTCGTCCGCTTCCACCCGCGACTATCCGGCAACGTCATCGTCGCGAGCTCGGAAGGCCGTGTACAAATACTCGACTTGAAAGATGTGGGAAAGAGCTCGGTCTTCCAGGTGAGATGGCCGGAAGCGACAGCCTCAGCCTTGCGTCATGTGTTCTCGACTTCACGCTGATGAAACGCTCCGCCACCGCACAGGTCGACACGCCGTCGATGCTCACCTCGATGGCCGTCGCGCCGACTGGCGAAGGGCTCGCGTTCGGCGATGCGGACGGCTACGTGCACCTGTGGGCGGCAAGACCGGAGGAAGGCGATGCCAAATTCTGCCGCTACGAGGGCGAAGTCGAGCTGCCTGACCCGGTCGAACCTCCCGAGCGCATCAACTGGCGAGACGACACGTGCGCACTGCTTCCAGCCTTGCGTAAGAGATGTCGGCTCACGTCACTTCACGTCGCAGCCCGCTCAACTCGATCGGCATGCCCTACTACACTTCTCCCCTCCTCTCTCTCCTCCCTCAGCACATGACCTCGACCTATGCCGCCTCGCACCGCCGCGTCCCGATCGACTCGAACATCCTCAAGTCGGCCAAAACGGTGGACTTCGTCGGCTATGCGACCTACCCTCCGCATCTGCGGAGCGCGGCTCGGCGGAATCAGGTCCGGACGGGGCAGAGGTCGAAGATTGCGGGAAGGCTGGGGGTCGATGCGCCGATGTTCAGGAGCGAGCGCGAGAGGGCGGATGCGAAGCGAAGACGAGACTATGGCGATTCGGTGCGTCTCAGCCCCTTTTGAGCGTCTTTGATTTGAGCTTATCTCTTGGAATGCAGGCTGCAACGGAAGACGAGCCGCAAGAGGAGGACAATGCGGAGGATGAGATGCCGAAGTACTACCGCAAGGTCGAGATCAAGTACAGTCGATTTGGTATCGAGGACTTCGACTTTGGGTGCGTTGCCGCTACTCCCCTGTCCTCATGATTTCGTGCTTATTTGTGTGCGGACAGCTTTTACAATAAGACGCCCTACTCCGGCCTCGAGACGCACATCACCAACTCCTACACGAACAGTCTTCTCCAAGCCCTTCACTACCTCCGACCGATCCGCACACTCGCGAAAAGCCATACCTTTGAGGCGTGCCCGAAGGAGAACTGCCTGCTGTGCGAGGCGGGCTTCCTGTTCCGCATGCTCGAGGACGCGAAGGGGATGAACTGCCAGGCTAGCAATTTCTCGCGAGCGTTTGGCTCGAACCCGCAAAGTGAGTCACACTTGTCGATCGTCGTGGCGCGTGCTGACACCTGCTCCCGTCTTCAGTCGCCGCGCTCGGCTTGATCGACCACGAGAACGACGCCACCAAGTCTGTCGCCTACGCCACCCTCATCCAGACGTTCAACCGCTATCTCCTCGAGCAGTTGACGGCCGAGTCTGTCCTGCCAGCTTCTTCGAAGTCGATGCCTTCGCAGCAGGTTTCGCTCCTCAAAAACGCGCCCGAGGATTCGCAGCGGAAACCGCCGCTCGCACAGCTCGTCAAGGTCGAAACGCACAGCCTCAGCACCTGCCAGAACTGCCTCGCCAAGTCTGATCGCGAGACGAGCCTGAACGTCATCGACCTCGTCTACCCGCGCAAGGTGAGTCTGCCGGACTTGCTGAGCAGAATCCTCCACGTCTCACGCTCTTCGCTCTCAGGCCATGTCAAACGAGGCTCCCGCACCCAACACCTTCTCCGCTATCCTCGCCTCCTCGATCATGCGCGAGACCATCGCCCGCCTTCCCTGCTCCTCCTGTCGCCAGAACACCCACGTCCGAGTCCGCCGCGCCATCCCCGACATGGCCCAGCTTCCGCCCGTCTTCGTCGTCAACGCTGGCGTGCGAACGGCCGACGAGCTCGAGCTCTGGATGGACAAGCGGGACGGCAGCGCTGGCAGTAAGCGGTTCTTGCCGAGTCGGTTCACGCTGTCGAAGGGCGAGGGTGTGGCTGTCGTCGTCGAATCGGACAAGCCCGCCGCAGGGAGCGCTGAGGCGATCGAGTATGAGCTACGGGTGCGTCTGAACGAATCGGCATCGAAGAGCGGTCGAGCTGACGACAGAGTACTGCAGGCCATGGTGGTGCAGATTCAGGCAGAAGGCGACGCACCCCATCTCGTCTCGCTTGCTCGTGGTGAGTCGCCTCGTTGCGGTTCCGAGTCTTGCGCTGACGTCGAAATCTCGCAGTCGCGAGCGAGGAGGAGAAGCCCGGCTCTTCCTGGCACCTCTTCAACGATTTCCTCGTGCGGCCCATCAGCGAGGAAGAGGCGTTGAGCTTTCCGGGCAAGTGGAAGGTGCGCCCCACTGACCGTCCTGGCTTCCTGCGAGCTAAGCTTTGCTACGTCAGATTCCGGCTGTCCTCTTCTACGAGCGACGAGATGCGCCGCAGCTTCTCGACTTCTCCAAGCTTCCGCTGCACAGCGACCCGTCCATTCTCTGCGAGGATATCACCATCTCCAAGTGAGCTTGCCAGCCGTGTCTTCGGACGCCAGCATCGCTGATACATCAATTCGCAGGTTCCGAGACCGATCACTCGTCAAGCACCAACCTTTCCGCCTGGACGAGCTGCCTCGCAAGGGTACACTCGTCGCTATCGACGCCGAGTTTGTCTCGCTCCAGCAAGAAGAGGCGGAGTTCCATTCGGACGGCACGAAGAAGGTTCTTCGCCCATCACGGATGACGTTGGCGCGAGTGTCGGTCTTGCGAGGCGAGGGTCCCGAGACGGGCATCCCCTTCATCGACGATCACATCCACACCAGCGAGCCCATCGTCGATTACCTCACCGAGTTCTCCGGCATTCGAGGTGCGCTATCCTCGCTGCGAGCCGCGGGGAATCCGCTGACGAGTGCGCCTTTGTGCAGCTGGCGACCTCGACCCGGTGCACTCGCGGCATACGCTCGTCCCGCTCAAGGTGGCGTACAAGAAGCTTCGCATGCTCGTCGACCTCGGCTGTGTCTTCATTGGGCACGGACTCAACAAGGACTTCCGAATTATCAGTGCGTTCTGGCCTGTCCATCTTCCGCCCAACGGCGCTCACTCTCGCCCGTCACAGACATCTACATCCCTCCGTCTCAGATCATCGACACCGTCAACATCTACCACCTCCCACACCGCCAGCGCAAGCTCTCGCTCCGCTTCCTCGCCTACGCCGTCTTGCACTCGAATATCCAGGCGGACACGCACGACTCGATCGAGGATGCGCGAACGGCACTGCAGCTTTACGAGCACTATCAACGACTCGAGGCGGAAGGTACTTGGGAAGAGGCGCTCGAGGAGGTCTACCGCGAGGGGAAGCAGACGGTTCGTCCCGCTCTCAACGCTGTCTTGCGTACGAAACTGACTCTTCGTCTGCGCAGAACTTCAAAGCGCCGGTCGAGCCGCCTCCCTCGCTCCCTCGCACCGACTCTCCCGGCTTCGGCGCTCTCGGCCCGCTCCCTGCTCCCGCCGTCCAGCCGCAACCGATGTTCGTCCGAGGCGTCTTCCCTGCGCCGATGCCGATGCCCCCGAGGGGGACGCGAGGGTTCATGGGTTAGTTTGTTCGGACCTTTCGTAGTAGAGCTGTTGGACGTCAGAAGGTGTGTTGTATCGAGTCTAGCAATCCATCTACACGCTACACCACAATGTCCGCCAGCTCGACGCGCAGGGTGATACTTTCCGAGCTGCATTGAAGGACGGAGACGCTGTTGACGCAAGTCGCGTCAGCACGCCGTCACATCGAGGAGAAGCCGACGAAAAACGCACGCCGTCAAGTCCTTCACGACCACCGCGCCGTTGACCTTGCTTGCAGCTTCTTGGACTTCCGCAGCCTCGACTGGCTCGGTGCAGACGGCGAGGAGGCGGGCGCCCGCGGAATAGGCGCTTTCGAAGCCGGCGGGAGCGTCCTCGACGACGAGGACATCGAGAGGCATCAGGTCTGGCTGGAGGTCCCGCAGCCCTGTAATCGGAAGGGTCGTTTACTAACTCGTGGAGGCGAGAGAAGCGAAGGTGAACTCACGGTCGATGCCGATCAAGTACGGCTCAGGCGAAGGTTTTCCGGCCGATACTTGTTCTCCCGTGACCATCACGGGCGGCGCGAGGATGCCAGCGATCTCGAGAGCGGGTACGGCGTGTATGCGTGTGGCTGGAAAGCAAGAGTGAGCCCACCACATGAACGGGAAGAGACCAGGAGAATTGCTTCTCACCAGATGTCACGATGCCCCACTGCGCTCCTCCTCCCTGCAGCTTCGCGAGCAACTCAAGTACTCCGGGTAAGGCGACAATCCCGCTTCCCTCGCCGTGCGCCTTCATTTGTCTTGCCGTCTCGCCGACACTCTTTTCCAGCTCCTCGACCGCGGCGTCCAGTTCCTCCTCGCTCATCTCGCTCCCTTTCTTCGGCGTCGTCGCAAAGCGTCGGAGCAAGTCCTTGGCGCGCGTGCCATGCTGTGCGGCGGCGAACTCGCGCGGGTCAACTTGCTGAACCGCACACCAGCGAGCAATCGTGCGTTTGACTGCGGGAGTTGAGTCGATCAGGGTGCCATCCGAGTCGAAGAGGATGGCCTTGACGGTCAACTCGACAGCAGGCATGGCTCAGCAGGTCGAGGTTGCTGGAAGAAGCGAAAGTCGAGAGGAGTGTCGGAAAGGACGAGGCGCGTGCTGACGTAGCATACAGCGAGCGTCCCGTTAGCAGAGAGAGCACATGGACGTCCGAGAGCGTTGTTCGTCCTGCTTACGGCGTCAGCCTGAGCACACGAGGCGACAGGTCGACACAGAGGAGGAGGAGGACGAGGGGAGCTGAGGAAGCCGTGCAGCGGCTTCGGCGCGGACGTCGCGTAGCTTCGATGGGAGAGCGACCAAGCTCGACGCCTTCTCTGCCGCTCATAGCGAGTCAGGTTGCTACGACTGCGCTCCGTGCTGTCCAATTCGAGCGAGAGTGGAGAGGGGCGTCAGCTCGTGAGGGTGGGGGAGAGAGAGGCGACTCTCTGGACCACCACCCGGCCTGCAGGGAGCTCGAAAAGGTCGCGGCCGGGCAGCGAAGCTGGGGAGGCAACTCCGGGGAGGTGGGAGGGACAGCTCGCGTGCGTGCTACGTACTGGAGGCGCAAAATGGGGACGGCGGCGGGTCGAAAGAACGCTGTCGAGCTCTCAGACGCTAGCCTGGGCGTTGAGAGCGAGGAAGACGAGGAGAGAGGTCAACTCTGCGAGAGCGAGTCGAAGTCGACGACCGCAAATCCTCGACGGGCGGGCTCGAGGATTTGCGAGAGCGCTCTCTAGGAATTCAGACTGCGCTTGCTCGCAACCCTACACCTGGGCTCGATGCCTCGCCCGGCACCCAAGTGAGCGGTAGAGGTCGAAGAGCGGGACGAGACGAAGGTTGGAAGTGGACACCCTCGCGACCCGCTCTTTCTGGCTTGCTGGCGAGCGTTGCATGCTGCTGAGGAGTCTCACACAGCGCCTGACTTTTGCTACACCCCGCCTCGTACGCTCCGTCATCGCCAGCGCCATGTCGACCGCCGCAGACCTCAACGCCCGCATCAGTGAGCAGGGCTCGCTCGTGCGCAAGCTCAAGGAGGACAAGGCTGCAGCAGAGGAAGTACAGAAGGAGGTCCTAACGCTCAAGGAGCTCAAGGCGGCGCTCGCCAAGCTCACGGGCGCAGACGACTCGAAGGGCAAGAAGGGGAGCAAGTTCACGCTCAAGACGCCCAAGGTGCGCTCCGTTGGACCGTAGAAAGTGCTTATGAAGGACTACGAGCTGATTGCAGCATTCGTGCGGATGCGCAGGGCACCAAAGACTGGCACCCCTCCGACATGTACCTTCGCCAGGCCATCTTCCGCAAGATCACCGAAGTCTTCGAGCTTCACGGCGGTGTGACGATCGACACTCCCGTCTTCGAGCTCAAGGAGATCCTCTCCGGCAAGTACGGCGAGGACAGCAAGCTCATCTACGACCTTCAGGACCAGGGCGGAGAATTGTGCTCGCTTCGGTACGACTTGACGGTGCGCAGCGGGCTCTGCAAATAGCTCATCCCGTCCGTACTGACGTTATTGCTTACGCAGGTCCCCTTTGCCCGCTTCCTCGCTATGAACGGCACCCAGTACCCGAACATCAAGCGCTACCACATTGCCAAGGTCTACCGCCGCGACCAGCCCGCCATGAGCAAGGGTCGTATGCGCGAGTTCTACCAATGTGTACGTCGACGCGGTCGCTGTCTACAGCGGCTAGGTTGATGAGCGGCATTCGCAGGACTTCGACATTGCCGGCGTCTACGACCCGATGCTCCCGGACGCAGAGTGCCTCGCGATCACCTGCGAGGTTCTCGAGGCACTCGAGATCGGAGAGTTTACAATCAAGGTGCGCTAGCGAGGCCACTTTGCGCGAGTGACCGTGCTAACCGTCGCTAAACAGCTCAACCACCGCAAAATCCTCGACGGCATCTTCGCTGTTTGCGGCGTTCCCGCCGACAAGATTCGCACCATCTCATCAGCAGTCGACAAGCTTGACAAGGTCCCACCGTTTTTCTGGCTTGCCAGGGACTCCGCTGACGACTAGAACTGCAGATGCCTTGGGAGGACGTTCGGAAGGAGATGACGGAGGAGAAGGGACTGGCAGGCGACGTCGCGGACCGCATCGGCGAGTATGTCAAGCTGAAGGGTGCGTCTTGCTCTTCTATTCTGTACCAAGACCCCGCTGAACCCCCAGTTTGTAGGTGGACCCGAACTCGTCGAGCAGCTCAAGCAGGACGAGCGGTTGACGAAGAACAAGTCGGCTGTCGAGGGACTGAACGACATGGCACTGCTGTTCAAGTACCTCGACATCTACGGCGCGACCCCTCGAGTGCGTTGGAGCGAGGGTTTCGTCGTTCTGCAGCTGCTGACTCGCCTTTCCTCGCAGGTTTCGTTCGACCTCTCGCTTGCTCGCGGCCTTGACTACTACACCGGCGTCATCTACGAAGCCGTCACCGAAGGCTCCGCCCCTCCCGTCCCCGTTGCGCCCAAACCCGAAGCCGTCCCGACCCCGGCCCAGCAAAAAGCGGACGTCAAGGGCAAGAAGCCCGCACTCAACGCTGACGAGGAGGCCGACATCGACGAGTCGACGATCGGCGTCGGGTCGATCGCCGCGGGAGGACGGTACGACGAGCTCGTTGGCATGTTTGCGAGCGGCGGCGCGGCAGGCAAGATCCCCTGCGTCGGCATCTCGTTCGGTGTCGAGCGGTTGTTCTCCATTCTGTTGCGGAAGGCGCAGGAGAAGGGTGAGGCGGCGGGACGGGCGAAGGCGACCGAGGTCTTTGTCATGAGTCTCGGAGACGGCTTGCTGGAGGAGCGCATGAAGGTGTGCAAGGAGTTGTGGGCTGCGGGTATCAAGGTGCGTCCTTCAACGCCTCTCCCACCTCTCCTACAACTGACATGCGCTGGTGCAGGCCGAGTTCATGTACAAAGCCAAGCCTAAGCTGCCGAAGCAGTTCGAGGTCATCGACAAGGAGAAGATCCCGTACGCCGTCCAGGTCTCGCCGTCCGAACTCGCCAAGGGCACGATCCGTGTCAAGCCGCAGGTCGGCAAGGAGCTTGGGTCGGGCAACGACATCGAGCTCAAGCGCGAGGAGCTCGTCCCGTGGCTTCTCGAGAAGCTCGGGAAGAAGTAGGGCGTCGCGGCGGCGCCAGCTGCTTCCGGTGCGGTAGAGGGTGACACTAGACAGTAATACGAACAGTCATGCCAATGGATCACGGCGACGGGTCAGCCTGCACTCGTCGACGGCGACAACGTTCTCCTCCTCGAGAACCATCGACTCTTCTCGCCGCGAAACTTCTCGCGTCCGGTCCGCGCCTTCCCTTTGTCCTTCCTGAGAGTATGCCATGCGGCCTGAGTCCTTCTCGCTTCCAGCGAATCGTGCCACCTCAGCTCGCTCGCTTTGGCCTTCTTTCACGCACCTCTTCCTCGCTTCTCTCGCCTCGCTCGCTCGCTGTGACCTCGCTCAGCTGCTCTATCGGGCTCTTCAGACTCGCCCAGACAGTACAACCGCATTCCCTGCCGCACGGTGCCAACAGTCCTTCTCCCCCACCTCCTCCCGCCTCAACATCGGATCCCAACACTTCCTCGGCGCGTCGCAGCCCGGTCCAGCAGTCGCAGAGCCTCGGCAAAACCTACTGGAGCTCTGTAGGGGCCGTCTTGTCGCGCCTACGGCTGACCGCTTCACCCAGTGACCCGTGTACCCCGCTCGTACCTCTCGTGAGTTGTCGCAAGCCTCGAGTTCACCCGAGCGCCCGCCGAACAAGCTGACCATGCTCTTACTACACAGAACGAACTGATGTCCCTACGCAACTCTCACTCCTGGCTCGCCTCGCTCATCGAAACCGGCCTTGCACCGCCCTCCTCAGCCGACAACAAGTTCTCGACGGTGGCGAACGGTGCTACCGGCGTGCGACGATCCCGAGCGAGTCCTTCACTGTTCGAGGAGGATGCCCAGGCGAGAGATGCGGCGGATCAGGCTGTGGTCGACGACGAGCTGCGGGGTCTGCAGGGTTTGAGGGAGAGCGAGGCAGGTTGGAGCGTCACGGTCGCAGAAGGCGCAAAAGCGAGATCGCGAAATCGCAAGGCGAGTCTACGCATCCCCTGTATCGCGGCATTAGGCTGACTGGCTTTCACCTGCTAGCCCGATCCGGTTTTGACGGTTTACGTCTCGACGCCGACTTCGAGCCTCACCTTGAGTCGCAAGCTGAGCGAGATTGTCGACCTCGAAGCACGGGTGAGCAGCAGTTGCTCGTCGTCCTGCCTATGATACGAAGACGCGCTGACCTCGTCTTACTCAGCTACGCGCTCAATTTCCCGACAGTCTTCCTGAACGTCCGCCTCCTCCGCCGCCCGCAACGCCAAAGAAGCGAAGCAAAGTCCTCGCTTCGCTTACTCGCACACTCAGCCCTCGCCGCAACGGCCCGCCGTCCTTCTCCTCTTTCGGCGGCAGTCGCGACTCTCGCGCCGTTGCGATCGACACGAAGGAGCTCGGCGCGATGCTCACCAAGGCTTCCCTCGACTCGACACTCCGACAACACGTGGCTTGGCAGAAGTTCTTCGCCGTCCGGCGCGACGACCTCGAGAGTGCGCGCATCGAGCGGCGCATCAAGCGGGCACGCAGCGACCAGACCCTCCATCTCGGCGGCAAGGACAGTCTCGAATCGCCTTTCGTCGCGCGGACGACTCTGCAGACTGTTGAGGACCGCGCCGAGCCCAATGCAACCGTCCAGCCATCCACCGCGCCGCTCGGGACGGAACAGCCGCTAGCGAGCGATGTCGCCGTCGACGTGAGCATGGGTTCGCCTGCCGATGTCGCGTCGTCTTCTACACCCGCCAACGTCGAGATGGTTCTCTTCGACGCGAACGAGCAGGGCAGCGCGCCAAGTGAGCCTGTTGCCGTCTCGGATTCTCCGGAGCAATCATCCGTCCTTGAGCCAGATGGCGAGTCAGCGACCGGCGCTTCGGTTACGCCTGCGGCTCATGCTGCGCCAGTCCGTCCCGCGACCGCCGACGCCGTACGCCGCGACCTCGCACCTTTGACCTCGGCTGGCATGACACGGTCGGTGTCGGACGTCTCGACCACAACGGTGGAGAAGCGCTCGAAGTCGATGACGATCGACGCTTTTGAAATCCTGCGCGTGCTCGGAAAGGGTTGCGCCGGCAAGGTTTTGCTCGTTCGCAAGAAGGACACCGAGGACTTGTTCGCGCTCAAGGCCATTACGAAGCGCCATGTGCGCTCGCTCCCTCTTCCATGTTCCAAACACTGAGCGCTGACAGGTGCACCATGCGCAGGTCCTCGCCCACCGCGAGCTCGAGCACACTCGCACCGAGCAGTCGGTCCTCAAGACTTGCGCGAGAGACAAGTCGAACCCTTTCGTCGTCCGCCTGCACTACTCCTTCCACGACGAAGACAGTGAGTTCATCCGATGTTTTCCGCAGTAGCGGCGCTCACTCGCGCATCCCTCGCCTCAGCACTCTACCTCGCCTTGGACTTCCACCCCGGCGCGGATCTCGCTTCGCAGCTCGCCAACTGGGGCTGTCTCGGTCGTGACCGCGCTCGCTTCTACATCTCCGAAATTATCGAAGGTGTCGAGGGTCTGCATCGCGCCGGCATCATCTACCGGTGCGCCCTTGCTCTCCTCAGCCAGGCGAGACTCCCGCTCATCTAGCCTCGCGCTTGACAGTGACCTCAAGCCCGAGAACGTCCTTATCGCCGCCGACGGCCACATTGTCCTCACCGACTTCGGCCTGTCGAAAGACTTCGGGCACAATCAGGTCATCCCGTCGGCGACAGACGGTCTGCCTCGCCCGCACTGGCTCGACCACCCGTCCCGCAGTGCATCGACGCCTCCTGTCGCATCGTGGCTCGGCACGTATCGCGAAACGACGACGACCTTCTGCGGAACGGCTGAATACCTCGCACCCGGCAGGCCTTCCTTCCTTCTGAACTTCTCACCGCGCCTTCGCTGACCTGTCCATCTCGCAGAGGTCCTCCTCGGCGAGCCGTACAGCTACGAATGCGACATCTGGAGCGCTGGGACGATGCTGTACGAGATGCTCGCCGGCGTGACACCCTTCATGGCCGACAACCACGCGACCAGTCAGTTGTCTCTCGCTCTTCCACTACTCGCTCCCGAAAAGCTGACGTACGTACTCCGCAGTGTACCGCCGCGTCCTGCACGACGACCTGCGCTTCGACGAGCGGAGCCGCCAGTTCGACCCGGACACTCGCGCCCTCATACGCGGCATGCTGCAGCGCGATCCCGTCCTCCGCATCACGATACCTCGCCTCAAGCGCATGCGGTACTTCAACATGATCTCATGGGACTTCATCCGCCTGAAGCGCTACGCGCCGCCTTTTGTTCCGAAGCTCAACCCGGACGACCCGACCGACACTTCGCAATTTGACGACGCCTTCCTCCAAATGCCGCCCGAGGTTCGCGGCACCGATCCGCTTCACGAGCCTGGGAACGACCGCGACGAGCCGAAAGGCGAGCCGCAGCCCGCTTTCGACGCGAACGGTCGCGATGTCTTCGACGGCTGTGCGCTCGCCTCTTGTGAACGCTCTCAGGTGGCTCGCTGACTGATAACCGATCTCACAGACTCGTACTACGGCCGCGACTCGGCTTCCCTGCATCGCCACCGTATGGAGGACTCGGACGAGGAGAGCGAGGAGGAAGTCGAGGAGTCTCCTGCTCTCGACAGTGCGGAGATCGACGGTATCAGGCGCGAGCCGGCGTGCGTTCCAGCCGAGGCCGAGCCCACGACTCCGTCCGCCATGGATGAAGACTCGATGACTCCGCCCGCCGAAGCGATCGCTGCTGCGCCGCCTGTCCAGCACGAGCAGGAGGTCTCGCAGGGCACGTCGACCAGCGGCGACACGATGAGCGACTCGGTCGAGACGGACGCCACCTCCACAACGACGGCCCCGTCTCTTTCGCCTGAACTCGGTCGCGCTCGTCAGGTCTCGGCCCGCAGCAACCTCGAGCCGCTTCCTGAGCACACTGTCGCCAAGCACTCGACCGCCATCGTTGTGGAGGAGGACGAGGAGGGATCTGACGCCGAATGGGACATGGTCGAGACCTCCGTTGTCGCTTCGGTTCGCAACGGTGGTCGCGAGGCCACGTTGTGGCAGCGAGGCTTCCGCGACCGGTATCGCCTCGTCCTCCAGCCCCTCGCGTCGCCTCTCCGCCCGCCCTTCTCGCGGCAAGCCTCGCGCCACAACTCGCGAGCAGGCTCGATCGCGTCCTCCAACTCTGCCATGCCCATCTCGCCTGCGACTACCCCTGAACCCCCCTCCTCTCCTCGTCCTCTCGGCGGTATGCGACGACTCGCGTCTGTCCGGTCCACCGCAAGCGGGAAGGGCGACGGCTTGCGTCCGCAGCGCTCACTCGACGCCGGCCTGTACGCCATCTCGAACGGCCTCAAAGTGGCGCCGCCCTCGCCGCGCATTGGTGGAAAGACATCAAAGACGAGCTTGGCGCCGTCGGCTACGTCGACCGAGCAGGAGAACCGCACCCCGCGGAAGGGCGGCTCGACAATCAAGAAACTCACCAAGTCGGCTTTCCTCTCCAGCAACAAAGCGTGATTCGTTCTCGCTCCTACGCTTATCACGACCTTACGATACCCGCCTGACCCCGCCCGACGTTTTCGCCGCCGTCTAGTGCAACTTTGACGACCCTTGACGACCTCACGACTTCGCCTTTCGTTTCCCGGCTGCATACCTCTCTTTCGCAACCGCGTCTTACCCTTTCTTGCACACGCATCTTAGCTATCCTCGTCGTCAGTACCTTACTTGCAGCCTTACGCCGTCCCTGGTTCGCACGCCCTTTCGCATTTTGCAGGCTTCCCTCCTCACGTCGTTGTCCTCCCTCACTCGTTCTTGCACGATTGCAATGTCATGCCGCGCGTCTCTCACGACCAAGGCGGCCGATGTCTCCAGACATCCGACCACGCACACTCGAGCGTCCTCTTCCTCCTGCTCTTCACCCTCACCATGTCGAACCTCGACAACGACACGCTCTTCGGCGTGCGCATACTAGCCTCATCCTGCACGAGCGCTGCTGACTCTCCAACCTGCGCAGTTCGTCTCCTCAGCCCTCATCTCCCTCGGCGGGCTTCTCGGTTTCTTGCGGCGTGGGAGTGTCGCGTCGCTGATCGCAGGGGGCGGATCAGGCGCTCTGCTAGCGTACGGCGTGCAGCAGCAGCGTTTCGACAGGCAGAACGTGCAGGTTGTCGTTGGTGTGTCGTCCTACCCCACATCTCGCTGATGAAGATGGGAAGGCGGGTACAGGCGTTGTTGCTGGCTTTCCGCGCCGAGAGGGCAACGGCGAGCACGATGAAGGAGCATGCTGACCTCGCGCTTCCGTACCACAGGCGTCAGCGCGCTTCTCGCCGTCGTGATGGGTCTACGGTTCGTTCGGGGGAGGAAATTCATGCCGGCGGGTCTCGTTACGGTGAGTGCTGATTCGTTTCCTGACGGCGTGAGCTGAATGAGAAGTGGGAGAGGTTGTCGAGAGGCTGACACCTGCTCTTTCCCCGCGACAGCTCCTCTCCCTCACCCTCCTCTACCGCTTCGGCCAGCGCTTGGCGTAACGAACGACGGCGACAGAGACATGCATTGCAGCTGCTTGATTCGACAGGACTGCCGGGCAAGACTGGTCGCTAGTCGCTGTCAGGAGCCACTGCTTTGCTTCAGCAATTACCGTCCTTCTTCGCTCTTGTCCGCTCCTCCGAGCCGCTTCCGCTCAATCAAGCCATGTCCAACGCGCAGTCTCGCGAGCGCCTGCGGTTCTTGCTCGGTCGCGCTCTTGGTTTGGTACGAGGATTCTGTACAGCAGCCCTGCGTCCCACGGCTGTCTCTGCTTCGCTGCCTCCTCCTACCGCTTCCACCTGGTCCCGCCTGGAATCTGCGCTTGGTCGTGAGGTTCCGTAGCCTGAAGCACGTCCAGCACACTCTCGCAACGGACTGGAGGCAGCCGAGAAGACCTTGCGAAAGGGCTGGTCGGGCTTTCGAGATCGCTCTTCGGCGGCAGGCTCTACGTACAGCGCGTGGCTGTTCTGTGCATGGAATGACGACGCTGAGGCGTGTCTGGCCGAAGAGAGGGCGATCAGCGAAAGGGATGCCTGAATTTGGGCCGTTCAGGTGCGACGCTGGCTTCGCTCTCCTCACACGCTCGCTGAGTGCGCTGGGATGGCGCCGATCAGCAAAATCATCTCGACGCTGTTCTGCGGCATCGGCAGCGACTCGAACGATGGCCGCTCGCCGAGTCCACCTCCTCCAGTCCTCACATCCGATCAGCAGCACAAAGCGGCGACTCCACCGCACGAGCTGCCCGCCTTGAACTTTGCAGCGCCCTTGACAGCTCCAGAACTGCCAAAGAGCCACCCGCCATCCGTCCAGGCGAGCGACGACGCCAGCTCTGCGCCTCTTCCACCTGCGACCTCGCCGGCTGCTCTCTCGCCGCCCATAGCGCCTGTGCCGAAGCTGCGACAGCTTGTGGTCTCTGAACCGCCTTCAATCTCACACTATGTCATCCCGCCAACACCCATCGACCCTCTCACGGCCTCCCCTCCTCCCTTCGAACGGCCCGCAACTCCGTCTGACTCGCGCTCGCCAGCAGCCTCAACCAGCTCAACACCCCGCCTGTACCCTTCCTCGCCAAATCTTACCGTCACAGACCCGCGGTCACGCTCTCCACACCGGCCGCCGCGCGGTCACCACCGGAGAAGCTCGTCCACGGGATCCAGGTCTTTCCGCGAGACGCTGAACGCATTCGCGGTCGAAGGGCCGGATGGGGTGCGCAGTGTGAACCATTACGTCCTGGGAGAGGTGTTGGGGAGGGGATCGTACGCGACTGTCGAGAAGGCGATCGATCGCGAGACGGGACATGCCTATGTGCGTTGCTTTCGGGCGGTTCTCGCACGACTCCTCGACTCTGACAACCTCGCGCTAACACTCCTTCTCGTTCAGGCCATCAAGGAGTTCTCGAAACGGCGACTACGGCAGATTGCAGCGGCAGAAGCGTTGCGGAGAGAGCGACAAGCGGATCGAATGAACGGCCGAGGTCGCGGACGAGGTCGCGGACGAGGGCGAGGGCGAGGAGGCGCTACGTCTGCGTCGCGGATCCTGCAGGCGGCGGCGGATGATCCAGATACGGCTGGACCGGACAACCTGGATCTCGTCAGTGCGTCGAGATTCCGCTTTTTCGTCTTCAGACAACACTTTGCTCACCTCTCAAGCGCGCAGAAACGGAGGTTGCTATCATGAAGAAGGTCGACCACCCGAATTTGGCCTCTGTTCACGAGGTCATCGACGTGACTTCAGACGATGCGTTGCTGAGTGCGTTTCTCTCGACCTCTCTGACAGGCCAGACTGCTGACGCACATTCCTGCAGTTGGTGTGTCAGTTGCTTGTACGCATCGTCAAGTAGAGCTGACGGTTTGCGCGCAGTCATGGAGCTTTGCGAAGGCGGACCGATCCTCAAGCTGAAGGACGGCGAGGAGGTCAAGCCTTACACAGAGGAAGAGGCGCGGCTGATCTTCCGGCAACTCGTGTTGGGTGCGTTGACGTCCCTTCCGACGCCTTTTGCTTGCACTGACTCTCGCTTGACGCGCAGGGATTGCCTACTTGCATCACAACGAGATCATCCACCGCGATATCAAGCCTGACAGTGCGTCCACCGACCTCTCACTTGCGCAGCAGCAACTGATGCCTTTCGCGCAGACGCCCTCTTCTCCGACCTCGCCCGCACGCACGTCAAGCTGGTTGACTTTGGCGTCTCCAAGTTCGCGCAAACGCCTCAGCCTTCGGCGATGGACAAGCCGGGCAACCTGTCGGTCGCGGGCAGTCCGGCTTACATGGCGCCTGAGTTGCTTCCGTCGAGCAAGAAGGAGGATGAAGAGGAGGAAGAGGGCTTGAAGCTGGAGGATGGGAAGGTTGGATACGCTTGCGATGTGTGGAGTCTAGGTGCGTTCGTCTACCTTGAGCATCAGTTGCGAAGTAGCTGACGATGTTGTGTTCGCAGGCGCAACGCTCTACGCCCTTGTGACTGGTCGCTTGCCCTTCCAAGCCGAGGACCCTATCGAGCTCTTCCGCCAAATCCGGGAGGACCCGTGAGTCAAGTCCTCCTCCCGCCTCATATCCATCCTAGCTAACCCAACGTATCGCAGCGTCGACATCCCTTCCACCGTCTCCGAACCCCTCCGCAACCTCCTCACCTCGCTCCTCGCCAAATCTCCCTCAGCTCGCCCGTCCGTCCCCTCGCTTTGGTCCGACCCATGGCTCACGTTCAACTCAACCGACCCGATGCCCTCATATGAAGAGAACGTCTCGACCGAGATCCAAGAACCCTCAGGCGAGGAAGTCGACCACGCGCTCGCGGCTTATCGCGGCTCGGCGTTTTTGGCGATGAGCGCGGCGGCCAAGTTCAAGGGGTTGTTGAATGCTGCGATGGTTAGGAGGAAGAGCGAGGCGGCTCTGGCGGGTTCGTCGTCCACCGACAGTGTCGAGGCGGACACCAAGGCGCGAGGGGGAGGCGTGATGGTCGATTCACCCGAGATGGTCTCGAGTCCAATCGCCTCGCCCGACCTGCGCCCTTCGTCAACCTCGTCAACTCCATCGCCCTCGTCTTCGCGCAACAACCTCGCCGGTCGACGCCGTCCTGCAGCGCGCGAACAGACAACCATGTCGTCCCTCTCGATCAGCGATGCGACTTCGCGCTGGACGCTGTCTACCCCTACATCCGTCTCTGGCGGGTCGGCAGAGCGTGCGAAGGACGACGAGCAAGACGAAGACGAAGACACCGAGATGCGCAGTCGCTCTGATTCTCCGACACCTATGCCAGCCAGCCCCCGACAGCAACCACGAACGACAGACGAGCCTCGAGAGTGGGGCGGGACGACGGCGCCCAGTGCGGCGATGGACGAGGCGGGGGTCGTCAAGCCTGATGAGAAGGGAGGGACGGGGGCGGGCGCGGACGTGTGGGAGGATCCGGAGTAGGGCGTAGCTGCTAACCTGCATAGGCGTTGCGTTCTCTGTCGTGCTCGCAAGAGAGCGGGAGAGCACGGCAACAGGTCTATTTGGCTTGTACGGAAGTGAGCAAGCGCTGAAGTGAGCGAGGTGAGCTACGGCACGAGTCCTTCCTCCTTCCACTCGCCCGAGGACTGGTCGCACAGCCAACGCGTACGCTTGTTGGGCATCGAGCCGAGGTCGACGCTGCGAGCCAGGGGCAGTTAGCGCGGACGAGGATCGGAAGCGAAGGACGAGGAACGCACAGGTCGACTTCGGTTGCGTCGATGACGATAAGGGCAAAGTTCTTCATGGCTGTGACGGGGAAGGGAGCATGCGAGTCAGCGAGGTCTCGAAGAGAGACCTGGCGCACACGAAGCCATCGCTTCGACTCACCCTCCTCGACCTGCTTCTTCTGCTCGTCGTTCTCGGCCTGCTCGACGCTCTCCGGCAGCGTCTGCGGCAAGTCCTCCATCTTGCCATCCCACTTCTCAAGCGTCGTACCGGGCACAGGCCTGTAGAAGCTCGCCCTCAACTCGGGCGACATCCTACGGAACTGGCGCACGCGCTCGTGTTCCCAGTTGAAGCCTTCGTAGGGTTCGAGTTTGGCCCCGGGGAAGAGGAAGGAGAAGGTCGAGAGGGTCGGGTCAGAGGCGGAGGATGAGGCGGGAGAGGGGTGGGAAGAGAAGGACGGGCTGGGGAGGATGTAGGCCCTCCCGACGATGCGGAACTGGTGCTGCGTCGCGGCGAGCCACCAGGCTAGCTCGATTTGCGGTGTTGTTGCGAGCTGGCGAGCCTTGGGGGACCTGCGCCGAGTCAAACTCAAGGTCAGCAGGAAGCGAAGAGAGGAGTCATCGTCCCGCACGATCGGGGTGGACTCGCCTGGCGTCGGTGGTCACGACGAGCTTGTCCGAGATGAGCTCGTTGCCGTCGTCGTCGTTGACGCGGTTGTCGGACCCGTCGCCGTCCTTCCTCCTCTCGTTGACGAACCCGCGATGGACGACGTAGCGGACCTGCGCACGTGCATCGCTCGTCAGCCTGCTCCTGGATTCGAGAGTCGTGCGGGTGCCGTTCACCCTTGGCTGGTTCGAGTCGATGTCCTTTGAGGCGAGTGCGTACGAGACCAGATCCTTGTTCTCCTTCAAGTTGCGGGTGACGAGTCCCCTGAGTTCGCTGACCCACTGTGGCAGTTGCTGTGCCTTCATCGTCGCTGTCGCTGTCGCTGTCAGGTGGTGTGCGATGCTGTCGACGCGGGCGAGCATCGAAGAGGGCGACGTCGTCTCGGAGAGTGAAAGCGGGGGCGATCGAGGTGCGAAACTCGATCTCGGTCAGCAGTTTTGTCTGTCGACGTGGCTAGTTTCTGCCGAAAGAGCGAACCAGCAACACACAGGGAAGCTCGACGCCGCTGCCACACTCGTCTGGCACCCGCAAGCCAGCGCAAGGTGAGCCGCACTCACTCGTACAGCTGTGTGATGTACCGTGGGACCGCTCAAACAAACGCCAACCGCCGCGACGAGCTGCCACCGCTTCATCTCCTCCCCGGCACTCTCGCTGACCTTGTTCCTCTCAACCTGCTCCTGCGACCCCGCCGTGCTCTCGGAATCTCCCACCCGCAGTCTCTCGACACACTCGCCCAGGCGCGCCGTCTCTAGCACCCCTCCACACCCTTTCAACCTCTCCCCCTCTCTCGCCATGCACTTGATGTACTCGTGCGCCCGCTTCCACCTATTGGCTCTCGCTCTCAAGCTGACGTATTTGCGAGGATAGTCTCGGCGCCGACGGCAAGCGCCTCTACACCCTCAAGAAGGCGACGGCTGCTGGTCTCCCTACCCGGTCTGCTCACCCTGGTGCGTCGAGCGAAAAAGACCTTCGATTCGGATGCTGGCTCTCGCTGGAACAGTGCAGCTGATTCTTGGAGTCTCTGTGGGTCGATGCAGCCCGCTTCTCGCCCGACGACAAGTACTCCCGGCACCGCGTGACGATCAAGAAGCGCTGTGCGTCGCCATTCTCCTCCTGCTTCCTTCCTGCTCTTTGTACTGACTCTTTCTCCACCCACAGTCGGAATGTAAGCACCCTCAGCGAATGCCGCTCGGAAGACCACACGAACGGTTACTGATCTCCGTCCTTCTCCTCCTCCTCGCAACAGCCTCCTCACGCAGAAGCCCGCCAAGGCTCTCTGAGTGCCCCTTCCACCTTCTCCATCGCATGCTTGTACCTTTCCTCCGGGTAGACTTGAACCGCCGACTTGGCGTTGTATTGTACACCTAGCTTTTCGCATCGTCTCTCAGGGCGATACGAGATTCGAAGAGAGTCGGAGGGGGAAGCGTGTTGCAAAACGGAGGAGTCGTGATAGCGTAGAGAAGTCATGGAGGGACAGAGGTGGTAAGACAACAGTACGGCTAGAGGGGGGAGAGCGGAAGAGAGGGTACAAGGAGAAATGTCGAGAAGAGGAGGAGTGTCTGAAAGGTAATGGTACATGGAAGATGGGAAAAGCCGGGTTCAGTCAAGGTCGCCCAGCGCCTCGGTCGTCTCCTTCTGCGCCTGCGCGCCCGTCCCGCTCGCCGCCGCCTCGCGCAACTCGCTCCTCAACCGCCCGATCCGCTCCTCCAGCCGATCTAACACAAGCTCGATATCCCTCACCTCCTCCTCCATCTCCTCCTTCCCCTTGCCCTTACCCGCATTCTCAGCCTGCGTCGTCGCAGCTTGACGCTCCCTCGCCGTTGCAGGAAGACCGATCCCATGCTGGACCGCAAAGTAATCCTGGAGGACGTCCCGGACGGCCATTGCGACCTCCTGCGGCGTCCTGTCCCCACCCCCTCCCGCGCCCGCTCCCGCCACAGTCTGCTCCGTCCCGCCCGCGAAACCCGCTGCGTTCCGCCTCCTAACCCGCTCAGCAGGATGCAAGTCCCCGTCCCTCGCTCCGCCCGCGCTTCGGAGGGTCCACAAGTTCGACAATACGAGGACGACGACGACCGCCCCGAGCGCGAGTGAAGCAGCGCTCTGGTTCGCGAGCGTCTCGACCGCCGGTTCGAGCGTGCACCAAACCGTCCCTAACACGCCGTTCGGCGCCGCCTTGGCCGCTGCGTCCTCCGCCTGCGCTTGGGAAACCATGTCCAGTCCCGCGACAGACCCGTCGATCGAGCCACCTTCGTCTTCCGAGGCGGAGGACGCCGCGTCTGGATCTTGGCCTTCTTCGACAAACTCGTTCCGGTGAGAATGGATGTAGGCCCGCATGGCCTTTTCGAGGTCGGTGTGGTATTGCTTCTGCCCGTCGATCGCCGACTTTTCAATGATTCCTGCCGAGCGAGCGTGAGTGAGCGAGAGCGGCGAGAGAAACGGTGGGAGGAGCGGGAACGCACCCTTGATGAAGCTGCTCTTGGACCACTCGACGCCTGTCGTAACAACAACCCTACAGTGGTTGTTCTTGGCCCACGTCATGCTCGTCCTCGTCTTGACCGCGAACGCACTGCCGCTCGGGACGTCCGGCGTCCGAGTGGTCGTGACGACGCAAACGTAGTCGTCAAAGTCGACGTGCGCAGACTCGTCGGTGATGAGGCACTTGGTCGACTTGGGCCCGATCGAGCCGTTCAGGGGCTTGATGTACGACATGGAGCGCGCGAGGAGGTTCGAGCCGGAGGCTTGCGGCGCCCAGTCGCCGATTTGAATCTCTGCGCATCCGGACCAATCGCGCCTCGTCAGCATGCTGCTCGAACCAACGAAGCCAAGACGAAGAACGGAGCGACACGCACCGGTGAGCTTTTGGTTCTCGGCCCAGAAGTCCTTCATGAACCCGCTCGTGAACATCAAGTTGTAGATCTTCTCGGGCGCGCCAGGGAACGTCGTGTCCATGCAGACCTCCTTGAGGTTCTTGAGCGTCGGGCACGTATCGACCGTGGGTGGATGAGCCGGCACCGCGCCCTTCTTGCCCTTCTTCTTGCCCTCGCCCGCTTCGCCTTCGCCCTTCGACTCGGCAGACCCCTCGTCGACGGGAAGCGCAAAGTCGACAGACTTGTTCGTCGAGCCAGTCGACTCGCCCGTCCCGCCCCTCGGTCTCCTGAAGCCCTTCAGCCTCTTCTTCGCGCGCTCCTTTTTTCCCTCCACCGCAGGACTCGACTGAGCATCCTGAGTAGCAGCAGCCTCCTCGTCTTCCGACTCGCCCGCAGCATGCGAGTTTCCGCTTGTCGAGAGCGTGTCGGGGAGGGCGGCGGACATGGGGACGACTGGGTGGAACATTCGCCAGATGTTGCCGATTAGGTCGTACGTCGTGTCGCGCGAGAGAAACGAGGCGAAGGTGTGCTGCGGGCCGGGGAGACGAGAGAGGGGGTCAGCGGCGGGACTTGCGGAAAAGCGAGTACAGCGGGAGCGGGGGGGAGGACGGTAGAACGCGGAGGCGATAACGGCACGGGGACTCACACGTGCGTGCATCGTAGCGATCTGAATGGCGTTGGGGATCACGTAGGCGGTCATGCGCTTCTCAATCGAGCAGACCTCAGAGAACGGGATGGTAAGCTGTGCGGGATCCACAGCTACAAATCAGTACCGGTCGCAAATTACAACTCAGAGAAGCGACGGCTTGTGAAAGGATCTGGACGCACCGAGGTGACCCAGCCAAAGATGTTGGCATAGAAGGAGAGGTGGTGCTCGGAAATGTAGAGTCGACCTTGAATGAGGATCTCGCGCTGCAGGGCGCAGCCGTAGTCTATACGCGGCGAAAGCTGTGATCAGGAGGTCTGCTCCGGGATGTACGTCCCGAGCCGGGAGGCAGCGAGAACGGCCGCTACGCACCCTCGATCAAGTAATCGTCCTCTGGGATATGCTTGAACAGCGCATGGAAGTCCGCATTCCGCTTACTACTCGCAACCGCATAGCCCGTCCCCAGCATGCTAACGACGTCGTCAAAGTCGCCGAGCTGGTCCATCGAGAGGAACCCGCTCAGGTGGTCTCCAAGCGTCGAGCCGACTCCGAGCGCACCATCGTACATCGAGGGCTGGTCGCGCGAGTACGTCGTGGCGAGAGGTACGCCAACAAGCGCCTCGCCTGGCGACGAGTGCCCATGATCTATTACCGAGGCGGCAGGCGAGGTATGGTTGTCGAGCGAGTCGCGTGCGGAAGCTGGCGCGTCTGCAGGATTGGCGGGCCTTTCCTCCGTTGACGACGAAGCAGTGCCGGGAGAGACCGGGGCGCTGGCCCCGTTGCCAACTGCCGCGAGCGGAGCCAGCACATTAGGATGCCGCAAGCTCTGGCTTGGCGAGGCGAGCGCAACACCCGACAGTGCGAGAGCGCCCGCAATGCCGTTCTTCGACATGGTGCCCTTGCGCCCTCGAGCAGGCGAGACGCTTCCAGGCGGACGAAGCGAGAGGTTGTCAGGCTGCTGCTGCGAGTTGATCGACGAGCTGCGCGAAAGGGGTCGACTCGCTGCGCGTGACTGGGGGCGAGACGATGAGGGAGGAGAGGATGTGCGGAGCTGCTTCGTCGGAGATTCGGAGTGCGGCGAGAGAGTCGAGTTGTTGATCTTGGCGAGGGCGTCGAGGCCATTTGCACGAGTGCTGCATCCGGGTGGAGGGGCTTCTGATGTCGTGTGAGAACGCGGACGGTTGTGGGGGACGACAGGGCCAAGACCAGAGCCTGAAGACGAAGTTGCGCCGGTCGCTGCGGGCGGGAAAAGCGTGGTCGGAGCTGCGAGAGGAGTACGCTGGTCGGGTCCATCGCCCGTCGGTGTGGGCGCATCGCCATCCGAAACTTGTTGTTCCACATGGGTCAGGAGTTCGGGCGCCTGGACGACGAGTGTGAGCGGTGCAGAGGATCCGTCTGGAAGAGCGAGGTGGTCGAGGGTGAGGCTGCCGTGCCCGATATCGTCGACGCGCCCGCCGCTGTTGCCGAGCTCTCCCGGCGACGACAAGTTGATTGTCCTTCGCTCGCCCTGGAACGACCCGAACGACGAGCTCCTCGACGCCCTCCCCGCACCGACTGCGCCAGTCCCGTACGCCCTCGCCGGCGACAGCGTCCTGCCCGAGTCGCGGTCCGCCTGTCCCTTGACGGGCGTCGTGAAGCTGCGCTGGGTGCTCTTGCCCGCTGGCGAGGGCGAGCTGAGCGTGGTGTCGTTGTGTGAGGCGGTGTCGCTCGCTGCGGGAGGCGAGGGAGGGTCGTCGAGCGGCGGGTCTGCGAGCGAGGTGGACGGCGCACGTCGCTTGAGCCGCGAGAGCATCGCACACGAGTCCAAGTCACAGCCTGAGCCAGTTGAGCGGGTCGCTTCAGGACGACCCACCTCGCTCCCTGCTCTCGCGGCGACATCCACCTCGTCCACCCGCAAGATGCAAGTATGGGTCTGCCAGACTGTCAGAACAACCTCGCTGACCCGGTCTACGCTAGCAGGAACCCACTCGGCGCGCCTGTCGTCCGTCTGCACGCCCTCGTCTCGCTCCCGCCAATTCTCATCTCGTTGACCCGTTCATCGCTTGCCATCGTACGCAGGCAGCTGCGTCTATCGAGGCAATCGTAGTCAACTCGGCTAGGGTCGCAGAGCAGTTTGTCGCGGTGCGTACCGAGCGGCAACGAGACTGCTCCGCCTCGCTCGCTGACTTCGACCCTCCAATGGACAGCGCTACTACGCCGCACAAGACCTCGAACCGACCGAACGCGCACTGCAAGTCCAGGCCTTCTACGCACCGACCGCACGGGTGACTTGGAACGGCAACCCCATCGCCTATGCCGACCTGCCCGCCTTCCTCCAGCAAATGCCCAAGAGCGCGCACGAGACGCAGGCCTTTGACTGCCATCCTATCTCTGGTGCGTGCGGGAGGGATCAGTGCTGAGACACCTTCATGACCTGCGGCTTCCTTCGAGCAGGCTCGGCAAATGGCGCAGCTCCTCCCTCGCTCGTCGTCACAGTCACCGGCCAGGCAAGTCACCCTCAATTTAACTTCTCACTGTGCTCTCTAGCTCACGCGCTGGCGATCTCCTACGGCACGCAGGTCTCGCACGGCCCAAACCCAACTCCTGCCGCCGGCTCCATCAACCCCAAGAACTTCGACCACCTCCCCCGCGTATTCAGCCAGTCGTTCATACTCGTCTACACCGACCCAACGCGCGGCGAGGATGGCTACTCGATCGTGTCCGACTCGTTCAGGTTCTGCTGAAGAGTCCCGAGGGAACTGAGGGAGAACGGAGGAATAGGTGCGTTCCGGCTTCCATCTTTCGGTTCTCTTGTGCTCACCAAAAACGGGAAGACAGACCGTGTACAGATACCCGCCTTATACTCGCATCATACCCTACAAACCCGAGCAATGCATTTTCTCCTCCTTCCCCTCCTCGCCGCCTCATCTCCCTCTCAGCTCTCCCTTCTCCGCCTCGCCGCGCTTTCCCCCCCTCACAGAAACGCTTTCACCTCGCTTTGCCGATGCTTGTCGCGCCGAAAATGGGTGTGCGCGTGACCCGCGCTGCCTTGGGTGGCTATGCTCAGGTTTGGGCGGTCCGAGCGATAGTTCGTTCGCCCCCGCGGCGGTGAATTCCTCGCTCCCTCTCACTCTTGCCTGCGCTTCCTCTCCTTCTACAGCCTCACTTTCAGCCTAACCCTCGCCTCAGTCTACGCCTTCCGCATCCGCCGCCGACACCCTCGCCATGTCCTCCTCTTCTGAGTCCGCCCCTTCCTACGCTAACTTCCGCGCCGCCCTCGCACGCCTCGACACTCTCTGCGTCGACCTACAGCGCGGGACCGTTGTCGGCCGCCTCACCCCTCCGGCCACTCGATGCCTCGCCTCGCCCACCCACCCTACATCAACGCCCTCGTCGCAGCTCTCAAGTCTTACGTTCGTACCGCCGGAGAACACGTTCCGAATGAGGAGGTGTGGGAGGAACTGAGGGAGACAAAGAGGGGAAAGGAGAGGGGGAGGAGGGAGTCGAGTTATGCCAAGGCGGTGGTGGGGTCGATTGCGTGGTTGCTGTGGGAGGTTGCGGAGGATCAGGTGACGAGTAAGAGGGATGTGGTACGTTTGACCTTGTCGAACAAGCTGAGATGGGTGAGACTGACGGAGAACCCGTTTTCTCGGTTGCAGGAGGTGCACCAGGCGAGCCTCATCCGTCTTATCGTGGGCCTGCCGTTCCTCCGTGCGCTCTTCACCTCCTTGTATCGTCGCTGACCATCCCGACGCACTTCCGCAGGAAGAAGGCAAATCCGCGCACGCCCGCTCTTCCTCCCCCTCCGAGGCACCCGCCGCCGAAACCCTCGCCTCGCTCGGCACAACTTCGCGCCGCTACCCACGCCACGCTCGTCTTCCGCTTTATGGACTTGTCGGGGCGGACGGGAGTGGGAGGGCGCGGGATGAGACGGCGGATCCGTTTGTGCCGCTGGCGAGGGCGTGACAGCGGCGTGCGGAGCATCTCGATGGGTAAATGGGGCGTAGAGGATGTCAAGAGCATGACAAGGCTTTTCTTCAGACGTTTGCAAGCTGGCGGCACGAGGTAGAGCAGAAAGTCTGCGCTGGCGAAGCGGGGAGCGCAGCGTCGGGCAAGCGCAACATTCGCGTCGCTTGGGAGCAGTGCCCGGTGCAGTGGAGCATCCTCGGACCCTGGAGAGCATCAGCGAAGCCCGCGAAGCGTGTCGAGGTTGGTCGCCTCCGCGCGTCGAGTTGGGCGAGGAGGCGGTTGAACTTGACCACGACGCCGGCCTCTGCGCGCGCTCGTTCGAATGTTACAAACAGACTACTCCAGCATACAGCAGCACGACGACGAGGTCCAGCCCGCCCCGCGATGCCAGCAGCCAGCGCACGACCTGGTCCGCTGACAAAAGGACGGCAACAAACAGACGTCGCCGTGGCTGGGATCGCCTCGCCAGGCTGTCGATCTGCAAGTTCATCAAGCTAGGGACACCGTGTGCGTCGGCGGGCGCGCCAGCCGTGCGCTCAGCACCTTGTCGCCGCGCCTTCCTCGTCCGGCCTGTTCAGCCTCCCCCCGCTTGTCCTAATGCTGCGCGGCTCTGCCTGGGGCTGGGTGGGCTGGCTGCCCACAATCAGACCGATCCGAGCAATCCTGCCTTGCGCTCGTCAAGCCCGGCGCCGCGCTCGCCGGCACACTCCTTCCCTAAGCGGCCCCCTCGCCTCCTCGCGAGCTTCTCGAAGCCGATTTACACGGGTCTCAGCCATCAAGCGCATGCTCTGCCTGTCCCTTGCGGCTAGGAACCATCGACCTTGCCCCAGTTGCCGACCGGAGTCTCTACCTCATCGCGGGCTCGCCCCTTCATCTAGTCGGCCTTTGCTGGGGCTCTCGCCGCCTGCTGAGGCTCCTGCTCGCCCCCTCGACTCCCTCTCCCTCATACCACTCACCTACAGCTACAGGGTTCTCTCCCCCCGTCCGCGTACAGGGCTCCCCAGCGAACGCTTCGTCGTCGTCTCGCTCTCCCGGCTTCGTCTCTGGCAGACAGCCCGCCTCGCCGCAGCCCGGCAGATTCTTTCGGTCTCCTCGCGACACCCCTACCGACACTCCTTTGAACACCCACGATGCGCTTCTCACTCGCGCTTTCCGCCGTCGCCGCCTTGACGACTTCGACTCTCGCCCTCGCCAGCGATGTCGTCGGCGCCGACCAGTCACCTAACCCGGCCCTCCACCAGCACAGCAAGCGTGCGACCTGCTTCCTCGGCATCTGCTGGGGCACGTCCATCGACACGACGTCCGACGTCAACAACTGCGGCTCGACAGGAAACAAGTGCTCGACGACTTGGGCGAATGGGTCCGGCTCGCAGTGCGTCTCGAGCGTCTGCTTGCCTGGCACCTGCAACGCCGGCTACGCCTTGAACACGGCGACTCGTTCCTGCGTTAACACTCAGACGGACGCGAACAACTGGTTCGTTTCCTTCGCACCTTCTCGTCCCGATTTGCGCTGACCGCCCGTCTTCGTTTCTCGCGATAGCGGATCTGTCGGCAAGGTCTGCGCAGTTGCTGGAGCGACGGGCAACGCCTGCGCGGCCGGCGTCTGCTACGCGACGTCGTGCCAGGCCGGCTTCGGACTCGTCAGCGGCACCTGCAAGAACCTCGCGACCGACTCGGCCAACTGCGGCGCTCTCGGCAAAGTCTGCCAGTTCCCTGGTGGCGCCGGCACCTGCAACAACGGCGTCTGCACCTTCACCTCCTGCGCGAGCGGGTACTACCTCGTCAACGGCGTCTGCACTGCGCTCAACCTCCAGTCCGACCCGAACAACTGTGGCTCGCTTGGCTACAAGTGCTCGGTCGCGAACGGTGTCGCTGGATGCAGCGCCGGATCGTGCATCGTCGCCTCGTGCAACGCCGGGTACACGCAGCAGACGAGCTACTCGTTGTTCGGCCTGCTCGGTTCTTCAACGTCTTGCGTCGCCGTCAACACCGCTTCCGATGTGAACAATTGGTTAGTCTCGCCCTCGAAGATCCCGCCCGCCAGCTCGTGCTGACATATCCCGCCTCTTTCTCGCAGCGGTGCCGTCGGCAAGGTCTGCTCGTTCACCAACGGTGCCGGCACGTGCTCGAACGGCGTCTGCACCTACACGTCGTGCAACAACGGCTTCTACAACGTCAACAACGTCTGCACTGCGCTCAACCTCGCCTCGGATGTCAACAACTGCGGCTCGGTCGGCAACAAGTGCTCGTACCCGAACGGCGTCGCCTCGTGCTCGGGCGGATCCTGCACTCTCGCCTCTTGCAACGCCGGCTACACGATGGCGACGAGCTACAGCCTCTTCGGCCTCCTCGGTTCGTCGACGTCGTGCTCGGCCGTCAACACGCAGTCGGACATCAACAACTGGTGCGTTCTTCGCGTTCACTTGCTCATTGCTGCGTGTGCTGACCCTTGATGTTCTCGCAGCGGCGCCGTCGGCAACGTCTGCGCCTTCCAGAACGGCCAGGGTACTTGCTCGGCTGGGCAGTGCACCTACTCCTCGTGCAATTCGGGCTTCTACCTCGTCGGCGGCAAGTGCACGTCGCTCAACCTTCAGAGCGACCTCAGCAACTGCGGCTCGGTCGGCAACGCTTGCTCGTTCCCCAACGGACAGGGCACCTGCTCGAACGGCCAGTGCGTCTACACGTCGTGCTCGACCGGCTACGCCCTCTCGAGCGGCAAGTGCACTACCGTCAACACCCTTACCGACGTCAACAACTGCGGCAAGATCGGCAACGTCTGCCCGGCGTCGTACTCGAACGGTGGATCGGCTTCTTGCGTCAACGGCCAGTGCACCACGACGTGCGCTGCCGGCTTCGACTTCGACACGACCTACAACTTCTGCCGCGACGTCACCTCGGATGTCAACAACTGCGGGACGTGCGGTCGTACCTGCACCCTCAACGGCGCCTCGGCGACGATCTGCTCGTCGGGCAAGTGCCTCGCCTCGACTTGCGACACGGGCTACACGCTCGTGAACGGCGCCTGCGTCGTCTACAACTTCCAGACCGACCCGAAGAACTGCGGCTCGTTCGGCAACGTCTGCACCTTCACGAACGGCGCCGGCACCTGCTCGGCGGGCAAGTGCCTCTTGACGTCGTGCAACACCGGCTACATCCTCAACAACGGTGTCTGCGTCCTCTCGGGCTCGCAGAAGGCGCGCGCCAAGAGGAGCAAGGTCACGAAGCCGAAGACGCTCTGCCCCGTTGGCGAGCAGGCTTGCCCCATCCTCGGCTCGACGTCGTACAACGGCGCGGTCAAGCAGCACTTTGCTTCTGGCGAGGACGTTACCGGTGTATTGGCTGGCTCGGGTGGCTGTACGTCTCGATCTCTCCCCATTCGCGCTCGCTCGAGACTGACTGTTCCTTCCCTCCGCAGACGAGTGTGTCGATACCAAGCAGGCACTCGACTCGTGCGGCGGATGCGCATCGACCGGCGAGGGCGCCGACTGCACCAAGATCCGTGGTGCTGCCGGCGTTGGCTGCCAGGAAGGTCGCTGCGTCGTGTTCTCGTGCCAGCCCGGCTTCAAACCCTCGCTCTCGGGCGACAAGTGCGTCCGTACGCGATCACACGGCGCAAACAACTCGACGTCGGCGCGGCGCCACCTCGCCGCACGGCACCAGCACGGCCACGCGCATGCTCACTTCTCCTCCTAGACCACCTCACTTCACCGCCTATCTCCCTCACCCTTTGTCGCATAGACCGGATCATCTGTCACAGCCCCTGTATACCCGGACCGGTTCCATCTCCTGTAGCCCTTGAACTCTTGCATCTCGCTTCCCTTTATACCCACTGCTTCTTCGGGGCTGCTTCTCGCGAGAGTGAATGAACGTGCTGTTTCTCAATACTTGACTTGCGATTCATGCGGATTCGACGGAGCGGCAGGGTACGACGGCTTCTGCTCTGCATTACCTTCGTCCGTTCTCCCGCTTTCCCTCCAGGTCAAGGAAGTACAGCTCCGATACGCCCTTCTCCTCCGCCTCGTCCAGCCTGCCAAGCTCCTTCTCGTCGAGCTTGGCGTCGTCGCTGCCAGAAGAAGGCGTAAAGAGCCCTCTCGCCGGCTGCAACTCGAAGTGCTCGCCGCCGACGTCCGTTCCGTCCTCGTGGCGAATCTCGACGACGGTCGAGACGCCGATTCCCATGGTCTGGTGAGCACGCTTGGCTGAGCGAGAGGTGCGTTTCGAGGCTGAGAAAGTTCCGCCGCGACTTTGCGAAGATGGGTCCGAGATCGAGAGCGAGTGGTCGCCCGGTTGCGCGAAGATGGTCGTCGTGAGCGTGAATCGGAGGAGGATGAGGCCGATGATCCCACCGAAGACAGCGTGGACGTAGCTGTCTTGAGAAAGAGGTCAGTTTGCGCTCAAGTCAGGCTTCGCTGAGAGAACGCACTAAATGCCGAGGTCGACGGCCTGCATCGATGTAGGGTCGGTCAAGGCTTGCTGAGGTCTTACAGCGAGGAAGAGCGCGAACGCCATTATGCTCACTGCAGCGGATACCGTAAGCTTCGTTCGACATCGCGAGTCAGAAGGACGCACAGCAAACCACGGTGAAGACCGCCACCGTTCCGACGAGGCCCTGCAGACCAAGACAGTGAGTTTGGAGGGCGCATAAGGTTGACCGAAGACGTACTGCGTAGGTTTGCCGGAAAACACGCATCTGCCGACTGTCGCTCCGCTCAGGCTGCCCGTCCAGCCTGATCGACTCGAATCGCCTGAGGATCTGGCCAAGCGAGCGAAGGTGCAAGCCGCCTGCAATATCGACGAACGAGACGAGGACGACGAGCCAGCCGGCATACAGGCCTGGGAAAGGCGGGATCAGCGAGTCATTCGTCTCGCAGGACCGCCTGGAGCTCACCGAAGACGATGCGGACGCTGTTGATGACCTTGAGCTGCTGCCCGCCTCGAGCGAGAAGCGCCGGACCGAGCCAGGCAATGTCGTTTGTCGAGAACGAGCCGGTGAATGCCGCAGCCTGCTGCAACAGCTTGGCATCGATGTCGCGGACCAAGTCGAGCGACTTCGTCCAGTGATGATGCGCAACGGCGCAGAAGGGCGCCATAGAGATCAGGAAGGCGAGCCATTCAAGGAGGACGCCCCAAGTAAGCCGCCTTTGAGCCTTGTTTGCGCCGGACGAGTCGGGGCTGTTCATGTAGACATGCTGGATGTAGCCGGCAGCGAGGGCGTGGGTGGCGAGCCAAGCGCCAGAACCGGGAAGCCAGAACCTGTCGAAAGACTGTCAGTGCGGGATCCTTGGCGAGTCGACGCAAGACTCACATGGTCAACCGCAGCCCGATGTACTCGTCGACGAGTCCGGTTCCTCGGTACCACGGGAGCGACCGCGCAATCGTGAAAATCGCTAGTGGGTAGAAGAGGGCGATTGGGACTGCCCAAGTGTGCGAAGCGTGAGGACGGAGAGAGCCGGCCTCGACGCGCCACACCCAGAAGCGCTTGTAGGCTATCTGGAGGCCGATGGAGATAGCTAAGACGATGAAGTTGCTGGTTGAACGTGAGTTGGTCAGTCTCGTACTCTCGTGTCGCCAACTCGAGTCGAGGTCCGCTAGAAACGGTATCACGCACAACGCAAAGATGCCCATGAGGATGTAGAGCTGGATGTAGAAGGACTTGGGCATGTCGTGCTTGAGGGTTGTCCACAGCCATTTGTGAAGCGCGTTGAAGGGGTTCGCCCCTGGCGGGAGGGACGAGAGAAGGTGGGCGAGGGCCGCTTGGACATCGCTGGCCGTTGGCATGGTCGTTGAAGAATGGCTATGTGATGCGTCGGCGAGGGAGCAGAAGACGGCAGGTGAGGGAATGCGCAGGTGCGAGGTGAAGCAGGGAGAAGAGAGGCGACAGACACAGGCCGCTGCGACCGTTGTGCGGAGACCGTCGATCCAATTGCAAAAAGCTCGCCGTTGCCGGCAGAGCCCTGCAGCGGCGAACAATGCATCAGGCCATAGCGGGCGGTCTGAGCGAAAGTCAAAGCCTCCGAGAAGAGCCGGTCGGAGCGGCGGTCTAGAAGGGTTTTGCTGGCTCCGATGCCACAGAGGCACTCAAGCCACCTCAGAAAGAGCCTCCTCAGCCAGTCAGACGAGTCTGCAGCCGACGTCGTTCTCCTGCCGTCCTCCAACCCGCCTCAGGTCCTCCCTGCCGATGGTTTATACCTGCATGCACCTCGGCGCGCATCGGGCCGTCGACCAGTGGTGCAGATCTTTCGAGTAGCTTGGCGACGGGCTGCATGAGCGGTGTGAGCTTCGCTGATCTCCAAAGCTAAGCGAGGGACGAGGAGGAGAAGGGGAAGCGGCGCGAGCGAGCGAGACGAGTGAGGCTGCTTCGACGCTGCTACAGTGCCCCAGTGAAGCGTGTGCAAGCGAATCCAGCGAGTTCTGCGAGATGGAGAGGTGTGTAGCTGGTCAAGGGAGGTCGGGAGAGGGTCTCGCTCCGTCATCACCCTCGCTCACGCCTCACACCGCTCAGACTGCTTCAAGGATGGCTGAATCTGGTTCAGAGACGTTCACTCTCAACATCAAGGCGCCCGCCGACCAACGGTTCAGCGTCACCGTCCCCGCTTCATCCACCGTCGAGCAGCTGAAGGAGGAGGTGCGTCCGCGGTGTCAGGGCTGCGTGGGTCAGTCGCGCCGGGCTGACAGTGCTCTCTGTCGTCCACAGATTGCTAAGGCGAAGGAGGACTTCCCCGTCGACCAGCAACGCGTGCGTACTCCCACTCGGCTCCACCACCTTCCTTCGGGTCGACCACGCTGACGAGTAAGACCTCCATTGCGCCCCGTCTACGCTCTCGACAGCTCATCTTCTCGGGACGAGTGCTGAAGAATGAGGATCCGATCTACAAATACGGGATCAAGGCCGGTGTTGCGATCCACCTCGTGAGTGGCTGAGGCTTGCTCTCTGCGAGTGGACCCAGTGAAGCTGTCCAATCCCTGACTCGCTCTCACTCGTAGGTCAAGGGAGCACGACCGGCTGGAGCCGCATCGACCTCGTCGACACCCGCGGCCCGCAACTCGTCCGAAGCGGCTGGCGTTCCTTCCAATTTTGCGGCAGGTCAGCAGGTCATGGGCAACCCGCTCGCACCGCTGATGAACGCGCAGTATGCTGGTGCTCTCGGAGGGTGCGTTTGCCGTTCTTCTTCGTGTTTGGAAGCGGAGTTGACTGATTTCGTTCGCACGAGCAGCTTCAACCCGTTCGCGCAGATGGGCGTCAACACGAACGACCCGAACTACATGCAGAACATGATGAACAACCCGGAGGTTCAGGCGCAGATGAACCGGCTTCTCCAGGACCCCGCCATTCTCGACCAGATTGTACAACTATCCCCTTCGCCCCGTCGTGTGTCCCAAACTAACGTCTCTCCTCATTGCACAGATCGCCTCGAGCCCTCAGCTGCAGCAAATGGGCCCGTACGCTCGCCAGATCATGCAGGTACGCTTGCTCCCTCCTCCTCGCTCGCGATCCACGCTCAACGTCCTTTCTTCTCTGCAGTCTGAGCACTTCCGCAACATGATCACGAACCCTCAGGCGATGCAGCAAGCGATGCAGATGATGGGCGGAATGGGCGGGATGGGCGGGATGGGCGGGGGCGCTGGAGCAGCTCCGTTCCCTCCTCCCGGCGCGTTTGGCGCAGCGCAGGGCCAGCAGGGTGCAGCAACCGACTCAGCTACAGGAGCTGGTGCGGGCGCAGGATCGGCAGGCTCGCCTCCTCCCGCTTTCAACCCTTTCGCGATGTTTGGCGGAGGAGCAGGCGCCGCTGCAGGAGCAGGAGGAGCAGGCGGTCAGCAGCCGGATATGGCAGCAGCGCTCGCGCAGATGCAGCAGCTTCAGTCGCTCTTCGGCGGATTTGGCGGAGCTGGTGCGGGAGGCGCAGGAGCTGGTGGACCGCAGCAGTCGCCTGAGGAGCGGTATGCGGTGCGTACGAGGCTGTTCTCTTCCGCTGCCTCTCCCGCTCTTCTGAGGAGTAGTTGCTGATGTCTTTGGCTGGGCGCTCAGACGGAGCTGGAGCAGCTACGCGGGATGGGCTTTACGAACGCAACTCGGAACGTTCGCGCGCTCCTCGCTTCCGGTGCGCTCCTCTCCTCTTCTTTCCGCCTCGTGCGCATCAGCAATACTGACATCTTGCTTCGCAGGAGGATTCGTCGACTCAGCCGTCGCCTGGCTCCTCGAGAACCCCGAGTAAACCGTCGCCCCAGCCCCTTCCTTCCGTCCGTCCTCTCACGCCGTCATTCAGCCGTTCCGCTTGTATTGTTGTCTCGATGCAAAGCATAGTGCACCTCTTCCCCCGCCTTTTGCGAGGTACCTTCAGCTCCACGACCAAGTCCAGCAGGACTTTGGCGGCCTCGACGGCTTGAAGAAGGCCGTCAACGCCGCTGCCCTCGGTATCCAGGGATCTGGATGGGCCTGGCTCGGGTACAACCCGACGACCAAGAAGCTCGAGGCTGTCTCGACGGCCAACCAGGACCCGCTCCTCGGCTACGTTCCCCTCGTCGGCATCGACTTGTGGGTCACCCTGAACGCTTCCTGAAGGTTACAGAAGCTGACAGAACTCACTGGACTCGCAGGTGGGAGCACGCCTACTACATCGACTACGCAAGTCGCTCTCTTCTCCCATTTCTCGCTTCTCCTCGCTGACTCGCTGTCCTCCGCCCTGAATCGTCCTTGCACATCAACAGAAGAACGTCAAGGCCTCGTACCTCGACAACATCTGGTCGGTGATTAACTGGCAGACCGCCGAAAAGCGTCTCTCGGAGGCCTAAGTCGCCCCTCTTCCCTCTCTCGCTCGGAAGGAAGGAAGGAAAGGAGCGCGCTTGAACCGAATCGTAGTCCCCGTCGTGAAAAGTCGAAGCAATACAAACCCACTCAGTCATTACAGTCCTCCCGCGAGCCTCTATCGTCCAGGTGCGAACCTACTTCGTCGTCTCAATCGCTCGCCGTACCGCTCGAAGAGGAAGGGCACAGGTACGAGGAGGAGCATGCAACCCGCTAGGAGCGTGCAGCCCCATTGGACGCCGAGGCGGTGGAAGAGTGCTGGGGCGAAGAGAGGGAAGAGGGCGCCTGCGAGAGGGCGGGTCAGTCTGGGAGAGGCGCTACGAGGAGGTGAGGCGAGCGCACCTGCGATGGAACGGGTGACGACGTTGGATGCGAGTGCCGAGGCAGCGTTGCGCTCGTAGGCGCTGCGTAAGCGGAAAGTCAGCTTGAGAAGGTGGAAAGGGAGGAAGAGCGTAGCGTACTCGATGAGGTACGTTTGCATCGAGCGCTGCGAGGCGACGACGGTCAGTGTATGCCTTGTTGCGTAGGAGGAGACGCACGAAGATGAGGACGCTCCCAACGCCTTGCAACACCCCCGACAGCGTCGGTACGATCCTGTTCGCCAGCAAGGTCAGCTCTTGTCCTCTCCGCGCCAAAAGTCAAACACACCAATGCACATGCGGCTTGTAGCCTCCCCATCCAAGCCAGAGGAACGAGACAACAATCATCGGTCCGCCGGCGAGCGCGGGCGGAAGTCGCTGTTCGGGCGTATGTCGGCCTTCGCGCTTGACGTCTCGCAGGTAGAGCTTCTGATACCAGAGCGAGACCGGGACTGTGCGGCACGGTGTCAGTGGAGTTCGAGGAGGGAGGAAAGGGAATACGCACCGGAGATGATGGCGCCGATGAGGATGGAGAGGAAGGGCAAGGAGGAGTAGCCCGGTCCGAGGTGGTGGACTTCGGTGAAGATGACTGGATAGCCTTCGAAGAGGAGATAAATAAGTCTGCGAGCGGAGAGGAGGGTGAATGGCAGCAGGAAGAAGAAGGGAAAGGCGAAGCGCACGCGTAGCAACAGCTCGCAAACGCCGCGACAGCCGCCACGATCGGTTCCGTCAAGATCATCACTATAGGCGTGCCCAACAACCTCCAAGCCTCCGCTCTGGACCGCTGAATCCTCGGCGTCCCTCGACTCTTCATTTCCGCCAACTCGAGCGCCGAGCGGATGCGGTCGTCGCCTGTCTCTTTGCGGAGTTGGCGTGCGAGGCGGGAGACGAGGACGGGTGGGTAGGTCTCGGGGAGGAAGAAGATGACGGCGATGCAGAGCGCGGCGGAGAAGAGGCAGGGGATGATGAATGCCCAGTGCCAGCTGAGGCGGTAGGCGGCGAAGGAGCCGATGATGGGGCCGAGGGCTGCAGGAAGAAGCGTTAGTGTGTGGAAGTTGGAGCAAGACAAGGCAGCCGACCTGGTCCTGCGAAGGTTGCGACGCTGGGAGGAAAGGAAGGTCAGCGAGAAGGATCGCTCAGACGCATGAGCTGCGCACACCTGTAGAAGCTCATCGCCGTCCCTCGCTCCTTCGCATGCCAGATGTCGCCAGTCAGCGCGCCCGAGCTGTCAATGAAGAAGGATCAGCAGGCTTCAAGCAGAGAAAGAGCGGAGTCACACCGACTTGGTCATTGGCACAGCGCCGAAGAAGCCAGATAAGAAGCGCAAGACCAGGAGAGCGCCGTAACTCGGCGCAGCAGCGGAAGCGCCAAGGAAAGCCGTCAAACCAAGGCTGCCGAGTACGAAGAAGGGTCGCCGTCCGTATGCTTCGCTGAGCGGGCTCCAGCACCACGGTCCGGCGACGTAGCCGAGGAGGAAGAGGGACAGTGGGAGGGCGGTCTGCGCCGAAACAAATCAGGGTTAGTCGGATTCAAGGGGCAGGAGGGGCGGAAAGCAGACTCGCGTTGCCGCCCAAGTCTGCCTGGATCCACGGCGCCGCTCCCGACGAGCACGACGACGTTAAAGCGCTCTATGTGAGTAGAAGATGGATCAGCGAGCAACAAGGATGCAGGAGGAGTCGCCGAGACGCACCAGCATGACCAGGAGTGCGGCCAGCAGCGTCAACCACACCTTCCACCGTCTCGACCGGCATAGCGGATCATCGGGATGGGCTGGCGCCGCTGCAAACGCAAGGAGGAGGTACTGCGAGTCTGGTATCCGCGAGAGGGCGAGTCCAGCGGGGACCGCGGGTAGGGCCTTGTCATCGTCCGCCGTGCTCGCCTGCTCCGGTTCGTCCGCCAGCTCGTCGACGGTGCCCTTCTCTACGTCGTCCGTCCTCGTTGCCATCGTCGCATGCGTCGTAGGAGCAGAGAGAGCCTCCCTCTCGAAATACGACTCCGGCAGAGTGCGAAGTGCGAACGGAACTCGGCGCGGAACTGCCGACGGACGTGTTTCATCTCCTTTCGGCCAATTTCAGCACAGCCACGCCGATGGAACGCGCACGCTCATCGACCAACCCCTGCTCTGCCTCCTCGCACCGCTTCTCGCTGGCTTACTGCTTGCTTACTAGCTCACTACACGGATACACTTACGCGCACTCACCCTGTACACGCCTCGCTCTTCTCCCGCTCGCACAATGACCCTCCTCGGCTCGATCGCTTCAAAGGCTGGCTTCTCGAACGGCAGGGCGTGGGACCCGTCAACGGGCATCCCAGACCTCACTGGCAAGGTGCGCACACCCGCACGCCCAGCGAGGATCATCCACTGACCCCCCTCGTCGGCCAGGTCGCGATCGTCACGGGCGCGAGCGACGGCATCGGTCTCATCACCGCTCGCGAGCTGCACAAGAAGGGCTGCAAGGTCTACTTGGCGTGCAGGAGCGAGGAGAAGGCGCAGGACGCGATCAAGCGCATCAATGAGGCGTCGCCCGGCAAGCCTGAGGGACTCGTCTTCCTCCCGTTCGACTTGACGGAGCTCAAGAGCGCTGAAAAGGCGGCCAAGACGGTGCAGGAGAAGGAGCAGAGGCTGGACATCGTCGTCTGCAATGCCGGTGAGTCTGGCGGACCTTCCCTTCGCTCTCGAGAGATGTCTGTGGCTTCATCTCCTCCGTTTCCTTCTGATGCGATGTTCCAACAGGAATCATGGCGTGGCCTTACGAGCTCAAGAACGGCGTCGAATGCCAGTTCTGGAACCACCTTGGCCACTTTGCGCTCGTCAAGCCGCTCCTCCCGCTCCTCATCAAGACGTCGAAGGAGCCGGGCGCCCAGGTCAGGGTCGTGAGCGTCTCGTCGATGGGTGCGTCGGCGCCTGCTTCACATATTGTCGCCGGAGAAGCGAGTTGACAGCGAACACGAGCAGGCCACAAGTTCGCGCCCAAGCCCGATTTCTCCTCCCTTGACGCCGTGAACCAGGACTATGGCTCCACCTGGAGTCGCTACGGTCTGAGCAAGCTTGTGAGTTGCCTGGGTGGATTGTACCAAGCGGGACGGTGGCTGACTTGCACCTCTTGCAGGCCAACATCCTCTTCGCGACCGCCCTCCAGGAGCGCCTCAAGGATGAGAACATTCACGTGCGCGCTCCTCCTCTATCTCACTACGCTCTTGCTGACGCCAGCATAATGGGCAGGTCAACTCGCTCCACCCGGGCAACATCCACACCTCGCTGACGCGCGGACCAATCGCTTCGTACGGCTTCTTCGGCGTGCGTTACTTTCGCTCTCTCTCATATCCACTCCCAAGCTGCTCGATTGCTCACACATCTGCGCGCAGAAACTCATGCAACGCGTCAGTTCCTACGCCATGATGACGCCCTTCGAAGGCGCCAAAACGCAGCTCTACCTCGCCGCCTCGCCCGAAGTCTCCGAGAAGGACTACCGGTGCGTCAATCTCTCCCCCTTCCTTCCCCTGCGTGAGCTGACGAGGTGATGCGGAGCAGCGGAAAATACTTTGTCCCCATCGCCACGCCAGCGACCCCTTCGGCTTATGCGCAGGACCGCGAGCTCGCGGAGCAGCTGTGGAAGTTGTCGGAGGAGGCGGTCAAGAAGGCGGACCAGCTGGCGAGCGCTTGAGGGAGGACGAGTATGGATGAAGAAGCGATGTTGGTCTGTTGTGTTCGAAGTTGTTTTCTGTGTCTTGAGCGCCGTTTCTCCCAGTCCAAGAGGACGCTGACGTGCTCTCGCAGCGTGCTCTCGCTTCCCATGCAAACCGGACTAGACACGCTGGTCTGGCGTCCCCTCCTTCGTCCTTCTCCTCCGTCCGCTTTTCTCACACGCTTCCAACCCCCGCTCACCCGCTTCCTCAGCGGGCAGCTCTACCGCTCTCCCTCTTCCTCTTCCCCTTCGGCTACGTCGCCGGATTGTGGTACTGGAGCCCGCTGAGCGAAGCATACGGACGACGACCCTTCTTCGTACTCGGCAGCCTTGGTTTGACGGCTTTCTTCGGCGCTTCCGCTGCTGCGCCTAGCTACGGCGCTCTCCTGGTCTTGCGCTTCTTCTCTGGCTTCTTTGGCGCTGTGCCAATGACCAAGTCGGTGTGCCTTCGCCCTTTCTTTGCTCGAATCCTACTGATCCTTCTTCCTTGACAGCTTGGGTGCGCTGACTGGCGACATCTGGCATGCGAAAGAGCGAGGGACGGCGATGAGCTTCTACAGGTGCGCGCAGCTCATGCGTCTGAGCGATCCTTCTCGCTGACCTTCCTTTCCTCCCAGCATCGCAACCTTCGCAGGGCCAGGTCAGCTTCTTGATCCTCGCATTTACAGCCACACACTAACGCTTCTTTCTGCAGCCCTCGGCCCCATCATCGGCTCCTTCGCCGCCTACCGCCTGAGCTGGCACTGGGCATTCATCATCCCCTGCCTCTTCTCCGCCGCGCTCTGCATCGCCGTCATCTTCTTCCTCCCCGAGACCTACCCACCCGTCCTCGTCTCCCGCCTCGCACGCCAACTCCGCAAAGAGACAGGCGACGACCGCATCCGCTCGGCGCTCGAGTTGGCGGAAATGAAGAGTCGTGGGACGCCGAGGATTCAGCGTTTCAGAGCAGAGGCTTGGAGGTTGTTGGGCACGCCTATAGTGATGATCTCGACCGAACCGATCGTGGCGGCTGTCGCGGCGTTTGCGAGCTGTTGCTACGCGTGCGCTTCGCCTTTCCCTGCTTCTTCCTGCTGCCATTCACCCTCCTCTCCGCTCGCAGACTTATTTATCTCCTCTTCGAAGGCTACCCCGTCATCTTCAGCGAAGTCCACCATCTCGGACCAGGCTACTCCTCCCTTCCCTTCCTCTCCATCCTCGTCGGCGCCATCATCTCCGGTGCGTCCTCCCTTTCCTCACTCCTCACTTTGACTGACACCAAGCCGCACAGTCCCGGTCACGCTCTGGTATCAAAAGCTCTACCTGCGAGATGTCAAGCGCGAAGGCCGGCATACGCCCGAACAACGACTTCCGCCTGCGCTCGCCGGCGGTCCGATGATCGTCGTCTCGTTCCTCTGGCTTGGATGGGGCGGCTACAAGCCGCATGTGCATTGGTGCGTGCCGTCCCGCTTGAGCAGTAGAGGACAAGAGCTGACCTTGCTGGCGAACAGGATCGTCCCAACGCTGTCGGGCGTCCTGCAAGGTGTTGGAAGTGTCTTGATCTTCGTGCGTACACTCGCTTCCACCCCGAAGCTTGCACTGACCGTCGTCGCCTTGCAGCGCTCGATGCAGACGTACCTCATCGAGTACGTTCCGCTCCTCCCCTTCAACCTTCTCAAGCTGACTTTCCGCTCACGCAGCGCCTACGAGCGCAACGCCGCCTCAGCACTCGCATCCAACGTCGTCACCCGCTCCATCGCAGGTGCGCTCGCCTCCCCTCCTCTCTTGTATCCGGACTGACCCTCCCTCCTTGCAGGCGCCCTCTTCCCTCTCTTCGCCCCAGCACTCTTCCACCGCCTCGGCGTCCAATGGGGCTGCACGCTCCTAGCGGGTTGCATGCTCCTCCTCGTGCCCGTTCCCTTCCTCTTCGAGCGGTACGGCGAGCGATTGAGACGACGGAGTCGGTTCGCGCCTGGACGATAGAGGCTCGCACGTGGGCTGCAACGACTGAGGGGTTTGTATTGCTTCGACTTTTCACGACGGGGACTACGGTTCGGTTCAAGCGCATCCTTCCTTCCAAGCGAGAGAGAGCGAGGGGAGAGGGCGACTTAGGCCTCCGAGAGACGCTTCTCGGCGGTCTGCCAGTTGATGACCGACCAGATGTTGTCGAGGTACGAGGCCTTGACGTTCTTCTGTTGACGTGCGAGGGCAACCCGAGGAGGTAGGCGAGTGTGTCAGCGAGGAGGAAAACGAGAAGGACGAGGAGGGGGAGGACTCGCGTAGTCGATGTAGTAGGCGTGCTCCCACCTGTGAGTCAAGAGAACCCCATCAGCTTATGTAACGTTCAGGAAGCGTTCAGGGTGATCCACATGTCGATGCCGACGAGGGGAACGTAGCCGAGGAGCGGGTCCTGGTTGGCCGTCGAGACAGCCTCGAGCTTCTTGGTCGTCGGGTTGTATCCGAGCCAAGCCCATCCGGATCCCTGGATACCGAGGGCAGCGGCGTTGACGGCCTTCTTCAAGCCGTCGAGGCCGCCAAAGTCCTGCTGGACCTGGTCGTGGAGCTTGCCCGACGAGGGGAACTGGCCGCCGCCCTGCGACTGAGGGGCGAGGTTCTCCCAGAAGAGGGTCTGCGCGAGAGGAAAGCGAGGCAGGCGAGGCGAGTTGCGGGAATGGCGGGGTCGAATTTCGCCGAACCGGAGGAAGGAGCGGAACAAAGATGAGGGCCAAGTCAGCAGGCGCGCCCGCGTGAAAACGGTCAACGAGCGCAGTCTCACGTGGTTGATGTGGCCTGTCGACAAAGAACGCCGAGGATGGGAAATTAGTCAGTTGTGGGGAAGGGTGGACTCGGAGGATGAGAGGGAGAACGCACCACCGCCGTTGAACTTGATGGCGGCCTGGAGAGCGATCTGCTTCTTGATGTCCTGGGCCTGCGAAGCAGCCTGGATGTCCTCGTGGGCCTGCGCGCGGGGTGTGGGAGCGGGCGAGTTGCAATGAGCGAGATGACGAGCGAAACCGACGAGGTCAGCAACCAGCGACGGCGGGCACTGTGTGGGTGTGGTACGCACCTTGTTGAAGTTGGCGACGTAGGTGGCGTGGTGCTTCGAGTGGTGGAGCTCCCTGCGTGGCGAGCGAAGGTCAGCGCGAGTTGTCCCCCCTCGTTCTCCTCGTCCTGTGGACCGTTTTCGACGGGGAAAAGGGCAGTACGAAAAGAAAGGGTATACGTGCATTATGGTGGCACTAATGGCGGGCTCGAGGGCATTGTACGCGAAGGGGAGCTTCGGGAGGACGGCGGGGATCTGGTTGAAGCTGTGCGACATCCTGACGGCTGTTGCGCGAAGCATCTGAGGTCAAGGGGGCTGTCACCGCCTGTCTGGGAGTGTCACAAGAATCAGTCAGTGGACGCACGAGTGGGTGTGATCTGTTCGAGTGCAACGTAGGAGGTCAAGAGGCGCACTGGATCGCAAACGGCTCGTCACCACCTCGCTGAACTCTGCCGAGACTACCGATAGCTTTCTGCGCACTTACATAGTCCTATCGGACCCAAGCACGCGGCCCTCGAGCGAGCGAGCGAGTCTCACTCGTTCCCTCCTCGTCGGCTCGCCGTCTTGGGGGTTCTTCTCGCGCGCTCACACACTCACTCTCTGCTACGATGCCCGCCGGACAGCGCACCCTGCTCGCGTCCCTGCGCGCAGCCACCCGCCCACAACGACAACCGCACCCGTCGCTCGTCGCAGCTCGTTCAATCCCCACCGCGCCCATCCAAACCCGCTCGCTCGCCTCGCAGGTCGACACTCGCCAGGGATGGACACGCGAGCAGGTCCAGGAGGTCTACGACTCGCCCTTGATGGAACTCATCTTCCGCGCTGTGAGTCTCGCTTCTCGCAACGGGGATCCCAACATCTCCAGCTCCCCGCATCCGCCGCCGCTTCAACCCTCGCGCTGACTCTCGCTCTGAATGCGCGATCTACCACTCGTGCCCATGCACACAGGCCTCGGTCCACCGCCTGAACCACCCGCCCGACCAAGTGCAGCTCTGCACACTGCTCAACATCAAGACCGGCGGATGCTCCGAAGACTGCTCGTACTGCGCCCAGTCGTCCAAGTACGCGGACAAGGTCGGTCTCAAGGCTGAGAAACTCACAGACGTCGAGACGGTCCTTGCGTGCGTCCCCTTCCCACCCTCCTCTCCGCGCCTTATCCGAGGGGAAACGGAAGCTGATATCGATTCGTTGCGATTCCCCCGATGCGTACGCAGCGAGGCGAGGAAGGCCAAGGAGAATGGCTCGACGAGGTTCTGCATGGGCGCGGCGTGGCGGGACATGAGTGGCCGGAAGCGTGGGTTTGAGCGCATCCTCAAGATGGTCGAGGGCGTGCGGTGCGTCGTCGCTCTCACCTTCAGCCTCGCCTGCTCTCCAGGCAGCGATACTGATTCAGGTCTCGCTTGGACGCCACAGTGCGATGGACATGGAAGTCTGCACGACACTGGGCATGCTCTCTCCCGAGCAAGCCCAAAAACTGAAAGAAGCCGGCCTGACAGCGTACAACCACAACCTCGACACCTCGCGCGAGTACTACCCCAAGGTCATCACCACGCGCAAGTACGACGAGCGCCTCGAGACGATCGAGGCGGTTAGGAGTGCCGGGATCAGTGTGTGCAGCGGAGGGATCATTGGGCTGGGAGAGAAGGACGGGGACCGCGTTGGGTTGATCTACGAGATGAGCCAGTGAGTGCGCGATTCGACTCGACGATGCAGCTCTGTCGCCGGCGAGCGACTCGAGCTGATGTCCCCAGCTCTTCGAATTGCATACTCACCCTCCCTCTCGCGCGCAGGCTCCCCGAACCCCCCGAGTCGTTCCCCGTCAACGCCCTCGTCGCCATCCCCGGCACGCCCCTCGAGCAGAACGAGCGCGTCACGATCCAGGAGTTGCTGCGCACTATCGCGACCGCTCGGATCGTCCTTCCTACGTGAGTCGTCTCGGCGATTCTCTTGCGTCGATGCCTTGCTCAAAACGAACGCTGACGCTGGCGAGAGATCTCGAACCGCTCGCAGCTCCATCATTCGCTTCGCCGCCGGCCGCATCAGCTACACCGAGACGGAGCAGGCCATGGCCTTCATGGCCGGCGCCAACGCGATCTTCACCGTGCGCTCCCACTGTTTCTCTCTCTGTCTTCTCTCTCGCTGACTCTCACACGCCCACACGCAGGGCGAACGCATGTTGACGACCCCAACGTCGGGCTGGGACGAAGACCACGCGATGCTCGGGCGATGGGGCCTCAAGGGGATGGGTTCGTTCGAGAGTACGACGGTGCGGATGAAGGAGGACAAGCGTGCGCTCGAGGCGACTGAGGCGCGCAGGTCGTCGTCGGTCGGTCAGCAGGGAGAGGTGGTCGGTGAGTCGCAGGCTGCTGCGACGCAGACGGTCGCTGCTTAGATGGGGTGATTAGAGACGGGGTGTTGTAGATTTGACGTTGCTGGCTGTCTGTGAAAAGGAGTTGGCATTACGACGCGACCTCCCTGTCGGCCGGCGCGGGTTGGCTGCGGCCGACTAATCTCTTGGCGGCCGTCGACACCGCCTCGCTTCGTCGTCTCTTCTCTCTGTCTCCTACACACTCGCTGAGGACACGTTGACTCGCATGGACACAGAGAAACCCACGCTCGAACCACCCAACCCGCCCGACCGCAGCCTCACCGCACCCGTCCCTCCGACCACCTCTCACTACGCTCGATCCCTCTCGCTCGCTGAACTCGGCTCGGACGCGTCGAACGGGTTGGGCGAGGGCGAGAAAGATGCGGGACAGGGGAGGGTGTTAGTCGAGGAACCGGGGTCTATAGCGGGAGGTACGAGTAACGATGAGGGAGCGGCACCTCCTCCTCCCGTTGGTGGGAGCCAACCAGTCCCGCAGCATCACATGCGCCAACGACGTCCGAAACCAGCGAGGGCTGAGACTGCTCCGGCGCAGAGGACGAGGATGGGGTCGTTGGAGGTTGGAGGAGCGGAGGCAGGAGTGAGGCCGGGTGTTGAGAGGGCGCCGACGAGGTCGTTCTTGGGCAAGCATCTGCTCGAGCCGAAGGTGCGTGTAATCGCGATGTCGTTCTGAAGCGCTGGCTGACGAGCAGACGCATCTCGCAGGTCCCGGTCGCGAACGCACCGGGCTGGAGGAGTTCCGCAGTCAACATCGTCCGCTACTCATGGCTCAACGTCCTGCTCGTCTTCATCCCCGTCTCCTGGGCATGTCACTTTACGTGCGTCGTCTCGCGCAATTGTTGGACGAGCGAGAATTGACGCCCTCTGTCCGTCGTTCGCAGGAATCAGAGTCCGACTGTTACCTTTATCATGTCCTTCATCGGTGCGTTCGCTCTCCCTGAGCCTCCGAGCACGCTATCTGACATCATAGACATCGCAGCCATTATCCCGCTCGCTTCGCTCCTTGGTTTCGCAACCGAAGATCTCGCCATCCGTGTTGGCGAAACCATCGGAGGTGCGTCTGTCGCCCTCTCTTCCCCTCTGCGCTCTCGCTAACGTCTATCGTGCAGGCCTGCTGAACGCAACTTTCGGCAACGCCGTGTCCGTTCTCCTCGCTCTCTCTCTCCCATCCTCACTCGCTGACTTCCCACGTCTCGCAGCGAACTCATCATCGCCATCCTTGCGCTTGTCAAGGGCGAACTGGAGATTGTGCAGGCGTCGATGATCGGGTCGATTCTGTCGAATTGCTTGCTTGTGCTTGGGTGCGTTGCCCGCTCCTTCCGTTTCCTCGCGAAGATGAGTTAATGGTCGTGACATTGCGCAGGATGTGCTACTTTGCTGGCGGTGTACGTCGTCTTCCCTCCCTCGAAGCGGACCAGAGAGTTAATCCTTGTGAACGAACAGCTCAAGCGGCACGAGATGTCCTGTGCGCCTTCTCGATTCGCTTCTCCCGACACTAGCTGACCTTTCTGCTCGCTCAGACGGCGTCCGCAGCGCGCAGATCAACATCAACTTGCTCGGTCTCGCCGTCACAGCCATCGTCATCCCCGTCGCCGTCCACCACTTCCTTGACGCCGCGCAGACCGAGAGCCTCGACTTGACGAACAGCAAGGCCTTGCACATCAGTCACGGCGTCGCGATCATCTTGCTTTTCGTCTACATCGCGTCGCTGGCGTTCCAGCTTTGGACGCATGCTTGTGCGTCGCGTTTCCCTCCTTTCGCCTTGAACGAGACTAACGTGGCGTGCGAGGCAGACCTGTACGCTCCTGCGCCTCGTCCCGACCCTACAACCCTCGCCAACCAGCCTCCCCTCGCCGGCATGGCGCCCGGTAACATGGAACCGCAACCGCCTCAAGAGGGCAACGTCTTCCGCATCCCCTCGCTCCCCTCCCTCCCGAGCTGGGGCGACTCGGACGACAGTTCCTCCACCTCCTCGTCGTCCTCCAGCTCTACCAACTCGGAACTCGAGCACCACACGCCCAAGATGCTCGGCCGCGTTGCGGTCATCTTGCTCGTTACTGTCACCGTCTTTGCGGGTGTGACGGCCGAATGGCTCGTCTCGTCTATCGAGGGTCTCGTCGAGACGGGAAACGTTTCGGAACAATTCGTCGCGTTGATCCTGCTGCCGCTCGTCGGGAACGCAAGCGAGCACGTTGCCGTTCGTCCACTCCCCTTTCCTGCGTCTTTCAAACTTCTCGCTGATACGAGGTGTTGAGCAGGCTGTCACCGTCGCTACGAAGAACAAGCTGGACCTCTCGATGTCGGTCGCTATCGGCAGTTCGATCCAGATCGCCCTCTTCGTCATTCCGGTTCTGGTCCTGCTCGGTTGGTGTATTGGCCAGCCACTGTCCTTCGTGCGTTCTTCCTTTGCGTCTTTGAAGGTTCAGAAAGCTGACATTTGGCGCCTTGCAGTACTTCGTGCGTTTACCCTCGCTAGCGGCGCTTCCAGCTGTACAAGTTTCCGAGATTACTGTCGCCCAATCTGACCGCTTCGACCCGCAGGACGAATTCCAGACGCTCGTGCTCTTCGTGAGCATCGTCGGCGTCAACTGGGCTATCGCAGACGGCAAGACGAACTGGTGCGTCCAATAACCCATCTCCGCCTTTCCTTCGCTTCTTCGGCTGACCCGCTCTCGCTTCACAGGCTCGAAGGCCTTGTCCTCATGGTCATCTATATCATCATCGCCCTCGTGCGTTCTATGCCACTCCTTCGCTACGCAGACGTGCTGACCTTCCTTTCGAGCAGGTTTTCTGGTACTACGACCCGGGCACGCCGCTCCTCTAGATACGCAGACACTCTCGCACGTAGACTCGTCCACTCTATTCCTTGTAGTCATATTTGCTTCACCTCGTCTACGAAACAAGCGAGGAACTGGCTTCTCCCGCCGCCGACGAATACCTTCGCCCTTGCCTCCTCCGTTCCTGACTGCCTTGACCGCAGTCTGTTGACGCTTGGGAAGCAGTTGCCACGCACAAGCCAGATGTCATTGCCGAGGACAGGCGGCGCACGCAGCGAAAGGCGGAGGGAGGACCTGCGGACGAGCGAGACAACGGTCCGCAGATCCAGCCTGAATGCGCTCGTCAAGCGCCGATTCGGAATGAAGGCACAGGCGCTTACGAGCAAGCTGGAGCACGAGGAGAAACCTTCGCCCTCGCCTTGACGTCGTTGGCCTCGCATCGCGAAGCGCGAGCAGCACTGTATCTCTGCCCTATCGCTGCGATCGTTCGACTCGGTGGATTTGCGATCAGTACAGGTCCCCTGAAGAGCTGCAAGCTGTACCAGCACGCCCGCGAACGCCTGGGTAGCCTCATCAGCGGAGTCCGTCGTCATCAGGAGGCGACAGGCGAGGACGCTCGGCAGCTGCGCTGAACGTGCGAATTCGCGGAGAAAGCTAGATCACCCGGTTGCGCAGCTCTTGATTGTCCTGCGATGTCTGCCTCACCCCGTGCGAGCGATCGGGAAACCCCTTCGCTGCTCGAGCGGGAGACATTCCGTCACTGCCCGCTGGCGGGTTGCGGAGACTCGATTGCTTTGATGTCAGTCGACCGCTGTTCGGCATTGCGTAGCGTCGACTCGCTCATCTCACCCGCTCCAGCTCCCCTCTCTCTCCTTTCCCAACAGCACCTCCTCTCACAACGACCACCCAACCGCATCATGAACAAGCTTAAGCAGGTGTGTACACCTCTCCCGATGTCGCCTGCGACGTGGATTGACGTCTGCCTCGATACAGGTCTTCACCCACGACTCCGCCGACCGCTCCCCCTCGGGCCACTTCTCCGCTCACGAGTCCGCCAACGAGAGCACCGGCGGAGGCCTCACCGGCAAGGCTGCCAACGCCGCCGTCGACAAGGCCACCGACAGGTCCGCGGGCAACGAGACCACCCACAACACCCAGACCCCGACACACTCCTCCGCTGGCGACCGTGTTGCGTCGGCAGCTGCTGGTGCGGCGTCTGGCTCGCACATCGACTCGACCACCGGCACTCGCTCTTCGTCGAACAACGCTGTTTCTACGCCTACCTCTTCCGCTGCTGGAGACCGCACCTCGACTGGCATGACCGGCGCAACTGGCGCAACTGGCACGACCGGCGCGACCACTGGCTCGTCGACCCGTACGGGTGCTGGCGGCGCCGTCGAGCGCGGCATGGAGCACCTCCGCGAGCACGCCGCTCCTCCTCCTCACAAGCACCACCAGCCTGGCCGCGACACCGTCCTCGGCGAGGCGGAGGCCAAGATGGCGACCCACGACCACCAGCACCTCGCGCCCGTCACCCGTGCGTTTCTGTCCCCTTGATTTCGACGGGACTTCTTCCTGACATTGCTCCGTCGCAGACGAGACCCGCCACCACCACGAGGTTGAGGAGGTCGAGCGCCAGCGCGAGATTGACCGACACGGTGCGTACTTCACGGGTCGAGTCGTCGACATTTGGCTGACTTTGCTCGTCTCGCAGTCCACCACGTCCAGCACCACGTCCAGCCGGTCGTTGACGAGCAGCACGCTGGCGAGGTTCACCACGAGAAGGCTGTCCCCGTCACCAAGATCCACGAGCGTCACGTCGCGACCGACGAGGACAAGACGCAGTTCGCCTCGCTCAACAAGGCCAAGGACTCGGTTGTCGAGGCTCCTCGCGAGCGCACCATCATCGACCGTGGCGAGCAGGTCCACGAGAACGTCCAGCACCACGTGCGTTTCGCTCTCACTCGTCGCTCTCGGCTGCAGCGCTGATCCGTTTGGTCTTCCTGCAGGTCCACCACATCGTCCAGCCCACCATCGAGCGCGACACCCACGAGCACCACAAGATCCACGTGAGCTGACGCGCTCGTGTCCCAACCTTCTCAATCGCGAGTTGCTTACGATTCGCTCGTCGCACCGTGCAAACAGACCACCATCCCCATTCACGAGACCGTCCACGAGGCGCCCGTCGTCCACCAGAGTACCGTCCACGAGCCCCTCCCTCTCAAGGAGTTTGTTGCCGGCGGAGGCGACCTCAAGTCGACCTTGAGGCACGACGCCGACGCTCTCCTCGACCGCGGCGAATGCGAGCGCACTGGTGAGTCGGATTGGACCTATCACGCTATTGTCTGCCGGACTCGGCTGACCTCGCCCTGCCTCCTCGCAGTTGACGGCCCGGCAGAGACCCTCACTCAGCAGCTCGGCCTCGCCTCAATCGGCGAGAAGAAGGGCACTGCGTCGACCACCAACCCCATCGGCGAGCGCGGTACGACCGCCGCGACCGGAACCGGCGGCGCAGCGACGTCGTCGACCGGTGCAGGCATCGGCCACCACAACGCTGGTACCGCGACGTCGACTGGCGCCGGCATCTAGATGAACTTAATCGCCTTTCACCGTCAGTCTTCATCGCACGCTTCTCTGTTTATGCTTTTTAGACCCGCAAACCCACACCCATAACGACTTGTAGCCGATAAGTCCTTCGCCTTTTGAACGCAAAGCAGTATCGCAGTTTTCATTCGAGCTTGGTTTGCACCCAGCGAGAGAGAGTTTGCGAACCAGGCAGGATGAGCGGCATCGGCATCAGGAAACGGAGGGCCGCAAGAAAGCAAGAACGCAAGCTCAGAGGCCCATAACGGTTCCGTCGTTGTCACGACTGATCCTACGACATGTCCTTGAAGACGCCCTCCATCTTCTCGAGCAACACGTCCTTCTGCTTGTCGCCAAAGACGAGCATCGGCCTGAGCCTGACAGCCTTGTCTCCGCAACCTCCCATCACGACTCCCACCTTGCGCATCTCGGCAACGAACTTATCGCGCTGCTCAGCCGACGCCGCGTCCCACGCGATGAACGTCCCGCAGTCCTTGCCCCGGAGGTTGTGGATCTGGCCCGAGTACCGCTTCGACAGGTCGGTCAGGGACGAGTAGAGCTCATCGCCGATCGCGGCAGTGTGGGCGACGAGGCCGTGCGCTTTGATGAAGCCGATCATCTCGCGAGCCTGGAGAGCGCGCATAGGGTCGCCCATCCAGGTGTTGTAGCTGCGCGAGGGAAGGTCAGCTGCGCTCAGCCAGCCTAGCGAAGGTGAATCAAGCGCACTTGCGGTACGGCAGCGACGCACGCGTCCCCTCAGCGTGGTAGAACCCGGCGGCCTGCATCTTCTTCGAGAAGGTGACAAAGTCGGGAGGGTGGTCGAGCTTCCACTTGTCGTGTGCCCAGAAGGCGCCCGTCGCGCCGACGCCGGTCTGCACCTCGTCGACGATCATGAAGACTGATCAGGAAGACATCAGCTGACGTCGCACGAACGAAGGCCAAGAGGTCGAGGCGAACCTCCGTGTTCCTGCGACAGCGAACCAGAGTCAGACGTCGCCTTCTAGCAGCAGGCCAACGAGGAGACGCACCCTTGTAACCGTCCGCAAAGCCTTGAAGAAGCTCGGACTCGCATGGTTGTCGCCGCCCTCCGACTGGATGGGCTCGACAATGAGCGCCGCAACGTCCTTGCCCTTCTTCTTCTGCGCGATAATCATCTCCTCGACGAGCGCAATCGTCCGCGCCTCGGCTTCTGCGTTCTCCGAGGCGTACTCGTCCAGAGGATACTTCATCGTAGGCCAGGAGATGGCGGGCCAGTCGAAGGCGGGGATGTCGAGCTGCTCAAGGCAGTGTCAACAGCTGTTTGCGGCAGTTCAAGCGACGTTGCGCATCGCACCTTGTGGATGGCCTTGCTGCGAGTGAGTGACAGACTGCCGAACAAGCGACCGTGGAAGGCCGACTTGAAAGACATGGCGACGAGGTCGGGACTTCCCGGACTCGCATTCTTCATGCACGAGCTCATCTGCATATCGAGCGAATTGTCAGACAAGACATCGATGTAGACGAAGGCGGAGAGACGCGCCTCCTCGGACGTGAAGTCCTTGATGCCCTGCTCTCCGCGCTGCCTCGCACGATACGCCATGAACGCCGCCTTCAACGCTCCCTCATTCGCGCAAGAACCGCACATCTGTTTAGGATGAAGTTAAGCGAGCGGAAATGTCTAGAAAGAGGGACGCAACACACCTGGGTGAAGAGATGAGGCGTCCCCTTCGGCGCAACGGAGAGAAGGCCCTTGTGAATCGTCTCCGACCACTCGTTGCTCGGGAAGGAGCCCAACGCCGGTCGGTTCATCCTGCGCAAGCGTACACTCAGCTTCGGTCGTAGGAACCGATCGACGGAACGGGAACTCACGCGGCGATTGCGAACTCATCCTGGAAAGTGCGGTAAGTCGTCAGCGAAAGCGCGAGCTCGTCGACAAGCGCTCTTACTGACAGTCTTGGCGAGCGCGAGGAGCTCGGGGTTGTTGTACCCGATCGCGATACTGCAGAAGCGCACGGCGGCATCAGTCGGATGCGCTCTTTACCGCCGTCGAAGCGCCGCACCTGGCAATCTGGGCAAAGACGTCGAGCATTTCGTTGCCGTCTGCATCGACGAGGTAGTTTCCTGTTTGCAAGCGATTCCGCCAGGCGAGTCAACGCGAGGAGGTGGGGAAGAGGCAAAGGAGCCGACGGCAATTGGAGGAGGCGAGAGGACGTACCCCTCGACTTGGCGTAGTCTGCGCGCAGTGGGCAGACGGGTCAGCTCCTTTTAGGAGGATAGGCGAGCGCAGAAAGCGTACCTGCGACGACGACGTGCGTGCGAGGGTCCTGGAAGTCTGCGATCTCCTTGCTCAACTCCGAGGAGCGCGGGCCTGTCAAGCGAGTTGGTCAGCGTGCGAGGGGAGTCGAATGACCTCTGTGCGCACCTGGGACCGAGTCTGTGACGAGATTAGGCTGCGATGGCTCGTTCTGCCAGACGGAAGCCGACTCGAAGCGAGTCGGGGGGTTGTGCTCGGTAGCATACGAGCGGGCAGCGGCGCGGGCAGCCACAGAGGCCCTTGGTACGCGCTTGAGAACAGAGAGCATCCTTGCCAGGCTTCACAGCGGTGAGCGAGCGAGACAGCGGATGTCAAGGATGCTCGAGGAGGTGGGGAATGAGGTCGATGGTGGACTGTTCGCTCGCTGGCTCTGTTTGCGCTTGCAAGGGTGCGAGATGGTCGCACACACCCACACACTGCCGCCAGACCAGCTCGTCGACCTCGTCCGCGCGCTCGCAGACCAGCTCGTCGCCGCTCGAGCGACCCAGGGAGACGCCTTTGACCCGCAGCCCTACCTCGCGCAAGCTGCGCCGCTCTTTGCTGCACTGTATGGCGTGAACCGGAATACCCTGCTCGACACGAAGGAATGCAAGGCGCGGACGCAGGATGCGAGGTTGGAGATGGATGCGGCTCACTTGAGGCTGCAGGTGCGTCACAGCTCGCTCGCGGGATGCTCGCTCATTCAGGCTGACCCAGACGCTCTTTGAACAGAACCTGCTGTTCGAGCGGAATCATATCGAGCGGGAGATTCGGTCGGCGGAGGAGTATTCGTGCGTTCTCGAGAGGTGTTTCCCTTCCTTACGCTTCCTGACCTCCATATCGCTTTGTGACACAGCTCCGAGTACCAGAACCTGCCCCTGCACTCCCTCGACGAGCTCCGAGAACTCGCCGCATCCGACGCCCCTCCTCCAGGCCTTCAGGTCCCTCTGCCCGAGGGAGACTCGCAAGAAGCGGCCCACGCCCTCATGCTGGCACGGCTAGCGTTCGAGCTCGAGGAGCGGAAACGGTGGGCGCCGTCCTACCTCGCAGCACGGCCGGAACATCGGATTGACTCCACTTTCTTCGATGCAGATTCGAGGAGGAGCGGAAAGAGCTTGGCGCGGTCAAGGCCAAGCTCGTCAAGGAGAACCAGGTCAAGAAGGCGCGACTGGAAGACCTGGAGAAGCAATTGACCGAGTTCGTCGAGGTGCGTTCTGGCTTCCCTCGAGGCTTCCGCTGAACCTCCCTCTGCAACCCGGCGGCTGACTCTGCGCCCGCTTCCTGCCTCTTCAGAAAGCAAAGAGCATACAGGCCAAGATGCAGGACGAACCGACGGCTGCCTAACCCTAGATCTCGCTTCTTCCGGTCAATTTGTTGTAATCCTACGCAACCCGCTTCCACACTCTCGATTTCGGCAAGCCTCGTACGAGAGCGTCGCCAGCATGATGCCGCCAACCAAGCTATTCTTGCGCAAGATGTCGCCAGCGTTGCGATGAGCGCCACAACTCCTCAACTTCTGCCACTTCTCTCGCACACGCACACCACCCGCTTGCTGAGCCACTACCGCCGACAAAGATGGTCAAGCCACACACGCAAGCACTCGCCAACCTCCCGCGCCAGCTGCGCGTCTCGCCGTCGACGCCCATCACCCGCACTCACCTCCTCGCGCTGTACAAGGAGGAGCTCCGCGTCGCACACTCGTTCGCGAGCTACAACTTCAAGCAGTACTTCCTCCGACGGACCCGTAACAAGTTCCGCACCGAGCTTCCGGCCCTCCTTGACGCCTCGTACGCCTCTGTCTCGGCACCCTCTTCCTCATCATCCTCCCCCGCTGCACCCGAAGCTTCGCCGTCATCTACACCAGCAAGTTCATCGGCAGAGGAAGCAGGGCGCACATCCGAAGAGCGGCTGCGGGACTGGTACACCGAGTCGCTGGGCGAGTTGGCGGTTATGGCGCGGGCGGCGATTGTCAACAAGATGTACGAGGCGCCGAAGCTGGTTGTCGAGGGTAGGGGAAAGGTCATGGTGGTCGGTGGAGGCGGAGCTGGCGTCGAGGCGAGGTGCGTTCCCGTTCTTTCGCCCTGAAGGAGGAGGATCCCTCTCTTCCCACCTGTTCTCTCGCTCATGCTTGCGTCCCTCGCAGCTACGGTGGAGGTGGTCAGCCTGTCGACCCTGCGAACCCTCGGCTAGGCACGAACTAGGTGGAATGAGGCGAGAATCGACTGGATTGGAGGGGATCTTGGGTATACTCGCTCATGAAACGCCGCAGCCCATGTGCGCATATCCTGACAGTCTCATTTGGCGCTGTTCTGGCATGCAAAGCGTTGTTTCTACTTGTCTTTTGCGAGATGTTCGATGTCCGAGATGACGGAAGCGCACCCGGACTTCTCCCTTCCTCCGCCAACCGCGCTCGTTGCATGCTCTCGCACGTCAGATCGCTCTTCGGTTCCGCACACAGAATGGCACGCCCTACCTACGCTGGCCCGACGCTGCCCACCGCGATCGCCGCATCCCAAGCACTCCCCAGCTCCGCGTCGGGGACTCAGACGGCCGTCGTGGCGAATGGGTGCTTCTGGGGTACTGAGGTGCGTTCATTCGCTACCGAGTAATGCTGGCGAACAGCGACGCGCTCTCGAGTAGACTAGCGGGCGTTCAGGGGCTGTGGCTGATCTCGACCCCTCTTCGTCGACAGCACATGTACCGCAAGGCGTTCAAGGACAAGTTGGAGGACGTAAAGGTTGGCTACACCGGCGGACACGCCGACGTAAGCTACCCCTTCTCTCCCCAAGCCGACTTCACACCCTTGCTCACCCTCCTTCCGCCTCCTCTAGAGTCCCAACTACCGACAAGTCTGCTCGGGCTCGACGAACCACGCCGAGGCGTGCAAGATCATTTTTGACCCGTCCAAGGTCTCGTACGCTGAGCTGATCGAGTTCCACTTCCGCATGCACGACCCGAGTGCGTTTCCCTAGACTTTCGATACTCCGCCTCCGCTCTTGCTAATCTGCCCCGCTTCTACAGCTCAGGTGAATCGCCAGGGCCCTGACACGGGCACGCAGTACCGCACCGCCATCTTCACAACCTCGGACGAGCAGGCAGAGATCGCGAAGAAGGTCATGGCGGAGGTCAAGGACGCGCACTACCCAGACCAGAAGATTGCGACGACGGTTGAGCCGCTTGCAAAGTGGTGGGATGCGGAGGACTATCACCAGGAGTGTGCGTTGCAAGCCTTACCTGCCCTTCTGCGCTGTTGTCGCTGACTGCGTTCGCATCCCACTGCTCGCTTCTTCTCTGCCATATCCCGTTCTCTACAGATCTGCACAACAACCCTGGCGGGTACGAGTGCCCTAGCGTGCGTCGCTGCAGCCTCTCCTCGCATATCTGAGCGAATCTGACCGCATTCACCTCACAGCACGTCCTGCACTGGTGATCTCGCCGAATGACCGCATCGCTACACCCTGTATCCCTTATTCCTGTCATACGAGCAGTTCTGAAGCGTTTCTCAGCTGGTGGACGCTGCATTCGCCTTCGAGAAGAGAAAAGTCGACTTTCGCCCTCGTACAGGCTTCCCCGCCTTGCTCCGCGCCCTTCGGAAACTACAAAGCGCTGTTCGCATGCTCTGGCTCCGTTTCGGCTGCTACTCACGAGTTGACGTCGCGAGCTTTTGACATCTCTTGCTCGAACCGCTCACTCGCTTGCCTCGCTACCGCTCCTGTTGCTGTGTCGCCAGCGGGAACCAGCCAGCATGGCCCTCGTACGCCGATTCTGGTGCCTCCATTGTCCCTGCTTGCGCTGACTTCGCTCCCCCACCTCATCAACCAACAGGCTCCGAGGACGGCGTCGCTCTTCCTCATCGACTGCAGCGCGTCGATGAACCACGTGCGCGACTTTGAGGTCGGCTATGGCGAGCACAAGACTGTTCGCAGGCGGTCTGGGCTCGATGTCGCGAAGGAGTATGTCAAGGCCAAGATTGTCCAGAGGGTGCGTTCGTCTCGCTTTCATACGGGACACCAAGGCTGCCAGGCTGACCGCAGTCTGCTTACAGATCATGCGCGACCTCAAGACCACCCCGTTCGGCGTCATCCTCTTCGGCCACCCAAAGACCAAGAACATCCTCACGACCCGCGCGAAGGAGCAGGCCGCCGAGCGCGACGAGAAGTTCGACCGCTCGAGCGACCCGTACAGGCATTGCTACGAGCTGCTGCCGCTCACAGCGACGATTGACCGGACGCTGCTCGATCGGGTTGACGAGGCGGTTGCGGGTGAAGGGCCGGACGGAGACGGTGCGTCGCTACACTCCTTCCGACGATGCCTCCTGGAGATACACAAGAGATGAGTCTGACCTCGTTGTCCGGCGCAGCTTTCACCTCCGTCATCCTCGGGATCGAAACCCTCGACGCTCAACCCTCGTTCGCCAAATACGCGACCAAGGAGATCTTCGTCTTGACGGATGGCGAGTCGCAGATCGACTGGGACGGCATGTCGTCGGCTGCCAAGCAGATGAACGCGAAGGGAATGAGCTTGACTGTCATGTAAGTTTGCGAAAGGAGGGACTTGTTATCCTCCTTCTGCTCCCAAGCTAGCGCGCTGACTCCGCTTCTCCTCGGTTTGTTCCAGCGGCATGGATTTTGACGACGAAGAGATCGGCTTCGTCGAGGCGAACAAGTCGGACGTCAAGGTGAGCTACCAGATGTTCCGCTTTGGTGAGACGCATTCGTTGACAGCCGTCGATACCGACAGCGCGAGAACGAGTCGCAATTCCAGCAGCTCGTCGAGCGACTCGAGGCGACCTCGGCGGTCGTCAACGCGCGCCAAGCGCTTGAGGTCATCGCAACGCCGCAGGTCAAGGCCGTCAACTCGCGCGCAGACCGCATGCGGCTCAGCTTCGGCAACCCGGAGACGCACCCCGATACGGCGCTCGTCATGTGGGTCGACGTCAAGAAGGCGATTGTTCCAGCCGCGCCGCCGTCGATGAAGAAGATGAGCATGCGTGGGTTCGAGAATGCGAGAACACAGGCGGCGCAGCAGAGTCAGAGCCAGAGCCAGCGTGGCGTGAAGCGGGGAGCAGATGGGGCCGAGGAGGACGAGGACGACCTTGACGAGATCAAGCGCAAGGCTCGCTTCGCCGACAAGCAGACTCGCGAGCACCAGGCACAGCTCAACGCCGGACAGGGCATCGAGCTCGGCAAGATTGGCGTCTTGTTCGACCGGGAGTTGCAGAACGAGGGACTCGCTGTTGGCGACGAGGAGGACGCCGACCTCGCCTCTCATGCAGTCGAGATGGACCGCCGCTTCTTCTATCGCCCAATCGAGCGAGCCAACAATTCGAGCCAGGTGCGCGTGCACAAGAAGCCGAGGCAGGGAGGTGAGACGGATGAGGAGGACGATGACGATGCGAGGCAGGAGGAGGAAGAAGGTTGGCAGGAAGCCGATGCGGGTGCTCTCGTCGAGGCGTACCACTACGGCGGCTCGCTCATTCCCGTGGGCGACCTCGAGGACGATATCGGCACCCTGTCGGGCTTGGAGACGGGCATGGAGATACTCCGCTTCCTCAAGCAGAGCGATGTGCGTTCGCCGACCCGTCGCGGCTGTCACTCTCATCTAACCCTGTGCGGCCTACAGATCCGATACGAGCAGAGGATGGGCGACGCGTTCTATGTCTACGCCACGCCAGGAGAACTGGGTTCTGAGCGGATTTTCTCGGCGCTGTGCAACGGTATGGACGAGAAGGGATGCGCCGCCCTCGTCCGCTTCGTCAAGAAGGGCTTCAACCGCAACGGCAAATTCAGGGTGCCCGACCCAATGCTCGGCATTCTCTTCCCGCGCATCGACGAGCAAGAGCGGGAGTACTGCTACTGGGTCCGCGTGAGTCGAACGCCAGTATTCGCGCACATTCAATCAAGCTGACATTTTCCCACACTCTGCGCAGTTTCCCTTCGCCGAAGACATCCGCTCCCTCCCGTTCCCGTCGCTTGAGCGCATCTTCAACAAGAAACACGCTCGCAAGATGGAGCACAAGCTCCTGCCGACTGAGGAGATGGACGAGGCGATGGAGGAGTTCGTCGACGCGATGGATATCTCTCAGGCGGGCGAGCCAGACGAGGAAGGGTGAGCACGCTCGAGACGACTGGGAAGGGCGCCTTACTGACTGTCGCGCTCGCAGCAACCCCACCGGTTTCTTCACTACGGAGGACTCGTTCTCGCCCGCAATCCATAACGTACAGAACACGCTCGTCTTCCGCCTCTCAAACCCCGATGCCGACCTCCCGCCCGTCCCGCCAATCCTCACAAAGTACATGGACCCGCCATCCGCCGTCGCAGCCAAGGCTACGCCGGTTGCCGACAAGGTCAGGCGCGTCTTCGACATTCAAATTGGTGCGTCCGCCGTCCTTGCGCTCTCTTACCATCTCATCCTTCTGACCATCTCCGCCTGTAGTCCCTCCGAAGCCGACCAAGATCAACAAACGCACTGTCAACTACGCTCAACCCGGCGACGACGACCGCATCGATCTCGACGTCGTCTTTGGCAACTCGCAAGCGGCAGCGAAGGTCAAGGAGACGGAGGCGCCGGCCGCTCCTCTCGTCAAGCCCGAGTCGGTCGATGGCAAGAAGGGCGACGACGAGGACGAGGACATTGTGATTGTCGACGCGGCCGATGCACGGGACACGACGGCCGATGCGCGCGACACGAATGCCGAGCAGGACGAGGAGGAGGAGGAAGAGCCAGCGACCGAGGACGAGGAGCCGGCGACGGAAGACGAGGACGAAGACGCGCCGACTCCGGCCGCAACGGCGAAGAAGCCGACGCCTTCGACTCAGGCGATACAGGCTGCTGTGGCCGAGGCTCGTCGCTTTGTCGAAACCAGCTTCTCGTGGGGCGGCTACAAGGACGCGAGTAAAAAGTTGAAAGAGGCGCGAGAGATGGCTCACCAGGTGCGCTCAGCCGCCCCACCACGTGCTTGCGCTTCACTTCTGATTCCGAGTCTGCACAGTTGCGCGCCGAGTCGACGTACAACGAAAGCCTGCGCTCGCTCGTCTCGGCAATCCAGAAGCAGCCGAAGAAGCATGACTACCTGCCGAGGATCAAGCAGGACGGGCTCGGCTTACTCGTCGGAGGAGGCACGTCTGCCGCAGAGGCGAAGCAGTTCGAGGCGGAACTCGACGCGTGAAGATGGAGGAGTGGGACCGCTTGCATCAGTTCTCGCCGTTCTTCCCTTGTTGTCATACATTCGCTCGCAATACAGTCTGTACATGATCATAACTTGGCCTTCTGCTGCTTGACAATGTCCGCCTTGCGCTGCTTCTCCAGCTCGCGCAACTCGATTCGTCGAATTTTGCCAGAGACGGTCTTGGGCAGCGTGTCGACGAACTCGATCTCGCGAGGGACTTTGTACGGCGCCGTCATCTTCTTGAAGTGATTCTGTGGACCAGCCGGGTCAGAAAGGAAAGCGGAAGAGAAAATAAAGGTGTTCGGGCGCACCTGCATGTCGAGCCTAAGTTCCTTCTCCTTGTCCTCCTTGCCCAGCACCTTGTCTCGGTACTCGTCCGAGAGGATCACAAACGCCTTGACAACCTCTCCGCGGCTTAGGTCTGGCGAGCCTACCGCCGCCGACTCGACGACAGCTGGGTGCGTCTGCGGTTTCGGGGAGGTCAGCGGGATGAGCGTTACGGTAGAACGAGCTCGCGCACCTTCAGCGCGCTCTCCACCTCAAAGGGACCAATGCGGTAGCCGCTCGACGTTATGACCTGCGGCGGAACGGGCATGAGTTCGTGAGCGCAGACTGAGAAGGTCGAGCATCTCCGTCCGCCTCGCACAAGAGTCGTTCGGACTCACATCATCGTCCCGTCCGACAAACCAGTAGTAGCCGTCCGAGTCTCGCATCCCGCGGTCGCCGGTGCAGAACCAGGTCTTGCCGCCGTGACTCTTCTGCCGCTTGTCAACCTTGCCATTCTTGACGTAGCCTATCGACGACTGCAGTCAGCGGCGAGTCTACAGTCGAGATCGTGAAGGACGCACCCTTGAAGATCCAGCAGCTGCCCGCGCCCTTGTCTGTCCGGATCGCGAGCTCGCCTTCTTCGCCGTCCCGCAGCTCTTCGCCGTTCTGGCCGACGATACCCATCTGGAAGAACGGGGCGGGCTTGCCCATCGAACCTTGACGGAGCTAGAAGTGCAAGAAGTAGCAGAGAGTCAGCCCTGACCAGCAGCCAGCTTTGCAGGCTGACGAAGGAGAAAGCGGACGCGCCTCGATTCCCTCAAAGTTCGCCACAGCAGGAACAGTCTCCGACATTCCCCACCCGTCGCGAATAGTCAATCCAGTGATCTCGCGCCAATCCGTGATGACCTGGGGGTTGAGCGGCTCGCCGGCGCCGACGCAGTGCCGGAGTTTCTTGAGCGGCTGCTTCTGGAGCGCCGCACGGCCGGCAGAAGTGACGAGGGCGCGGTAGATGGTGGGAGGGGCGCAAAGCGTCTCGATTGGATAGCGGTAGAGCGACTCAATGAGTTGAGCGGGCGTAAAAGCGCCAGGCGGAGGAGGCTGAACAAAGAGTGTCGCGCCGACGCTAAAGCTGCCCGCCGCGCCATATGTACCCTTCGCCCATCCCAAGTCCGCCATGCACAGCACGAGCGTCCCAGGTTTGGCTTGATACCACAAGCCCGTAATGGTGTGCCCGACGAGATATTCTGCCTCGAGGAGGACCATCTTGGGCGCTCCCGTCGTCCCGCTCGTGAAGAACAGGATGACAAGGTCCGTCGACTTGTGCCCTTCAGGAGCTTCGCACTTTGTCCCGTCCGGAACGTTCGAGAGCACATCCTGGAAGTCAACTCGTCCCGCACCGAGTCCTCGGTCATCGTCTGTCCGGACCTGGAAGATGAGCGAGATGTCGACGGTCGAAGAGATTTCTTCGAAGCGTCCGCAGGACTCGTGATCGCCAATGAACGCTTTGGCTTTCGCAACCTCGGCGCGGAACTTCAAGTCTGTCTAGGCGGGAAAAGGTCAGCTTGGTTAACCTATTAAAGTTCCGCCGGCTCTTCGCAAGTGCCAATCTAACGCCACGAGCGTCCTGTAGATGGAAGGAACGAAATACGCACCCTTGGAGACCAGGAGCGACGTCGAAGGCGACGCAACCGCACCGATCCTCCACAACCCGAGAACGGCGACGAACCATTCGCACACTCGCGGCAGCTGAATGAGGACGCTGCAGAGCTCTCAACATCAGCGAGGAAAAGAGAGACGGAAAGGAAGAGCGCAAACGAACCGGTCGCCCTTCCTAATCCCCTTGTCCTGGAACGCCTTTGCCGCCTTGTTGCTCGCGTCCGCCAACTCGCGGTACGACATGATGCGCTCCTTCTTGAAGTCGTGCGAGACCCAGTGAATCGCTGGGCGGTCAGGCTGCTCCTTTGCCCATCGGTCGATGACATGCGTAGGGAAGGAGTAGTCGGACGGGCAGGGGATGCCGTCTCCGTAGCGTGCGTGAATAGCGTCGTAAGAGAATTCTGAAGCCATGGCGTCGTTGTACAGCAGCACGAGAGAAGAGCGAGTGCAGCAGAGTGGAGAAAAAGGCGGGGCGCACGCATCCGAACGGTCCGCTCAAGGTGGGGAACTTGGTGTCGTCGATTTCCCGCGGTGTCTAGGCGAGCGCGCGCTTGAACGACTCCCACTCGTCCTGCGCAAGACCAACATCCTCGGAAGTCCATCCCTCGACCTGCTCGACCTCCCGCACCACACCCTGGACCTTCGTCTTCTCCTCCGCCGTCAGGCCGTCGGCACCCTTTGTGCTTTCGACAGCATTGGCGAGGAACCGCAGGCCCTTGTCGCGGAAGTCGGAATCGATCGCTTCTTGCTCGCCAGAGGAGCCGGTCGGGACGGCTGTTGAGGGCGAGAGCGAGTCGATGAGAGTTGGGAGGGTCGAGGCGGATCGCAGGGAGGAGATGAAGGACGACGGCGACTGCGACTGGTTCATGAGCTGGGAGAGGAGGAAGGCGGTCTTGGTGCGAAGCTTGAGCGACGGATCTGTCGAAGGAGCAAAGTGAGCGAGAGAAGGTGAAGTAGGTTCAGGACAACGCACCTTGCAATGTCTGCGTCAACGTTTGCCAGCCGCCGAGCTCGTCGAATCGCTGAACCGCCGGCTCAGAGTGCTTGAGCGTCGACGAGAGGCAGTACATCGCCTTTGCGCGAGTTTCGTGCGAGGCGTCGGTCGAGACAAGGATGCTTTGAACGGTGGGAAGCGGGTCAAGGGCGAGGAACTGCACGCAGAGCGTCAGGGAGATTGCACGACTTCGATAGCGGGAGAGAGGCGCACGGCTTGTTGCGACTTCGGGTTGTTCTGCAAAAAAGTACGAGGTCAGCAAAAGACTTCCCTCTCCAGTGGGACGCTCGACGCACCTGTACCGCCGTTCCGCAGACCCAGCAAGCATGCTTGACCACCTCGTCGTCGGCGTCCGTCAGGTGCTTAACGATCGGCTGCCAGAGACCCATGTTCTGCAGGTCTGCGAACGCAAAGAGCGTCAGTCCGTCGTCCTGAAGTGCGGGATCGTCGACACTACGCACCATTCGCATTGTCGAGCTCCTCAACAAGCTGTGCGCACGTTGAAGGTCAGCAGTCCGCCAAGAAGGCGAAGAGCGAGCGGACGCACCATCTCGAGGTCCTCCCAAGCGCGGTACCGGTCTTCGTCCGTGATGTCGCTGTTGTTCTTGACCTCTCCCGACCCATCCCTGTCCACCCACTGACCCTCAATGACCATCACGCACTCCTTCATCCTGTCTGCGTCGCTCTGCCCCATCATGGCCTTGAGGATGTCCGTGTTGAGGTCGGGTCGCTTGCCCGCTTTGACTTGCTCGGCGGTCTCGGTGAGCGTGCCAGGTGCGGCGTTCTCGATGCCCCATCGCAAGAGGGCCTGAGTCGGGTCGAGTGAGCGGGACATGGCGAGGGAGAGAAGGTGGCGACGAGGGGAAGTGCGGGTTGTTGTAGCTTGTCGAGTTCGCTTCTAAGTAGCCTGTGCAAGTCTAGCTGTGCTCTACGGTGCACTTGCAAGCTGGAGCAGTGGTTGGCGGGAGGGAGACCTTCATCGCTTCGTTCCTCGACGTTCTTCAGCAGTCGTTCACTTCGCTCGCCGGGGTCGCTTGCTTACTCAGCAGACTCGCTGCACAGTCGCCAACTTGATTCCTACGTCCGCACGCCGCCCCAACTTGCCGCCGCCTCACACGGCACTGTCATCAGGACGGCGTTGCTCGAGGTCAACGTCGGACGCTCAGGCTTAATCGGACACGATGAGCGGTGCGTACAATCCTTCAGACGACTCGTATTGTGTCGCCGCTAACCGATTTCGCTCCAGCAGACTCCGACACCCCTTCCGCTTCTCCTCCCGGTCCGCCTGAAGACTCGGTCCTGCCGCCATGGATCTGGCTCACGCTGTGCACGATCTCGCTCTTCTGCTTGCTCTTCATCTCGTTCAGGCGGGCGAAGAGCCTCGAGCTCTACGAGCGGGCGAAGGACTAGTGCGTTCGCTCTTCCGCTGCTTTCGACGGCCGAACAAAGGCTGATCCCACCCCTCTACGCTCTCAGCCTAAGGAACAGATTGTCCTTCTCGCGCCTGCACCCGGGCATCCGTCTCTCCGAGCGCGACCTCGAAGCCGACCCTCTCGCATCCCCCTCGTCCCGCCGACCACGCCCTCACCGGTCCTTCTCCCGCGACGATACCTCGGACGTCTCCTCCGTCCACTCGCTCGACGACGACGAGCTACCCGCCCCCTCTTTCACTCGTCTCGCCTCACCTTCTCCCTTCCCCTCCCGCCGAGCCTACCAACTCGACACCCGACCAGCCCGCTCACTCGCCTCCGCCGCCTTGTCCTCTCTACAAGCGGGTGTCTCGTCAGCCGCTGATGCGCTCGGCTGGTCCGCCGAACGAGCAACGAGCGCAATGAGGGGCGAAGGACAGAAAGGAGACGGCTTTGCAAGGGCTTTCTGGGGTCTGCGGAAGGACGAGCGAACTGGAGGGATCAAGCTAGGCGAGGGGAACTCAAGGGAAGACGACGAGCTGCGAGGAGTGGGAGGGAAGGCTGCGAGGGTGCTGGGCATCTCCTCGTCTCCGCCGCGCGCGACTCGCACGCACGGGCGGAGTGACCTTGTCGCTACGGATGGCTCGGGAGCGCTCTTCGAGGTTGGCGAGGAGGAGGACGGCGCAGATGCGGTCGAGCTGCCGGCGCACTTCTCGCTTGGCGCCGGAGGACGCGGTGGGAGCGGATCGTGATGAGGAGCTTGACGCCGTGTTGCCGTTCTTTGGGCCTGCACCTACTATCGCGTTTTTCACCTCCCTCTATCTTCGAAGTCGCTGGCGTCGCTCAGGCCTCGATGGCGACGTCGCATGTTCCGGCTTGTCCGCGGACTCGCCTTCCCTGCTGCTTTCGCTCTCTCCCCTTCGCACTTCGCCCTTCGCCCCTCGCTCGCCAGTATCGCCTTCGACAGTTCCCGTATCGTATCGGGATCGACTGCTCGCGGCTGTCCTGCATTGACTGCTCATCACAATGGCTGACCATCGGCGCGGATCGACTCCTCCCTCGCCTCTATCTCCTATCAGCCGCACGAACTCGGAGCTGGCTCGACTGCGTGTTGGAGGGCTTACTCTAGCGTACGTGATACTGAGGCCCCCTTTGCTCGACCAGTCAAGAGGCCTGACAAGGACATCAACATAGGCGGGAAGAGGAGAGGAAGGCGGAGGCGAAGGCCCGCGAAATCCATCGCAAGCTCGCTGCTGAAGCTCATGTGCGCATGCATCATCTCTCCACTTGATCCCGTACTGATTCGACTCGCAACTTGCAGGCGGCTGAAGCCTCCTCTGCCTCGTCAGACTGGGAGGAGAAGGCGCTCGAGGCGAAGAAGAGGGCCGAAGAGCAGCTTCAACGCATCGAGGAAGAAGAGGCTGAGGCTAAGAGGCGTTTGGCCGCCGCAGGCGGCTCGACGAGGAAGCCTCCTCCTCGCCGCCCTCGCAGGCCCGAAGACGTGCGCTCCCTTCCTTTGGTTTCGACACTCGTGCGTATGCTGAGCGAACTCGCCTCGCAGACCGAGGGCGCCGCATTTAACTTGGCCAAGCAAGCTGCTCGCGAAGAGCGGTACGGATCTGGTCGTCGCGCAGCAATCTACGGGTTCCGCGTCGCAGCTCGCAGGTGAGGTAATAAGACGTGGTCTAGCTGTTGGGGAGAGGAGTCCACAGCGCAATAGAGGTCTTTCACGATCCCTCGTTTCATGCTCGCTTGAGCGCCAGCCATCACTGCCCTCCTCGCCTTCGCAGCGGATCCTCCGTTATGCTTCGGCTCCGTCGCTTGCACCCTTCGGCTTCCTCGATTCCTTCTCAGCTGCCCCAGCTCTGCGTAAAGAACTGTCCAATTTGGCGAGCAGAAAAGCAACCCCCATCACTCCCTCCTCTCCTCGGCGAGTCCGCGGATTTCTGCGCGACCACGGGGTCAAGTTAGCGCAACATTCTCTTCTACGCTGGTCCTTCTTCTTCTCTGTCTGCCTGCCGCTCATACCGCCCGTCCTCCCTCCCACTTCCTCTGCCCACACCGCCTCAAGCCGCTACAGCGTCCTTCCCCGCGCGTGTCCAGCGTCAAGTCGAGCACCCAGTCCAGCATGTCGCAAAGCAACCGCAACCAGAGTTCCTCGTCGTCCTCCCAGCAAGCAGGAATGCGACGACCGTCGTCGCAGGAGATGAGGGAAGCCTGGCATGAAGCGGCAGCGGAAGCACACAAGGTGTTGACGCGGCGGGACAGTAGCGGGTTTGAGGGCGAGCAGACTAGCGCCGCCGCCAATTACCTCGAAAAGCCTCGGAACGCGCCGACGCCAGAGAAGATGGGAGACTGGTCGAAAGGCGTACATCCTCCGATCCTTCTTTCCTCGAGTCGAATTGTCGACTGACCCGCCTCACCTCGTCCAGGGATCGTCGTCACACTCGCTCGCCAAGCAGATGGAGCACGAGGAGCGGTACGGGTCAGGTCGTCGGGCGAGAATTTACGGATTCGCGGTGGCTGCGGAAACTCGAGGTCGTTGAGTAGGTGGCGGGATGTCAGTGCGATGAAAAGACCGTGTTTAAGGTCGTATGTAAGCGTCTAGAGACGAGAGATCGACACAAAGTCACCAGCAAAAAGGTGGCGACCGAATAGCGGAGAAGGGGGAAAGGAAAGCGCGCAGTCGTTCGAGCCGGGGTCGCGATGCCGTACATGGGTTGATCCGACGTCCGAGATGAGCAGTAATACAGCCCCACGCCGCACCGCCTTCAGTCTCCCTCCACGTACAACACGCGCGACGGCCTGCGTCGCAGCGAGTCTTCCGTCGCCTGCGGGCGAGAGGCTTCGGTGGGCAGTTCGCCCTCCTGCTCAACCCGTTCCCAGCCCTCATCATCCGTACTCGTGTCATCCCTCGAAGCTGGTGTGCGATCTTGGAAGGAAGGATCTGCCAGTCGCGGCCGAATCTCGTAGCCCTCGCTTCCGCGCCGAATCCGGACGACTCGCTCAGGATCCAGGTCCTCCTCTTCCTCCTCGTCCGCAGCGGCCTCCTCCTCAGCCGCAACACCGCCACCGCTTGCTGCTGCTGCGCGAGCTCGTCGGGCTGCAAGCGTGCCGAGCGGGACATCGTCTTCCTCGTCCTCCTCGCTCGTCGTCTCGTCGTACGACGAAGAGCCTTCAGACTCGTCGTCCTGCTCCTGGTACGGTGGCCGACGTGCTGCTCCCGCCAAGACCTGTCGCCGCCTGAGCCCGCTGTCGACCGCGTCCTCGGCTTCTTCGAGTCCAGCTTGACCAATTTGCGTTACACCGGCCTCGCGGTGGTGCAGAAGCGCCGGGTTGAGGTCGTTGCCGTACGTGAACGCTTCTTCAGGCGGCGGGAGAGGGCGAGCTCGTTTCCGGCTGTACGGCTGGAACTCGTCGCGAGGTGGCCAAGCGAGCTGGTCTTTCGCATCTGCGGCAGCACGTTGGCGGTCGTGAGATGGTGGGACGATCGAAGCGGGATATACGGACGGACGCACCTGCGCCTTGCGCGATTGGGTATGCCAGTCCGTCTCCCGGCGTCGGTTGCGGCCAGCACCAGAAGAGCGGGTTCTTTCCGAGCACCGACTGGATGTTCTGGAGGTAGGTGAGGTGGTAGGGGTATTTGTACTGTAGCGTGAGCAGGAGAAGGAGAGGCTGGTCAGTTCACAGCGCCTGGACAAGCAGAAAGAGCAGACATCGGCGTTTGTCGCGCCTGCGGCGTCTTGGTAAGCGCTTCGCCGCGGACTCACCTCTCGAATTTTCCCACGCCGCTTGAGCGACGCCGCCCGGTCCTTCTCCCACGACTCGATCGTTGTGGTGTTGGTGAAGAGCGACCAGAATTGCAAGAGCGAGAAGATGCCGACTGCGATAAGGACGGGAAGGCAGGCCGTATAGTTGAGGATGAGGAGCACGACTTGAGTTGTCGTTGGGTTGCCCTGCATGGGATAAAGTGAGCGAGTCGAGCGAGAACGAAGGAGGGTAGACTCACGCTGAAAGCGAGGCTCTGGAAAGCTCGTGTTGAGATCATCCACAGGTGGTACGAACACGCAACGTCGACAAAGAAGAGGAAGCGCAGGAAATGAGCGTAGTTGTGGTGGCCGACGCAGTTGTTCACCCAGGGACCTGCCGCGAAACGCGAGCGTTGTCAGTCCGGGTTGTTCGCCACGCGTTGATCCACCTGCGCGACCACTACGCAGGCTGAAAGCATCAAAGAGAGGCAGAGAACGCACAGTGGTGGTCCATCCGCAGAATGCACCGTCCGCATTGCCGACAATGATGGGCTCGAGGCGGCTTGTATACTGTGCGAGGACAAGTCTCCCTTCAACAGCTCGTACACCAACCCTGGTTACGAAACGCATACGAAGGAACGCTGCGCACCTCGACAAGTCCTGCAGAACCTCGGTCCGCCCGTGCGCTTATTCACCTCGACCTGTCCCGCCTCGACCAGCCGCCAGTCAGGTTCCTGCGGGAATGAAGACTATAAGCCGTCGTCGAGGAGGGCAGGAAGAGGACCACACTCACCCACCCCTGCGGCACCGTGCCGGGATCAGTCCGCGCCGTCAAGCCGTAGTTGAGGAAGACAAGCGCAAGGAGCGCGTTGAAGGGTGCCAGTATCCGCCATAGCTCCGCATCCGTCCAGTCCCAGCCGTACGAGGGGAGGACGACCCAGATTTGCGAGGAGAAGCCGATGAAGGAGATGAGCGAGAGGACGCCGCCGACCCACAGTCGGCCCACCAGCTTGCCCCCCATGGCTGTGAGATTGATTCTGGCTAGGCTGCGAGGCGTGCGAGAGTTGTGTAGCGCGGTGAGAGAGGGAGGGAGCGAGAGGAGGCGGTGCCGGGTCCTTGGGAACAGTCAGCAACGCTCTCAGGCTTTCCAGGCGAAGAACGCAGATGCGAGTAGCTACAAGATAGATTGCAGAAGCGAACGAGCGAGCGAAGACAGTGGAACGGTGTGCAAGTAGTGCAGAATCGAGTGTCCCTCCTCCTCCGCCTCACTCGAAGGCCTCGTTGCGGATCCACCTGGTGAAGAAGTCGAGCGAGACCTCGGGCTGATCAAACGGAACCATATGCCCTGCGTCATCCAGCTCCAAGTAGCGCAGCAAGCCTGCACCACCGTCCGGGGCGACAGCCTGCGTGTGACCGGCCTCCTCCTTGCCCGACTTGAACGGGACGAGCTTGGCCTTGCGGTACTTGGCGGCGTGTTTCCAATCCATGGCGACGGTCCAGGCGTGATTGCCCCTGCAAGGAGCGGCGTGTCAGCCTCGACCACGAACGGAGGAGCGAGGAGTGAGAGGAGGAAGAAGGCCCGACGCACTTGCTGTTGCACATAAAGTCGGCTGCGAGTGCGAGCGTCAGCGTGACATGCTCACAGTGCTGGCGACCAGGAGGAAATCCGCACCCGATCCGGCATAGATCAAGAAGCGGATGCCGTCCTCAAGGAGAGGCGGGATGAGCGCCGCCGTGTTCTTGGAGACGTCGCCGTTGAGCTGGAACGCCTGGTTGACCTGCATGTTGCAGCTGGCGAACGTGACGTCCTTGGCCGCACCGAGCTGGCGGCGGACCTCGGGGTCGTTCATGTAGGTCTCGATCCAGCCCATCTCTTTGTAGCACAGGTCGCCGTCCTTGGAGCGGTCGCACTTCTTGCGGATGTCGTACGGGTTGAGACCGGACTGTTGGATCGGGCCGGCAATCTGCCAGCAGCTGAGCGTGGCAGGAACGCAGGTCTGTCGGGCGGAGCCGGTCAGCCACCACGCTTCACGGACAGAGAGATGCAACGCACGAAGCGGGACGGCGCCTTGTAGCAGTAGTCGACGAGGCGCTGGCACGTCGGGACCTTGGACTCGATCGAGCGGCACTCTTGCTCACTGAAGATCGGGTGGTAGGGGTTGCCGCCGGGCTTGCACGACCAGTCGGGAATCGACCCGAATTGGACGTCTGTCGAACGAGGGAGGTTAGCGAGCGTTCGAGAACAGCGTTGGCTAGAACGAGGAGAATGGGCGAAGATGTAGCGTCGCGACAATGATGAGACGGCGACACCGAGCGAAAGCAGAAGGATGCAAGCAAGGAGCGCGTACGTACAAGCATTGGTCAATCCATTACCGATCAAGACGGACTTCATCGGGATGTCGAGGCTGTTAGGCGTCGGCTTCTGCTTGTTGTGGCGGTGGATGACGCTCGCGATGTTGGGCAGGTACGTTCCGGCGTACGACTCTGTGCGAGGGCAAGAGTTTCAGTATGCAGAGCCTCGGACTCTCGTGTGCGATCGGAGCAGGCGGGGGAGCGGGAGAAAACGAGGGAAGGGGAGGTGCGTTCGAAGACGAGGGAAGAGAACGCGGACGCACCCCCCGAGATGTGGAAGTCGACGTCCCTAAACTTGGGGAACTTCTCGTAGAAGAGCTGGAGGAACGAGTAGACGTCCTCGGCCGTGTCCTGCGAGTTGGAGACGGTCTTGCTGCCGTACGAGTAGCCGACCTGGACGGGCGAGTCGAGGAAGATGACATTGGCCGACTCGGTCCACGAGTGCGGGTTATACGTCGTGTTCTTACCGCCGTCGGCGATGCGGCACGGGCCGAGTTCGAACAAGAGTCCGGTCGTCGACGAGCAGCCGGGACCGCCGTTGACCCAGAGAACAAGGGGGTCCTTCTCCGGGTGCGCCGAGCGCGACTCAAAGAACCAGTAGAAGAGGTGGGCGTCGTCCGAGATGTCGAGGTACCCCGAGTAACTCTTGCTCGACGAGTCGCACAAGCCCTCAGGCTTCTTCATGCGGAGCGAGTGAAGGGGGAAATCGGCATGCTGGATCAGCTCGACTGTCGGTGAAACCGTTGGGTCAGTCAAGGCTTTCGTGAAGACCCGCCATCTCGGACGAATCGGGACGACAGGAGGAGAGGGGAGACGGACAGTTGGACCCGGCGTTGTCGACAACCTCGGTGAATTTGCGGACGCCCTCCTCTGCCCACCCGACGGGGCGCGAGTGCTGCACGCCGTTCCAGGCCGATCGGAGGGCGTCGTCGAGCGAGGTGCGCGAGAGCGATGAGAACGAGGGGGCGGAGAATGCGAGTTGCTGGGGAGCGGCGAGGGCGGTGTGTGCGGCCGCTGCGATGGCAGATGCCGTGATCCAGTGAGAGCGCATCCTAGCAACCACTTCGGAGCGACGAGTGAAGCGTAGGAGAGCAAGCGAGGAAAGAGGCGCACCGCATGGGTGCCGACCTCGTCCTCGTCATCCCACATCGCCCAACGATGCCACTGCTCTTCCCAGACACCCAGATCACGCCGCAGACTGTCCTCCAGCAGGCCAACAAGGCGTCGTCGTCTGCGCCGCACTTCTTGATCTTCTTCGCATCCATCGACCCGGCGACGGGCAAACCCTGGTGCCCAGACTGCTCAGAGGTCCAGTCAGAGGTCGACAGGCTCGTCCCAGAGAGCCGTAGCACCCTCGTCTTCATTGGGGACCGGGCAGAGTGCGTTGCCGCTCTCCGTCTCCTCAAAGTCCTCTCTGACTTCCCTCTCGTTTGCAGGTGGAAGAAGCCCGACAACCCTTGGCGCAACGCTCCCTTCAACATCAGCCGCATCCCGACCATCATCCGCGTCGAGCAGGGCGGAGACCAGGTCGCCAACTCGGTTCGTCCGCCTCTTTCCTCACTCTCCTCGAGTCCAATTCGAGCTGACTCTGTACCATTTCTCGCAGCTCGACAACGCCCCTCGCCTGATCGAATCCGAGTTGCGCGACCCGACCAAGTTCCAGCAATTCGTCGCCTGAGCCCTCCCCTCTTGTACCTTCTTCCTCCCTCTTGTGCATCCACGACCGATCCACGACCGACTCGAGCACGAAAGCGATCACAACAACATTTGAGAGACAGTGTATCACCGCGCGGAAGCTTCCCTCGCGCTCGCCCTCCTGCTCAGCCCTCCTTCGCCCGCAACCTCACAGCTCAGCGGCGTCTCCACCCCGTCTCCGTCCTCCTCCTCCTCACCCGGCGCACGCCGTCCCAGCACCCCGCTCCTCCGCATCGCATTCTCCGCATCATCGTCCCTCGACGTCTCGCTCGACCCGCTCGATCCCTCTCCCGCTTCTCCCGCGCCCTCCCTCCGCTTCCCCTTCCGCCTCGCCCGTCCTTCCGTAACACCCACCTCCCCTTCCTCCCTTCCCGCCGCACTCGTCGCACTAGCCCTCCTCCTCCGACTCCGACTTCCCCCTCCCTCAGACTGACTCTGCGCAGCAAGTTTCGCAAGCGAGCGCGTGATAGCCGCCACGAGGGGGTCCATCGCTGGCGCGTCGACAGCTGTTCGAGGAGGGAGGGACGAGATGGAGTTCTCGAGGGAGGAAGAGGCGGTCGAGCCTGGGGGGAAGATGTGAGACGATGAGGCGGACGTGGTGGAGCTGCGGGAGGAGCGGGTCGAGCCTGAAGGCTGGGCGCCGAGCGAGCCGTTTACGAGCGAAGGGAAGGGCACGGTGCTTGTCGTATTGGACGGAGGAGGAGATGCGGCGGGCTGAGGCGTCAAGTGGACGAGGTCGTCCAAGTCGATCTCGCGCGACTCGGCTTCCGCAACAGCCTGCATCGACCCTGTCGAGCCTGCCGCGCTCGCAAAGTGCGTCGCGACAAAGCTATTGAGACTGTTACGACGACCGAGTGCGGCGCCTCCTCCGCCGCTGCCCGCCGAGCCGATCGTGTTGACGAACGAGACGGGCGAAAAGGCTGCTGCGGTTGCTGGTGTCGGTGCGGGTGGTCGAGCGTTCGGATAGGACGAGGAGGGTGTCGTAGCGGTCGTATTGATGCTCGAAGCGTAGGACATGTAGGATTGCGGGGCGGCGAAGCGGAGCGAGTTGGTCGAGGCGGAGAAGGGAAACGAAGCGGTCGAGAGACGCGCGCCGCCGCCTGTTGCTGGAGGAGAGACGGACGCCGCGCCAGGGATGCGGATTGAGGCCGTCGCGCCCGCCGGATCCATCCTCGACGAGCTGCGCGACAACGACCTCGGCCTTCTCAGCATGCCCGACCCGCCCGCCCTAGGCGCCGGCAAGCTGTTCCCGCCGCTCAGATCCAGCTCTTCCAGCTCGTCGATCGAGATCCCGCACCGTCGGCGTAGCTCGGCCAGCTCGCGCTGGTAGTAGGCATTGACGCGCTCCGAGTTGGCGAGTCTGACGCGCAGGGTCTCGTTCTCCCGCAAGGCGGTGACGACGTCGGGCGAGAGGTCGGGCGCCGGCAGGACTGGTGAGATCTGCGTTGGCGGAGACGAGGGGAACGAGGTCGAGGAGCTGGTAGAGGCAGATGTCGAGAGGGAGGACGAGGCGGACGAGCGGGACTTTGAGCGGTGACGGTGCGTGTGAGGCTGGGACGACGACGGCGGTTTCTGTTGCTCGTAGGCAAGCAGTGCGAGGCGCAGCTTGAGCGCTATACTGTCTGCCTGACCCTCGACCGCTCGCTCCAGTTCTGCCTTTTCCCGCTGGAGCTGTGGGCGGACGACGGGATCAGCGTGGGTCGTGAAGGGCACTGACGGGCACACACCTGCTCGAGCTTTGTCGTCAAGTCTCGGACGAGGTCATTCTGCCCGTCTGCCGGCATGCGACGCCTGGCCTCGTGAGATGAAGAGATGAGGAGGATGTGGGGGTCGAGCGCAGGAGGAGGGGCTCGTAGGCTGGGTGTACTCGTTCTGCCGTTCCTCGAGCCGTATCAAGAGCAGTTCAGCCAGTCAGCGGGCGTCCAGATCTATGAGCGAGTGCAGGAGGAGGACGACGAGCAAGTGGGGGTTGGTCCCGGCGGGTTGTCCTCGTCCAGCTCACCCGCCGAAGACAGCTGCGACTCTTGCGACGATGCCAACCGCTCTGACTCTCCCCAACATCGACATCTCCCCCTTCCTCGGCGAGCGCACTCCCTCTTCTCTCCTTGCTCGCCAAGCGACGGCTGCCCAGGTCCACGACGCCTGCACTCGCTATGGCTTCTTCTACTTGAGCGGGATCGAGTCGGTCGTCTCGCAGGAAGAGATGGACGAGGGGCTGAGCGTGGCGAGGGAGTTCTTCGGGCGGCCAGAGGAGGAGAAGGCGAAGTTGCGGATCAAGAAGGGCGACGGCGCGAGAGGTGCGTCTGCTGCGCATGTGCCAGTGTGAAGAGGAGACTGACGTTGCGAGAACGCACGCAGGCTGGCAGATGATTGGCGAGAACGTGACGCAGTACAAGGCAGACTGGCACGAGTGCGTCCCTTTCTCTCACCCGACTCCTTATCCGTGCTGAAGTAGCTTGCTCTACAGAGGCTGGGACGCGTACAAGCCCCTCTCACCCTCAGAAGAAGACGCCACGAAGCTCCTCCACGGCCCGAACCAATGGCCCACCCACCCCTCCTCCTTCCGCCCCGTCCTCGAGCGCTGGGTCGAAAAGATGCACGTTCTCGGCTACGCTCTCACAGAAGCGACCGCTCTCGCGCTAGGTATCGACGTCGAAGGCGACTCGGACGAGTGGCGGAAGATGCGGGCGTGGGTCGAGGACCCGTTCTGGGTCTTGCGTACGATCGGCTATCCCCCGCTTCCTGCAGATGCAGAGGGAATCTCCTGCGGCGCGCACAAAGACTACGGCTACTACACCCTCTTGCACGCCGACTCGACCCTCGGAGCTCTCCAAGTCTTCCTCCGCGACTCCTCCTCCTCCTACGAAACCGGCGGGACATGGATCAACGCGGATCCAGTGCCGGGCACGTTCGTCGTCAACATCGGCGAGATGGTGGAGGTCCTTTCGGCGGGACTGTACAAGGCGACGCTCCATCGGGTCGTACACAAAGCCCCGTCGTACCGCGTCTCGATCCCGTTTTTCTTCGAGCCGTCGTACGATGCGCTCATCGAGGTGCGTCTCTTCGCTCTATCTCTACCTCCTTCCTCATCCTCATTCAACTCGTCGTTCGCGCAGCCACTCCCCTCTGCCCTCCGTCTCCGCTCCCAACTCTCCTCCTCCTCCTCGACAACCGAAGCGCCCATCAAGCCCGTCCACTACGGCACCTTCCTCGCCTCGAAAGTGGCGGGCAACTTTGCGCTCGAGAAGGAATACTGAAGACGGGAGAAAGGGTGAGAATGGAATGAAGCTGCGATTCTCTCTGCTCGGTTCCTCTTCCTCGTCACACAGTCATGACACCCACCGAGTGGATGTAAAGGAGAGGATGCTGTACAAATCAACAGACTGTTTCGAAGCAGCAGAAAAGAGTGTTCAGCGTGAGGAGTCACAAAACCAAGGAGAAGGCATAAGATAAGGAAGGGAAAGGTACGGCAGGGTGCGAAAGCGAATGGATAAGGGATCAAGAAACCGGGGCGGAATGGGGGAATGGTGGCGACAAGGACGAGAAGGGGTTGAACAAGAAAGTGGAGGAGGAAAGGAGGGTCGGGCTCAGAAAGCCAGTCCGTCAACCGCGAAGGACGCCGGCACAGCCGACGCAAACATCGTGCTCGAAGCAGGCGAGCTCGAGCTCACACTCGTGTTGGCGGGCGAGTCGGCTCCCGCTCCCGCTCCCCAAGCCGACGCAGCAAATTGCTGTTGGTGGATGTTCCACGCCTGCGCCTGAGCCTGAGCTTGCTGCTGTTGCTGGAGCGCAAAAAACAGCTGGTACTGCGGGGGCATCATCTGCTGCGCCTGTCCGTGCTGGGGCGCGTACAGTCCGTGCAGCGCAGGAGGCGGAGCAGGCGGGTGCGACGGGCCGACAAAGAACGGGTTCGACTGGTTCATCACGGCCGGAGCCGAG